ATGTATTATAAAATTTCGACTGAAATATTCTGAATGATTTGAATTGAACAATAAATAAGTAAAAATAGATGTAAGAAAATACTTTTCTCATATTTTTCTATTGAATGAAAAATACTATGTTAAAGATAGATAGTATTGAAAGGAAAGAGCTATTCTCTTGAAAGTTATTCCCTTAAATACAGCATTCAGTATGTTCTATAAACAGTAAAATGAGAAACCATATACCATTGACAATATATTTAACACTAAAATCATAGTAATTAAAATTTCATGTTCAGTTTACAACTAAATTTATACTCTATATTTTTATTTTATGATTGACGTCACAGAATGTCTGGGTTTTTTTCTCTAGTTAATTACTGTAAGAATAATTATTAGTCGATTTGTATTGTGACTCTCTTTTATTATTTAAATACTTATGTGAGATATAATAACAAAGAGAAAAGAATAGATGTTGATATTATAAAAACATATATCGGTAGTTCATATATAGATTATCTGTTTCTAAAAATAAAGTACTATGTAATGTTTATTTTTCATGTATTTAACTAAGGTTTATTATTTGCCCTTTCCGCCATTTCTATGGGAATTTTCGAATTTGATTGAAGGTGTAATGTTTAATTAGTATAAATTTCCTTAATCATTTTAATAGCATATTTTCTTAATTGTCATAAGTTTTTTTAAAATAAACGTTAAAAATTCAGTTAAATATTAAGTTTCAAAAAAGCCTTTTTTTTAATTATCGATACTTGAAACGATTTCGATTTTTAGACGATACGATATACTGTTATTACAACCCTGTTTTGTTCAGTTCAATAAAATCGTAAAAATGAATGACGAACCGCCTCCGTCTAAAAAAGCCAATTATGATCGACGTACTGAACTTGAAATTCTGTCGAAGGAGGAGTTAATTGATAAACTTCTTGAAATTGAAGGAGAACTAAAAAAGAAAGAAACTTTAAACCCTGAAGCCAGCCAACGAGAAAATGTACTTGTGATGCGGTTGGCTAGTAAGGAACAGGAGGTGCAGGAATTGGTAGGACAGGTAGCTGAATTAAAGCAAGCACATGCAAATTCGACTTTAAATAATCTACAAAAAGCACTACTTGATCCAGCAGTTAATCTCGTTATCCAACGTTTAACTAGGTAAGCATGCATTTTTGGCTTTTAATTAATCATCATTTAGCAATTACGTAAGGTTGTATTTGGTATGACTTTAATACTTTAAAATCGTTTTAAAAAGATAGTATGACAATATAAAAAGCATGTATAGTCGCTGGATTAAACATTTTCTTTCGAAATAAACGCTATTAAGGTGCGTTTGTGAAATTATAGAAAAGAATCACAAAAGCTTTTTTTCCTTTCATGTTAAAAATTCCAAAAATAAACCATTGATTGTTGATTTTTTCAGTCAACTAACGACAACCAAGCAAAAATTGGAATCTGCTCAACGCGATCTAGATGCCTTTAAGTTTACTGCCGATTCTCAAACTGGAAAGCGTCTCATGGCAAAATGCCGTGTTTTATTGCAAGAAAACGAAGATTTAGGAAAAATTATTTCAAGTGGACAAATAGCTAAATTGGAAGGTGAAATATCTTTACAAAAAGAACTTGTAGAAACTATGAAAAAGAACGAAAGCGATTTAGAGCAAATGTTTTTAGAGATGGATCATGATATGGAAGGACTACAAGCCACTTTACAACAAAACCAACAAGATCTTAAAAAACTAACAGATGAGAACACTCGTCTTATTGAAGAAAACAAAAGACTGTCAGGAGCTGAAGCCGTATAATTTAAAATGTTATTTCTTTTTTTTTTATTTTGATAGTAATTGTCTTAAGTAGCGTTGGTTTTTTTCTCATTTTAGAATTTTAACTGTTATAAGAAATATATTTTGAATTTCCGCAAACACAATGACTTTGTAATGGAATGGTGATTAAGTTAAAATTTTGAAAATGATTAGTCAAATAGTTTTACTCAGAGTCTATCGAAATAGAAAAATCGAAATATTTTTGAGTATATCGAAGAGCTTGTCAATAGACCGCACTTTAAACATGGCCACTGTACTTTTTCTTTACATCCGCCATTTTCAAAGTGCCATCGCGCGTCGTCGCATTAATCTCTGCAGCCATTTTGAGAATTAGTCAACCAGCAATTATTATTATTTTTTTTTGGAAATTTTATGTCTTAAAAGTAAGTTTTCATTGTTTTTTAACAATTTAAACAATTTTAAGTTATAAGAAGAAACATTCCTGTGCAAAAATGGCACTTTTAATGCAATCTTACCGGTTTGAATTAGCTGAACACTCGAGCCGAGAAAAATGTGCGCGTGTGCATATTGAAATTTATAGTTTCATTGTAAATATTGCATATAGCCATATAATGCTGATACCAATGTCACCAACCATTTATATTAGTAGCATAAATGGAAATTTAAAATTAAAATGTTAAGAGACCACGCCTTCCGGTGGATATATGAACACCTGATAAGAAACTTGGATAAGATAAAAATATAATCTGAATTAAGATATTTTTCATATAAGATTTGACTTTAACTAGTTCAAGACAATTGAACAGTCTTTATGAGCCAATAATTTTCTGCTCAACTAAGCCGCATAATACACTAGGCTTAACTTTGGTACAACTCGTCCTCTACTTAGTGTATTTTTATTTTCAACTAAACTACAATTATCTCAGTTACAAGTGTAAAGGTTTATAGTTTGTTACAACACTCTATTTCGCGGTAAAACCTCGTACGGTAAGGACATGAAATGTATTCAATTATATTCTTTATTCGTTCTCTACATTTCTATTTATGAGAGCGAGATAACTACGAAGTTGGTTGTTTAATTGTTTAGACCTTATCCAAAGGAGTAATCTCAACGAATAGTTTTCCTTTAAATATTTATAACTTTATGTGAGTCATAATTTATATTTATTACTTTATATATTCTTTCAGATTATTTGTTGATTATAGAAGGCTAAAGTGAAGTATAATGCCAAGCAAACCTGTAAGTTATAATGTTTTTTCTTAATTCTTTGTTATCGTAGTGTAAAATGAGTTTATCCAGTGTTGAGTAAAAACAATAGTGATGTTCTATATTTATAAATATGCATGTTAACGAAATAAAAGTAATAGGTGGATTTATAGTACATTTATCCCTAACTATGTATATATTATAATATAATACTAATATATATATAGTATATTTATATATACAGAATATATTTTAATATATATATTTCATAAGCAAGGGCATTTGAAGGCATGCTTGTATTAAGGTTAAGGAAGTTACATAGACAGTTGCTTTATTTAGTGACCTTAACAGTAGACTTTTATGTAATGCTGATCAAATACTTATCGCACCTTCTTGACTGGAGATTGGCGAAGGGCGAAATATAAACCAGCTAACTTAAGATAATTTTACCTAAAAAAAACGGTAGGAAAGAAATTGATTATAAAAGTGGTCTTTTTTTGTTTTTTCCTGTTATCTAAGCCAAAGGCCAATTTTGATAACGTGAATCGGCTTGTTAAGCGCTTAAAGAGGTTTTTTTGGCCGGTCAATTGTTGGTTGGGTGTGGTAATAGACTAGTTTCATGGATTGAGTAAAGCGTTGCATTAAGTTCATGGCGCCAAAAGTGAGTAAATCTATATGCGAATGCTATAGGAATTCGAGCTATGCGTACACGACGTCATTCTTTAGGAAGTACTTTATTTGAACTAGTTAACGATCAGTCATTGTGCATTCTCTTTTAAAAAAGCTAATTGTTTCCTTTCAAATATTTTAAATTATTTCTTATTTAATTAATTACTATTTTATTTTTTTTAGATAAACGTACGCGTTACAACGATCGATGCTGAACTTGAGTTCGCTATACAGTCGAATACGACTGGAAAGCAATTGTTCGAGCAAGTCGTTAAAACTATAGGACTAAGAGAAACATGGTTTTTTGGTTTAATGTATACAGATTCTAAAGGTCTCACTACCTGGCTAAAATTAAACAAGAAAGTTGTTAATCAGGATGTTCGTAAAGAGACTCCGTTACAATTCAAATTTAGAGCTAAATTCTACCCTGAAGATGTTGCTGAAGAACTCATCCAAGAGGTAACGCAACGCCTCTTCTACCTGCAGGTTAAGGACATGATATTGAGTAGCGAAATTTATTGTCCACCAGAAACTAGCGTGCTTTTAGCATCATATGCGATGCAGTCAAAGTATGGAGATTATACAGCTGGAGTTGATCTTAGCAAAGATCGGTTGCTACCAGATAGAGTTCATGATCAACACAGTTTGACAAAAGAACAATGGCAAGAGAGAATAATAACTTGGTGGCAGGAGCATACTGCTATGATGAAGGAAGACGCTCAAATGGAGTATTTGAAGATTGCCCAAGATTTAGAAATGTATGGTGTCAATTATTTTTCTATTAAAAACAAAAAGGGCTCGGATCTCTTTTTGGGTGTGGACGCTCTGGGCTTGAATGTATATGATACTGAAGATAAACTTACTCCAAAGATTGGCTTTCCATGGTCGGAAATTCGTAACATATCTTTCAACGATAAGAAATTTGTTATCAAGCCTATCGATAGGAAATCTCCCGATTTTGTCTTCCATGCTCCCCGCCTACGCATTAATAAAAGAATTCTGGCTCTCTGCATGGGAAATCATGAGTTGTACATGCGCAGGCGTAAACCTGATACAATTGAAGTTCAGCAAATGAAAGCTCAAGCACGAGAAGATAAACAGGCAAAGCAAGAACAGCAATTGAACTTGAAGAGAGAGCAACAGGCTAGAGAAGAAGCTGAAAGGAAGAGGAAAGAGCTGGAAGATAGGCTGCTTAAATTCGAGGAAGAGATGGAAAGAGCTCAGAGTGATTTAGTTACATCCCAACGCCTAGCTCAAGAGCTCGAAGAAAGGGCAAGGAAGGCCGCAGAAGAGGCGGAAGAATTAGCCGAAGCAAGACGATTAGCCGAGAGCGCTGCCAAAGCCGAGGAAGAGGCCAGATTAGCGGAAAAAGAAGAGCGTGAAAGGCTGCGTCAAGAGGCGGAGGAGAGACTAAGGGAATTGGAGGCTGCAGAGACTAGGGAAAGAGAAAGGCAGGAGGAGAGAGATCGATTACAAGCTGAACTTGCAGAGGCCCAAGTTGCAATGGAGGAGAACCAGAAGAGATTGCAAGAAGCTATGCAGGCCCAACGACACGTGCCGGTTGTTACTGAAGTTAACCACATGGAATTTGACGAGGATGAATCGTATCAAGGCTCCGATTTACAGATTATTGAAGATGCAGCAAGACCAGAGGAAGACCGAATCACCGCTACCGAAAAGAATCAACGACTTCAAACACAATTGAAGGTAAAGTTGAATAACTTGAAACTATTCATTATTTAGTTCGTCTAACGACGTTAACTGAAATTGTTGACATTTTTCCAACAGTCATTGGCTACTGATCTTCAAGCGTCAAAGGATTTGACAAAAGTGACCAGAGAAGACGTCATCTACCGTGAAAATATGCGGGAAGGACGAGATAAGTATAAAACATTGAAGCAAATACGCCAGGGCAATACGAAACACCGAGTGGATCAATTTGAAGCTATGTAGAGTGAATTTTTTTCTTCTTTTGCCTATTTTATTTTATATTAAGTTTATTTTTTCTGAGATTCGTTTTTTCCTGACGAGAGTTTAGATGTTTATTTATATTATATCTAACCAAAGATATCGTAGGACTTGATTATATTTCGTCGGTTTTGGGATCAAACGGCAACATATGTGATTATTCTAACACCTTATCCAATAGGACCATTGTGTTTTATCATGTTTTTTTTCTACAAATGATTTTCTTCTCATCCATATACTATTTAGTGCACTGTTTAATATTTTATATACTGTTTAAAACTGAATATGCAAACGTCTTCAATACACACAATTTTAATACTATTTTGTATCGCTAAAATTACTAATGCTAGAGCTTTCTTTCAAACTTTTACTTCTTCTTATCTTTCACACACTTTTATTGGAACGCTCCTTGGGTTAGGAGGCTCAAAAAAGGCATACATCACGTTCGAATGTATACAGATTGCGGCCTATTGCTAATATAATGGCTTAATCGGTGTTGAATTCGATATACCCGTTACACAATACCAATTTCTTAATTAATTGTTTAAGGCCTATTTTATAGAATATACCAACAACGGCTGTGATTTAATTGTATGCATAGAAAACTGTTAAAAAAAAGCCTCTTTTCGGGATTAATTAAATAATTTTCGTGCTTCAGCTTTTAATTGACAAATTACAAACGGTAATTATGTACTTTGCTTCATATAGATATGTTTACATATGTATTTGTATTTAAGAGTTTTAGGTTCTATATGTACTGTATGTATGTATGTATGTAAGTATGTTTTACTATTAATTGTTTACTCTATCCCCCTCAGTATAAATATTTGTATGTTAATAATAACAATAACAACAGTAATAGAACTAAGAAGAAATGCAACAGTAGAAGAAGGTAAATAGAGAATAAAACTGAACAAAAATGAACAAAAAAAAAAGTAATAATTAGGAAAAAAGTTAAAAGAAAACGTCTTTTTTTTTAAATCCTTTCTTCTCTGTCTTTTTATTATTAGGGATAAAAAATTAAAGTACATTAAAAGGTTATATTTTTAATACACGAGATGTTTTCTTTATAAATATGATTATTATGCGAATAAGAATGAATGAATGAAAGAAAGAAAGAAAGAAAGAAAGCAAAAAAAAAAAAAAGTAAATTTTTCATATAAAAGTTTTTTCATTTTGTTTCTTTCGGATAAATTTTATGATGTTTTCTGATATATTATTATATATACAACAAACATAATCACCGGTACCTTAATGTTGTTTTGTCTCTTTTTCCCAAGTTAATGAATTGTCATAAAATTAGCATAATATAGTGCATTTTTAACGGAGTATTAATCAAAAATATATTGAAACAAAATATCATAATCATTTAAAATATTAATTTACATATATATATATATATATATATATATATATATATACGCGTTTTAAGTATGCCACGGATTTTGGACTAAATTGATATTGTTGAATAAAAATAGCATTTTGAATAATGAACATCTGGTGTTGTAAAAATTTATCCCGTACTGTGTGCCTAAGTAAAGTAATTTATTATTTTTAATTTTAAACTTTAAATTGCTTTTTAAGTACAAATTTTTTAAGAAACTAAAATTTTATTTTAGGTTTTTTTTTTTTTAAAAAAAAAGAAAAAAAACGAAAATTGAAAATTAAATTAGGTAATATATTTGTTTTAATCTCAAATCCAAAGTAATTTATATCTCTTATTTAATCAATGCTCTTTTTCTATTTTGTATTTTATGGAACATGGAAGTACCTCTATTTCATACATTTACATATAGACAGTTAGTTTGTACTTGAATTAGGGGAAATTATCATGTTCTCTACCTTTTGATTATAAATAGACAAGTATGTTATAAATAAAACATACTGATATATACATAATTAATATAATTTGAAATAATTTCTCATGGTGGCCAATAACCTCTCTTCCATCTTTCGCATCTAAACTATATCGATAGATTTAGCCTATTTAGATAAAATATCTTGGATAAATATCGTAAAATACTTCTTTTTTCACTTATTTCTTTGTTTCTTTTTTTTATTTTTATAACCTTTGCAAAGTTGGCTACATTTATCGAAGATTAATTCAATTATGCACTTATTCAGTTCAATCTCTCACTTTCTCATTACCTTTCTTATCTTTTTATCTCTATATATATACAATAATTATCATTTTTACGTTCATTCATAATGGTTTATCTAAAGGAAATAAAAAGTGTTGGAGTTATAGGACTACATTTAGAAATTTTGCAAAAAGATAAAATTAATTATAGCTTGAGCTCTTCATTTTTAGTTTTTGAACCGTAATAGATGATAAAAAAAACAATTTATCTTTTTACTAATAGCACATTTATCAATAAGAAATTTCCAAAATAGTTAGAATACTTTCTTAAAAAGTCTTCTATAATAGGACTAATTACTTCAAGGTCAAAGGAATTTGTTGTAAGAGTATAAGCCGTATTTAGAATGTAGACAGTGCACAGTATACATTGTTAATAGTGCATATGATGTAAACTATTTATAGATTAGAAACAATTCTTTTTACAAGCCAAGAAATATATGGATATTGAGTATTTTATATATTTTTGGATGTGTCTAGATTAGAGAAGAGAGATATGCCCCATACTATATTAATACCTATAATAAATATTAATTAAAGATAAAAAGACGTTTAATTAGAGAAAATGAATAATGAGAAATATAAATTAGCATATATCCAAGTACAACATAATTAACAACTGAAATAAATTTCTGTTATTTTAATCTTTTTTTCCTTCTCTCTCTCTCTCTCTCTCTCTCTCTCTCTCTCTGTCTTTAAGTGTTTCACTTTTAAAGTTTTTGTTTTTTTTTCTCTTCATTTTCATTCACTCTTCGCTTCTAATACGATAAGGTCTATGGCCTTTTCAATAAGATATATAACTTTCTACTTATATACGTTTTTATAGAAATTATAATTATAGACTGGCCTTCGTTTTTAACACTCCTCTATGATAAGCAACGCCCACCTGTGCTAACAGGTGCAAAACAGAGGATATCCCTTCCCTAACAGCCACAGAATAGATATAGTTTCTACCCTAAAAGCCACAGAAGCTGTGATTTATTCACTGTATCTATATTTGTAGTCATATAAATAAAGAACTTTTGTGTATTTTATAGTATATACTATATATATAAAATTTTAATATTTACAATCTTTTGGATAAGTTTCCGGTTATAAAGTGTTCGATGACTTTCAACTTTTAACAAATTTAATTTAGACACTAAAGAGATTAAGACATTACTCTGGCGCTAATTTAATTCCCTTACCAGTTCCATTTTCTCTTTTTATTTTTAAATGACAAACAAACAAGCAAACAAGGAAAATGAAACGATACTATCATTCTAAATCTAAGGAATGTTAATATAATGAAAATTAAAAACAACTAGTGAAGAATGGAAAATAAAATAAGATGACATTGATCTGTAAGAGATCTGGCAAAGGAACAGCGAATATTTAGAATTTTTGTCAGAGCCGTGAAGGAATGTAGGAATAGATAAGGATCATAAACATTATCTGTAATAAAAGTGTGAATGGGCTTTTAAATGAAGTGTACGCTCTATACTGCCATATATGTAGAAAGAGAGTGCGAGGTAGAGAGAGAGAGAGAGAGAGAGAGAGAGAGAGAGAGAGAAAAGAGGAAAATTTAGGACTTGTTTTCGTAATGATGCAATATAACTATTATACGTATAGCATACTGTACAAGTAAAAAACAAACAGAATAAGGAATTAGAGTGATTATTATCTACCACAAATATGAAAAAATTATGCAATCCAACTACGTATTATTGAAGGTATTACCTAGCTATAAAGTATAGATTCATGTACTATACATTAGTATATAGTATATGAGATAGATAGAGAGAGATAGAGAGAGAGAGAGAGATTCAGAAAGAGTGACAGATTTTTCATATCTCCACAAATCGAAAAGTTTGTCACTTGAAAGAACAAACAAACAAACATACAAACAAACTTTGTTATTTGAAAAGATAATTACATTATAGCTATTAAATACTATATGTTTTTTGTTGTTGTCCCAAAATAACCAACTGGCATTTAATTTTCTCATTCTGAAAGATAACTTTTGGAACTATTATCCTTGAAAGATCAACTTTTAATGTATATTATGTATATAATGTTTAATGTACTATAAATTAGTATTATCTGTTAAATTTATACAATGAAGAGGAACTTTCCACGAAAAAATATCGATTAAAAAGAACAATAGAGATAAGGATATATAGGTTTAATGAAACGAATAAAATAGAATTATAAACTACATTTCTTATTGTTAAAAATCCAAAAATTGGAGAAATATCTCAAATCTATGTGTTATTTCTTTGTTTAAACTTGTTTTCTTTTATCCTTTTTTTTATTCAAAATACTTTAACAGTTTAGTTGAGATTCGCTAAAAAAAACCCACAATATTTAAACAATTGCGGAGGCGTACAATTTGTCTTCTCTGCCTGTTTTGTTTTACTTTTTACGAGAGTTTTTCATTTATCAATACATTCCAATATATAGTACATATATAAATTTATATATATATATTAGATTAGATATGATAACACTCTATCTTTGATTTTATCATCTTTTTTAAAAAAGAATTGGTTATAGAAGGGAGTGTTTAATTCTATTCTCAATAGGATGAAAAACTGGGCAGGAAGGTGCGGCGAGAAGGGAGAGGAGAGCGTTAGTAATAAATTTCTAACAATTTCGAGTACATTAGTATTATGTGATATTATTATAATTAAATGTAAGTAATTATGATAAAAATACAACTCTATTGTCTACACGTTTCCTAAATTTAACTACAAAAATACCTAAATATAGACTTCATAAACAAAAATTACCTGATTAATAAACAATAAGCTTAGTACTAGTTTTCCTACGGTAGATGGCGTTTCAATATGGCAAGTTGAATTTACGATGTAAAGTTTGTCTTTAAAGAATAGATACGCCCTCTATCGGACGGAAGTGTATATAATTAAAAGTAAAGTAAGAGATTGAACACGAAATGTGTATATAATTACGATATAACCTATTGATTCTAAGTAAATATGGCTAGAAATTATAATAATATTATAATTATTATAATTTCATTTATTAAATAATTTATTAATAACTAAAATGAATGATTATCTCTTGTATATCCATATTTTATACAATATAAAATTAACATATTATGAATAATTTCAATCTTAGTATTCTTTAAATAGAGAGGAAATTATAGAAAATTTTAATATTTTTAAGAACTTTATTTATTTGTTTTTTTTTATTTATTAGGTCAAAAATTGAGAATTCTCTCCCCAATAAAATTGAAAATATTATAAACATATATTATATTCTTTATAGAATGTGATTTGTGTGTTTCTTTTTAATTTTTTTAAGACGCCTATTCAAAAACGGAATAATTTAACATGACAACATCAAATGTGAAATTTTTGTGTCTATGGCTTTCTACTTCGGCCCAGAACCCTCTTTCTCGGTCTGAAGTGGTCGAAGAAGAATTTTCTTTTTAAGTCCCAAACATTATCTTCCGGTACCCTTCTCCTAACTTCCTTTAGCTGCGATTCTAATCCGAATGGATCCAGACCAAGTTGTTCATACAAATCTATAATTGAAAGAGAGAGAGGGAGAGAAGAAGAAGAAGAAGAAAACTGATGAATATAGCTCGTTTCAAAATTGTTAATAATAGTCTTAAGAAAGATTGTCTTACTTAATGAGTTTAGAAGTGTTATTCTAAGCCTATTCAAGTAGAAAGTAAATAATATTACAAAAAACAGGGACGTCAAGTATTTTTATTTATACAGTTTATTAGTTTTTATTGACATCTTACAAAAAAATCGACTCTAACAAGTCCTTTTTATCAATCGAATACAAGGTATCAAATGCAAATTTACCAATGATACAATTCAATAATAATGATAATTGACCATAAAAACTGTTAGGTTTTCCATTAAACAACCTACATGAAAGAGATATAACTTTTTCTCTTTCACTCTCTCTTCCACCCTTTAGTTCTCTTCAGTTCCCCTTTATTAATGAATATTAACAAGCTAATTAACAAGGTAGCAAATATATATTTGAATGGTGATAAATAAATATATATATATTTATAAAAACGACTTAAAAGGGATATTTAATAATTGACAAATTCCTATACAATGTAAAAATAAGAGAGGATCATAACTATACATTCCACTTTATTATATCTTATTCATGATTCTAACACACCTCGCAAAATAAAAACAATTTGTTTGTCACTTTTTTAGACTTTATTATGAGATTAATAAATATTTAATACGAAATATACACTTAGTTAATTTTCACGTTTGTTTAATAGTTTTCAATAATAAACTAAAATTTTTAATAATAAACTAAAAGTTTGTCAATTTCCCATAGAAAATTTTATTAAATAAAACATTTTTGTTGTTTGTCAAAAAGAGAAGATTTAAAAAAAGAAAAAATGACCTAAATTATAACCCTTATAATTCATTAATAGTTAAAGATATGCTGTTCGAATTACTTGAAATCTTACCTTGACAATTTGAGACCCATAACTGTAAAGAAATGGAGAAAAGCAGTAAAAGAGCGCAAAGTTTACAATTCGACGCCATTCGACGCGCGTTCAAGCTTAATAATGCGCGGTTTACGAATAGCGCCTCTTTTTTATATAGGAAATTATTATGGAGGCGTTGTTTGTGTAAAAGATGTATACTTGTACATGCGTCAATGCAGATTAATAACGGGCGTTACATTATTCAATGAACTCGTATCGGGTTCATTTATACTATATTCAATTTCTACATTTCATGATGTATTTATCACGAAATTAAGCGGATTTAATTACTCAATTTAATACTAAAATTAGTTACACAAGAGGAAAAAATTGATATTCACATGAAATTTAAACTTTTTTCCTTATTTAAATATCGTAAATTTCAACTTTTTCCAATAGCTAATAAATGAAAGTAAAGAAGGATTATAAAGGGAAAAAGCGTATCTTTTCTACAGGAAGTAAAATAATTCCAATTTTTTTGTCTATTCAATAGTCTTTTTAGTTTGAAAGTAGACGCTTCTATTTAATTTCTAATCAATTACAGTCTAATTAATAATTTCTAGAATTATGCATAAACGTGTCTAAATTCGATAATACCTTTTATACATCATTTCGTGTAAAAGAAGTTATAAATAGAATACAATTTCATCTCGATCTAGCTAAAGTAAAAATTAACGTATTAACAGTAGTTACATTGAAAATGGAGAAAGAAAGAAAGAAACGTAGACAAACTTTTGCAATTTTTGTTTGTATTTCAATAAATAGATACTGTATAGAGAAGAATAATGGAATCTAATTATAAATATTTCTCTTGTAGCAGATAGTATTAAAAGAATTTCTTCAATTTTCTTCTTCAATACTTGATATTGTTTTGCTAAGAATTAAAATTCGTAGAATATTTTTGTATTTATATTTCATAAAGACAATTGAGTAATTTCCGTTTTTTTCTCTAGGATATTATTAAGCAGTTGCAGCCCTTTGCAATTTCCCTTAATATAACGTCTCTATATATGTATGTATTAGTATGTATAAATGTATAATTGTATACATATATTTGTATGGGGGTGTCTATGTACACATATCTATCTGTATGTTCACTTTCTTTTTTTATCTTATTCTCTCTCTCTCTCTCTCTCTCTCTCAACTTTTTACTCTTCCTTTTCCTCCACCCACACATTTCTTTCAAAATATATGAACTTATACTTAAACATTAATACTTTTCTCATTTAGAATCATCTGTAAAATTCTCTTATTAAAGAGTTGTGTACATCTTAAGAGTCTGTGTCTTTTTTTAATAATTATTAATAGAATATTTTTACAAGTTATCCAATATCTCTTATAAATTTTAAAAACAAAGAAAAATAAACGTGCTCACTATCTTTAGCATGAAATTCAAGTTTTTAATTTTATCATTATTCAAAGGTTCTCAGTCTATTTTAAAGATTACTTTCCTTTTTTGCGTTTTTCTGCTCTTAACGAAATTTAATATTAATATTAATAATAGAACATAATCTTCAAGATTATTCTATCAATTCTCTGTTGGAAAGAGTTTTTTACATCTTAACTGTTTATTTTAGAAACAAATACAAATTCTCCCAATTTGCATGGATAGCGGATAGAAAAACTAAGATAATAAGTCATTAATATCATTATTACTATTATTACGTTAATGGGTAGAGGATAAACTTTTGCAGATAGCTAGAAAACCCCTTAAAGCAGTTATATTCTTGTAACTGGGCCAGGGATTTAAACAACTCTTTACCAGTCAGCATTTTATGCTGAAATTCATCTCTTTTATGATGAAACATTAATTTAAAAGCTTGTATCCTTTTCGCTACTCTTTTATAGAATATGGCTTAATAAACTTTCGCAATCATCCGTAAGAGTTAGAAAGAGTTTGACAGTTTGTTCATACCCATAAAAAATCTATATTAAAAATGAAAGTGCAACAGATGCCAAGATACAATTGTCCTTTGGCATATTCCAAGTATCCCTATATTATTCACTATATATTATTATATAGGAAAAGTAACAAAGGCAAATTAAGGAAAAACGAAGAAGATAAAGATAGGAAATAGAGAGAGAGAGAGAAAATGAAACAGACAAACAGACAGGCAGACAGACAGAGAGGACACGCTCATACTCGAATACACAGACGCATGTATAGCGAGAAGGAAAAGAGAATAAGTAATTAAATGCCTTAATTATTTTCTCTTTTCTTATCTGATATTGAAAATGGAAATATACAAATATTTAAATGAACAGCGATTGAGTTACTATTTCACTAGTTAACCTACTCCTTTACATTTCTAGTCAATCTTTGTCCTCTTATGGAAAACTACAATACCTTACACGAGACTGGTGTGATATAATAGTTTTTATGTACTTAAAAGTTTATTCAGTACTTTGGACTTGATGATGGATAAAGGCGATTTTCTTTAAAAAAAAAATACAGATTATTGAGCATAATTCTTTCACAACGCCATATTATTTCACATAATTAAACGTTAGAATAGAGCCTGCTGGCGTCCTTGGATGAATTGATATCAAATGAGCAAAGAGTTTGATCATATCCTATCGCCGTTAGATGGTGTCGACAATCCGTAAATACTCTATTAAACACAGATGTCGCTCCAGACCATTTAAGTATCAAATCTATAGCAAACTTTTATAAAAGAATATCTATATAAACAAAGTACTTTTAGACAAGGAATATATAAATAATTGCTTAGTTCGAAAGAGCGAACTTTTGAACTGATTTCTCGATAATCTACAGCTAATTAATCAATTCAAAAATCAACAACTAGATAATATAGTCAAAACCGTGTATTGAACACATAGTCTACGTCTCATAAGTGTAAATAGAATTGACAATTAGATCCTACGATTAGTTGGATTATCACCGAAAGTAAAGGTCTTTTGAAGGCGTAAACTTATTGGTTGTTTAAAGTTATTTTTGTTTATTTTGTATATAGGAAAAAGGCAATCCAATGTTTTTTCGGCTCCATTTTCAATTCAACCATAAATACCAATAGCCTACATTATTCATTTAGTAAACATTTATCGAGTCTGAAAACTCAGAAGAAAAAAAAACACCAGACAACAGCAATAGATAACTGATATATGTAATTTGGACTTTCTCCACCAAATAGTCAATTTTTATTGTCAATTTGCTTACCTATCACTGTTTAGAATCACGTGATAAAAATATAACGTCGTTAGGACAAAGCCACGTTCCTTGTTAGCTCTTTCAATCTAGCTTATTGAATAATAGAATCTGTGCAATAAGGTAATTCTATAATATAAAGTACTGTATTTATATCAGTTACATAAAACTTGATAATTAGTATTTTTTTCTAGACTACACAAACCTCGATGTTCGTTTAAAGTGAGCGTCTTTTTTTATGTTATCTAGAAGTATTAGTAGCAATGAACTGGTTATAAATGTGAATTAAGCCTATAATTGACAAAAAAAAGAGTGCAGTAGACAATTCTGGAAAAGAAGAAAGCATCTGGTAGAAAAGGCTAATTAAATACGAAATATAAAAATTAAATTAAGAGGTTTCGTAATTAGAAGGAATTCAAAAGAGGACAACAGATCCTCTTCTCTTTCCAGATGACATAAATTTTATATATAAAAAACTAAAAGCAAACAAACTTCAGTAATAGAAGATTAAAAAGTTCAAATAATTACTAGTTTTAACAGTTTATTTGTAAATAATTAGTAATCTTTAATGAAAATAGTGTTATCAAAGTGAATGATGTTGTAAGCAGATTTTTGTTGTAGAAATGGCACAAATAAAATATTTTAGCCTATTACAAGAATATTTTTTCTCTTTCCAATCGAGCTTTCATGATGATATATATTTTGCGTTTAATGATGGTGGGATTGATAGTGGGCGTACCATATCTCTCCAGAATGTTTCAACGTTCTACAAAAAAACGGATTGTTTTCATTCGTATTGACAAAAAAAAATAATAAAGGAAGTCGGAAAAACTTACTTTGGAATATCATAAAAAGCTTGCCCTAAAGATTTAGTGACGTACGGAACGTTATGCTTTTTGCATAGGGCCTCAACATCCGCCTTGACTTTGTATAAGTTGTGTCTTGGCATTGTTGGAAATAAGCTGGATATAACATAATATTCAATTGAACTGCCACAACGTTTAAAGATTAAAGCGCGTGCGCTCAGTTATACTTACTGATGTTCTATTTGGAAGTTCAAATGACCAGTAAACCAGTCATTAAAGTAACTTTTTTCAATATCGCACGTAGCGTGCAGCTGTTCGTTGACATATGGTATATTATATAATACATGTTACATAATGACGAGGGTAATTGTGTACCTGGAGGGGAAGCCACGCCCTAGATTTATCATCATCAATTTCCATAGGAATATGGTTGGACTGAGTCACCCAAACGAACCAATGACTCTCAATCACTCTATAATAAAGCATTGACAAATTTTTCCTTTACATCTAGTACGTAAAGCATATTATAAAGAAAACTAAATGACTTAGACATTTACCTCATAATGAAATACCACAGCAATAAACTTCCCCAGCTTCCTAGTAGACTTTTATAGAGAGTAGCAATTTTGAAATAGAAAACCAACATGAGTGACAAGTCCTTAAGAAAGAAAAATCAGAATTAATTGTTATTTTAAAAAAATTCTCGTCATTTAAAAATAAGTATAAGATGTATAAAAAATTTTAATATATGAAATAGAATGGGAGATTATAAGGAAATAGGACAAGTTGAGAGAAGATGAAACGAAAAAATCAAGGGGAGAAAATGGGGAGAACTTGTCCTAAGACATAAATTTCGTAGAAGATAACGAGCGCCTGGTTAGAAAGAAAATCTGACTGCTGGATATGATAAAATCAGTAATCAGATCACCTTTCTGCCGAGAGCCGGTCAGCATGACATGTACTAATTATTTATTCTAACATTGTGCTCTTTACTTGCGACATTAACCAAAAATAATTGGACAACCAGAATACAATTAAAAAACTAAAATTTAAAGATATATATATATATAGTAATATATATATATATATACTACTGTATAAATATATAAATATATATATATCTTCACTTTGGGTGTGCATAGTTTGTTTTTGGTTTTTATTTTTTTTGACATGCTGACTCGAAGTTCTTTGGAACAGAAAGGTGCAAATGAAAGAAAATATTAAAATCACAATAAAATTACAATATTAATGGTGAAATAATAAGTGTGGTTTGTTGATAGATTATGGGGGAAAAACTTATCAGATGAGAATAATTATGAAGGGTAACTCACCAGCCAGTGTTTACGTTGGATAACATGACGAAATATCATAATTTGAAAGTAGATAGGAAACAGCAGTGGTGGGCCAACTATTTAGGAGAAAACAATTTTTTGTGTTTTCATATTGTAAATAACATACATTGTAACTCAGATTTCTACTTACTTGCAAAGAAATATTTATGTTGCAAATTGTACGGCATAGTATTCTTTTTCTTAGCCATTCTCTTCGGCATAACCTCTCCCAATACAAAAACTTTCTCAAGACGAACATCTGGATCTTTTTCCAACTGTTTTACAAGAAAATAGTATTTAGTAATAATTAACTAAAAGCACAAATTTTCAAAGATAACAAGATATACTTAAAAAAATAGAAACTCTAGGTGAAACTCTCAAAGTACTTACAACGTTTGGCTTAGCGTGATGCTGATAATGTAGATGATTCCACCACGACGGTGCTGCTCCCTAACAATCGAAATACATTACTATAGTTTTATTTCAGTAGTTTGCATTATTTTACCTTTGTTAGAGACATCGTAAATTGGTGAATAAAATGATTCCAATAAGAATTTTTACAGACAGATAAATGTCCAAAATCGTGTTGAGACCACCCAGCCTGTGCTTGAACTGTAGCCAACAGTCTGAAAATGACATCTCGGGTTAGACGTAAAAAGAAATATATATTATTTTTGTATCAAACTTACATGGCTGAAACTAGCCATGGTATCCAACCATTTCCAAAATTGTATAGAATAGCCAAAGCCAAAAGTTCTAATAGTACAATATGGAGAAGACTCAACACGAAAAAGGTTACGCTTGGTTTGAAGTAGCCTTTCTTCTCAGCCTTCTGTCTTAAAAGTTCAAAATCTTCTTTCATTGCTTTATACTTCTCCGGTGAGGATTCATCTGGCGAATATTGAAACTCTTTCTCGTTCACTTTACCAATTTGGATACTTTTTAAAAATTTTCCAACAAAATTTTTATCGGGATGAAAAGCTGTGAAGGCTTCCTAAAACGAAGTGAAAATGTGTGTAAGAGGCGAATTTATAAGAAAGTCGTAAATGGTGCCCTTTCCCCCTCTGTATATCCATAATTAACTTCCTCTTGGAAGATTAAAGGTGAAGTTCGAGTTCAAAGATATTACCACAAGGTAGACAAGAATATAGAATATATACATATACTTTGAACTGTACTTTGGGATTTGAGTATTCTTATCATGTGATAAAAATTACATAACTTTTTGTCTTATACTAATATATCCTTATATACAAAAACTGAGAGATATTGCTATACTAAAGAAAAAAAAGATGTGTCCTAACCGTTGCATCTTGTCCAGCATAATGGCTAATTACTTTGGAACCACCGGGATGTCTCTTACTCCATTGAGTAATATCATAAACATTGTTATTAATAACTAGCCACCTGTTTAAGAAAGAGATTTAAAAATTAGGTTATTATATAAAAAATATGCATTTTAATAGATTTACTTGTCGTCTCTGGTTGTATGCTTCTTAACTTCTTCCCAAGCGATTTTTGCTTCGGGATCACGCTTTATATCTTTACCTCCTTTACCCATAGTCTAATTACGAATGTAGAAATGATAATAGAATAAAAAGAGAATCGTACAAGCGTAAGCAAAGACCTACAATAAAAGCCGGAACGTTTAACCTCTATCGGCTGCTAGCTTCTAAGTATAAATTTTATGAAGTTATATACTGTATAAATTTATTCATTCGTATATATAATAAAGAATCACTTATTTCTATATATACAGCATCTATATGTTGAAAAAGTCAACTATTTACGTCTGAATATATATTCAAATTATTCATAAACTTAAATGGCGGATATTTTAAGATTTAGGTAAAGTTCAGAAAGTGTGTACGTCTTACTGATATAAAATATATAAGACACAAAAAATAAAGTGGCAATTAAGGGCCCAAAGAAAAAGTAATAGAATCAAAGAAAGGACGTTCAACGTCACTTTATGTGAAAAGCCTCAGGTATTTTCATATTACAATTCTCTATTTTATGGTTGTCTGATTATATTAATGAACTAACTCCGTGGTAATTCGGTAATCAGACATTGATGAGTTTACCCTTACTTTTTAATCTGGCAACCCTTAGCTAACGTCTTTCATATAAATTAGCTGTTACAAAATAAAAGTATTCGGCTTTCCGCGCTTGCCATGCCATGTATGAAAAGTAACCTTGGCAATATTCAATACGGTAAAGAATTTATGTTATATGAAAACGCACGTACTTCGTTAAAATTGACCGCGCCGATACAAAAATCACTGATAATATTCAACTTACCAATACGAGTCGGTCCGTCTAACTGACGATTATTTCTAGAATGTTAATATGTATTATTAAATTCGTCTTCTGTCCGGCCTCCCTTGACCTTGACCTTTAGAACTGTGAGTGGATATCGCGAGATTTTTATATAGGAATATAGAAGAATATTTCATTAATACCGATTCGGGGCCCAATTCTTGGTAGTCACGCTATATTTTTTGTTAAAAAAAATTGTGAAAATTCGCTTTAAAAATTATTCTTAATTCATTGAAGAGCACTTAAACATTTTTGTAACGAAAATTCTTAGATTCTTGCGAATTTTCGTACTTAAAATCAATGCCTACACCCCTACAAAAATATATTGGACTCGTTTTTCACGCGCAAAATGGCGTCTATGTAAATTTTTAAAACGCGGGTAAAAATATGGTAAGAATTTTCATCTTATTTCTTAGATAATAAGCAAAATTATATAATATAGAAGATATAAGCTTAATTAGTTCACTCCGTATTCTCGATTGCTGGAAATCGATGGCTAAAACTGAATTTTCAAGTCTATGCCTAAGCTATGGCCTATACAGGCCATATAATTAAAGTTTTCAGGTGATAAAATAGCCTATTACGAGCCAATATTTTTATATGTATATTACTTATGTGTAGTCTATGACTTCTTTTAGTCGGTCAAAGTTGAAATAAAATTTTAATAAAAAAAATCGTTATATGTGACGTCATGTGATGTTACTATAGTAACCAAATCGATATCAGCAGGTGACTATGAAGCGTCGAGCAAGCCAGAGTGACGACGACCCAAAAAAAAGTGAAAAGGGTGAAAAACGGGCTAAGAAGAGCGTTTCTTTTAAACATGTTCAAGTATTTTACTTTTCAAGGCAACAAGGTTTCACTTGCGTTCCATCTCAAGGCGGTTCAACTTTGGGCATGGCAAACGAACATCACGACGAAGAGACATTAGACATAGACTCCTGGTGTGAAATGAGGAAAAAAACTCATTTTCATATACTGTTGGAACAAAGTGCAAAAGGGACATTGCCTGCTCATTTACCTACTCCTGTCGAAGGGGAAGATGAAGAGAAAATATTAGATAATTTAGAAGACTACTACTTTCTACAACCCGTTCCAACAAGACAAAGGAGGTAAGCTTATAGAAAGTGCAAAAAAATCTTCCTCCCTTAATAGAATTTGATGATCTAAAAATCAGAAGAAGTCTTAAATTGGACGCCTCAGGCTCTCTATAAAAAAAATGCCAATGTTTATCGAGCTTTTCATTGCTAGAATTCGTAATTAGTCGAATTTTAGTTCAATATTTTTTTCTTTACTCAAAAATCTCAATAGAGGATGCAGAAAAATTAGAATACGCACTCGGGTTAAACCATCAGCTCACATCTGATTGGATAGGTTGGGTCACGTGCTCTGAACTACTTGTTCACCGTACTCCGATTTCCCTACGTTCTATTAAAAGCAACAAAAACGAAACTCAAACATTTTATATATCTTATTTTTAAATATGCCAAATTCTTTAAATTCCTTAAAATCAACCTTACCCAGAGGCGACATATTTCATTAAGAATTTTAAAATATGATACAAATATCCAATTTAGACGTCATTCAAAATTTATTTACACTGTTTATTCAAGTTTTAATAATCTATTAAAGAGTTTTCTCTCTCTTTGTTTCATTTGAAGAATACTCTTACGTGATGCTGGTGTAAAGAAGGTAGACTCAGAGGAAAAAGATGAATGTAAAGATATTCGTGAATCTCGTGAAAGGTGTGGCTGCTCTTGTCCTGGTGGAATTTGTCTACCAGAAACCTGCGAATGCGCATTAGAAGGTAAATAGATGAAAAAGATTTACGGGGAAATATATATATATATATATATTAGTATATATAAAACATAGAGATGAAAGCCTTTTGAGTTCGATTATCCAAAAAATAGTTTGTTTATCTATAAAAAAAATAACAACAAACAACAGAAAAGAATCATATTTCATCTCTGATCCTAAAGTTTTATTGATTTTTAATTATTTAAGAGTCACGAATAATTTTACTCCGTTTGAGGCAAACAATTATTGAAATTGGCTTTTTTTTTTCCCTTTATTGTCTACTTTTAGGTATAAAATGTCAGGTGGATAGACAGACGTTTCCGTGTAACTGTATAGTGGAATCATGCAGCAATCAGCAAGGAAGAATCGAATTTAATCCTCTTCGAGTTCGATCACACTTTATTCATACACTAATGCGATTGGAAATACAAAAAAAATCTACAAACGACTCGGCGCAAACAATCTTCAATTCAAACGAACGGGGTTCGTGTTGCGACTGTCAGAACTTAATGCTCAGTAATGCAATGATGAAGGAGGTGAAAAATCATCAGGATAGCTGGAACAGAGCGATTGTCAATAATCCTCCAGTCGTATCCCAAAATCAGGTTCCATTCAAGCTGGAACCAATATCTGCTCTTCTACCTCCTACTCAATACTGGTCGAGATGTGGTGACAACCAACAAATAGTTGACAATGGAAGAGAATTTACTGAATTGATGCCAGCCAGTACAGAAAATAGCGAAACGTATCCTCCAGATGAGGGAACAGAAGGGGTTGTTGACAGTACTCCTTCGTCAAACTTCGGTGAGATTATTAAAAAGTCAATTGTTGAAACAGTTTCGGCTTAGGGGATTCAAAAGTAATTTCTAGTTCTTCTCTTCAATCTTTTTTTCTTCGATTATTTTTTTTTTTGGAAAAAAAAAGAAAGAAGCTGTATTACGATATATATATACTATACATATGTATATATATATATATATATATATATATATATATAGATACACTGTATAGAGTATATATACAGTATATATATATATATATATATATATATATTTTTGTACTTTTTTTTTGTTCGTTCTTTTTTTGGCGGTTCGCAAAAAAAAAAAGTTCTATTGTGTTCAGCGTGCCATTTTCTTCCGCCAGTTTATCGGTTTTTTCTCCTCCTTGTATCTCCGGAATAGCAAAAGACTTAATTAGACTTTTTTTCAGTCTAGTCCATTAAAAAGAATAAGAAATTAATTTATGTATTTATGTATATTTGTAGATATGTAATACAAAATCGTATAAAAACATCTAATATGCGTTTAACAAGCATATTACATGACTCTAGAAAAAATAATAGAAATAACACATAAATGACGTATTACTAGGGCTAAAATGATTTTATTCTTTATTAGTAAAGAGAAATGGAGTTACATATCAAAAGAGAGAACTTTTCCTTAAACATAATAGGAGAGTTTATCTTCTGCTAAAAAACAAAAAAAGGCAAATTTTTCTGGTTTATTTTATATCCGCTTTTAATCATCACTTAATTTATATTTTTCATGTGTACATATGTGTAGATATATGTCAATTCATTCTTACATATATGTGTACATTAGTATATCAATTTATACAGGTATATATACAATACTTTTTTTTTTTTTTTATTAAATATAGTCTTTTTTTTTGTTCTATATTCTTATTAATTCTTTATTGAAAGAGGACAAAAAAATGGGGGAACATATAGTTTTAATATAAATATTTTTTTGTTTTTTTTAAAAAAATAAAAGAAAACGACAGCGTCGAAAAATATGTTTTCTTTATCCAAAAGTTTCTTTGCTTTATAGACAAAAATAAAGGGGGAAAGAAACTTTTAACGTTTTCCTCAGTTTTTTGTTTGTTTTTGTTTTTCATTCATTATTGCCTTGAGTCTCTTCATAATATACAGTATATACATAAAAATACATAACATTACTTTTGTCTTCTCTCTTTCTTCCTCCCTCCCTCCCTCATACCTTAACTATACTATTATCATTATCATCACTATCATCGTTCTATATAATAATAATTATAATGCATTAACCTTTTTCGAATTTTGAAAGTTATATTTTTATAAAATTGCTAATTAAAAAAAATGGAAAAATATGATTTTTATTGTCATATTCATAAATGTTAAACCCCCCTCCTCCCATTGTTTTTTTTCTCTTTTCTCTCTCTCTCTCTCTCTCTCTCTCCCATAATCTTGTTTCTTTAAAGAGAAAAAAATGTAAAAGTCGCAAAAAATACAAACAAAAACATATAAAACACAAAAAAAAGAATCCCATGATTTACCATTTTTTTTGTGTTGTTTTAAAAAAAAAGACAAACCAAAAAAAAACAAAATATCTGACTTAAAATCAAAAAATGATCAAAAATTTTAAAATGATTTTTGTTTTTAAATGTTTAAGTAGAAAGAAAAAATATATTTGCTGGTCTTCTCTCTATGTAGTGTCTTCGGGTTGTTGTGCTATGTATAGCGTCTATATTATACAGTATAAACATGCATATTATATATATATATGTATGTATCAATTTGAAAAACAAATATTGAAAATAAAGCATTTCAAAGAATACAATTTTTTGCTTAAAAGTTGTTTTTATTTTCTTTTTCTTTTCTTTAATAGTTTATTATTTCATTGCCAGTCTAGCTTTATGTTTTTCGACCGCTTTTTCGACCTGTTCCAATCGGCTTTCTTTACCGGGAATTGTTCCCAATTTTCCCTGCCTGTATTCTTCGTAAGCTTTATTGATTTCCTGCTGATTCGACATGACAAACGGCCCTCGTTTTAGAAACGGCTCACCGATAGGCTTTCCCATGCCAACTATTATGTTCATTTCACTTCTTCCCGTTTTCAATACAATACTTTCACCTTTCTCCTCAAAGAAGATGGAATCGTACAATTTTATCTCTTTCTTTGCAGCAGTTACCAAACCTAAGGAATAAATTAAATTTCAATGAAAGAAAGTTGTACAAACATTCTCAAGCATAATAACGCCATCTATCGGCTCAATTTTTTTTAACAAAAGCCTCATTTACAAAAATAATTGATTGATGTAACAAAATCAGCGTTTTTTAATATGTAGATAATTAAAAAAATAAAAATAAAATCCAATTAAAAGTAACTAAAATTAATGTTATACAGGTGAAATAGTGAACACAAGTTTACCACTAGACACAGTGTAGCTGGAACGTACAATAAGATAATTAAAATTTCAATTTACCCTCTCCTCTCCATACGTAGAGAAAAGCGCAAAATCCTTCTGGAACGGGTAATCTTGCATCCGAAAATGGATTCATTCGAATATCTACAACAGTAACATCGCCGCATTCCAGAGGTCCTTTAAAATTCAATAAACTGCCAACTACTATTCTTAATTGAACGTTTTCCGATAAATTCCGCATTTTAACATCTTTCGCCAAATTATAAGATGGAGGAGCCAGTCTTTTCTGTAGAATAGAACGAAAATTTTGACATCTTACAAATGATTTTGCTAGTTTCAATTTGTTCTTTTTTTTTCTTTTTTTTATTCAGTTTTTATTACTTTATTGTTTGTTTTTTTGTTTTGTTTATCGATTTCTAATGCATTTAAATATAGCCTTATTTTCTTGTTCTTTTTATGATTGTTGTTACTATTTTGACGGCTGACTGAATAGAAAAAAAAAGAGGAAAAAAGCAAGATATCGGGAGCGTCTAACGAATAATTTAAACATTAATCATTTTACTTTTAATGATAAAAGCGACACCTCTTTCTTGTATCCTGAATATACAAATACTCACAAAAGCTGGAACGTTTATCCATAGTTGGAAACCTTCCATTTTACCACCCCTTTTGTAGAAATTGTCGGAAGGCATTTCCGAGTGCACTATGCCACTCCCGGCCGTTATTAATTGAGCATCTCCTGATTTAAGGATGGCTAAATTTTTGCACAAAAAAGAGAACACTGTATAATTAAGCACCATGGTAATTTGCTTGTACTCTTAATAAGAAAATACAAATGATACTTTAAGATGCCTTGATAGACTTAGAGAAGCTAGAATTGTTTGTCAAGGTACAAACCAGTGTTGCCTAAAGAATCCTTATGTTCCACTTCACCTTCTATAACGTACGTGAGCGTAACGAACCCTTTATGCGGATGATCAGGGGCGCCGAATGCCTCTTCCGGTTCAAATCTGTCAGGATCTGTGAAGAAAATATAGTTGAATCTCTCGTTTTTTAAGCGTAGTCAGGAAAGAAATATTCTATTGTTTCTCTTCCTTTAATCTATTTGAAAGGAATACGAAAAATCTCGTATTTTGCTTACCAACATGATCCATCATGATGAATGGATCGATAGGAGAGTTTCCGATCGGTTTTCTAACTCTAAAACCAACGCCTTCAAACTCCTCTTTGGCCTCGTTAATTTTTCTAATATCTCGATCTTGTGGCATGATTCCTCAGGAGTTATTCTTTTTACGGATCAGATATGATTATATTGAATAGGGTGGGAAGAAAAAATATACGTTTCTATACTAGCGGCTACCAACATAACACAAGGTCAAGGCTATTTTTCCTCATCGATTTATTACCATACTACTCTGTCTATCTGTTTATTTTTTTTCTCTCTCTCTCTCTCTCTCTCTTCATTTCGTTATAATGTAACACGATTTGTCTGTTCATATTACTAATCATTGCATTAACGTGCTTAAGCATCTATAAGTTTACGTAAAAATAAGGCAACTTTAAGAGATGTTTCTTAGTAGATATCTTAGACTGTCAGTTACATTTTTACTTACTTGAACTATCGCATAAAGGTGAAAGAATATAAGACAGAGAGAGAGAGAGAGAGAGAGAGAGAGAGAGGAAGAGAGAAAATACCTTCTAAGTTTTCTTTAGTTTACCACGTTCTATTGTTCCGTATGTAAACAAAAGAAATCTTCATACAGTTGGCCATTTGGCTACATCTGCTTATATTTCACGTACTAAAGGTCCATTCCCTAAGTCTAGTACTCAAATTCTACGTAATTTCAGTATACAATATAGTTTAATATTAACTTTCCAAGTGTTTAATCCTTTATTAAGGAGAAGATTTGCAAAGAATATTTGAAAATTATATGTTTTCTTTTGTATTTAATTGGTATTTAAAAGAACACTCTCTATTTCATATCGCAATCTACCTGGAACTTATCAATATAAGATCGAAAGGCCGTATAGTATAGTTTGCTTTTATCCTTATTAACCTCAAACCTATGAGTAGCCTTTTTATGTTGACGTTGATTCTTTATATAATACTGCATTTTCTCAGCAACTTGATCACTCCATTTCATATTTAATTTCTTATATACTTCTTGCATACACTCAATGGGCTTCTCCAATAGAATTTTAAATTTTATATCTACGAATCTTCTTTGGTGGCAGTCTCTGTCTTCTATTCTCTTCCTTAATTTCATATATTCATTTAATTCTTTGATATACAAATTGAAAAATTTTTCGGGGAGGATATCCAATTTTTGTTTACCGTAAACGTACCACGCCTCTCTTAATATTGATATTAGAGATATGGCTGAATTTAATGACTTAACTGGATCTCGGTGTAATGTTATAAATTGGGCGTCGGGGAAAACTTCAAGTAAAGCTTCCATGTTATTTAAGCCTATGTGACTCATTAATAAAGGCCTAGCATCTTGGTAATCTTTTGCGGAGCATTGCAGAGTCTCTTTAACTCTTTTATAGATTTCTACCCATCTCCATTTAGGCAGGCTATGTATATAATTTACATAATCTTCCACCCCGTCCAATGTGGAGTACCAATACTGAACTCCTGTAATGCTTATGTTAAAATGCATATCTTCGGGATCTCTGGCCGTTAAGTTGTGCATGGACCTGATATTCTTCCATCCACAAAGGGCCTGAGAGGAGTCTATCTTCTTTTGGCATTCTTTTACTTTGTTTAAATCTTTCGATGATAAAGGATTAGAAGGAGAGGGACACAACAATTGCTGCATCCAAATCTCAGTAACAAACCAATTTGGATCCTGTCTGAGAAGACAATGAGAAAACGTACTTCCTGTGGAGTAATTGGGCGTCTTAATAAGAATCATAATTTATATACGTTTTTATAAAAACAAGAGTTACCTGTTCTAAATAAAGTCACAATAAATACTGGATTCTTTATCTCGACTTTTTTTATTTCAGGATGTTCATTAACATATCTATCAAACTTGCAACGTCTCTTAATTGCCGCCAATAGATTATTTCGTAACATTAAACGCCCGGTTAGAGACAGCTCACGTATCTTTGGTAATTCTTGGAATATTTTTTGTAAATTTATCATAAAGAAATTATCCTCCCTAATTAATTCTAATTCTTGTTTTGTTAATCTTTTCAAAACATCCTCCAAGTTAGGTTCGTATAATTTCCATCCAAAAATGAAACTAAATACAATGTCAGCATAGTCGACTAGGTATTTTAAGCATCTTATAAAAGCTCTTTGAGTAATATGCATATTAATTGAACTCTCTTTTCCAAAAAAAACAAACCAAAAACAGTGCGTAAAAACTAGAACGTTTCGAGGAAAACTTAACAACGTGGTAACGTTCTAATTCTTGTTCAAACACGTGAAAAGTATGACTTTATCTATTAAATGACCTTTATCACCTTCACAGCTGATACATACTTAAAAATTTTTACACCTTATTATTTGTTCATTGTGTAACACAAAATTAATCTAAATGATATTATAATTGCATAAATTCTTTTTAAATAGACCTTTTCATGCGAACGTACTTGACAATTTCTTATTCATTTAAAAAATGTCTTATGTGAAGTACATTACTGGGTTAGGCCTTATAAATAATTGTTGTCTCTTTTCTATTACAAAAAAGATTTAGTCCACTCTAAATTGACCTTTAATCTTGATATTGACTTGGTTTTTTTTGTTATACAGACCAGTAGTCTAACGAGTAGAGAAACCTAGTTAATCTATCATTAATACTGATCATTTATGTACTGATTTTTCCTTCTATCTTTCCCTTCCCCCTCCCCTCTCTCTCTCTCTTTTTCTCAATACATTTTTTTATTTTCTATCCTTACAAGAAATATGAAAAGAGATAATAAGGATTTTCTATTTTCTCCCTTTTTTGTCTACATTTAAACCTTAAAGAGATTAAATAATAATTAAGGGAATAGACTTTGAACATGAAAAACGTTTTACTTGTATTTAAATAACAAATCGTTAAATCTCTTATATTCTCCCTATTACATGATGCTATGTATAAAAGCCTATAATGATATATTATTCTCACTATATACAACTTGCTATATCCAACTTGAAAGAGTAATAAAAAGCAAAAAGGGAAGGAAAGAGGAGACGGATAGAATAGGGGGCAAAATACGAATTACATATTATGCTGTACTTTGTCAATAAGAGATTGAACGTTTAGAATAATACAACAGCAATCTTATAAAAACAGATAGTGATGTCGACTATTATCTTAATAGAAAAAAAATCAAAATACCTGTAATTACCGTAATACTTTTATCAGCAGAGAAAATTCAGCACAAAGTATATTTTAAGTCAGAGGAAATCTTAACTCAACGACGAGCGTAAAGAGAAAAATGAGCACCGTTACTCAATTTTCCGCCAGAAGGCGTCCAAAGTCCTAAAGTAGTTTACCCTTTTCTCTCTTCGTAATTTCCCGAGGTTGAACGTACTATAATTTTGTTATCCAGAATTCTGAAATGGCATTATGATTCTAAATTTGACAAACCAAACATCTTTTCTCCTTATCGATTAACGAATTTTACCCTATGTGTAACCGGATTCTCGAGTCGAGTTACTAGCTCGATAAGAAAGAACCGAAGAGACTGGAACCTAATCTATTTAGTGCATATGTTTTCTGAAACTTAGCAACCAAAAAAGAAGGTATTAAGAATTTAATGACTCTGATTCATCTCAATAACTCGATCACACAATTTTTTAGTGTAAACAAAATTTGTTTGGAAAGAAGTTTGGACGATTTCAAAATCCAAATGTCACAATTTAAAAGTAAACCCGCTAAAAGCTTGAAGTCCTGCAAATTCTAGACGAGAACGTCTAAATTATCAAAGTTAATGAGGGCCTAGTTAAAACAAAATTGGGCAAATTTACGACTCCTATTTCATGAGTTTTTTTCCTCCTAAGTAAACGTTTTTACGGTATTTATGGATTATTCATTAATAAACGACTAAGTATATAAAATGATGAATTGTTAGGTTTTGACGTTAATTCACTTTATAAAATTATCCGTTTTACACTCTTATGACTCTTGTGATAGATTATAAAATATAAGCTCATCCACTTCCCAAGTAGGTTAGGTCGAGTTGGCCACTTTTTTTCATTTTATAAGAATAGTAAAGCAGAGTGGTTAACCTTCACATTCGGCCAGTAGCTAAGATGTTATATAAACAGCGTACACATTTAATGAAATATATATACATATATACTGTATATATATATATTTACTGTATATACATAAATGGCTTTCGGAAAGGATTTCCGTAATGACACATAGAATATATAAAATTTAGAAAATATAGAAACATACATTTCATATATATATAGATAGATAGATATATAAATTTATATACAGACACAATCAACATACACTTAACATACTGAAAAACCATGTATAATACAATATAATAGACAAGGACAAGACACATATTCATATATACTAATATATATATACATATATATATATAGCATATATTTTTTTATTTATTTATATGTTTTCAAAGTCAATGTAAATAGTACCAAAAGCCGTATCAAAATTAACAATTATCCAAAAACAACAAAAACAATTTACACGGAGACTGACAGGAAAAAACATTTATACATATAGAGTCACCGTCGCTGAAGGGGTAGAACGTCTTCTTCGGTAAAATTACCTAGCTAAGTTCAGAATTTTGTCTACCAGATTTTAAAAAAGGAGCAGGAGGGGGAGAGAAAGGAGGAGGGCGAAATGTTTAAATAGTCGGATCGTCTAGAGTGTTTGGGGAGAAAGCGAAAATCGATATAGAGAGATGTCGAAGCCGGCACCAGGAGGATGGCACAATTTCGATTCCCTTGACAAAAATGCATAGATATTTAGTTGTAATCTTGAATAGATCCGCCACATTGCTCGCACGGAAATCTAGATTTCTCCTTGCGTGGAACGGACCAGCAGTTTTCGCATCGTAACTTGTATTTCTTGAATCTGTTTGACAAACGTTGTATAAATAATTAACATAACGATTCAAAAAAACAATTTGTTAACTTACCTAATACCGCAAGCGTTGCATAATGGTACCGACTCGACATCTCTCCATAAAGGCGTTTTCCTCGACCGACAAGATGCGCATTCCTTCACAAATGATTTTCGATTCAAACGCCTTGATTTCCGCTTTCTCTCTAGATACTCGTACGATCCTACTATTAAACACTTCGCCCCTATAACCTCACTTTGACGTCTTTTTCCAGGTCGCCTGCAACTAAAACATTTAAAGAAATTAAGTAAATCGACTCGTTAAAAAAAGATGAAAATTCAAGTACTCGAATCGTCCCCCTATGCAAAATTCAATTCCAGTTCTGTCCTTTGTTAGATGGTTCTGCATGTAGAAATGAACACCTCGAAAATTTGGATCATTTTTCTCTGGACTCTTAAACGGGTGCTCTTGCTTTCGTCGTCGTACACGAGTAGTATTCGTAGTATTAGTATTAGTAGTAGTAGTAGTATTACTGGTAGTACTAGATGATTCTTCCGGCAGTTCCGAAGCGCTTTCCTCCTTACCTGCTTCATCGGTTAATTTTTGAACATTACCGTTCTCATCGACAGATTCGCCATTTTCTTTTTCTGAATTTTCTGTCAAACTGTTTATTTCGTTAAATAATCTCACCAACATACCACTTTCCTTCTGCTTTGACGTAGAATCTGCATTGTCTGGAGTAATTATGGCTGTAGAAGCAGCTTCGACGCCTTGCTGTGTTTCATTGCCAACCGCTATAGAACTTAACGTTTCCAATCTTTCCGTGTCCGATCCTAAATCTTTAAGAACTTGAGATGCCAAGTGATTTGTTTCTTTCATTTTCGCAAATATAAATCTAAACGTAATGACTGAAACAAGAGAAAAGTGCTAAAAAATTCTTTTGGGCTCTTTGCACCCAATCCGTATGAAATAAAAAAAAAAAGTTTTTTTTTACGTTAACTCAAGAATATTCTGTAAAATCAATAACTTTCTTAATTATGTTATAAAGTTTATGATCTAATCTGAAAATATTCGTTAACAAAAGGTTCTTACGACTACTTTAAGGCAGATTCTATTCGTTTTAGAACAGATTATTAGGGGTATGCTAAATCTATCAGCAAATGGCCGAGATTATACCTGAAAAGTAGTCCGGTTAATACACTGATCGTCGCTGAAGGAGCAAATAAGACTTTTTTCCAATCTAAAAAAAAATATATAACTAAGTTTAAGTAAAAATTATAACTTAATATTTCTCTAATCACCTCAAAACCTTAATGAAGTGGTCAATCGATTACTGCAGATCTCAATCCGGCTCTAGCTTTAATATACCCCAAGTAATTAATATTCATTAGACAAGTTGAATTTTTTAAGCTCAATCTGAGAAGTGTCAACTACATAAAAAATTATGTCTGGTGTTCCTATTTTTGGATGATGACTGGTTTTTTTAATCCTTATTTCTTTGTTTAATTTTAAAACTTTCCTTCAAAACTCTTCAAAAGAAAAACTTTCTTCCAGTCAATTAAGTAAAGTTAACAACGTTCACACACCATCAAATGTTTCCCATGAAATGAGAGTGATATTTTAGCTTCCATAGAGACTTTATCAACGAATCGTCTGATCTTACATAATTCTTTTTAACATTGAGGGCAATTAGACTGTCTAATAGGTTTCTTATCAGCGGAGAGAGTTATGAAATGTAACGGAACTCGATTAGCGGAGTTTACTGATATTTCAGGGCTTTTATAGGATTTATTATCAAAATAACGCTTTCTTCTAGCCAATATGAAATTATTAAAGTGAATTTCTAATTGTAAAAGTGAACAAATGTTGCTTTTGTGCGTCAAATTGTGATATAATATAGCTAATATTCTAATCAAATTTATAAAACAAATGACTCATAATCTACATAAAAAAGTCTCAAATTATGGGTGATACTACTCTACTACAGCTTTCCAAACTACTCACGAGTTGTCAAACTATTTTTTATGTTGCTTGAGCATTTTTTATCTGAATAAGTTGGTTTTTTTTAATTGACCTACTTAGGCGTTAAATTATTTTAAAGTTAAAAATTTATTACTTCATTATGACAAGCTTTCAATAAATGAATTTAATACGAGATTATTATATATAAATAATAGAATATATTAAAATCGTTTGTAAAACCCATACGATGAATCTTTTGAAAATTGAGTTGGTTGTTGATCATACTAGCTATCACTTTCGTCTTTTAGGTGGTTTTTTTTCCGCATTCGGGCGTTATTAAATAATAAAATATACTGCTGTGATACACGCAATAGGATGCGGACATTTATCACCCAAAACAACCACTTTTGTTAGTTATTAGAAAGGTTTTTGATATTACTTTTAAATTATTTGAAATAATCATTAAAAGCTACATTTTAACTAGTTTTTTTCTTGCCTAATATATTCATAAATTTATTTATAACCAAATTACCGACTTATAAATAATTCTATTATAATATTCAATAAGAATTATTATAATAAAATTATTCTCACTAGATGACGCTACTGTGGAAAATATAATAATAATAAGTTAAATAATTGTATGATCTTATTACGAATAGGATAACTTCATTTAAGATAAATAATTTAATTACTTTTCCATTTAAAATTTGATATAAAAATTGCGTAATTTTCGTCAAAATGATTGATAACATAATAATAATAATAACAATAATTAATTTGAATAAGAAAGAAAATAATTGTCTCTCAGTCTTGAATATTCTTTGGAAAAAGTATCTTTTGAGTTCAAGAAATGTTACGTAAAGTGACTAATGTTTACGTTTTATTGTTGTTGAGTACTTGGAAGGAGAAATAGAAGTGCACTTGATAAAAGCGTTTTGAGACGCTTAACGAGCTTTGTATACGTAAAATTACGTAATTATCATCCCTTGAATCTATTCAGGGCAGGCGCTAACTTGACTCTCGGTAAGATTACTTTCAAGGTAAGCAAATTAACACTGAGTCTTTCAATACAGGGAGCGACGGGTAGTAGATAAGGCCAAAACACTTAGTAATTGTTCAAGGAATTACAGAAATCTTTAATGATGGCTACTTTTCTTTGATTTCTTCCTTTTCTTTGTCTCTCTCTCTCTCTCTCTCACTCTGTCTTTTTCTTTCTTTAAATCTATTGAAATTATTCTTTACAATTTCAAGCTGTTATAAAATATGATTGAACGATTAAAGACTTCACTCACAATAGTTTCCAACATTGTCTCCATGTCGCATGGCGCCATCTATAGTTTTTATTAACGTACTTGTGAAAGTAGATATTTCTTATTTTCAACAACTATAACTTGAATCTTCATACTTCAAAGAAATGTATTGAATAGACAAAAAACTTCTAATGATTGTAAGAAGATGTCTGATTGAATAACCTTCAACTAAATGAAAGTTATCAATGAACAAGTTTATTGCACTTGTTCATGAATTGGATAAAAACTTTTACTATTATAAATCTTATTACTTTTTTTTTTAAAGAAAAAATCTATTTGGTTTCTAATAAGAACTATTAAGCATTTATAGACTATGTTTGTTATAGCAGTATTGAATGGCGATTTGGGAAATATATGGAAACTAATTATAACTTTATCCGGTACTTGACAAGGGAAGGTTATACTGTTGGAAGTCGAAAAGAAGGGCTTGATTTTTAAGTAGTTTTATAATATTTTCGGGCTGGGTATTTCTCTTTTGATGTTAGCTTTTTAAGCCGAGAATAAACGAAGAGGAAAAATGTCGAGTGTCTAACCAAAAAACGTATTTCATCGTTAAACAAACTATGAAATGATTGAATAAAACTCGTCCATTTCCCAATCAAATTGACGCCTTTATTACGTATTTTTACAGGCGTGTTTTATGGCCACTGAAAATGTCGAACGGAAATGTAAAATCCCTTACTACCCTTCTTATAGACACGATTGTTTCTATCTCTCTAATAGTGCTTATTTAGAATAAATGAACTGTTTAGAAGGGAGTATGATTTAGCGAGAGTTGGGTATATTGAGATCTTTATCATTTTATCTTTATAAAATTGAAAAAAAAGGGCGGGAATATAGGCTCATGAACGTATAGAAGTACAACTATATATTATTTATTCTGAATGGAATAGTCATGTAGGGCTAATTAAAATTCAATCCCAACGAGGGTAAAGACAGCCTATAAAAAGATTGAAAAGTTAATAGAACGATCGGCGGAATGTCAGATTTAATGACAGCTACCCAGTAGGAGTATATAGTAGGCCTACTGAGAGAAAGTTGACACGGAACCTCCCCTATTGTTGTCTATGGGTCTATCTGGCGCAATTTAGCAAATTGTCAGCGCTCAAAATCGGACAAAGGGTCGCGAGCGTATTCAATACAAGAGATGACCACCGCCTGCAGGGACGCGCGTGCACCATCTTCAATCATCTGCTTCAATTTTCCCTTTTTCTTCGTCTATCTCCTTTTCAGTCCTTATAGGGCTCTTGCATTGACAAAATACAGTATTCTTTATGAATTATAACTCTTTGAACTTTTGACAAGGTTTTTTTTACTTTTAAGTCGATAAACACCAACTTAAACTTACAAAATCAACTAATGAACCTCATTTTTTTTCTTTATTCTGTTAGTCGAGTGTCTCTTTTTTCTGCTGTTGCGTGATGGGAGCCATTATTTCCGCCTCCCGTTGCTCTTATCTACTCGTGAATTTTACGCTCGCCGACAAAGCGTTTTTCCGACGACCTCGAAAATTGACCTTTTTTCCGACTTGCTATTATGCAGCTATTTTGGTGGTCACATGTTTTCTCCAGCATTTATATTTTTCAGTTGGGAATTGTATGAATGAAAAAGGAGTAGATTAATTTCCCGCCTATAATAGGACCTAGTCGCCCATGTATGAAAAATGATAGTAGAAATACGAAATAAAAGAGTCTTTCAACCATCTTCTCTCACACCTTCACCCTCTACTCAACCCGTCTACTCAAAATCATAAATATATTCAAAAATTAGTAACCTTGACATTGACCTATGAAACTTTTCTTAGCACGTTTAAATCACCATGGAGCTGGGTGTCATTAATCTGCCAACTGTAACTAATCATAGTGAATTTTTTCCCTTTTTACTCCTCCCTTTTCTCACTTTTAAAAAAGGGAATTTTCTTTTTTGCCTTTTCTATTCTACACCTATAAAAAAATTGGCGCGTGTCATTTGAAACGCAACTATAGACTTTAGACGCCGCCAAAGTCGCCGTAATTTAATGCTTTTTCACGTCACGCTCAGCGGGGAGACGCCACTCGACAATGATGTAAGCCTATAATGCGTCTGGATCAAAGGAAATAGCGCACTATATGAAAAAATTTCAACTACCGGTCCAAAAGTAAACTTTGTCGCGAGCCGTTACGCAATTAACCTTTTCCAATTAGACTAATTTTTCAGGGCGGGAGCGCGCGCTGACTTCAAAGTAAGAACCCGTCACCTGGTGACGGCGCGGCTTCAAAGCGTCTCTTTTGTCTGGTTCGAGTATCTGAGAAGCGTCCTTATTCATTTTTTACCGTGATGAACGAGAGCTTTATGGGTACGCGTCCTTTTTTTATAAGCCTATTAAAGAAAATTGAACGAGTTGTGTTTTTTATTTATTACCTGGGACGGAAAATTGAATTCAGGAAGAAAGATTGCTCAATAGGCCCAGCTTTTAGAGAAGAACAAATTAGTCCATTAATACATTTTATCAGTGAAAGAGGTTGTGAAAAGAAGCGTGTCGGATAGAAGAGAATCGCTTAATTGAAGATATTTAAGTAGATAAAGTTGGAGCTGAAATCGTTAATGTCTATTAAACGACAGACTACCTAGAGAGTATAACAAATTAACGATGGTAATATAGAGAAATTACGACCATTTGATAGGAATATACTGTATATATATATATATATATATATATATTTATAGAAATAGTATATTATTCAATTCTACCTCCATCTAATATCTCTCTACTCTTTACCCTTAAAACCACTTATTCATTCCCGCATATACATTCATAAATACATGGTGCTATTCTTATAAAAATGAGAAAAACTACGAAAAAAGATGATTTATTACTTCGACTTTTACCTTCTACAATAATATAATAGGAAAATTCAACGACGCGTGTATTTTATATTTATATGTATTTTAATACAGGGCCTATTTCCTGTGAAATGGAATACGATTGATATAGGCCTATAGTCAAAGCCTCCGTTCGCGCGTCAAGCACGTGCTCTAACCTTTAGGCCTCGGCGTCTACTTGACGCGTATTGAATTCCATTAATCATTCCATTTCCGTTCTATACATTTGAATTTTGTTTAATTTGAGAAATAATATACACTGTATAACGTTCTTCTAGGCGCTTTCAATGCATTTAGAAAAGCAATATGGGTAATAGAGAAATCGAATTCTTTTCAATCTCTTTTCTTTCTTTTTTTCTTCAAACGTCTATCCATCTACTTTCTGTCCATCTAGCTGTCTGTATTTCCCTCCCTCTTTCTGTCTCTGCGGTTCTTTAGCATTAAGCTTTAGGTAGATGCACATCTGTCGAGTTTCAACTCGGTTTGAACCTCTACTTTTTAGACAGAAGCTATTCAATGGGAAACAACATAGTCCTTAGTAATTTTTTTCTAGCCTTTTACTCCTAACAATCAACCTTAATTAACCTCTACCTTCGTTATCTAACGACCTCATGCAAGCTTGAATGACGTGAAAAAATGAGATCATAAGAGATGCTACGAATTCCGCCAACACCTTTGATTAAACTTTTTCCCCGTTTTTCAATAATAAAGTGGATAATTGCTTAAGTGCGTTTGCTATAATTACCTTACATTTGTAATATAAAGTCATATATCGCATTCAAAGAGCGAACGGGAAGACAATAAAAAATTGGTCGCGTGTCATATCGAAGCATAAATTGATCCTTTCTTTATTAACTTTAAATCGGCTTTAGGGGAACTAGAGTTTTCAAAATTATAATTCACTTCCGTCTTTTTCTAAGCCACTCTAAACGGCGACAGATGCGAAACTGTTTTTTTCCCCCTTCCGTTCCCTCTCAATTTTTCTCTCTTCTCTCTTTAACTAAAAAAACGTTTATAACGGTCAAAAAAAATTGGACATTTTTCATTCACGGTACATCCGACGTATTTTTTGCATAAATTTGCAAATAATTAAGGATGGTCTGTACACTTCTTTCAAATCTTAATATAACTCTGTTGTATATTTTAAGGGAGTGCTTTCTCTTCTTTCTACTTTATTTTTTTGTTAAATTCGGGGAAAATCCTTTCCTTAAGCTATGTAAATAAGATATATATTTTGATAATAGAGGGAAGAATACGTTAATTAGTCTTGCGGAAGAAGTGAGTAAATGGACGGGAAAACGTGTTTGAACAAAAAAAATATAACAAAAAAAGGAGAAGAGTGAATCAGGCGGCTGAACACCTGCCCTGCGACACGCGTATAACGTAAATAGATTTAATAGTGATTTTTAACGGATGAAAAGCGTCTAAGAAGATAATTAGAAGATATAAGGAGAATTATGTCTTAATCCTTTTGCCACAGTCCGCGCAGCGGCCTTAACTATTCGTTACGAACCTTAGCTGTCTCTGGGGAGTTTTAGCGTATTTTGTTTTAATGTATCGAATAGATTATTTGTCACGTGACTCTATATTATTTGATCTCCGTTTAACCCTCCAAGTAGTTTGAACGTAGGAAAAGTTTTCGCTCCTATGGTCTTTAACAAAGAGCTTATATTTGCAATATTACGTAATGCTCAGATCGTTGAATTGATAATATTTCTATAGTTTCCTTATAATTTCTTCAGCTTTTCTCTTTTTTGCCTTTGGTCACTTAACCTCTATTTTGTTACCGGGCCGCCTCTGACAGATAGTTACAAAAGGTTTTAGAATTTATGTATATTTCTTTCCTTATATTATAACCCCCTGTCTTTCTTCGCGTCCACTTCCGTTTAGTAATAATAGATGTAAGGTCCGGTAGTTTTTGAAAGGAAAAACCGGACCGTTATTAATCAACCTGACTTTCTTAAACTTTTCTTCTCATTCGGAATGAATGCGTAAAAGAATAAAAGTGTAAAAGTATGTAAATTAGCAAGGGTCCATAAATGTAACGTAACTTTACGTTAAGAGAAAATGGGTTGGTTGTCAAGATCACAACGTCCGTTACACAATTCAACGACGTGGGTCATTTTCTCCTGTCCATCCGAATTGAGTCTAATGGATGGAGAGAATGGGTTTGAAAATTGTAAAAGGTTAATCGTATTCAACTCTTTCGTTTCCCTTTTTTTCTATATTTCCTAAGATGTCATGCCACTTTTTATTTTATTAACCTTCCTTTCTTGTCCATCTTATTTTGACCCCTATTTTCTAAAATGAATTTTAAAATAACTATTACCAAGGGAGAAGAAGGTAGTCCAAACCCTCAATCTGGTGGCATTCGGACAGCCGATTATCTTAATCTCCGTTGATAATCTAAAGATAGTCTGCCAATCTACTTTCCCTATTTCTACCTCCTTCGGTGACTTTTTAATATATATGCATATGTATGCATAATACTAGTCTTACAAAGGGCTGCCGAATTTCAATGTTAGATTGAGAGAAACCCGAAACAAATCGTTCAACATGCGAGCGCACGAGTCGGCGGGCGAGATGAAAGGGAAAAAATTCATGCGACACAAATCGACCAGCGACTCTGGTGCTGTATGGTTGAACAAGTGTTGACTGAGCTCTTAAACAGCTTATGCATTCAAAAGTTTTCTCTCGTTTTCCGTTCTATCAATCTAGATGCGTAAAGTCAAACTGAAAAAAGTGAGAGATAGAGAGGAAGAAAAGAAGGAATATTTTCCTTTTGCATAATTATTAATTCAATTTAAGCCCAATTTTAATTTGACCTTAATCTACTTTCCCTTCAATTCAATATTTTGTACCGTTCAATCAAGTTTGAACAGTTACGAATCTTTCTATCTGACACTCCCTCCGGCAATGTTCAAATTCGGAGATAACGTTACAACTGTCGCGTGTCCGATTCTCTTTTTTTATTCAAGATGTCGCTATTTTATTTTAATACTCTCGCATAGGCTGAAAAAAAAGCCCATTTACTTCACGAAATAGGGTAATTTCTTTTTTAAAGAGAGAAGGATATGAATATATAATTTATGTATGAGGTTTTGGAAATAGTACTTTTTTTTATATTTTTACTGTTTGACAAATGGCGGTTGACGTAAGATTTCCTGGCCGAAGCAATTAATTTGCATATGCAAATCGTCGTTGTTAAATCGACCGTAAAAAAGCGCGCGAGTGGAATTCTGCATGATTTCCCTTTAAAACATGAACCAGTCATTTCTTATTTTCTCCATATCGTTGCCAAAGATTTATTATTATATACTGATTTTGTCAAGTTTTTTTTTATCCTCTCTAATAGAAGGTTATTTAAAAATTAAAGAAAGAAAATCCTCTTCCATTCAAGAAGAAAGGAGATGCATTCATTTTCCTTTCAAAAAAGATGATTCGAAGAAGTGAGATCTCTGTTGGATAGGTGTGGAGAGAAAGATGAGAAATAAAGGAAAACTATCAAGTTTTACGACTTGTCAAGTTATTTTTAGAAGACAAAAAATGAAGTGTTAACGACTTGCTAGAAATTAACGCCGCCAGCCTAATTCTCATTCGGACAAAGAAATAACGGTTTTATTACTTTTTCTTTCATTGCTTATTTTTATTGTATCACAATGATAACAGTAGTAATCAGTAGAATATAAACAAACAAACAAACAAACAAAAATTAAAGAACAATCAACGCTATTAGTAATAAAGAGAAGAGATTTTTTTTTTTGAAGAAGAGTATGCCTTTCTTAATAGCGTTGAACAGGAGAAAAAAAGAGCTGGATAAAGAATAGACAATCATTTTTTGTTATATATATATATATATATATATGTACAGAATATAGATTCTTTTAGTCTCTTTTTTTGTGAATTTGGAAGGCCAAGATATGTAGAGAAGGACGTTTGCTTTTTCTTTTCTATTTTTGCAGTTTTTTTTTAGGAGAAACACTGATAACTGCAAGAGTTATTTGGAGGGAGGGCTGCATTTTGTTGCCAACCGCAATTCGTCCATTCATTCGATAGAGGTGTTTGAGCGGGAAGGAAGGAGGGCGTATTGTGCGGCGAAGGAAATCCGTCGTTAATGGGCGAGCATGAGGAAGAGGAGGATGTAGATCTTGCATTCATATTCATTGGACCATGCAAAGCCATAGAAGCAGCTAACTGCAGATTAGAAGTGTCTGGAGACAGTTGCTGCGATCGGACCATTCGTAGGGTCTCCGTCAAAGCCCAAATGTAGTTGTGAGCAAAGCGTAAAGTTTCGATCTTTGTCAGTTTATTATCTTCTCCAAATTGCGGTAATCTTTCTCGGAGGTCTTCCAGGGCTCCATTCAAATTGTGCATTCGGTTCCTTTCTCTATCGTTAGCCTTAGATCTACGCACTCTCTTTAAGTTTTGCACAACTGCAGGAGTTTTAGGCGTCTTTTGACGTCTCTTCCTTTTAGGGCAGTTTTCTTTGTGAGTTTCTTCGTCCGTTAGCATGCTGCAAGTGAAATCACCACCGGCGCGTGTTGCCTCTTATAGACGCATGCGCAGAACGCGCCCGTCGCGTGTCCAATCGGTGATTGGTTGAGGCGGAGTCTTTGTGTGCGACTGGCGAGCATAGGGAGAGAGGGGATTTGAATACACCCACCCCCCTCCCGCCGTCTCCCTCTCCTATGCTCTTCCGCCAATTTCCTAAGTTTTTCTCTCCATCCACTACTTTTATTACTTCTTTGGCCCCGCTCTTTTTCCGCGCCCCCCCAATTCTTTTCTTTCTCTCTTCTTGTGGGTGTTACAAAATTATAGCAGTTTGCGACGGTTAGATGAAAAGCGAATCTCTGCAGGAATGCCGCTTGAATGCCGCGTGTCAACGGGGTCTTTTTTCAAAGGACCTTAACTTTTGCAACAAGTTACGTATTTTACTCCCGTTATAATTTCGTTAACTTGAAGAATAAGAAGAAGAAAAATAGAAAGTTTACATCTCTTCTTCATCTCTCGTTAGTTTGTTAAATATAAAACAAACATTTGTTATAGTGACAATTAATCGTACACACTACGATTTATTTAAAAGCTCCAATTAACAAGAGGATTTTTTTTATTTGAGGTGAGTTAGACACGTGCACGAGTGTCCACCACCCTCTTTTTCTATACTGACTATGTAATACGTATGTATGTATAATGTTATGTTGTTGTGTGTGTGTGTTCGTGTAATGGCACACCTGTAGCGATTTTACGTGCAAGCGAATTTGAATGGCCGTAGGAAATTGCTTTAACTTAATTGGGTCTATACAAGCGTACCCTTGTTTGTAAAGAGGAAAGAAGAAAAGGAAAATTTATTGAACCATTCAAAGTTTTTTGTCAGAAACTAAATTTACGGCCAAAGTTTTCCTTCTGTTCAAAGAACTTTATGATAAATCTCTAATCATTTTTCATCCAAAATCTTTAATATTCATCTTTTACTTTTCTATTAGTTCTGAAAACTTTGAAGAAAAAGTTTGCTAACGGCAAGAATTACTGTCTTTATACTCCATCTATCGGAAGGATTTTACGCCGTTGCACCTCCAGACAGTAGGTGGCTCTGATTATAATCCTTAACGGAAATATTAAAATAGAACACACCGGTATGTGTTGTGTGAGATCTAGTTACAATTTTTTAAATGAGATATTAATACGTTTGAAATAATTTGATTATAATTACGTAACTCCGTTTGTGACACTCTTATTCTAGCTAATCCTAATATTTCTCGTTTGTTTGTAAGCTTTGATATTTGTGTACTATGAAGTATATAAAAGTTCTAATTAGGCCTAGATAGATATATCTATCAAAATAATTACAAAAACTATTTTAAGAATAAATCTAAGGAAAAAGGTCGAATATACAGCGATTGGAAATTTTATACAAGTCCTTTAGAATTTAGTATTTTAACCTTTAAACGTATTTATTAAGAATTAAATATATTTAATCAGTAAAAACAATGAATAACGATCAAAGTTCAATTGAAATCATTTAAAAAATTAGGACGTAGAGAGTTGTACGTAAGAATAGTAAGATTTCCAAGTTTTTTCTATTAATTTAAATACCAATAATTAATTATTTAATTAACTATAACGGAAATCTCTTTTAATTAAGGTACGATTTGTTAACTTTGTTAAGCAAAGATGGGATGGGTTTTTTTTATATTAAGGGATAAAGAGAGAGAATAGAAAGGGGAAAGGAAAAAAAATATAATTGATTGAGATGCGAATTAAATGCAACTGCCTTAAAAGCATGCCAAGGACCACTCAAACATTGTTTAATTAAATATTTATCAATCTTGTTCCTGCTCCTTAATTGACGTACCGCATGCTAGCGAACAATCTCTTTTTCTAATTGATTCTTTCTGTTTTTGAATGCATCTTGAAAACAGTCTTCTCCAATCCTTTAAGAGGAATTTAGTGAATTCTTTGTCTAATTGATAATTTATACGATTAAGAAGTTTTGAAATGTCTTATTCGAGATTAACTCCCAGGAAGGATTCGGCTAGATCTACCTCAACTCTCTCTTCGAGGTCAATATCTATTAGATCTGTTAAATCGTCCGTAGTTAATTCTCCTAGAGAGCAGGGAAAAAGTTCGTCAACTCCTGTCAAAAGAGAAGAACCGGAAATAGTAGAAAGGCCTACGAGCAGGATAGGTGAAGACAAATTAGCTTTTGATAAAAGTTTAAAGACACCGTTGTCGGATACATCAAAAGAGGATGATAAAAAGGAGGAAGAATCAAACGAGATTGTTACTCAGACTATTAAAAATGAAGCGGAAATCGACCAGGGTGAAAAAGAGAGAATCGAAAGAGAAGATGAAATTCGAGAAACAATTCTAAACGATTTGAAGGATCTCGGAATTACATCACTTGCCGCAGATGACGAGGAAGATAAGCGCGATGCGGAAAAATCTGAAACAAACGAATTACTTTCGGCAGTTGCCGAAGCCAATAAACTATCCGATGCTTACAATGAAAAAAACGAGAATTTTAATAGTTCTGATGAAAATAATTATGCTGATGATAAAATTGATGAAGAAAAGGAAAAAGTAGACGAAAGCTCTAATTCACCTCCATCTGAAGGTGAAGATACGGATGAAGATAAAAAGTCTGTACATAATAAACGAGTGAAAGGTGATGATCCTGCAAAGAAGAAGCCAACAAGATATTTACGGAAGTATCCCAGTAATCGAGGCAAGAAAGTATTGAGAACCGTCGTAACGCTGATGACTTTGACGAAGAAGAAACAACCCAAGTTTTACAGGACGTATAAGAGTTCTGATGGTTCGTATAGCGATTCTTACAAGTCGTATAAAATGCATAAATTCAAGGAAACTAAGTCTCTATCTAGTGATCTCTATATGAGTAAATTACTTTTAGAGAATACCTACAAGATGGAACCGGATACTGTCTTTCCACAATTTAAGATAGAAAAATTAATTTTATCAGTCCTGGAGGAGAGCCTTAGAACCATGACATATGATGGAATTCATATGGGTAAGGTAACTAAAATGATAACGGAAGTTCTTAAGGAAAAAGTTAAATCTATGCGTCTGGAAAGGTACAGGATAATTACATGGGTAGTTATAAGTCAGAAGGACAAGGGAGATCTAAGAATTGTATCGAGGGGTCTACTCGATCAGAAAACGGATAATTACGCAACTGCAGTTTTTGAGAATTCAACTTTGGTATGTGTAGCGTCCGTGTTTGGTATATATTTGGAATAATTACTAGTAAATACAATGATAAACATTCTAATGAATATTCATTGAAGATGTATTCAATAAATAACTATATAGTATATATCTCTATTCACTTAGCAGAAGTGTTTCCCATTGTCCAATATCCTTTTTATAAGATTTTTTCACCTTACCCTAAAGCTGTTTTATACACAACACTACTCAATAAATTCCATTCATATCAATTGTTAAAAAATATAGTAACGGCATTGATTCCTCAATAAATCAATAAATGGTAAAATGATTATGTTTGTATAAAAAATTCGTTCCCTGAGCTATGGCATTAGGTTTAAGAAATTTATAATTTGCGGACAAATTTTGCCGTTCTCTTCCCTTTGCTTTAAAAATAAGACCTGAAGAAAAGCTTATGAAAGATAAAAATACTAATGAAAACAATAAGGAAGAAGAGGGAGAGAAGGAAAACGAAGAGGAAGGATTACGCCTTCTCGAGAAATTAATCGAAGCTGACTACTTTCAAACGTCTAGTGATAAAAAGAATTTGGAAGACAATGATATTTTTCTATTATTCTTCTTTGATCAATTTTCTCTACCTTGCCAAACATTTCTTCCAATGTTAATAGAATTCTACAAGGTGACACGAAACCTTTCTCTCTTTGTTTTCTATTCTAAAGTTAAACCTTGCATTTTCAGGAAGGGAAATTAAGGAAGATAAGAATGGAAATAATAGCAGTTCCTTGCAATGAAGATATTGAAAGTTGTAGGAAGGAATATGTGAAAAATCATGAAAAATGGCTATTTTTGAACTGTAAATCTATAGTCGAGTAAGAGAAAATGAAAATATTTATATAATAACTTTATTGATTTTGTTGTTTTTAATCGTAATTTTCACAAAAATCAGATCGTTAATTGAATTCCATCAAGTTTTCTTTATACCAAAAGTGATTGTCATTAGTCGAAAAGGTTCAGTGATAACTCGAAATGGGAGGAAAGGAATTGAAAATATTGGTATATCAGTGTTCTATCAATGGTTAGAGTCTCATCGTCATACTCAACTAATCAGAAGAATATCTAGAATTCCCAAAATTCGTTTCACAATTTCTATTGAGACAAGACAAAAGAGTGAAAAGTTCAAAAGGAGAATGAGAAAGGCGAAACTATTCAATCTGTACTCGACGGATTATACGGAAAGACAAGTTCCAGATAGCAGACAAGTCGATATTAATTTGGCAAAAAATTGATTAATAACAATTACTTCAATAAAAAAAATATTTATGGCAATAATAACTATTGTCGTTAATAAGCGTTAAAAAAATAATTATTGTGCAATGGGCGCCATCTATCATTAAGAGCAATAAAAGAGAAATATCAATATAATAATCGAGTTTCTTGTTCTCGACAATGTCAATTTAAATATTAACTCTATTTAGTAAAGTTTACATAAAATATTTGACGAACGCTTTTAAAGGGAGGAAGGAGGGGGAAATAATCAATTCATTATAGTAATTCGTATAGGAAAGTAAGCTAAAAAAGTTCTTTTGAGAGAGAGAGAGAGAGACAGAAAGAGAAAAGGGAATAATGACATTCTATCATACCTATATTATCGCAAATCGACATAAAAAGAACTATTTGAGGGTTTGTGTGAAGTTGTTAAATGAAAATATCGTTCTAATTATTTGTAAAGCAATAGTACTTTAATGATAGAATAGAGAATGTTGTTGTTAGGTTCGTCATAAGGATATATAGCAGTATTGAAAGGGTTTTCTTGACGAAATAATAGACAAAAGCTAGGAATTGATAAAAGTCTACCAAGCGTTAGAATTGATAATGTCAGGTTCAATAAACAAACTGAAAATAGAAAAACAACTATACTGTAGAATAATCATATCTACAAAATATGAAGGATTATATAAAAGTTATTAGTCGACATTTTTATAACTCTACTTGATATATTTCCAAGATGTATATCTTATGACAACTTTTTAAACGTTATGTAAATCATGCGGATTTCACTTTCGTAATCTGTCACGTGATAGATTTTAAACTGAACTTTTATGTATTATTTGGCAGCTGAAAGAAGGTTGACAATCTTGTTTATCATGAAGAAATAGAGATAGATAGAGAGAGAAATTCATTCTATCCATTACAAACATATTTACATATAGACTTTGAAATTAAGGAGTTCTTCAACATGACAAACAATTTTTGAACATTCATTGATATTTTCAATATATATATATATATATATCATTGAGAAAAATATCATTTCTACCTATATTTGATAAATTACAACTGCCATTAATAATTTAATAACTTATTGAACTTAATAATTAAAAATAGACATACAACATTAAGTTAAGTAATAAGTTAACAGGAGATGAGAGAGAGAGAGAGAAAATTGAATTTGATTTCATCTCATCTATTAAGAATAATGAAAATTCCTTGAAAAAAGGGAATAGTTTAAAAATTTCCTTTCCAACCCATTTAGAAAACATTAACAAGGACTCTTAATGAGCAATTATACAGTATATAATGTATATAATCAGAATATATAAATCTGCTAAATCTCCAATATAAACAAAAGACAAGAGGATTCATTACCTCTTTATATTATCATATATAACAAAACTTAATAATAATGATTTCTTAAAAAAAGAGGAAAATATTCCCAATTGGGGGCAAAAATTACTTTGCTTTCATAGTCTTAGTTAGCCTGGAATGAAGACAAGCTTAAAACTGTGTGAATAGATCTAATTGCTATTAGATATTCGGTCATTGAATCATTCATTATAAATAGGGTTTGAGGTGAATATCTCCAAAATATGATTGCAAGGAATAATAATCCATCAAGTTCATCTTATGAATATCAAATATAGGATTGCTGTGAAAATAGAATCTTTTTCTTTATAATCTATCAAGATTCTTGTCTTCATTCAAAGATACTTGAGATTAGTAAAAACAAAGTAACAATTTTCACTTATTCATGAAAGGTGAAACATAGTTGCGGTTTGACAAACTACAAGTTTTAAATATCTGTTACAAACTAAAAATTGTATTATTTTCCGATTACACCAAAGAATAGACAAACTCTAATGACTATCTATTTCGTCATAACCAGATGGAAAATCAATTTTTTCTATCACGAACATATTTAGACTGAATAATGTAATGTCAATTGTGTGCCTTGGAAGATGCTGATATTGAGAGGATAATATGATGATATATTTTGAATGTCGTTGTTAGAGAACTAGAAATTTCATAAATTTCATTAGATATTCTTAAAATCATGGAAGAAAAATGAGACTTTTCAATCGTACTTTTCGATTTTTTGCATGTGAGATATAATCACATTTTCAGTCTTTATTGTATTCATATAAGATCTTTATTACCTTTTTTCTTACGTAAATAGAGAAAAATATTTCTGGAAAAAACTGCAAAAGGTATACTGCAAACAAGTTGATTTTTAATCTAAAGTCAGCTGCCAACTTTTTCTTTATTATCGTTATAGATTCTAATAAAAAGGTAACCTAAATATTCTTTGCAGAATGGGGTGAGAATGAGTGATAAATATTCCCAACTGGGAAGAAAAATTGTTTTGTTTCCATAGTCTCAAATATCCTGGAATGAAGACAAGCTTAAAACTGTATGAATAGGTCTAATTATTATCAGATGCTCTGTGATTGAATTGTCATAAAACTAGAATAGAAATAGTTCGAAATGAGTATCTTTAGGTCGAATATATGATATATGATCTTATATACGATATATAAGATAAGACCAAGATGGATAATCGTCGGCGGGTTAGTAAACGATTTAGAGGAGCAACAACTGTCTTAGCGTAATGAAGTGTACAACTAAGAACCTAAATATTACGTTAGATAACAAACTGTACTTTATCATGGAGTTGAAACATTGAAACTTTAAGATTGTTAATACTTCTAAAGAAGTAAACAAGTAAAAAGGTTGCAAATCGACTTTCCATAATACAGTAATTTGAAATGGTACTCTCCATCAGATGTCATTTTAATCAGTTTCCATTTTCTTTTCCTTCAAACGTGTTATATTTTAAGGAAAGAACGATATGATTTTTATCTTTTATCCTATTGGAAAATAATCATTTTTCTTCAATCATTCTAGCATATATATTAGTATAAAGAGAAAGTGTATATCTCAAAGAATAAGTTAACATAACTTGGATGTTATTTGTTAAATACAAGCTTCTTTTAAGTTTCTTTTATGGGCGTGGTTTTAATCTAAATTCTGATCTCTCTCTCTCTCTCTCTCTCTCACTTTTCCCTAGAAATTCATTACTTTTTTCACGTTTTCTTTCAAATTTGAAAATTAGACAGTCTTATCATATCTTTCCTTCTGACCTTGAAAATTTTGGTTAAAAATAAAAGATATAATTCTTGTAAGAACAAACTGGTAAACAATGATGGAAAGATAAGATATTTAAACTTAGGAATATCCAATTACAAATATAATATTTACATGTTTAAGGAAAGCTGTAGGAAAATGATCGTTGTATCCTAATCGGTTGCGACTATATTTAGTCTGTTATCTTCATTCTGAGATGAGAAGACGGCGCAGAGAAAGAAATAGGAACATATATAAGAAATGAAGGTGAAAAAAATCAATGGACCATTGGAGAAAGAGTGTTGTTTATGGTATCTACAGTCCCTGAAAAGTTACAGTCAGGGGAAATAACATTCAATAATCCAGTAATAGTACGTTCGTCTTCAAAGTGCACTGGAGAAATCGAGTAATTAGCTATTTCTATTGGAAACTCATATCGAAAATCTTTGCCAAGACAGTCCTTAATGAAAATCAAAGATTGTTTTATGCTTGCCTTTAAAAGGTTGAAGGAGAAGCGGATGGTGCTATTTGTTAAAGAAGAGGAAAGAAAACTGTACAAAGAATCCTTTAAATACGAATTGTTTTTGTCTTAAGAATGGGAAGAAAAAAAGAAATATGAAAGATCAATTTAGTAGGAAGACAATTCATCAATCTGTCTTCTTTATATCTGGGAGAATTATTAATGGTTTTTATGGGAAAATAGTAGAAGGAGCAAGTTTTTGTGGGTATTTAGGATGAGATATGAAATATTCAAAATTGTTCCGTTAAAAATTTGATATTTATCAATGAAATACATTAAAAGTAAAAGAGTAAAAGATCTTATTGGTCAATTCATCAATTACTATAAATTATTTATATGGCAAAATAATAATTATGCGAAATTTCTAAGTAGGTTTTCTCTCTCTCTCTCTCTCTTCCGCTAATTATACAATAAATTAGAGCAGCCATTTTCTATGTCTACTCGTATATAAAAAGATTAAAGATAGAAAGAGAGAGAGAGAGAGAGAGAGAGAGAGAGAGAGAGAGAGAGAGAGAAAGAGAGAGATAGATATAGAAAGAAGGAGAACAACCTCTATATTTCTAAATTTGAATATTAAAAGAAAATAAATAAAAAAGTATAAAAAGGTTTTTATCTCTTTACTCAACTTTTGCCCCATTTAAGTACATTTTTATTTAATAAACACCTGACTACTTTCTCATACTGTTTAAACAGTTTATTTGTTTTTATTTTTTTTTTATTTCCATTAAAGAAAATATCAATTAAAGAATAGAAATGGAAAAACTAATTTAAATATTACTATTTCGCTTCATTTAAACTGGTATAAGTAGAAATATATTTGTATATACTGTGTAATTAGTGAATATTAAGTAGATAATTTAATAAAATACTCTATATATTATTGTAATTGTTAGATATGTAATATATATATATATATATATACAGTATATATACTGTATATATCCTACCATATGGAGGATTATCAATGGTTAATTGTGAAAAAAAAACTCCTGCTATTAATCAGATAACAAAGTATTTCTATTGATTTAAAGTCTTTTATATTTTGAAGTATATTATTTCAATATTCATCCCACTCATAACTATATATATATATATATATATACATATATTTATAATTAGTATATCTTATTGTTAATTAATGAAGGTAATTGAATTTTTTTAAATAAAACAATATCCTAATATCATACTATCGTATGATCTTTGTTTTATTCCATTGTTAAATTACATACTATACAAAGTATACAGTTTTTATCCTTTCTAATAGATAATACAAATTGTTATGACATTCATCTTGTTTTTTTTCGGGTTTTTTTCCACTGTTTCATGAATATTCATTGGAAAATTAATGGAATAGTTATAACCAACTCTCAACAACTACGGTATAATATATAAATTCTATAGGTCATATTATGTTAGTACAATAATAATCAAAGTGAATAGATATGTATATATGATACATATAAAATATATGAAAGCAGTATTCAAGATGAGTAATACTTTTAAATTTTTCATCTATTATTGAACTTTTGACAGACGCAGCCAAAGTTCAATACATTATTATTGAATTACTATTCATAAATTTTACTGTTGACGATATTTTGTCTCTTAACGTTTTCTTTCAATTTTGATCAATGGTTTTTGAATAAGTAAAACGTTTTACGATTGTTCGTAGTCTTAAATAACAATGTTTCATATTGTACGAATAGAGAATATATTAAAAAGAAAAGGTTAAAATGGGTAGCGAATGAAATTACTCTATCCACGATATTATTTTTCATTGCCAGTGTCATTTTGCTTATTTATAAGCCAATTATTAAATTTTGTTTTTTTGGCTTTCTATTACCTATTAATAATTAAATTGGGAAGAGGGAAGCAAGGGATATGGGAAGAGGAGAGAGCGCGAGAGCGAGAAGATATGCTCAAACTGCTAGAAAAGAAAATATATCATTTTCAATTTTTTATGCGAAACGAAATTGATCAAATTTTTTCATTACTCATTGTGAAGAATCAGAGAGAAAGAGAGAAAGAGTGAGAGAGAGAGAGATAAATAGAAAAAAGCTGAAAATGAACATATAAAATAGTAAAAGAAAACAAAGAATTATTTGCGTATTTTTATCCTTTTCTGCCTTTTTCTCTCTCTTTTCCTTTTCTCTTAAACTTAAATTTCCTTTGTTTAAAATCGTTTTTATCTCAAGATAAAAATGTATTTACAAATTTTCAACAAAGTTATCATAAGAAATAGTCCGAATAATGAGAAGGCACGTAAACGTTTTGAAACAAGTCGAAACAAAGGGAAAAAATATCAGGGAAGAAAAAAAAAAGGAATTTTCGTAATCAATTGTTAAAAAACATTTTCGCGCCAAAATGAAGGAAAAATTAATTAATATATGAAAAAGTTTTTTTTTGTAATTTAATAAAAGTCATAATTTTTCTCTTTTTTGTTTAAAAACGGAGAAAAAAGGGAACAAAATTTGTTTTTTTTTCACTACTTTCGACGAGCGAATTGAGAAAATAAAAAAAATTAAATAAAAAAAACACGATGTTTTTTTTTCCTTTTTTTGCAGTATGCCGACTGCAAAAAAACAAAATAGAAATAAAAAAAAACACACGCTCAACCGTTGTGCAGTCGATCAGAAAGGAAAAAAAACGGGAAAAAACGTGCTCAAATATCATAGAATAATTATAGACGTACGTCGAAATATTTCTGGAAACAATGCGAAATATTACAAACGAGTAAAACTGTCAATGCAAATAGTTTTGTGTCTGAAAAAAAAAACAATAGACACATTCATTATAATTCTCTTGTACAATAATTATTTACAAAAAAAAAGAAAAAAAAAACGAGAATACGCTGCAAAAATGCACCGCAACGTTTCTCGTTCTCTTTTTTTTTCTTTTCACTTTTTTTACTGTTTCATTTTTGAAAAAATCTGCATGCCAAACGTTTACGTCGTAAAACGAAGATGAGAGACAGAAAAAATATGCAAATAAGCCTTCAATGTTATCTTTAGGTCTGTTTCTTTTTTTTTCCTTAATACGTTGTACACTGGTATTCTTTGACTATGTAAATCTTTCTTGTTTTATTTTTTAGATAGACACAAAGGAAAGAAATTTTTGAAAGGAAACTTTCTGTCGTATCATCATTTTTTCAAAACTTTGTTTTGTTTCTGTTAGCTTTCTCAAAAGGACGATTTGTCATACATATTTGAATATTCATACTAATTAGTTTTTTATTGCCTAATTACTGATTATTTTGGCCCTAACTTTTTTTATTAATTCCTTTAAAACAACCTTTTTCAATTTCGTTTACTTTTCGGAAAAAAATCTTTTTAATTGTAAATTTTCTCTCCAAAAACACTGAGAAATATGAATATTCAATAAGCAAACTTTCTCAATTACTTGTCTTTCTTTCCTTTAATAGTCTATACCCTTCATATGAAATAGAAAAAAGATAATGTCGATATTAATAACAATAATGAATAATGATAAATAATAATAAACGACGCGGACTATTTCATTTTTTAATGCAGTTTTTTAATAAACTGCAGGCAAAAAGCCAGAAAAAATTATTATTATTATTTTTTAAAAATAAATTAAGTACGGTAAAAGGCGAGTGACGAAAAAAATGTGTAACAACTTGAACTTGATTCTCAATTCATTTTTCCAACCGACAATGGGAGGAATAGAAACGATATGAGAAAAAATCTTTGCACCAGTATCCAGAGACAGAGAGATAGAGGTAAAAGATGAAAAAAAAACATGAAGCGAAGAAGAGGAAAAAAACACTGCGTTAGATGGCTATACTGCCTTGTGGTGGGTATTTACTCCTATCCGGCCTTCTATTCCCCCTAGGAGGGTAAGGAGGTTCCGCATTGTCAAGGTCATCGAGGTCAATCTCAGGAGGTTCATCAGTCCGCCTTATTTGGTGCATTGGATGCCTTCGTCGGTGAGGGGGATGTTCATACTGTTCCTCTTCAATTGAATCATAACGGTGGAGGTCAGGTCTATTATAAGGCTCGGCAAACTCGTCCGGAAAACGCATAGCGTAGTGCGGGGGTCGCCTCTCTTTATACCTGTCCTCCTTATATCGACGATTTCTGTCGTGGTGGTGCTGGTGATGTTGGTGGTGATCCCTGTCATAATCTTCCATACCAGTTCTATGATGTTCATGACGATGTTCTCTCTCAGGAAAGCGGTCGTAATCCTCTCTCGGATCGTGCTCTCTACTTAACCTATGATCACGCGTGTCCCTATCACACAGTCGCTCGTTACTAGCGGCCCTATCTCTATCTCTTTCCCTATCCCTGTCCCTGTCCCTATCCCTATCCCTATTCGAGGAGGAAGAAGCCTGACCCATCTGCTGAGATTGCTGATGTGCTTGAGGATTTGCAACCGGTAACGGGTGAGTAGCCTTCCAATAGGCTTCCAAATATTCGGCGAGGTGTTCACAGGCATCGTCTAACTGGTTCTCGTCTAATATGACGTCGAACATGTCCGGATTGCACTGACTTAATTTTTCGGCGGCCACTAATTGTACATTCATATTTCTAGTTTGGGATTTACCCCGCGATTTCACCAGACGTTGTAGCACCTATTAAAACAAGTAAAAAAAGATAAAACTTTACATTCTCGAACGTATTAAGATCAACGAATAGGAAACATATTATTTCGATTCAGCTTACCTTTGGCGAAGAAATTTTCAAATATACTACTATCGGAGCAAGGGATGTCTTTGCGAGTTGCGAAGGATGATTTATCGTATCGCAATCGAGGACAACGATCTGCAGAGTTCGAGCCAATTCGAATATCCTTTCGATTTCCGCTTGCACCTCGGCCATACAGGACGAACGACTATTCGCACGTTCCATAATGGCCTTTTTACTCGGATTGTTGAGCAATGAGCGTTTGGCGAGTGAAATATCGGCGGTTACTCGGGTTATGACGATTCTAAAATGACATAGAATAAACATATATAAACGAATAATGAATATGAAATTTATAAAGAAAGGTAGAATGAATGAATAGTTAACTTTCTCTCATACACAGTATAATGAAATTGTTTACGCACCTGCCTTCAAACCGATGCTTCAAAAAGTCGAATATCGCTTTCTGCATCATATCCGTTACTTCGTAGCCCTTCAACGACGGCCCTATAAGGACCAATGGGCGCATGGAAGGCACTACTTCGTAAGGAGGAGTCTGCTCCGACTGTAAAAGAGGATAAAAAGTATTGGTTTTATATATATTTAGCAAAAAAAGAATTTATTACAAATAAAGCATACGTACTTTCTTAAAGAACGGCTTACGTTTTTCCTTAGCGGGGGGTGTTATTGACGCTTTAGATGTTTTTGAATTACCCAAACTATCGCTATCCTCTCCCACATTTGAATCAACACCGTTCTGTTCTAAATCGAACCCAGGAGTAGGAGGAGTTGAACCCCGTGAATTCGAACTTTTCGAATTCAGTATATTATCGATATTCGAACTTGAATTCGTTTTCGAACCCTGACGACCATACAATTTAACATTTCGCGACGCGGCAGCATTGGCGTTTTGCAATTTGAGCTGTTCCAATTTAGCCGGTGACGGTATAAAACCTATTTTACAACCTTCTTTCACAAGCCGACCAATCCACCAGTCGTTGTTGAATTTCTATTTGATAAAAGAGAAACAAACAAGTGTTAAATGTAGGAATCCATTTTTTTTAAAAAAAAAGTAATTTTCTAAAATTTTAAATATTTAATATCTTAATTTGATAATCAATATCTTGAATGAGATTCGTAGATGATTTTTATATCAATTTATAATTTCACACCTCTTTAATATGCAAGAAATCCTTTTGCGCAAAACCTATAGCCTGGCCATGAACCGGTGAATCATCATCGCTCCCTGGTTCGTATGCAACATTCGTCCGAACTGCGAAAGCCACCGGTTTTGTCTGTGAAGAAAGATCATACAGCTATTAGACAATCTATAGAATAATATATGTATATACAGTATATATACATCATATGCGACTTATTTTTTTTCCCAAGTAATATAATTAATGTTTACTGAAACTTGTTTTATCAGTCAAAAAGTGCGCAAAAATCTATGAATGCACACTAATACAAACTTAAATGCACTGTAAAAAAGACGAAAATGTTGTTATTTCTGTAATAACAACGATTTCGCTATTTTAGCCTGACTATATTTATAAATTATTTATTTTTATTAAGAACTAGTTAATCTATTATATATAAAAAAAACAGAATTAGCACCTGCTTATTCATAGCTCTTTCTATATAAAAATAAATATAGATATATATATATGTATATATATATAAATGCTTGCTTTGAAAATATACTTAATTTCATTTAATGAGAAAACGTTATCAATACTATAAAAAGTTGTATCTTAATTTTTTATATTTTATTCCATCAGTAATTTAAAAAAATGAATAACTAGCAATTAAAAACTTAATATAATAATTAACATATGTTACAGATCAATTTTGATATAAAAATTTATTTGATAAATTGATAAATTAGTTTTATAAAATTTCTAATATAGTTTTATGATACAATAATTTCAATAAAATCAACATTATAAAATAACTTTTTTTCTTTTTTTTCTCTCTTTATTTTTTTATAGTTTCAAAAATAATAAGAATCACAGATGGTCTAACGAATTTACTCTTTTCTCAGAATTAAGCATAAGGGTAATACTTTTGACTAAGAATATTTACTAAAGAAAATCTGCTTTATGATATTTTTTCGGGTATGCTAATTAATGTATTATCTTACTCTCAGAAAGAGCTAACTATTAGGTAATTAACGTACTAGTATAAAAGTATCATCAGCATCGTTAAAAAAAGTTTATTTATTTAAATCTTAAATTTTTTTATTATTTTATTGAAATCTCTTTTTATATCTATCCTATACGTCTTTTAAGTTCAAGTTGGTAACTAGTATACGTCCCTAATTAAAAGCCTGTCGTTTTGTAATTAATAATTATTTTGTTTTTTTTACAACATCTTACAAGGAAGTACGTGAATACTACAGTAAAAATATAGGGGAGTGCAAAAAAAAATTATTCATTATTATTTAGGCATAATTCAAAAAAAAACAAAATTTAGTATTTATAACAAGATGATATTTTGGTGGAATTGTTTTTGAAATATTGTATAAATACTTGTGATATAGGTGAAGGAAATTAGATCAAAACACTTAACTATCAACAGACACTCTAGAGTAATGTGTGTTAATTGAAAATAACATACATTAGGATATAAATTTAGTTGCAGTTTAAAACGTGTGTTAGAGTTATCTAAGACTGTTGTCATGCATAGCATACACATATACTTATATACGCCTAGTTGTTTAGGGGATTATATACAGTATATATTGTATGTTATAGCGTATATTGTCGTATATACGTATATTGATGTATGCACACAAAAAGAAACAACAGAATAAAGTAGAAAACTGGTAATTAATGACCGTCAGCGGGTTTACATATCAATTTTAAGTGTTGGTTTGATCATTGGGAATAATCAAGACATCTTTGAAAAGGCACTTGAATAATTTTCATTTATAAATTACTTTTTGGTTATATATATTTCTTTAAATGAGAATCCAAAAGAAATTTTTTTCACAGCTATTTATGCTGTGTAAAGTATATAATATTTTAAGTTTATTCAGCTTACTGACGAGAAATATTAAATAATTCTTTTATATACGAAAGAAGTAACATCCTATAAAGAATGTTATAAAAATGAGTTATTATTTTTATCAAACCACACGAATCAAATGTAATATGGCCACCGCAAACAGTTTCAGCTAACGTTTTTATTTTTATGTTTTTTGCCTACATTTTATCAAGTTTTTCTACTATAATATCACAAACCTCTGCTTTGTTTAACTGTCTGACGGCCTGCCGAAAAGTTTATATAATTGACAGAGAAAAAGAATAGAGAGTAAAAGATAAAAATTTTACCTTGCCCTTTTCCAATTGACTGACAGCCTGACGTTCCGATTCCCTGCGAAAAGCGTCTCTGTCATCCTCTGAGAGTTCAGATGAGGGTTGGCTAAAATTTGAATCGGCCGATCCCTGAAGCAATGGAGTAGATAGATAAAGTAAAAAGAGGACAATAAAATATAACAAAACCTATAAAATTGCAGTGTACATATTGAATATACAGTACTTATTTTTGTGAACTATATATTAGTATATTAATATTATATTAATGATGGCATAGAAATAGACCTCATCTCCAAATAAAACCGTCTATACATTTTTGGTAATGACGTTGCAAACTAGTTAATAAATATATGGTTGCTTAAAAATTCTGCTCTGCTCGGGAACATACAATCGATTCAGAGGTTAGGAAAGGGCACAAACTCAATGGGATAATAGCATCTTGAGTTTGGCGGTGAATTTCGATCTTTGGCTTTGAGATATCCTGCTTTGTGAAAACAAAAGGGGGGAGAGAGCGAGAGAGAGAAAGCTAGAGACCTGATTGAAGAGAATAACATATTATCCTTCTGCTTGTTTTTTTTTCTTTATCAACGCTGGAAATTTATTGCCAAAAAAGGATAATCACCTGCCAAATCATATTAGATACGGTTGCAACCGACTGATCTCTTTTTCATGATGCCAATGCCGTAATTTGTTTATGAACTGCACCTTTATCCATTATCGACGAAATGAAAGAACAAGCCTTGTAAACTAGGGGCGACTCAGATCAAAAGGTCTAACTCGGTAGACTGATAGAGAGCGTAAAAAGGTATAGACTGATAAATAGACGAATGGAGAGAAAGTAGGGGTGTGTAAGAGTTAGAAAGAGGAAAAAACGATAAAAAGAAATTATATAGGCCTATTATAAAAAATATTTTACCGAGGAGAGTGATGAATCGGATACGAGGCGCCGTCTGGAGGATGGAGTAGTTGAAGAAGCGGTGTTGACCATCGCCTCCCCGACTCTCATCACTCCTCATGATATCGCCGATAAAAACAAACGCATCACATAATTCATGCACAAATCTACTTCCGGTTTGCCATGTTAAGTCGACGGCGATTGGACACGGGCGTCTAGACGGGAAGAGCGTTCCGCCGCATATCTTGTCTATTGATTTTACTAACGATGACGTTCGAAAGTGACAAATGCTTACATGACTTAACCAATCAAATTTTTTCTCTACAAACTATTTGCCCTACTGTAAAAATAATTTTTACAGAAGGTAGAGGGTAACGTAGAGAAAAACAGGTGGATTCATAAACAATAATTTAGGCCTAGAAGAGCGCGAAATCAATAAGCGCAGTCTGTTCTGGAATAGAACGTTGACCTACTTCTAGAGCCTACTGCAAAAGTTATGTGGTAGCATAACAATCTACCTGTCTGATAAAGCTCCCAGAACTGGCGGATTCCTCAGATCGTTGCTGCACTTTGATTTTTGGTCGCCGTCGCGCACTTTTCCCTACCTGTTGACGAATGAAATGGTTATTACATAATAGTTATGTAGGTGTATTTAAAAGGACATATACTTATAGGAATCATTATACATATGGAATATAATCGTATATCAATGAATAAGGTTTACATATACACGTAAATGAATACACTATAAACGCAGTATGCTGCATTGTAAAAATTATTTATCAATTCAAATATCGGAATTGACAAATAAAGATTATCTTATATTTTATCCACCTGAAAGGAAGCTAGGAAAGAGATGAGCGCGATTAATACTAATAATCCGGACGTAACATAAAATTTCCGTACACTGCAGTAGCAATATTCGTTTGTAGAATTATGATTACATAGCATCCTCTAGTAAAAATGGCGGATACTTCCAACATTTGCCATCCGTATTCAAAACACCGGTAAAAGCAGCAGGTGCAATATAATATTTCAATACTACAGATGTTCCAATAAAGAAAAAAAATGCATTATATCTACTATACAATCGCTGTGGTAACATTTGAATATAATTTTTTTGGTCGAAACTAATAACTGTGAATAAAAAAAATACACGTATCCAAAATATTAAGACACTTTCAAGCTGGAACATATTCTAAAACCTTAATTTCCAGGTACCTTGTAATTGTCTCTGGTTTACAAAAAATGAAGGACAGCTTTAAAACGTTTTTTCTCGGTGCAAAGTTAATAAACACTAAGAAAAAAACAAAGAGGAAGAGAAAAAAGTACGGGAAGGCCTACTGCAAACCATTCTGAAAACGCCCTGTATTTTATCTCTTTTTCTTCTCCCCCCCTCCCTCCCTCCCTCCCAAATATTGATAATGAAATACTGGAGCTTCTTCAAAATACGGTATTTCAACAGTCAATTAAGCAGATTCCCTCATACTATAAGTAAAACCGATCGTTAAATTACACTTGAAAAGCCGATAATAATAATAATAATAATGATAATAATTGAAATAATAAAAGGGTAGATTCAAAAAAATTTTTCTCTAAAATAACTCCTATTCGCCTTTTACAATATATACTTGACTTTGCATTGTTTTCAAATTTTCCAGCCAGCACTTCACTCAATAACTCACTCACTCACTCACTCACTCACTCACTCACTCCTCCACTCTCACTCTTTTGATCGATTTTGTCTGCTTTTTTTCAAGAATGGTTGCATTCTTGTTCCTGTTCTTGTTCTCGTTCTCTTACTTTTTTAATTTTATTTGAGAAATATTTTTACCTTCGAGCCGTAATCTTATTAGCTTTTCTCGATGTAGAGAAAAAAAACGAATACCGGCCATTTGCGGTTGGCATTTGGAAAATGTTCCACGCATACGTATAAGTTAGCATAAAAAGTTCAGATATATTTTTTTTACCTTAAATTTCCCTATTAATACTATACAATCTTAATATATAGAATGAATAAATCTAAAGAAGGAGAATGGTTTTTCGCATCATTTAGACATATAGCTAAATTAAAAAATAAAAAAAACTTGGTCAATTGAATGAATACAATAAAACACGCAGCCGTTGCGAAAAAAAACGAGTCAATATTGTGTGCAATTGAGCCAAACGCATGATACCGAACCCGAAAAAAACTATTTCCAAGGTAAGAAAGACACTTGTCAAATTTCGTAGGTTTCTACCCTCCATTAATTTGCTCCTATTATCGCTCGCGTACTTAAATATTAATGTAATCAAATCACGATATTTTCGATTAAAAACTGTATGAAATATTCTTAAAAATTACCGTATAAGAAGATTGCCCTGAAAGGTCCGCCTCGGTAAGTTGAATCCGACCGGAGGATGAATGTTGATCCATCGGGTAAAATAGAACAACCTTCTACCCGACGTTCCTTTTACCATCTTCGACAAACATATCCCGAATAAAATTTTGTTTTTTCAAGTTATACCCGCCAGTTTGATTAAAATCCGCGGTTTAACTTATTGCAAGTTTATTCGCTCATAATCCGTAAAAATTTAGCGAATTTCTCCTCTCAGCAGATGGACCTCTGCATCCGGGTAACGTTTCAGAGGGGTGGTCGGTTTCATTAATGCTCTAGAAAAAAGTTTATTCTAGGAACATACGTGTCAGACGGTAATTTTTCGTAAAATTTTTTCCGAAATCATAAAATATAATTAAGACAATAATATCAAGATAAATATTGTATTGAAAAAAAAAGTGTTAGAATTTATTCCGCGAAACATCCCTCTTCAATGATTAGAGGGAAAGATGGCGGCAACTATCGAGGATTCTGATTGGTCAACGCAAATTTCTAGGAATATAAGGCGCATTTTTCGAGGATTTTTGCAGTAAAAGACGCTTTTCGGTAGTTTTCAGCCGCTTCCACAGGGTTATCGGACTTGATAATACCCGAACCAACAATTATTATGTCTGACCCTTTTTCAATAGCTTTTTGCGGCGAGTTATACGTTTGGCCTAAGTCGCCAGATGATGTGGATAGATGGACGCCTGTAAAAAAAAAATTTCCTATTATAATACAATATTACATGTCAAAAGAGATAATAATATAAGAAACTTTAGAGAACGTATTCTAAAAAGTTCACCTGGCGTAGCCACAATAAAGCTATCGTTCGTCAAATTTTCTTGCGCTATAAATCCAATTACGCAATCTCGATTAGCAGAAGATAGTTCAACAGCACCTGATTAGATAGAACGCAGATGTTTAATATGTGATAGAATTGAAGGTATACTAAAATGAAATATTAAAAACGGTTTCCTTTATAAAAAGTTGAAACTACCTTTCAATCAACACTCTTATTGTATTACAATAGGCTTTAGATAACTTTTATGAATTAAAAATCCGCAAATAAGCGAAAGATAAACTTTAAACGATCGCTTTTTAATGTAGGAGCATCGAAATACTTTTGTTTAACGAACTAGGTTATCTGTTTAATATTATCTCTATTGCACTTACTTTTGGTATAGGATTCATTTAATAAGTTTCCTTCGCTGCTCATTTGTGCTAAGACAAGAATACCGACATCACGCTGTGAAATTAATTAAAAGATTAGCATTATCTCCCGTATTAATATTATTTTTATACACTAACTCGAACAGTACGTATTCCTGCAATAACTCCAGGACCGGGAAGAGCATGCACATTAACAATATCACACCATTTACTTATTTCTAAATTTCCGCCTGAAAATTGCATGCTAACGGTTTTTCCAATATCGGCAAATTTTCTGTTACAGAAGAGAATCATTACATTTTGAATAAAGATGGATGTTATTCGTTTCATATGACATTATTGACAATAAGATTTATTACTCTATTTTGGATTTGGCTCAAACTCCAAAATCCAAAGAAGGTAATTTAACAAATTCAGAATTAATATAATTTAAGAAAGAAAGTAAAAAATTAGTCTAAAATTGCTGTACCTGTCTTCAAAAATAAAGTAATTATGTTTAGAAGCGAGAGCTTTCAATTGCAAACCAACATCCACGTTGAATCCTTTTACGATGTCAGCATGAACTTTTATCATGCACACGTACGGACCGAGCTTATCCGCCAGCTTTATTAAATCATAGTTATATAAGCTTAATATAGGCCTAGAATCTTAGCCAAGATATTCACTCACATCTAGAAGATCTCCACTTTCGCTGACATCTAAGGAAACGCATAGGTTACTTTGTTTCTCTTTAATTACTTCCCAAATTCGCCTAGTTAGTGGATGTATTTTCGTTTCAGTCGCTTCTTCCTGTTTGTATTTTTCGCAGTTAGACAAAGAAAAGCGTTAAAGGAGAAAAAATTGTTTTTCCAATACTATGACCCAATTGTTATTTACATTCGAGAGAGAAATCAATATTGTAATCTCTTCTCAGTTTCTTCGAAAAAGAAATCACTTACATATAACCTTATATATAATAAATATTTAAAAAGAATCTCTTTAACCTTTTTGCCACAAGTTACTTGATTCTCTTTGATAAACGTTTTGACATTGTTAACAATCGAGCTGTTAAGTTTGCCAACACTAAGCAAGCAGTCAACAACTTGAGATAATGTGAATATCCTGTAAATATGATAAAAAAGAATTATTTTATTTATTTTGTATGAAAAGTGACAAAAACTAACGAATGTACTTCAATATTGTGATTTTTTAATGAAGCGATTGCTCCTTGTTCTCTATCTAGGACGACTACTGTATCGCGTACTTCTAATCCTAAATTTCGTAGTATCTATATTAAAAGGTAAATGAAAAAAAAGTAAATATCACTTTAAAAATTCCCGGTATTAGCGAATAAACGTCACGTATTTCATTGTTATGTATTAACTAGGGCGCTTATAACGCCATTTCCGACTTTTAGAAAATGTGAATCGTATATACAACAAAATTATTGCGCATAGACAGGATAATCGGAAACGTTGTTAAAATGCCGCCAGTGTCACGTAACGTAATGAAATATCCCGATTAAGCATACTTGCGCAGTTTCCAGAACTGAGCCACCGGATGTTACAATATCCTCAATAATTAAGCATCTATCGCCTTTTTTAAAGTAACCTTCAACCAATTGTTTCGTACCATATGATTTCGCTTCTTTCCTCCTCATCAACAATGGAATATCGTATTTGGTGGAGATAACCTGTTTTATTTTAACATTTATTTTTTTTCTATAACAATAAAGCAGCTATAATTGACGAATTGCAAGAAAATTTTAGAATACAATGCCTATTTAGTGTTTATATAAGACTGAAAGTTATTTTTTATAGAGAAATTGATACGCCATGGGAAAAAATATAGAAAATTACCGTTGACATTGGTAGGGCAGTATAGGGAACACCGCAAACATTTTCAAACTGGCAATGGTTTTCTCTACTCTTGTTGTATAGAAGGCACGATATATCTGTCTAATACAAGATAAGCACGTGTGAGGCGATAATAGGTGAAGAAATTAAGTATAGCTACCAATATTTTCGGAAAGCTGACTAACACTCGTAAATCAACATATATTGGGGAGGTAATTCCACTCTTTAATTTGAATTCACCAAACTTAAACGCCCCTATTTTGTACAACTCAATGATAACTTCAGAAGTTTTATCCATATTTAATCTTCCAAGTGAAAACTGGTATATTTTTTAGCAAAGAAGACTATTTTGCCTAAAAATGCCCGTGTCTTTTTGAAATATAATATACCGTCCCTCGATATAATAGTCTATGCCATAGTACATTAAACCTTTATATATCATTCGAAAGGATCAAAGAAGCAGAGTCAAATGAGGAAGAACGCTGAAAAACAATCGAAAACGATCATTAATATGTTCTCAAAGGAAACTTTGTCCTCTTATTATACTTTGTCCCATGAACATCTCAGACAAGATTTATCAGAAGCTTATCTGACTCTTCTGACTCTTTCTAAAAATCGATAAATTAAAGTCTGCTGATCTTTGAAATTTGAACACTGCCTTAAAATTTCATCATTTATTCACTACTGACTGAGTTCTTCACACACAAGGATCATGTCAAGCTCACGAAGCGCCTTAGTAATAACTTTTGAAGCATTATGCTTCATTGGCTTTATTTTACTTTTACCGTTTGCCTTACCTGTTTTGCTCGTATTACGAATTTACCGACATACAATGATGCACTTGATCAAAGAAAAGCATAAGGACGATGATATAATTTTTGTTACCGCTGATGATTCGATCTGGTTACAAGACTCGATAGAGAATCGATCAATCATTCATAGCGTTATTAAAGTCCTTGGTAAACCGGATGTTGAAAAGTATAAGAGTATATTTATGAATAAATTAATTAATCAAGACACAAAGACAGTTAAATATGAAAAGTTGGTCAGGTATGCGACAAATTTAAATGGACGATTTGTTTGGCTGAAAGAAGGAGATTTCAAGGTTGACGAACATGTGTATATGTCTAAAGAGAAGGAGGGGCAAAATGAAACGGAAACGTTTCAAATTTTAGCGGATATGGCTTCTAAACCCTTAAAACCGAACAGAGCTATGTGGGAATTTATTGTACTGCCGCAATACCAAGAGAATCAAAAACACCACTATTGCCTCTTCCGAATTCATCACAGCGTAGCTGACGGCGTGGGCCTCACTCAGTAAGTTTGATATGATAAAAATACAATAATTTCTTAATAGTTACTATAAATATATCGCTATTGATATCTTTTTGTTCAAATAGGATATTTTTTGAAGAAATTACTGATAAAATACCGAAGATGATAACTAAAGGAGGGGGATTTGGTACTAAATCAATGAGTGTTGAGCAGATTGTTAAAGCTATCTTCCGGGGACCTGCTAGAATATTTGAAAAACTATTCTTTCCCGCCGACAGTCACTGTTTACACGGACCGAAATTAACAGGAGTGAAAAACTTGGCTTGGAGTGAACCAGTTGATCTAGCCCTTATTAAAGAAGTAAAAGAAGCCACTGGAACAACTGTTAATGACGTTCTCATGGGGTGCTTGGCATTGACTTTCCGAGAATATTTTGAAAGGTACTTTTCATGTTTATTTATTGATACAAATAATTAATAGAATACATAAACGAACGATGAATTGCGAAGATGTTCTTTTAAAATGAAAGAATATCTGTATTAAACCAATAATTGATTGTAAAAAAAAGCAATTATATATCTCAATTCGTCTTACGTTTAGATCGTAGGGGTCGCTACTGATCAGCTAAATATATCTATTTATCTATGGAATTGTAGATTCTCCCACCTAGTCCCTAAGGAAATTAAATGCTACGTTCCGGTGGATTTGAGAAAGAAGGATAAATGTGCTGCAATGGACAATCAATTCTCTCTCCTAATCTTCCCTATGCCTATAGATTTAGGTTTGTAGATTTACTTTATATTGTCACTCTCTTTTTTGGAAGACAATTGAATCATATCACCAGACGGAGCTATCGATGTAAACTTTCGTTTTTTGGTCTTTGTTTACAGAGGTTGAAAATCATTTAGAATATGTTAAAGAAGTTAAGAAAAGGATGGATGAACTTAAAAATTCACCTGATCCAATTGTAGGATCTCTTTTCCTTAGATATGCTATGTCTCGATTCCCTAAATGGGTAACGCAAAAAGTATTTGATTTCCTTGCCGCAAAATGTACAATGGTGCTATCCAACGTTCCTGGACCTGCAGAGAGAATTAGTATTGGTGGCGAAGAAGTTGAAGGAATGATATTCTGGCCTCCACAAAGAGCCAACTGCGGTAAGTTTTTTTTTATAGATAATATATTAAGCCGTTATCAAACTTAATTTCTATCTTTCAATCATTCAAGTTAAAGTTGATCTTTGCTTTTTTTATATATATAGGCTTAGGAGTGTCAGTCTACTCATATGACAATCAGGTTCGCTTAGGAATATTCGTGGATAAAACTTTGACCTGCAATCCTAAAATGCTAACGAACATGTATCTTAAACATCTTAACAGACTGGTTGAACAAGTCAGGGAGCTGAAGAAAGTAAAGAACGAATAAATACACACCTACACACACATACACACACACACACACATATATATATATATATATATATATATATATATATACAGTATATATAAAGCTGGGTCAAGGACTAAAGCTGAAACGAGTTAAGAGTACTTTTTTTTATCAACAGAAGCATAAAAATATATTCATTTTCCTTGGAAAATTTAAATACATGAAGCTCCACCTAGCGGTCGCTTCATCATTTTATGCTTTTTTTTGGCTTATTACATAATATATTTTTACAATTCTGAAATTATGTTGACATCCTTTCCTTTATTATTAAGAAACAGAGAAAGAACTATTAGTTTACGAACTTTTGTCGTATCTAGGTAATATAGATCTAAACTTTTGCTCTACGGAAAACTAATAGCATGTATAATTGTAAACAACGAAGTATACAATCAATGGGATAAGATAAGAATTAAGAGAACTATAAAAAAAAAGGAGGGCGAAGGGGGCGGACTTTGAGTACATTTTTAACGGGATATCGATGATTTAGTCCCTCAAAGAGGTAAATTTGTTTCCAAGCTCTTAAATTTTCATCTAGAAGGGAATCGGATTATAATAGTCAGTTAGCGAAGAACTGATTACATTATACTTATAACGTAATATAATATCGGACTAGTAATAAAGTAAAATAGAGGGGGCGCTCAAGTGGAATTCTTATATATTACCACTTTCTACTATATCTATCGTTTGGTCAGAAATTATTTTCTGTATTCCTAAGTTGTTCCACAGATTAGATCATCAATCTCGTCTCTTTCTTATATTAAGTTTTATAAACATACGACAGCAATCACACAAAAGTCTTACTCAACTATCTGGAGAAACAAAATATTCTTTATTACAGTATAACAAGTCCAGTGTGAATGAAGGCAATCGTATCGTCTGCCTTCTCAGTATTAGTTTCAGTTTCTCTATGATTCAATGAATGAAATTCAATTTAGCGGTTTGTTTTTAATTTCAAATATCCCATTTCTTCTTCCGCTATCCCTAAGAGATATTTAAGTTTACAATGAATGATATTATCATAGATCTTAAAGTCGGTTAAAAGTCTAAAACAAAAACAAACTGAACTGCGTTTTAACCCTCTTTTATCTTATCCTACTAGAAATCGTTTAAAAGTTCTGCTTATCCAAATATAGACAGGCATAAAGTCGATTTTTTTATCTTTATGTTGCTATCTGTCTTTTCAATGGGGAGATCTATAGAATACGGTTAGGAAAAGGACGAGAGATAAAATGAAGTTAGCAAAAATGTAATAAAAACGAAGGAGAAAGAAGAAAGTATGTGAACGTCAGATGACTGTAAAAAACACTTAAGAGAGAAGGAAGAGAGAGGCGTTGTTTCCTACATTTCTCTTCCAACACTCTTTACCCTCGGGAAGAAATCTCTTAGTAAATGAATAAACAATGCAAAGGAAAAACGCGATTCTCTCTACCCTGATTGACGGCAGAATATAAGGCATTTATCTGTCAACGAATTAGAATGTTTAGAAAACTATTTTCATCGGTTTATCTTGCATCATTGCCTTTTTAGTTTTAAAAAAATAGAAGCAAAACTACTATAAAAAAGAATTTGTACCCGATTTGCAATGAGTGACAGGCTGTTTTGTTTCTATCTTGGACCTCCCTCTCTATTTCTTTAACAAACCAAAAACGAAAGGAGATAGACGATATAACTACAAAGGATCACCTACATTTCATACGTTAAATGATAGAAAAAAAAAAGTAAGATAGAATTTTCCTCAATTGATGTTAATAATGTAATTCTAACTAAGCCTATATTCGTCTGCCCTCCGTTTTATCTTCGTAAAGGCTGTCATCGGATCTCATTGTCATTTCTTTCACCTTTCCGGAATTTTCTCGTCTTTATTTCTTAATGCAATTTCCAAGATGGATTCAATGGAACCATTTAAAAACTTTTCTCGTTAGCCTTATCTTATCTAGTATATAAAGTAAATGATACATTTTTAAATATCCTTTTCTATCCATTATTCGAATTTAGTTTAGAAAGTGAATAGACAAATAAACAAAGGAGGAGGAGAAGGAGGAGAAGATAAAGTACCATCTTCTTAACAACTAATAGGAATTTATTGGAAGCTATAAAAAAATTGCTGAAGAAATTTTCGATTTTAATGAAGCCAGCTGCATTTATCCCTCATCCCAACATCTGCTTTGAATATTGTTCGATGGGGCTTTGGTAGAGTAAAAAACTGAAATTATATGCATATACAGTAACCTAAAACATTCAAAGTAACCGAGGCTTGTTCCATTTATATATATTTGGCTCATCGTTTAGATTTCGGAAACAATTGTTTGTAAAGCTTTGAATATAAAGATCAAACAGTAACTAAAACGAAGAGGATAGAATTTATACTGTACCAAAAGAGAGAGAGAAAGAGAGAGCGAAATAGATGTATATATACAGTAATACGTACAGTTTGTCACTCTATGGCTTTTTGATAGATTATTCAATGGTTGCATCGTTCGCATTTCTAACTGCATTTTAATCTTGATTAAATTTACAATGTAATTTAATTCTAAATCAATTTACAGCCGAAATTGGGAAACGGAACTGAAAAATATTCCTTCCTTTGTTATTTAAATAATACAAGACGTCTAGAGAATTACGAAATATATATGTTGATATAAAACTGAAATTATTTAGTTCATCTTTATTTTCAAAACAACATAATGCCTTTTTGAGTAGTGAAATTGTGAAAGAATATAAATAACATGCAAAAAGCTAAGCGTTATGGCATTAAATTCAAAAATATATTTGTTTATGTTACGCAATAGGTTAAGCAGTCATTAGTGGTTTAGGGTCTAATGCTATTATTCCTTTCCTCTCCATCAGAATTCTTAATGATTAGGGGGCGCCAATGTATGAGATAATTTACGACAATCTTTTCTAATATCTGAATCTAGTAAGTGTAGCTTGTAGATTTTTCCAGCTTGGTCTATCAGTAATTTCTTTTGAAAATGAACACTTTAATAATTCGTAAACTTCCCGTGGGCAAAAAGCTGGCTGTTCTAACACTTGACCCTGAAGGACGTGATGAGGAACGTCTAGTGTATCAATCTTATAGTAAGGAGTTTCTCCATTTGTTAAAACTTCCCATATTAAAACAGCAGCTGACCACTATAGAATGAAAAGAAGCAAAAAATGAACAATAATGTCATTACTTATTATAATAAGAATAACAAGTAAAAAGGATACGACGATCGAAAGTAGAACAGACTCAAATTTAGATACAATATTATCAGACTAAATTCAATCTGAGTCGAGTTACAAACGGACGAATACTATTTGTAAGAATGAATAACTTTATATTTATTGATTTCTCGCAAAAAAAAAGTCATCATAAATCTAAAGAATGGCAACATGTACTCCAAATGAATTACTATTAATAAATACACACAAAAAGAGCTAAATAGGTTGGATTAACAAGGCTAAGTTTGCTAAATACATATTATATATATATATATATATGTATATATTTATATATATATAAACTGATAGACCTTATTCTAAGTAAACAAAACCGACCTTTTGTCTATTTCTTCTGTAAATAATTTGCGAAAATTTATCTAATTATGAATCGTCTTATTTTTTACTATTAAAAGGTCAAAGTTTAATGCTTAAAATTCGTTACAAAACTCCAAAAGTTAGTTTTTTTTTTTTTTTGTAAGAAAAAAGTTTAAATTAATTCCAATTAACTTTAATTAATACTTAGAAATACTTTTGTATCATTTGAGCTCTTTGAAAGCAGAGTCAATATCTTCTCAATTTAATCATAAATTAATGAAGACATTAACTTTTTATAGATTAGACTAAAAGAGAAAAAAAAACAAGTAAAATAACATAAAAAATTTAAGGTCAAATAAAAAAAAAAAGATCAGAAGAGAATGAGTTACGCAGAGAGAGCGAAAAAGACAGATAGAGACGCAGTTTCCTTATACGGTGCCAAAGGGCTGTAAGCCGAGAAAAGCTGCCGCAGTCATACATAAATGAAATTTAGCCCCTCGCCAGTTTTTGTATACTAGTTGAACTTTCTTTCAGTTCAAATTGCCGACAGGAATGTCGAAAAATTTCTCTACTCTGTTTTTAGAATAAATCTATGAAACAACAACTTACCAACTCAGACCAAAGAGTTATTTTATAATCTACAAATAATTCGGGTGCCATCCATCGGATTGGTACTGATCTATTTCCACAGGCAGGTAATATTCCGTAGTCACTTCTATAGAGGTCTTTAGAGAGGCAATTATCAGCAATTTGAGTAGTTAAGTTATGAGATATCCTAATTATTTTATAATAATTCATAAAAGAGCATAAAAGAAATTATTGAGAAATAATTATACGAACACACAATTACGGCAAGCAATATCTCCGTGAAGAATACCGTATTTCTGATAAAGAATATTCAAACCTTCTAAAACTTGGTTTGCTACGAAAAGTAAATCATTTAGACTTAATGTTGAACCGAATCTAACTAAAAAGTTCTTCAAATTGTTTGCGGCAGGAAACAGGACAAACGGTTTCCTCAGGGAATCATACGTTAAAGCTATGGGTGACAATATATAATCATTTGAGACATTGCTGAAAGTCATGGCTTCTTCTAGAAACTCCGAAACATCTATAGGTGTTACATTGTCACCGTATAGGCATTTAATATGAACATTAACCATCTTGATCTGATGTGGAGGAAAAAAAATAGCCTTGCTAAGTTTACCAAAGAAGCCTTGTTCTATATCATATTGGATAGATAATTGGTCGAAATCGATTAGGTAGTCGTCGTAATTGCGTTTTCGTTTCGTACCAATCGATGGTAATTTCCATTTCGATTCTCGTTTAATAAGTTTTGTTTGCTTTTTCCTACGAAACTGCGAGTTTTTTCTCAAAAAACATATCACCATAATAATAAAGATGATGAATAGAAAGCCGAGTACCGTTGATAAGATTATGATAATTAAGTTAACATTATCATCATTTTCCGAAGAATCATCTAATAAAAGAGAAAGCTATTTATATAGAGAAAAACTTCTCTTTTTGTATAAAAATACATAAAAGACCCTTAGGAATGTCTTTAAATTTTTTATATCATGTGTCCTATTTAAAAACTTACCGGGTTTTGCTACTTTTTTCAAAAAGCCAAGTGACCAACTGAAATCAGCGCATTTAACTGTAACGTTATATTGAATATTTACATCAAACTCCAACACGTTACACGTTATACTGGAAGATGAAAGAGAACCTATTTTACATTCTTCCGAACCAATTTGTATTTTATAATCAGATATTTTTGCCGAATTTAAGTTTGTACCATTAAAAATAGCAAACTTTTTATAAGCTTCCAATTCATATAAATCTCTTTCAAAAACCTTTAACCGAGGGTCATTTAATACGGTTAAACTTTGGAAATCCGAATAGTAATCGACTTCGTCGAATAAGACACCAATATTGCCCTTTCCCTTAGGTAATCTAGGTAAAATACATTCCAAAAGTGTGTCAGAATCTAAAGTACAATTCTGTCGTTGAGACAAGAAAGAGAAAAGATAAAATTAGCAATTTTTTATTAAACATTCATTTTATAATTAATTTTCCCTCGGAAAACTCCTTTCAATATTTTAAATTATTCAAAAATGCTTCTTTTTACCGAGAGGAAAACTAACAAAAAACAACCTAGCTAAGTTTATCTAATATTAAGAACAAACCGTAGTAAAGTTTCCTTCAACCATTCTAATAATCATTAACGGATTAGTTGAATTGAAATCGAATCCTTTAACGCTGGCTATTAGACCACCGCTGAGTAGGAAAAAGTTATTTATGTAGATAAGGGGAAAATAGGTTTAGATTAGATCAAGGAAGAAGAAGAAAGAGAAGAGAGAGAGAGAGAGAGAGAATTTACCTTTCGAAAGTTTTTTCTCTATCAATTGATTCAATTTTTGGGACTGTTAAAAATGAAAATATGTCTTTCGATTCAACTACAATTTCATCATTCAACATCAACTTTAGCGGTCCGCTTACAGGTTCAGGAGAATGTCTTACAGTACATATCAGTTCTGTTCTTTCGAATATCCTATAAGAATATTTCGCAAATCAACAAAACGAAATCAATTCTTAAACAAGCCTATCAATTATATATAAATTAAAAAAAGTAATTTACCTTAGAACATTAGTAAAACATGGCTGTTCTGCAATTGTAATCCTATTTAAGATGTACTGGACAGAAAAAGATCCTTTTATTTTGATATTAATAATTGTATCTGCCTTTCTGGTCGAGTTAGGACTGAAACTTATAATTTGAATCAGTTCCTGACAAGAGGAAGAACCAACGTAAAGGGCAATGGTATTTTCCGGGCAAGGTTGGCAATTTGAATCATCAAGTTGACTACTTTTGAACATATTCTTTGGACAGGGCACACATTTATCTGACTGAATTTCATATCCTTTTGGACAGCCTTCTGCTGTTTTGGGTAAAGACATATTTGACGCCAAAGGCCTGTTGCAGTGCTCTATTTTCGTGGAACCCGGTTGGAAAGTTCCAAAACCCTTTGGGCATTGAATGCATAATCTAGTTTTTCCATCCCTATAGTGGTGTTGAGCGCAAGCTATACAACGACGATTGCCATCATTGAGCTCTGAATACTCGCTACCAGGAGGACAATCATCTAGAAAATGTTGTGCAATCAATATTACCGTTTCCGCAAATTCATTTAAAACACTATAGACACAGGTGAAAGTTTGTAAAATGTTATAAACCGTATACATAAACATAAGGAAATTAAGGTTAGCGAGTTAAAGCAAAGAAAAATAAAGGGAACTTATAGGTAACTCGTATGAATCGGTCGATTTTTCAAAATTTTTAATAATTTATTCGCCGTTTTACATATTTTACGTTAGTCGTGAACCTTGACGTATTAATTACATACCATTGATTATAAAAATTTACGCGCTCTTTGTTCTGTTTACTCCATAGCAAACGTCGATTATAACATATGAGTAATTTTGTTCAAATAAAGCCATCTGTTTAATTCACTTTTTTTAAGGGTCATAAAAGGGAAACAAATTCAAGGTTTTTTAAACAAACAATAGAATAAACATTGCCGCTACAAAGGGAAAAAGTGAATAAAAATCGAAATGCGCACCTGGAACGAAAAATGGAAGACCTCCATTAACACTCGGCAGGATACAATCGCTGATATTTGTTCCTCCTTTAAAGTAGTTAAATTTATTATCTGGACAATCGATGCAGCTAGACATAGTTTCGTTTCTTTAAATCCATAAAAAAGAAAAAAAATAGCAATGAATGGTACTTCAATAGACTATCTCGTCACGCTAAGTCTACCAAGCTAATGATAATTAAGGATATAAAAAGAAAAGTATTGAACAATTAACTATCACACAATTCTACTTTTATAATATTTTTGTAGCTCTCTTTTTTAAAAGATATAAATATTGTAGTCTAGATGATACATTCAAATAGGAAAAGTATCGTATTTGTTTCCTAATATAAATAAAGTAATTTCTTTACTTGAAAGACGAATATCCGCATGGTATGCATTGTAAATATTTCTTGTTCCAATGAGTTCCCGGTAAGCAATCCTCTTCCTTAAATTCCCTTTCAGAACAAATGCCATCCGGATGTCTGCACTTTTCGCAAAACATTTGATTTTTGTTAAACATTACTGTTCCGTTCAAACAAGGTTTACACCCTTCAACAGGGTTTGTTACTCTTTCTGTAAAATCTGGACATTGATAGTCTAAAGAAAAGAAATTTCCAACATTTTATTTTTTACATTTATAAATATTAAAGATTCCATAAGATAGTGACCTTTCCGTTGAAGTAATATTTTGTCAATTTCTGACAACTTCAAACATTGATTTTTATTTTTCGAACCACTTATTAAAGTCCCAAATTTAGGTGGACATTCGGGACAAACAGATGAACAGGCTTTACAATATTTTGACAATATATTTTCAGTACCAAGTGGGCAATTTTTATCTGTGAAATGTTATTACAATATATTTATTAGACTCGGGGCTAAACACATACGTATAGTTTATTTAAACTCAACAACACGTAAAGCCTACTTAGTCATTAGTCATTATTGACGAGTATAAACCCCAAGTCAGATGTCGTTAACCTATTCTTAATACCTAATTTTTGACTATATCGTACCTTTAACAGTGAAATATTCTTGTAGTGGAGGTGCAAGTATACAATCATCTCTGGAAGTAGCACCTACAAAGAAGTTTGTGGTATCCTCAGGACATTTCACACACCTCTCATTTTTGTAATATCCTCTTTCACAAATTACGCAAGCTCTATCAACACACTGCTCATCAGTTAAAACTGCATAGTTCAACGAATTTTGTTCAGAAAATCATTAAAAATTCAATCAATAAGAAAATAAACAAGTAGATTTACCTAAAATCACAAAGAAAACAGGTAACAGAAACCTCATATTATATCAGCAAAGTATAAAATTTAAAAAAAATCCAAACAGAAAGCTGCGCCACTCCAAATTGTTTCAATCGAACATTTTTTTCGCATATTCTAAATTGATTTCTTTTCCTCCATAAATACGCGATAGATGTTTGCATATTGATTCTAAGCGCTGGTTAGCTTACGATGTTTAATTACTCTTATCTTTCGGTTTTTTTATGCTAAATGTTTATTTTTAATCAGTGTACAGATTTGACAACAAGACAGTGCCAAAAAATGGAGTCAATTTCAAAATCGTTGAAATGCCCAAGTTTGTTATACAAAACACATACTTTCAGCTTAAGCTGTATTCATTATGTTTTAGACAGCAAAACCCGCCACGTACTGCAATAAAGCTGTTAGCAGGCTCGACGATCGAGAATAGCTAAACTGGATATATACAGCAATACGGCAAAACTGCTACCCGGCGTCTGTATATTACATACATAAATTTACTTTTAAATATAAATATATAGTCGAAATACACGATAAAAGGTGGTTATATGATTATTTGGATAATAATCATCAAAAATATACACAATACATTTTTACTTCATCAGCATTCCATATTTGAGGCTGGATTTCAGTAAACATTACTAACTGTACACTTACTACCAAATAAAAAACGTTGAAGTTTACGGTGAAATAAATGCTAATCACATGCAAAAAAAAAAAATAACAAAGACTCTTCAAGCTTGAAAGTCGCAAAAGAAAGAAACTTAACCTTTAAGCTTTTCTGGCCTCTTAGCAAAAACACGAATCCAGCCTTCTTTTCTCCTATTTCCACCTAATAATCTCTAGGGGACCTTGATCCGGAATGCGATTGCCTTTTCGGGCTTCTGCTGCTTGAATGTTCCCTACTATCCTTCCTTCGTTTTCCCCATTCTCGACTTCGGCTTCTCGATCTTCGACGTCTCTCCTTTGATCTGGATCTGGATCTTGAATACGATCTTCTATACTCATCACGACTGAGGATGAACGGCAAATGTACAATTGTGTTAAAAAGTGAAAAAATAATTTGTTTTAAGTTTCAAATATCCTATTATTCTTTTTAATTATATTTTCAATTATAAGTACTCTTTTTCAAATAGTTAGGACATAACAACCTAGTAAATGAAAGCTGGTGCACAAGTTTACAATTCACTTTTGTAATTATGAGTACACCTAGCAATGTCATTCAAAACTCATCAATAGCCACTGAATGCACAAACTCACCGGCTTCTACGGCGTCTGTCACCCCTTCTTCCGTCAGTTGGCCTTCCATATCTAGCAAGTTGAATTCTGATTTCTCTACCATCTAATACGGTTCCATCTAAACGATCCATAGCATCTTCTGCATCTCTTTTATCATAGAAACGAACAAAGGCGTAACCTCGGCTTTCTTTAGAATATCTGCAAGAGCATTGTGAAAAAAATAGCTTTAATACGGTGTCCCCTTTAGCCAGGCTTCGTATAGTTCTTCTCTAAATTATTTCTAACACTTAAAGGAGCTTCTCCAAGAAGCAGAGTTTAAACTTACCTATCCCTGGGAATATAGACGTCGCCGACGTCACCATGTTTCTCAAATGCATGACGTAAATCCTCGATCGTTGTTCGATAAGTTAAATTATCGACCTTCAGAGAAGTCATGGAACTGATATCTGGGGGACTTCTAGAGTTATAACTCATTTTTCGCGTTTCTTTCGGCTATGGTTATTTCTGCACGTGAAATAAAATGGCGACAGGAAACCTACTCTCGCATTGGCGACAGGAAACGGAAACACAAACAGCAGATACACAACTTCCGGTAACGCGGGTTGCGGTCAATCTATCTACATTCCTTACAACTTTGTATTAATTTTTTTCATTTTAATTGAAATTAATTAATATTAAGCAGAAAGTTCAATTGGAAGTTATTATTGGAAAAATCTGACAAAAGCAGTATGAATAAATCTCTTATTCCTGTCGATTCAAATATGATATATCATCGCATCTTAACAACGTTAAATATTCTTGGATTCGATGCAAAAACTAAAGAGAAAAAGTATAAAATAGCCTTTACTAATAAGTAAGTGTTGATTTTTTTCTATAGTATTGTTCTATTGAAAATAATTTCTCAACTTTCACTCAGGGATCTTTTCTCAGTTCTGAACAAAACAGCATTTGAAATAATAATGCATTTTCTCTTTTCTAAGTTATCGGCAGAAAGAACTGTAGAATTGTTCAAAGACTGCTGGCCTGTGGAAGATAAGAAACAAGACAAAGAATTTCGAACAGTCTGCTTTGATTGGATCGAAGATATTCGTAAGGTAATCATTTATCTAATCGTTTATTAATTTATGGAATATTGAATTTACTAAATACTCCAGAATGATATTGATTCAAGAATACCACAAGTATCAAAAACCGTTCTAATGTCGCCAACTGGAGCTAAATTTCTGCAGTTTTTATTCTATTTTAGCGAGTATGTCCTTCGTAGGTCTATCCTCACAATGAAAGGTAAAATTCACATTTAACTGCTCATTCATGAAATAAACTCTGTTTTTTTCTTCTGTAGGCAAATCGTCATCCGCCATTCTTCAACCACCTATTGTTGAAAAGAAAATGCAAAAATATACAAAAGTTCAATCAAATATACTTTATTGTGCCTGTGAAGACGCTAAACGAAAACTTTTGAAACAAACACAAGTTATAAATAACTCACAAAAAGAATGGAGATCTTATGCAGCGTATGTAAAAGTTTATTTGATGTAAATAAGAATCTATTCATATAATTACTCGTTTCAGACAATTGGTTAAAGAGCTAAAAGCAAAAGAAAAAGCAATTAAAAATTTAGAAAGTGTAAAACATGATCAAATTAAACAAGTAGCAGCACATTCAGGTGTTCGTCAGATGCTTACATCTGTAACTGATTGTACTGGAAATTTACATATGGATAAAAACTGCTTAAAAGCACGAAAATTATGGAATCGGTTGGAAAAGATTAATGCTAATTGCTATAACTCTATGAGAAATTTATCAAATGAAAATGCAGGAGAGCATACAATAGATGCTGATCATTTAAATATACAAGTACCTAGTGTTTTATTAGATAATGCAGAAGACGAATTACGAAAGGTTAATTACTGTTTACTCTCTTGAGAGCTTTCAAATATATTTTAATATTTTTATTCAAATTTTAGGCAAAAATTGAGCAAATTTTCGAAAATGGAAAATTGAACTTTGTTAACTTCTTAAAGTTGAGCAATATTTCCATGTGCCTTTTAGGAAAAAAACTATCACAAGGTATAATTAATAACAATGCTTCTTTTGTGATACTTATGTTTAATTTCATCTTTTATCAACAACAAAAGTGCCCTTTCAAAGTTTGTCAAAGGAATTAAATACTTTGGAATTATCTCAAAGATCAAGATTTAGCGATATATCAAACCTAATGGACTTAAAAAGTACTTTAGAAAAATTATGCTCTGATCATTCGGAAAATGTAAGTCAATTACTATCTGAAGGGTTTTCATCCACGCCCAGCGGAAGTCATGTTGTAAGTGCCATTAATTTTCATTTTATACTAAAAGCTTCCATCTTAATGAATTATTTGTTCTAAAAGAAGCGACGAACCAAATACACTCTTGCTCCGCCAACTCCACCAATAAGTTTTGAAGCATTTGAGGGGCCAACCCCTGAGGATGCTAGATTCTTACGCAAAAGTTTAGGAAATATGAATAGAAATGGTATAATAACATTAATATTTTAAAGTATTTAACGTATTTAACAAGCGTATTTTTATAATAATTAGGCGAAACACCCGAAATGGCCGAAGCTATTCTAAGAAAACTTGAAACAAAGGCAAAACCTAAACATAGTAAAATTAAAATTGAAAAGGAAAAAGACTTAAAGACTTCGGTTATAAATCCAAAATTAAAATCTCTAAGGTAAACAATTGATCAAGTTATACTTTTATTTTTAAGCAATTAAACTGTATTCTTTTTACTATTGCAGAACTGATATGTCTAAATTGAATAAGGCGCCAGTGTTAAAGAAACGAACTGAATTGAAGCCTTCTGGCGTTAGTGTACCTAGAAATAAATGCTTTACACCTCAAGTTAACAAGTTTGGAAAGTCTGCATGCTTAGTTACATCTTGTGCTGAAGATAAAAAGGTTGAAGAGGGAATTAGTGAAACTGTTCAAGATTCACCGTCACTTAAAATGGATCAAATGGCAGTAAGCTTAGTGGAAGGGATGATGAATGAGTCTAAAGACGATGAATTCTCAATGGAGACCAGATGCAAACTAAGCTTCAATGAAGAAACCGAAAAATCAAGCTCGCTAGAAGATAAACAAGTATGTGAAAATGTTCGTTTGGTCGATTTAGAAGACGATGCAGATAAAGAAAATTATATTTCGAATGAAGAGTCAGATAATAGTGAACAAATCGAAGATTTAATGCATGACGATGAACGAATGTATAATTCTGATGATGTTATCTTTAATGAAGAAGTTAACAAGAGCGACGATGGCGATAACAACAGTTGTGATGAAAAAGATAACAGTAATGAGAACGACGACGATGATGGTGATGGTGCTGATGAGGATGATGATGCAGATGATGAACTTTTGAATGAATCTGAGGATTTGGATGACGATTCGGCTGTTGGTACTAATACTCCAAGCTTAACGCCAAGAGAAGGTGCAAAGTGTCCATCTCCCACCTCTTCTATATCAAACAAATCTATTGAATCGAATCACTTAGATGTCGATAGTATTATCAAAAGGGCTAAGGAGAGATTAAATCATTCTCCTGGTCCTTCGAGTAATATTCAAGGTTTAATAGGAAGATTCGAAGAAATACGGAAAAGGGCAGGATTGCAAACTCTCTCATTTCGACAAGAAACGAATTCAGTTGAATTTAAACAGAGTGTCAGCTTTATTCAAGAAGAACTGGTAACAATGGAAAAAGAATCTGAAGAACTACTAAATTCGCCTGAAATGAAAGCAAAATTTAGTACAACACTCTTCTAACAACGGCAGTACAACAAACATGTATATTTACATATTTTTTTTTACAATCATCTATTATTTGATATCCTATCTCTTGTAGATATTTGTATATAAAAATTTGTTATTTCAAAATATATAATCTACATTTAATATTAAAAGAGAACCTAATAAATAATAGGAATATTATGGTAAAATCAATAAGCGAACTATAAACTAATATCTTCTTTTAACATAGTAAATATATTCTATGAAGTCCAATCAAAAGATTTTAAAAAGAAATAAGCCAATCCTTTAGGCATTTAATCAATATTTTAAAAATAAATAATACCTTTTTTTAGATCAATAATTTTTTAATTTTGTTTATTGGAAAATTATGATTGATACTTGTTTATCTAATTAGTGTTTTGGAGAAGTTAATTTGTTAAAGTGTATCATTGATTTTCTCTACATACTTGTAAAGTATAAGACCTTCGTAAGAAGGAGATAAGAGAAGGGAATAGTATGAAGAGAGACGGAATGGGAAAGAATTTAGTACATTTTGATTAAATAGCGATAAATCCTTTAAAATAAATATAAAAATATTGATAATCTATTTAAAAGATCTCTCGTTTCTAATATAAAACTATTGATTTTCTTAAAAAAATAAATAATATACCTTAAAGTTAGAGTAATTGACAAATTAGATCTTTTATTCTTTTTGTATTTTCTGCATGCTTCGTATTTAACAGAGTTCATAATTTCACAACTAGTGCATTAAGACGAGAACATGCTAAAGTATAGCAAATCTTTTTTTGATACATAATACATAAAGAAAACATAACATTGAGTTTTCTTTCTGATATAAAGATAATATTTTAAATTAAATATTAAAACAATAGATAAAAATCTTTCAATGTTTCCTTAAGTTTTCTTCTTTGTTTTTTGAATATTACTGAAGTTATGCAGTTTTCTATTATGACGTTTAATGTTATTATTTTTGTTTTTTTCCCTTTTTTCTTTTTGACATAATTATCTAATAGTAGTAGCAACGTAGAGATCTGGAAATTAGGCACAAACTAAACCTTCGTTGGTTCTCATTTGGGAGGAAGCGCTGTATGTTCTACCGATCTGTTGAGAAGTCATTGCGTTCTTTCCGTTTAGTGGTTCGTACCATTTGTGACCTATATCATCTTGATCTCTATAGCTATACTTAGACTGAGTTGTGTCCAAAATAGCTGCTGGACATATATCTGACTGCTTCTTTACGTATTCGGTTCTATACATGGTCTGATCGTCGAAGGGAGCATCGCTTCTGATACCACCCTCTGAGGGTCTCATAGATTTTCTTGGTGCTTCATTATATTTTACGTAATCTTTCTTGTAGGTTGGAAGACCTTCGAATGGAGCTTCTGGTGGACTATAATCTGGCTTCATAACTGGTTTCTCTCTCTCCATATTCCATTTCTTAAAGTCCTCTCGGTAATTAGTCTTATCATCAAAAGCTCCGGGAACTTTCTTTGCATCTACTGGTCTCATAGACTTAGGTTTAGCTAAAGGTTTCTTTGTGAAGTCGGTCTTATGAGTAGTATAAAGCTCAATATCGCCTTCTGGTTTTCTGTATTGATCTGGTTCATGAACGAATGGTCTCTCAGCATCCCATTTCTTAAAATCGTTCCTATGAGTGGTAGTATCTTCCAGTGGCGCTCCGCTCTGGAAAGCAGACGCATCGGGTTTACAACTCGCGGTAGGGCCACCAAATTTCTCTGTGTAGTCTTTTTTATAATTAGACAAGCCATCCAAAGGAGCTTTATTGGGTTGCCAAGCTTCCTTATGTTTAATCTCTTTCTCAGGTAGAGGATGTTTAATGTAATGATCTCTATAACCAGTTCTATCATCGAAGGGATGATCGGAGCCCTTCGCCACATCTAGAGGCTTCATTGACTGCCTTGGGGGTTCATTGTATTTGACATAGTCTTTCTTATAGGTTGGAAGACCTTCGAATGGAGCTTCTGGTGGACTATAATCTGGCTTCATGACTGGTTTCTCTCTCTCCATATTCCATTTCTTAAAGTCCTCTCGGTAATTAGTCTTATCATCAAAAGCTCCGGGAACTTTCTTTGCATCTACTGGTCTCATAGACTTAGGTTTAGCTAAAGGTTTCTTTGTGAAGTCGGTCTTATGAGTAGTATAAAGCTCAATATCGCCTTCTGGTTTTCTGTATTGATCTGGTTCATGAACGTATGGTCTCTCAGCATCCCATTTCTTAAAATCATTCCTGTGAGTTGTGGTATCTTCCAGTGGCGCTCCGCTCTGGAAAGCAGACGCATCGGGTTTACAACTCGCGGTGGGGCCACCAAATTTCTCTGTATAATCTTTTTTATAGTTAGACAAGCCATCCAAAGGAGCTTTGTTAGGTTTCCACATTTCCTTTTCTTTAATCTCTTTCTCAGGTAGAGGATGTTTAATGTAATGATCTCTATAACCAGTTCTATCATCGAAGGGATGATCGGAGCCCTTCGCCACATCTAGAGGCTTCATTGACTGCCTTGGGGGTTCATTGTATTTGACATAATCTTTCTTGTAAGTTGGAAGGCCTTCAAACTTAGCATCTGGTGGTGAGTAGTCAGATTTCATGATTGGTAGATTCCTCTCCATCGGCCACTTCCTATAGTCAGCTAAGAATATAAAAGGTATTAGAATAATTGAATAAAAAAAGAATCGACAGTAAGGTGGACTATGAAAGCATGTTGTAAAATCTTACTTCTATATGTTGGTTCGCCTTTGAACGGTCCTAAAGATTTCTTTAAATCCGCCGGTTTCATTGGTTTAGCCCTATTAATTTGTTTTCCTAAGAAATATCAATAATACAATGACTTTTTATGTCGAACGATCAATAAAAAATTAACTTACGATCAAAATCTTTACGATAATTAGTCATTCCTTCAAAATCTCCTTCAGGAGGTTTATAATCTTCACTTTGGTGAACATGAGGCCTCTCAAGAGGATGCTTTATGAAGTCAACTCTATTTGAAAAAGAAAATAAATGAAACGTTATAGGCAACCAAAAAAAAAAACAATTAAAAAGACATTAATAAGAATTTTTCAGCCTTTTTCTTATTGTTTTAGTGACATCATTCCACTAATAAGATTGGAAAGTCGCGTGAATGTCTCAATATATATCAACAACATTTATAATAAAATTCAAGATTTAGAGATAAGTTGCTTTTAGATCACTTTTCAATAATCATAAAAAACAGTACAAGTGTTTATGATTTATAGACACAATTTGTTTCCTTTTATAGATAAGACTTATCTTTAGAGTATAATATCAGTTACTATTAAAATAAACTACGTAAAAATTTGTCTATAATAGTATATGATACAAGCGTATTAGAGTAAATTTTCTGTTTAAACTAATTATCTATGGATTGACAGGTCTTACCTATGGGTTGTTTTATTGTCCAGTGGTTGATCACTACGGAAAGCTGTTGCGTCCGGCTTAGCAGTTTTAGTAGCTTGAAGAGGGTGTTCTCTATATCTCTGGGCATATTCAGTTATTGGACAAGGTCCACTACTTCTTGCTCTTAGTGGCCCTCGTGAATGAAGTGGGCAATGATGTCTCCTATATGAATAAGATAGAAAATAATGCAATGATATAAATCCATTCAGTCTTCATATTCCAAAACAATAGGAAAGAATATCAAAACAAAGAATTAATCGTCTTACTAACCCGCAGTTACAAATCTGACATATACAATACTTCGTCATCTTTTATCCAAAATGTTTTTAGATACCTTTTACCAAAAATCAAATTAAATCAAACGCTTCTAGTGCAGCTTTTGTTTGAGTTGCTCCCGGCACTGCACTAGTTTTAGAATCGGCATGTTTGCTTTGTAACCATTGACGACTAGAATTTAGTTCTCAATAAATATACTAAAAAAGATTTTCTTTTTACTTATAATCTTTCATAATTTAAATATTATTATGAATTAATTTAAAAAATTCTAATTAAAATTTTTGTAACCGGAAGTTTTTAATTTGCTTCCAGAAATCTAAAAATTAATATTGAGCACTAAATAGAAAAGAACATGCTTGTAATTCTGGCGGGAAAGTTAATAACAAATTACGCTTACGTTTACTGTTCATATTTTTAAGAAATTGAATAATATTTTTAATTTAGTGATTTATATGAAAAATGCTTTAAAATACTATAATATTTCCAGTATTCTATCCAATTTTATTAAAAAAAAGAAGAAAAAGAATCTTTAACAATAGAGATTAAGGGAACTTTTTAAAGATACAATAAATAGTATATGTTATGGTTGATTGATAAAACTGAAAAAAAGGACTTTCTTATTGACTTTACATTCAAAAAGATTCTTGTTAAATGGTATTTTTTAAAACATAAATTGTTTGTATTTGTACAAATGTTTAGTTATCGCTCTTTTAACTTTTATTAGTTAAAACAAGTTTCAATTATTGTTCGTGTAAATTTTTATGTTACTTTCCCATAATTAAACATTGACCCACTGAATAGAATATTGTCTAGAGTTTTTAATAGGTTGGAAAGTATTGTCTTGTCTATCTCTTTAAAATACCTTTATAAGAATAATAAGTTTGGGCCTCAATCCTTTATTGAAAATTACTTTTTTCCATATTCAGAAAGTGATCAATTGTTAAGTGTGTACAAATGCTTTTAAATTAAATGTCCTTTTCTGAACAACACGGCTAACATACTCGTTAGGATTTCTTGAGTACTATTCTTAGCTAGGTTAATAAGGTGCTTTCTCAATTCTATAACGTATTAGCATTTGTAGGATAATCCTATAAACGTCTTTTTTTGGCTCTTATTTAGAGCTTAACTATAGATATCTTATGAAAGAGATCATATTTGTTCTAGACTGCTTCTTTCTACATTTTTTTAATGTATCAAAAAAAAACTTTTACTATTTAAAAAAAATTTATTTGTACTTTATAACCAATATTATAAAAGATTTCGTTTAAATATTTTTGAATAGTAGTGACACCTAGATTAATTAATTTTGAAAGTAAAAGCTGTGAGAATACGTACATTTCTTTTTTTTAAATATCTAAGTATCATTTGGATAAGAAATGTCGAACGAAAAACAAAATTTTGATAAAAACTCGCGCAGCAGTGGTGACGCATATCAGAATCTTTGCCGAAGCAAAATGGCGTCGTGTGATGTTCAACAACAAAGTTTATATAAACCATTGAATACACCCCAGAAAATTGAAGTTCTGGGTAAAATAGGTTAGCATATATGTAGATCTATCATTCCTTTTAAATTTAATTGTAAAAATTGTTATTTTCAACATTTTAAAAATAAATTTAACAATGACGTCCGGTGCTGAGTCAGTATTCTCCAATTATCGCCCATTATATCTATTTTGAAAACAAAATCCATCTCAACCACAAAATTCTTAGTACAATATTATTATTAACGAGAAATTTTTTATATTAAGCCAATTAAAAATAGTATTTTTAAAAAATATAAAGGCCAGATTATTGTCCAATTTCACTTTGTAAAATATTCTGCGTCATGTATCCTTTGAAATGTGGAAAAAACCGTTTGAGATATCCGATATAATATAATTATGAAAACATTATAGTGAAGAAAGATGTGGACGAGCAAAAGGAAGATGAAATTAAAACAAAGGAGCAAGCTATCATAGAGTTAGGAGATTTATTTGCATCTACAGGAAAGGCTGATGAATTGGCGGGTTTAATTAAATTTACTAGACCATTTCTGCGTCTTGTTAGTAAAGCAAAGGCTGCAAAACTTGTTAGAAGTTTGGTAGATAAGTTTCTAGATATGGAAGCAGCCACGGGAAAGGAAATAATCTTGTGTCAGGAATGCATTGAATGGGCAAAGGAGGAAAGAAGAACATTCTTGAGACAAGCACTTGAGGTAAGTCTAGTCTATCATATTTTTTGAGCCCATATTAAATATTTTGAAGTAAATAAAAAAGCTAGAACTAAAGCAAAATACTTGAAATTTTTAAATATTTTATTATATATCATTTAATCCCTTAATATTTTTTTATTTAGGTAAGACTTATCGACCTATATTATCGCTCCAACACCTTCGATTCTGCGATAAAATTAACAACCAATCTACTGCGAGAATTAAAAAAATTGGATGACAAAGCCCTTTTGGTTGAGGTTCAATTAATTGAGTCTAAAACGTATCATGCGTTGAATAATTTTGCTAAAGCAAGAGCAGCATTGACATCAGCGAGAACTACAGCTAATGGAATTTATTGTCCACCGAAACTACAAGCAGATCTGGATGAACAATCGGGTAATTTAATAAGTCTTATAAGTTAATGGAATTTCAAATTATACTAAATTTATATTTTAAAGGAGTATTGCACGCTGCCGATGAAAAAGATTTTAAAACAGCTTTTTCATACTTTTATGAAGCTTTTGAGGGATACGATTCAATTGATAGCCCAAAGGCTGTAATATCCCTCAAGTACATGCTGTTGTCGAAAATTATGCTGAACCAGCCTGATGAAGTACAGGCTCTTGTAGGCGGAAAATTAGCTTTAAAATATAAAGGTCCAGAAATTGATGCTATGAAAAGTATAGCAACAGCAGCAAAGAAACGATCTCTAGCTGACTTTAAAAAAGTACTCTTTTCAAATACGATTGTTGATCTTTTATTAATCAATATGTTTCTCAAATAGACTGTCGAGCAATATAGGCAGCAACTTCAACAAGATAGAATTGTTCAAAGTCACTTGGATTCTTTGTATGACAATTTGATGGAACAGAATTTATGCCGTTTGATTGAACCATTTTCTCGCGTTCAGATCCAGCATATTGCCAATTTAATAAAATTGCCCCTGGTAGTAGCTCCACAAATACATATGAGATAGAGGAAAATTTAATACTATTTATCTTTTATAGGATACTGTAGAGAAGAAATTGTCTCAAATGATATTGGATAAGAAGTTCACTGGAATATTGGATCAAGGTACAGGTGTTTTGAAAGTTTTCGAAGAGCAACCAACAGACGAAACTTACGCCAATTCTTTGGAAACTATACAAAGTATGGGAAAAGTAGTCGATTCATTGTATAATAGAGCAAAAAAGTTGTCATAACGGCCAAGACCATCTTATTCACAAGCAATATTCACTTAAAACTTTAAAAAAAATTCCCTTTTTTTTGTTTTTTTTATTGAAAGAGGAGTAATGCTTGTAAAAAGAAAAAAAAAACAACATTAACCTGCTGTTTTGTACAACCCAATATTGCCTTTAAACCTAATGTAAGGAAGGACAACGAAACTTTAAATAAAATTTAATTTAATAAACCAGTCAATCAAACTATTTTCTTTGAATGTACGTTCGTTCCTATGCAATAAAACAAATATTCTTTTTGCCTTTACTTAAACTTTTAAGACAATCAAGAGAGAGATAATGATATTTTCGCCTGTCTTCAGTTTTTTTCTTAATAGTTTGAATGAAATATGTTTTTTGCCCAAAATATCCATCTTTTTTCGTCTAGTAAAGTTTTCTGCTAAATTTTTATTTGTTTGTGTATACTTTTATATAAATTTTTTTTCTTTTTTATTTAAAGTTGCACATTGTCGGGCTAAATCATTAAAACTTCAATAAATTTACTAAATTTTTGTGAAAGTTGATATCCTGTATATTTATTAATTATATTAAATAATTTCTAATTTTTTAAACAAGCATTTTTAGCGAAATATTACAAAAAAATTTTCAATTTACCAGATTCTTTTCAAAGTTGAGGAACATTTACTAGAAAGACAAGGTGAAGGACACAATACCTGGTCATGTGACTGAAAATGTGTCACTTTTCTAATAATATCCTTGAAAAGTAATATAATGCCTATAAATGATCTTAAAGATGTTGAAATTGATGCAAAAACGAACCTACGATGTACTATCCCATCGTCACGGAATTTTATTTCTTATGCTGGGTGTTTTTTTACTTATAATATCTGCTCTCCAATTCGGTGAAGTATGTTAAGGTTTACCTGCAAAAAGGTTGCGAATAATTGTACATAATTATTTAAAGGTTGTTCTAGAATGGAGTACGGAAAAATATCAAGCAGTTTTCAACTCATTTAGTGATAATATTGCTAGAAAGTCATTCCAAAAAAAGTAAATATTCTAATATTAAAAATCTTAACAATACTATGTTAATTTCATATTTATATATATAATAGCTTGTGTCATCCTGTGCCAATTGATATTGTATATACATGGGTTAATGGGTCAGATCCTGAATTAATAAAGGACGTATATCTCCAAAGAAGATTGTTGGAAAAACAGTATAACGCAGCTTCGTATGCAATATTTGATTAAATTTTGATTTTTAAAGCTTTATCCTGATAATTTATATTAAAATGATTCTATTTATTACATTAATATATCTTATATACTGTCTATATTTATAAATCTTCTTCGAAATATCAGAGTCAATGGTAGCGTGTGCAGTTTGGAAAATTGTTTTCTAATGCCAACTCTTATAGTTCAACCGACTATATCTGATACTTTACAACTACCCAATCTACAGGTAATAGTTATTATCTAATTATAATGAAATAAGAATAATTGTTTTCTTTGAACAATAAAACAATAAAAGGCCGTATTTAAATCATTGCTCAAAGCCACTAAACTGTATAAGGCCGACATTAAGGGGGAAGGTAGTAAAACTCTAACAGTTATAACATTTAGAAATATATCTGATGGTAAGTAATCAATTTTCTAATATAATATATCTTTATTAATTAAAAAGTTGATTAATTAACTATAGCCAAAGTTACTAAAGCTCATGGTCTTACTGTTGATACAAGTATTAACACAACAGCTACATTAGCCTTTGTTGTAAGTTCTTATAAAAAACCATTTAATTTAAGAAAACAAAAGTTAGGTATTAATTACTTTATACTTTTTCTCATTTAAAAACAGACCTCTGACAATTTTACACCGGTATCCGTCGAAGTAAAAGACACAGTAATCATTACTCAATTCAGAGGGAACTACTCATTCGATTCTTTCGATTCCTACTTGAATAAAGAATTTTTAAATAAAATCACCTATGTAAATACTATCTATCCGATTAATAAATAGGCTAGACATTTATCGTTTTCTCATCAATTATAGATTCAGAAAGAAACTGAAAAGCAGACTTATATAGTTCAATTTAAAGAAGATAGATACGTTTCATCATTTATAAACGTTGGTAATCTTTTTCCGAAGCAACAACAAACATAATGACATAATAAATTCGTTTATCCTTTTGTTTTTTATGAATAGAAATATTCAAACGACTCTTCATTTCCATCCATAAAGAAGGCCTATCTAGTTTGGGATTCAACTAAGGTTTGTTTTACAAACATTATTTTTGGATTAATGAAATTCTATTATTAATATTATTATTATATTATTCTGAATAGGGTTTGCTACAGGATATCATTGATCCTAACCGATTTGAAGATAATGAAGAATTACGCTATTCCTTGAGATCGGTTGAAAAATATATGCCATGGGTTCGCCATATTTATATTGTTACTAATGGACAGGTAAAGAATATGCTTACAATAATATTTATATATGATAAATGAGACATTTCTATAAATAAAGATTCCGTATTGGTTAAATATGGATAATGAAAGAGTTTCCATTGTTACTCATGAAGAAATATTCACTAACAAATCTCATTTGCCAACATTTAGTTCGCCAGCAATCGAAGCTCATATTCATAAAATTAAAGGATTATCAGAAAAATTTATCTATATGAATGATGACGTTATGTACGGCAGTAGAATTTGGCCGGATGACTTCTATTCGCAATCGAATGGGCAAAAAGTTTATTTAACGTGGTCAGTTCCAAACTGTCAGGAAGGTTGTCCAACAACATGGATAAAGGATGGATATTGCGATAAGGCTTGTAATAATACTGAATGCGATTACGATGGTGGAGATTGTATAGGTACGTCCGAAGACTTTTTTCCATTAAATTTATTTTTAAAGGAATCAATTGATAAAGGGATTTAATTTGTTTTCAATAGGAACTGGAGCAAAGAAAGTAGGTGCTCAAGGTCAGGGTGGAGGAGGAGCAGGTTTAGCTCTTAGAGACCCTATTCCACAAAGTATAATAAAAATATTATATTATGCATTAAAGTTGATACTTTGATTTGTCATCTAAAGCTTTCTGCCATTCCGGTTGCGCTGATACTTGGCTGGCTGATCGTTATTGTGATCAGGTAAAATCATATTTACACCATTTATCATACAAATTTATATATAATAACAACAATTGAACTTAAGGCATGTAACGTTCTTGATTGCGGTTTTGATGCTGGAGATTGCGGTATAGAAAATTATGGAAATATTTATGAGATTGAATTTAAACCAGATATAAAAATCTATAATATTCCAAATGGCGAAAAGTCTGCATATTTAAATTTAACAAAATCTTTAACAAAGAATATGACATTTAATTATGGAGATTTTGAAAATGAAAATGGAATTAGAACAGTTGTTTACGCTAAGAAATTTTCTTTGATTATAGTTGTATTTGACGCCTTTTCTAATGAGACGAATTTAGAAATCAATCTAAATATTGGTAAAAATAATTCAAAGGTTTGTAGTTGTATGTAGGTAAAAAGAAACGCTAATATTTTTTATTAAATTAATTAGGCGTTTCACTTCGAAATTAGAGCTAAACCTAATGGAGAGAGAGAAGTTAAAACAACTCCCAAAGTCAATATTGATAAAATATACTCGTTTACTGGTATACCCGATGAATTAAGGTATATTATCTGCTCGAAACAGTTGACAGATTATGTAATATTATGTAATATTAAATTAGACAACCAAAAGCTCAAAAATATTCAATCCCCGAACACTTGACACTTCCCCCAAGGAATTTAACTGATCAAATTCTATCAGAAAATTCAAGTTTAACCTATATGTACAAAGAATTGTTAAGGATGAAAGCGGAAGGACAGTTGACAGACAAGGGATTTAAGTATAAAGTAAATGTTCTAGTTAGAAAGTTTGATGAAGAGTCGAAACTCTCTCATTTGAAAATATTGGAATCTCAACAAAAGCAAGATGTTCCTCAGGAAGACTTGGACAAATATATAAAAAAGGGAAGAAGATTATTAAGCATCAAGGATTTACCTTTTGAGCAACCTCAAAATTTAAATGGAGCTTTGCCTTGGGAAAAACAAGGAATATTTAACAACCTAATTAACGTTAGATTGCTAATAGTATTAATATAATTGTAAATAATTTCCGTGTTTTACTTACAGATGAAGGAGAAATCCGAAAGAAGAACAGAAGAATACAAAATAGATCGTTTTAGGGGTCGACATCTTTTGGATACGTACGCCGAATCCCTTCGTCACGTTAATAGAATTTATAACAAAGCATTCGGTTATTCTCCGAGGAAGGTTCCAGCTCACATGGCTCATATGATTGACAGAAATGTTATGTACGAGTTGCAAGAAATATTTCGAAAAGAATGGGACGATACTTCATCAAGAAAAATTCGAAGTAGTAAAGACATGCAATTTTCATTTACGTACTTTTATTATTTAATGAGCGCTCAAAATAATTTTTCAATATCTGAAATATTCAATCAAATTGATACCGATTCTTCAAGGTAAATAATAACATTTCTTCGCACCGCCCCCCGCCCCCTCCCCCGTTTTTTTGTCCCTAATCAGAGACGGATTATATATTTCAGTATCCTATCGGATCGGGAACTTCGTACACTTGTTACAAAATTATATAAATTACCGATAGACGTTCATGTAAGAATAGGAGTTAATATATAGTTTATTAATTAATTAATTAATAAGAATTACTTTTACAGACTTTGAACTCGTTCGAAAATGCATTAATTAATTGTTCATACGAATTTCCTGAGAATATATCGAATAGTATAAAGAAAGAAGTTTATTATTTAAACAAAATGGTATACAGTATATATATAATGAATTATTTTGTTGACTATATGTAAAACATAGCCACAAGTTACGAAATATTTATTAGAAAATTGTGAACCGATTTTAAAGCTTATTAGAAAAGCTTCATTTAATTTAAATAAATATAAGTAAGTTAGAAATAAAGTCATTTCTTATTATTATTATTATTATGATTAATTCTTGATTGTTTAATAATTTAGATTCGAGATTGTTGGTGAAGATGATATCATGTTTAAAATGATACATTCTAATATATCCCACGTTATTGGCCAATTGGACGAAGTTAGAAAACAATCGAAAAAATTCATCTGTCTCAATGACAATATAGATCACAAGAGCAAACATGCAAAAACAGTAATTATACATATTATATGTTTATATTATATATATGTATTATATTTATTAATTAGGTTAAAGCAATTCTACAAGATTTTTACGAGGCTATGTTCCCAATTCCATCACAATTTGAATTACCCAGAACTTTTAGGAATAAATATTTATCTGTTAAAGAATTACGTAAATGGTATGTAATAATTATATTTCTATATAAATATTAATATTTTTAAATATTTATACACTTTTAAGGAAAGGGAGAAAAGACTCAATAGAAATTTATCTATATATTTTTGTCGGCCTGCTCACTCTAGGGATTATTTGGTCCTTAATACCGTCTATTGTAAGTTTTCTTAATTACATAACTAATACGTATAAACTATCAGAACATTATTTAATCTGCTCTTTCTTTGCCTGTCCTCCTTGCCCTTTTTCTTATTCCAATAGGTTGAAAGATGGTTTATTCTCTGTTATAGAACGTGTTTCACCTTTCTTGCCAACATATTTAGAAGACTAAAAGGTAAACGAACAAGATTATTGACAGTTTGATTATTAAAAACACTGATTTCTTTATGCGAAAAATAGGTACATTAAAATTTATAAAAAAGACAAATTCACCGTAATAGTTTGTTATTTGTGATTAGTTGGATTATTTATGTTTAATGGTTAACCTACATTTCGATACTAAATATTATTAAAAATTATTTACAGAGTTTAATTTATATATTGTTGTTCAATAATAAACATTTTTTTTTACATTGCCTATCTTTATATTGCACTATTTTTAATGTTTGTTCCGCAAACTAAGGAAGAAAATTTAATAATTTATTTCAATACTTTTAAAATTTATTCTGTTTACGTTATCAATCGAATAGATCTAGCACAAGAAAGTATAACGTATGCAATGTATAGAGAAAGCTAAGACGAATTTCTATTCACAAAAAAGCGTTACTTTTAAATTCGCCTGAAATATTCAAAAAAAAAAAATAAAATGTCCAACTATAAACGTAAAAAGCACAATAACCAAGAGAGAGAGAGAGAGAGATAAATTACAAGAATATATGAGTATAGAGAATTGATTATCATATATTTTTATAATTTTTTTATTTACCATTTGGCACAGATAACACGTATTTAATTTCTTCTAGATGTGTCAAATATATTTTTCTGCAACGTTTTCCTTTACTAAAACTAGATTAGAAGATTGGAAAACGATTATAACCTATCTCCGAAAGGGAATATTTTAGTACCTATCCAACACGTGTTATCTATGGCATTTTTGTCCCAAGTAAAACAGTTGTAAACAAGGCGGACAGATGAACACACATTCATGCACACGTATAAATAGTAATTTTTAATGAGGTGGAATATGTACGCCTAAACGCTCCCGCTGTAGTAATTGCTCTCTCATAAGGGCATCATGATGTAGCGCGTGTTGCTGTTGTGCGATTAAATGATCTGCGCCCGCTTGTCTGGCCAATAGCTCCCTTTGTAGAAGAGTATCTCTCTCTAGTAAAGCTGCGTGGCCGGCGTAAGGAAGGCTGCTGGCCATTGAAGTTGGCGGTTGATAAGGCGCTAAGTGCGAAGGAAGTTGCGGAGCTCCGTGCAAAGAACCAGGATTAGTGGGAGTACCGTCCGGCTGATGAAGGTGATAATGAGTATGAGCATGAGCATGAGTATGTGCGTGTACAGCGGATGCCATTTGTAATCGGGCAACGGGATCGTTTGCAAAGGCCATTGCTCTCTCGGCTTGAAATCTCTCGGCTGTTGAGGGAGAAGATATGCTTCATTATCTATACTTTTAATGCATATGTTTAAATAAGGTAAAAGGTGTAAAATCGGAAAAAATACTAGATAATTCAACAAGCTTAGCTTATCTTATGTCACTCGATCACAGCTATAATAAACTCTTTGTCACTGGTGGGATTGGGATCATCCGATTTGTATACATCATTACATAACACTTACCCAATGCTCTTTCTCTCATTTCCCGTTCTCTGTGTATCAGATCGCTTGCTAGAGAAGCCGGAGGGTAGATTCCGGGCAAATGGGGTGGAGTAGGCAATCCAGATCCGGATAAGGCGGATAAATGAGGCGGAAAAGCTAATCCCCTAAGAGCGTATTCTCTTTGAAGTTGCAATAGGTGAGCGTCACCCGTTGGTATGGCTTGCGGCTTCATTTCTAATTCTCTCTTCATCTTTTCTTGCAATTCAAAATCTCTTAATTCTCTTTCCCTCATCTCCCTTTCCCTTGCATCCCTTTCCTGTTTATCCCTAAGTAATTCAGCTTCCAGTCTATCCCTACTTGTTGGTGTAGGATGCTGAAAGAGGGTTCTCTGATGGAGGGGATCCGAGGTTGGCACCAATGCCCCGCTATAAGCCAAACTAGTAGGTACTGTATGACCCAAGCCCAAAGCGTGAGCTCTATCACTGTAAGCTCTAAGTTGGGAAAGAGCTGGGGTATCTGTTCCTAAGAATCTCGGGTTTCTTTCGAACGCAGTTGGTAGAGTTGGTTGTCCAATATGCGACATTATTTGAGCGTCGGCTGTTTTTCCACTCTCGGGAATCATTTTCGTTTTGTCCTCCTTAACGGGTACAATTGTTGGTGTTTTGCCAGTCGACGATCTCTTTTCGCTGTTTGATGATTTCTTCAACGCGAAATTTGAACCAGGCTTAATGCGGAACCCAATATCCGTCCTTGAACAGGAATTTCCTCCTCTATCTAGATATTTCATAAGAATCGCATTTTTGGTTTCCTTCAAAACTATTGATACTTCTTGAGCATCTCTATCTTCACAAACGTCTGATTGAACTGTTGAATTAGCTTCATCTTCTTCAGACTCCAATTCCGATTTTACATGATGTAAAGGCCGTAATGGTGGTGGAGGACCCGGCGGAGGCGGATTACTATGGCCTCCTTGATGGCTTAGAGAAGCCATGGTCATGTCTGCAGGATCCTTCAATTCCTCCTTGATATGTGAGGAAATTAAAGGAGGTGGTTGTGGTTGCTGCTGCTGTTGGACGGGAGGCACAGCTAATACAGGACGATGCTTGGATTCTCCAGCTAGTCCGCCTACTTCGTCTGGTTTTTCTGTTTTCACGATGAATGGTTCTGGTCTATGAGGGGTTGGCGTTAGGATTTGAGGTTTCGGAGGTGGAACAGCTGCGAGTTGGGGAGGGGGAGATATATGGCCTTCTTCTTCTGTATGAGCCTCTGAACTAGAACTACTTGAACTAGAACTACTAGAACTAGAACCCGAACTTGACGCTGATGATGATGAAGTCAATTGAGGGGCTTTCATAGGAGTAGAACATATGGGAACTGATGAAACAATCTGTGGTGGATTAGGTATAGGGGTCGAACACGTCGATGAACAATAGGAGTCGTTATCGTTCTCCTCGTTATTCGCTTCCTCTACGTCCGCGTCTGCTCCCTCACTTTCTTCTGCACCTTCAGTACTACTAGTGCCGTTGGTAGACGCAGAAGTCTTTTGCTCTTGATCGAAATAAGGTGGTTCCTTATTCCTATCGGTCGGTCGATCTGTTCCAAATTTCTTCCAATGATCAAAGCACAGACCACACAATAAACCTTTCGAACAACTTTGCGAATCTGAACTTATTGATGAAGCAAAGCAGTTTGAACAATGAGAAACTAAACCGTCGCTATCTTCTTCGTCGCTTTCGCCCGAACTACTAGCTTCTTCGCCCTCCTCTTCTTCAGGATTAGGAGTTCTAGGAGTTCTCTGACTTTTCTTTTGACTAACTCTACGTCTAGTCGGTCTGAGATTATTGGCAGCCTGAGTTTTCTTCCAAATATAATAATATTCAACCAAATCGGTGACCTCTTTATGAGAAAGTAGCTCCTTTCGGATCTTGAAGAAATTCTTTCCGTATTGTCTCAATCCCTTCGAGAATCTCTTCTATAAAGGAAAAAGGAATATTTTAATCCATCCTATTTATCTTGTTTCCTATGACGTATTCTACAAGGGATAGAGCGTTTACAACGCTTTAAAAAAACCACAAAAATGGAAGACAGATCTTTGTTGAAGATAGAATTCGTACGTGTAAATTTTTTCTATTCAGTATGTAAGTAGGTCATAAGTATAATAAGGCTTTACATTCTAAAAGAAAGAAATTGATTTTTTTAATCTTTTCTTTCTTTCCGATCTTTACTCACTTACATAGATTTGTAGGCCTAAATATTAAATTATAGAGAATGAAATTACGGGCCTTTTAATTAGTCATTCTGGCTATGTGTGTTTTTAAATATATACGATTATACAGTATAGATAATTATATATTAAAGAAAAGAGAAAGAGGGAGAGGGAGAGAGGGCGGAACGAATGGATTGATAAAAATATAAATAGAAGAGACAATAATGACGAGTATTGATATTATGTATAGGTCATAAATGCTAAGTTATCTTTTGAATATGGGATAAAAAACGAACCGGAGAGGTTAACACAGTAATTGACTACGCATGCGCGGCGTTTGTCTTATACCGATTCTAAACACCACACAGAGAGCACGTATAATTTTCTTTTACTAATATTTTTTTTCCTTACAACTTATAGGAAGTAAGAAGACAAAGAGAAAAATTTATGATATCAACTTACGGATGAAACGATAAAAAGAAATAAAGAAACAAAGAATAATAATAAAAAGAGCCGTAAATTTAAGGCACAAGTGCAAGATTACGTAAGAAAAAAACAAATCTCCCACGATTCTCTATTTAAAACATTTTTTTTAATGCCGATTACGTAATATCTAAGTCGAGACGTTTTCGAAAGCTTTTTAATTTAGGTTTTTGTGGCGTATTTTTGTTAGGTTTCTTATTCATAAATAACGATAATTGAAGATAATTAGTAGGCTTATTTCTTTCCTAGTGAAATTTAGATTTTAATTGAGTCTATTTACCGTTTCTTCCTCATTCCACTTCTGTTCTATATTGATTGGAACTGGACACTTGACCAATACTTGTAAAGCTTCACCTTTGTTGTAATTACAATCGTGCAGCTGGCAAAATTCCAAAAATATTATATTAGAATAACGAAACAAGGGGGGATAAGTTATGATGCATGGGTTAAGTAGAAGGAAAGTAAAAGGTATAATTACTATCTCGAGAGCATTAACTGTCGTACTATCTTGAGAAGCTGCCTGGCTGCCGTCATCCCCTGAGCCGGGGTCGCACATTCCTACAAAGAACGCCATTGACCTGGCTGCCCTCAGATACATGATTAAATCTTGATCGGATATCGAAGATGGAACCCATCTTAGGCTTTCTCTTGGTTTTTCGTCATCATACTCTAAACGATTGCATTCCGGAAGCCTAGCTTGGTGACCAGGTCCTAAAAATTGATTTAAAAAAAAAATAACATATTTTAAAGTCACGAATTGATTAATTGACACGGCAACAACAAAAAATTTATCTTGGGATATTATCATAAATGCAGAATTTAATATTCGACTTAACGCCCTATCGGATTTAAAAAGGTGTAAAAAAAAAAATAAATCATTTAATAGAGGTTATTTTGCCAGTTGACAGGTGCGGGTTTCTTCTCGGCTTTTTATGAAAATAAATCGGGCGTACAAAAAAGTCATCTTTGACCCCGTATCGTATCGTTTAAAAAAGAAAAATAAAAAGAAGAGGTCAAGAAAGGGCTAGTATATTGGGAATAAAGGTCGACAAAAATTTTCTAGTTGATTGTTTTGCTTTATTGGATATAAAGTTTCAAAGTGTAAGAACACGACTAAAAAAAAGAATTCGTTCTTTTTAGGGCGTATCAGCTTAATGTATGGAAGAGGGGCAGGGGGTAAGTTAGATGGTGTGAAAGAGGTATAGTAGTGGTGTGCTAAAAGATAAAGATAGCTTGATGGATAGATAGATAGATAGATCAAGATAGTTTTCAAAAGATAAATATCGCTAAATAAAAAGGGTATTATTAGAAAGATTACACAAACTCGGATCTTTATTATTGGTAAAAAAACAAAAACAATAGAGAGAGCGAGAGGAAGAGAAGAAATCCATATTATATAAAAAAAAAAACTAGAACTGTATAGGACAAAAACAAGATTTCTGAAAAGACTAATTTATCTTTAAAATACCTTTACGACTAAACAATTCCACGAGGATTATGCTACTAATATCTATTATTCAAACTGTCTTATTGATAGTTTTTCTTAGTAAACGGATTATCGCTAATAAAAATAACGTAGGTTAAAAGTAATGCTTGATTAGAAATGTAAGATTAATAGTATGTATTTGATGTTAATGGTAAAAAAAGTAGTGATAACTACATGATTAAAGAGATATGATTTAGATAATAACAGGAAAAAAAATTGGAGAGGCGTATTACTTTGCGAACAATAAGGAGGTTAGACAGGTGTAATGCATGCAGTATATAATATAGATGATACAGTTTTTTATATACAGTATATATATATATATATATATATATACTAACCTACACGTATTTCACCCTGTGTAGAAGCCACGGTGCTGAATTTCGATGTCGATGATCTTTTCCCTTCTGTTAGTTACTCTAAAAAGATAAGAGAAAAATTTTTAAATAAAGTGCGATAAATCTACTTTACGTATTTCATTATTCGGCAATCGATCTGTCAACTACAATTTATCTACTTTACTAATATTTGAGTAAGGCTCTTAAAGAACCTTTTTAAAGAGAAAAATCGAGTATGCATCAATCAGATAAAAAAATACATTATCAATAAATCGTTAGCAGGCGTGTTATGTTTGAACTCCGATTTGTTATTTAGATAAGCAGAACGTTTTTGAAGTCTTTCGCTTTCTTTTATTAAATCTTCCTGCAGGTTGACAGTTAAGGCATGAATTTGTAATAGTACACTTGCCAAGGTATATACACAATTTTAATCCTCTTTTTATTTTGTTTACTCTTCCAACTGCCAATTAGTCAACGACTATTCTCACACGTTATTATATAATTTCACGTAAAAAAAACAATTCTCTTTAGCCCTAAATTTAGTAAGTATTAAGGTAACTATGCTTCTTAAATGTCTAAGCTTCACAGATTGTACGATTTATAAATTTATTCAGCATACTACACAAAGATGCTGAACCGGGTGATAAAAATTCGTTTTATACGGAATCGGGCAAACTGTCCGCTCTGATAAATTAATGGACAGCGAATATATGAGCTCGGTTATTAACTCGATGAATATATAATTTAAAAAAAACACGGATATAATTATAAAAAATGATTACCAATCCATGAGTCCTATCGAAGATTTGCATCGCATTCGCCATGACAGTTTATATTTTTTTCGCAAAAAGTTTTCCGGTCGTTCATTGGTGAAGTGATTCTAATATCAGCCAATCATCATACTTAATACAAATGCTTTGGGCGTTTCCGTTTCCTCTTATCCAATTTGGCATTTCTCGATTTTAATTCGAAATTTATTGTTATCCTTCTAGAGTTTTCCAAATAAAACTTCAGTAATTCATAAAACAATAGAAATAAATCTGAGAAAATTCAATATTTACTTTTTAATTTAGCTGAAGCATAAACCGAATAAACACTGTTGTACAGATTTGGGAGAATTTATTATATGTTAATGCTTACTTTAGACTATTTTCATATTGACTTATATATCGTCTATTTGGAAAAGGGAGTAAAAAACAAACATCTACTTGAGTTAAATCATTATAAAAAAAAAACTGTGTTAACAGGCAGTAAGTTTTACACCAACAAAAAAAAGAGTCAAAGCATTCGTAATGTATATGTTTTTCGTATCAATAGACTAGACTGTTTTCTGTTTATTTTGTAATAGATATACACCTATACAATTTTTTTCCAGCCCTCTTTAAACAACAACTCACCATTTACTAACATTGTAATATGCATATACATTATACTTTCGCATAAATATAACACTATGCGTAATGAATTTAAGTATTGTATTCAATCTTTAAAAATACAACAAGTTTAGAATTTTTTTTAGGTCAAGAAAATTCTTATTTCTAGTATTTAAAAGAGAAGTTTAAACTCTTTTTCTCTAATGGATTTTAATTGAATATCGTATTGTTATTTTTCTATAAAACTGGAGTACATTTACATAAATATTTTTATCTATATATACAGTATATATATATTTCAAAATTGAAATGCCATCTACCGTCAAAAGAGAGAAAGAGTACTTTGATCGTATCGAATAGTAATCTTAAAAATTAACCTAATTTAATTCAAGCACTAATATGCCTATTATATATTTGCTACTCTTAGATTATTTGACTATTGATTTTGTTGGAGAAAAGAAGTATTTCTCTAAATTGAATTTTCACATGCAAATACTGTCTTCTCCTAAATACGTGTATATATTTAGTAATATAAAATCATTTCTTAAAAACAGCCTATAGCTATTAATTCTATATAATTTAGATGTATATATATATATATACCGTGTAATATAGCTATCCTTAATGGTAATTATATTATTAAATTATTATAATATTTCTTATTATAACAGAGAAAACGAAGGGCAAGCTATAACATAAATTCGGTCAAGATATAACGCCCACCTATCCACCCCTTTCCTAGTTTTTCTCCTTACGTACTATTTATAAAAATATATAAATTTATATATATATATGTAATTAGAGTGTGTTGGTATCTATTTCATTGTTCTACTTAGTAAATGTAATTGGTGTATTCAATGCAAAATTTTTAACTACTTTTAATCTTAAATACTGATTTATTCGTTTGATAGTTCATTTTGATTTCTATCTGTGAATTTCCCTCCTCCCATGTTTTCTTCCTATCTCGACTTCTATCTCTATGTATCTCTCTTTCCATTTCAGTCTCTTCACTAATTCATATTCACTACTCACTCATTCACTCACTCCGTCCTCTGCTCACGCACCCTCTCATCTAAATATAATAATAATAGACACGGTCACACACACTCTTTCTCCTTTTTCCTATTCTCTGTAAATTTTTCTTAATATAGACATATTGATAAGATAAACTACGGATGGACTGATTACAACTACGTCATACTATACTTGGTATTCGCTCCAATTAAATCACTAAACTACACTTGCTCTCTCTCCAACAAAACAAATACCGATTGGAATAGGATATCAAGTAAAAAATTATCTAGTATGGAAAACAAAAGAACATAGTTGTATTTTAATAATAAACGGATGTTAGAAATTTGCGAAAATCATCATTTGTTAAATAAAAGCAGTCTATCGTTGTTTATATATATTTAGAATACCGTATACAGCATTTCATTAATCTATAAAGTTAGTGAAAATTAACAACAGACTATGAAATCTCACAGTTTTTGTTAGCCAATCAGCAAATTGTAGTAATTATTTCTCGGAAATAGCTTTCAAAAAGTAAACGTGCTTTTTTATGTAAAATTTAGACTTATTTTCCACATCTCTTTCCTTTTTCCAGTGCTTTCTTTATTAATTTAGAGTTACTAAAAAAAAGCGAAACCTAGTTTTCTTCTTCTTTGCAACCTCTATTAAATTCTATTTATCTTTTAAGTTTATCATGTAAAGTAGTTTCTATTCTTGGACACCTTTACGAAACTATTCTTACAGAAAAACCGAATTTTTAATTTTATTTCATCTTATACTCTTACAGCATTGAAAAGATAATATAGAAAAGAGAAGTATTACAAATAACAAATTAATGTATCATGCTAAAAATTAATCGAGATAAGTAAAAGTTGAGGAAATAAGGAGGAAAAATACAATTAAATGATAATTAGCACGAGATAGCTGATAAGAAAAGAGTAATATTTGTCTATTATTGTCCTTTTTTTTTTACGAATACAATAATATGTCTTAATTATATGTAATAAACTCTTCACTATCCTAATAAAGAAAAAGATATCAAAGATATCAAGTCATAGGTATTTAAGATGATGTATTTTTAGAAATAATCCATATTGTAATGATTATTTCGTAATATTTCTTTTTATATATAGCTCTAGTGCAAGAGATTTAGTGGCAAACTTATAGTACATATTCTAATTTTAGATTTTATTCCTATATGTATATATTGTATAAGTCAATGATTAAGTCCAATCTATTCTAATATATTATATATTAAATACAACTAAGATCAATCAATTACAATTTCAACAACTGTCTATTCCCCATATTAAAAAATATTAAGTGCCAAAATTAAGTTTACTTTGCTAAAACTTGATTAAAACAAAGAAATATACTTGTAATCCTTTTCTAGCTCTTTCTATTCCATGTTACAAATTACAATAGCATTACAATGACAAACAAAGTGAATGTATACTGTAAACCTGTTTATATACATGAATAGAGTATGCAAATATTTATGTTACAATACAAATAATTTCATTTTGATGATATAGATGAGATGCTTGTAAATGTTTCTTTCGTTTTCTTATTATCAAAAAGCAAATAAACCTCTCTTCTAAATTTCCCACCACTTGCAAAATAAATATAAAAATTAATTGCGCTATTCGTGGCTGCAAACATATTTAAAATTCTAGTGATTATTATCAATTTATTTACTATTTCAATAGAACCATATTTCCAAGTTTCATTTTGTTGTAGATACCTTGATAGTATTCCAACTGGCAAGGTAGCAATCATTAGATAGGTTGAAACAAAGACAAGCATTATTGTCATCTGATTTGATTTTCTGTCGCTCTTTAGTTTATCTTGAGTCATTGTCTTTCTCCTTTTTCTTGCTTTTATCAATGTATTTATGATTAGAATATTAAAAATGGCAATTATTATTGAAGGTATAAGGGTGTAAGCCAGAACGTCAAAGAATCCGACATACTGATATAAAAAATATTCAAATCCCTCATCTCTACCCACACAATATAATGTAGCGGACCATTCATTATTGGGTTGGACTGTTATATTCGCTGAACTAAAAGCGTAAAAGAAGAAAATATAAAGTAACGAGAAAAAGACAATAATACAAGTACAAATAGCTTTGGCTCGATATTTTGTTGATATAGTTTTAGATGTGGTTGGATAGAGTACGTGAATACTTCGATCTATTGTCATAGCTACAACTAACCAACTGGACGAATGTCCAAGCATAAACTGACCATAGTAGGTTGTTGCGCAAAAAAAATAAGTTATTACCAATTTATGTACATAGAAGAATCCAAGTAGCATTTGACAACCAAATAGAACAGTAAATATTAATACTCCAGTATCCACAACAGCCAGGAATCTAACGAATACGGAAAATGTATTTTTATTCATTGATTCTTTACTGAAAACTTTAAAGCTAAGAATATTGCCAATCGTTCCAAGTATTAGAATTAAGAAAGAAAAAGTTATTAATGATATTCCAAAATTTTTAGCTTCTGGAAATATAAGATCTGTATTAGATGGAGATTTCGTTACATTATTCATTTTCATAGAGTAGAGAGAGAGAGAGAGAGAAAGAGAGAAAGTTAAGTTCAAAAATATTCTATTCAACTATTCGTCAAATACGATTTTGACTGGTACGATTCTTCTTTACTTCTGATACTTTTCCTTCCAATCAGCTTATTAAATTCTTTACGGAATTTCACACCAGTTGAAATATAGAAATAAAAATTAATGGCGCTGTTTGTCGCTGCTAGAAAAGCTAATGATTGAGACAATATTGTTAACTTTTTAAACTCATCATCGCTACCATTTTCCCAGTATCCTCTATTCTGAATTAATACTATTAAAATAGTATAGGGACCAGTTGAAATTATAAAATACATTGATATTAATAGTAGAGTTATTGTTTTCTTATTAGATTTCATATTGTTTATATTATTAGATTGTATTAATGCTCTCCTTTTCACTCTTGATCTAAAAAGACCAATAGCCATTACCATATTTATGAAAAAAGTTAAAAGTGCTGTTAAAGCGGTTGAAATGAAAGTATCCACTGTTGAATATACTCTGTAAATTAGAAAATGAAAAACAGGTGTTTTTGCTTTACAGTTAATAGCTATGTTCCAAGGATTATTTTCATGAATTTGAAGTTTTACCCTATCGAATGAGTAGAGTATTGAATGATAAAAAAGTATTAAAATGGCGCTAATAGTTATACATATAGTTTTTGATCTAAACTTTGTGCAAATAGTATTAGCTTTTGTCGGAAGGAAAACATGGATACTTCTGTCAAGTGTCATCATAATAATGGTCCAGCTGCTTATTCCATAACTCAAGTATGCTCCGTATAAGGTTATTGTGCAAGGAAAATATAATAGAATGACTTGTGAAAAATTTAAAAAGCCAAGATAAAGTCTTATTGTAGGTAGCAATAAATTAAAAACTAAATTAATTGAATCCCATATTGCTAAATATCTTACGTATATAGACCAGGTAGTAATATTCATTGATGACTTATTATAGACTATAAAACTGAAGATATTTCCAACAAGTCCAATATTAAATATGCTAATAGAAAATATTGTTAAGCCAATAACGACATATTTCGCTTCTGGAAATATTACTTCTTCATCTTGTTTAACGGTCGATGTAAAATTATCAATTATAGAGAAATTTGTATTATTCATATCTTGGACATTCAGCTAAGAATAGAAGAAGAAGAAGAAGAAGAAGAAACAAGAAGAAAGTGTTTTATGATAAGCAGACAAATCAAATGAGACAAATGGAGGGAAAAATATATTTATGTATCTATATATTTTTCCCAGTTGTTAGACTTTCTTAATAAATAAAAGGTCTGTCAGAGAATGTACTTTCTTATCCTATATATTTCAATCAACCGTCCCAACCAATTTTCCTACCTTCTCTCTATTTAGATAAACTTGGAAAGAAAAAGAAGTCCTAACAAATTCGTTTACGTCACATAAGATTCATTATAGAGCGTAAAGAACAGGAGGAAAATTTTATACTCTTATACTCTCCCTCTTCCTTACCCATTCCCTCAGGGCAATTTATGTTTGAGGATATGTTTCTCTGCATTATAAGTTCGTATATATCCTCTTAATTACATATTCTTTTTCATAAAAGAGAAGAAAGGAAGATCGTGCAAAAGAGTTAGCTAACGCCTGCGGTTAATTAAAATCAAAAGACTATAAAATGTTATATAAAGCCATATAGATTTTTGAAATAAACAGTAAAAACATTTAAAGCAACAAAAAATGAATAGCAGTTTAAATAAAACCTTGTTTTTACCTCCTAAAATTCTCTTTCCTGAAGCGAAGGATGTCAATATAAGTGTGGCTGTTTTATCTGGCATTCTATTTATCATTGGTACAATTGGTAATATTCTAAGTTTTATTATCTTCAGTAAAAACTCAATGAATGGAACAACAATGTCGATTTATATAAGATTTCTGGCTGTTGTTGATACTTTTGCTTTGTTCTCCAATTGTGTTATTTTTCCAATATCATCTTTTCTAGGCTTTTTAGATCATTTATCAGCACCAGTTTTAAGGTATTTCATGTGTAGTTTTATATCTCAAATAGTATTCACTAGCGGAAGTGTTTGTTCTTGGCTGATTGTTGCAATGACAATAGATCGAAGTATACACATATTCCTCCCTACAAAAGCCAATTTAATCTCTACAAAGTTTCGATCCAAGGTTACATGTATCCTAATAATACTATTCTTTCTCATATTATATCATCCTTTCTATTATCTTATTGATACTGTACGCTTTCGGGTGGAACCATTAAACAAATGGAATTCATTACTATTGTGTACGAGTAAGAAGAAATTGAATGCTTTCATCCTATACGACATTACTTTACCAATGGATGGTTTAATATTTTCATTGATACCTTCGTTCATTATGATTATTGTCAATGTTTCAATTTTAATCAATTTTTCAAGAGCAATAAAAGTAAGGAAAACTCTAACTTCGGATTCTTCTAAAGCCAATAAAAATAATACGACAATGACTTTAACCTTAATATTTATCTCAACATATTTTATAATATCAACATTACCGATTTGTATAACTTTATTATTTGTTCATTTTTATGGATTTTGGGACACGGCAACCACTCAGGAAAGCAATACAATATATATTTTGGGACGTTCATTAAGAGCCTTATCTGCCACCAATAATTGCGCAAACTTTTTTATTTACACCTTAACTGGATCGAAATTTCGAATTGAACTCAAAAAATTATTTTCAAAGAATCGACGTTCAACTGGAGAAATATCATCTTCATTTCAATCGAATTGAAAACAATCTTTAATGTATTCGTTAATAATCGTCTATTACTAATGCGTTGTATCCTAAACTGTGTCACAGATGTTTTGGATATTTTATAAATTGACATACTTCTGTCAAAAATAAAATAAAAACACTTAAAAAGAGGATCAACATTAAAAATATTATTCATTTGTACTTGCACACTCTATTTATGCTAATTTATGCTTGCAAAATATTCAAATCGTTAGCCATTTTGTTTAACTACGTATATTCTAAAACACATATAATACATAAATATATAAAGATGAAAACTTATCATGTTGAAATAAAGTACGATATGATTATTTATTCAATATACGAAAATAAAAAGATAAGATAACTACTCATCTCTTTTTGTTTTTCTTTTAAAAATGCTTTCTTTGGTTAATTTTATTTATTTTATAGAAAAACATAGGTAGAATTTTGTCACGATTCATTTATTCATGGTGCTTTTTGTTGTCTCTCCCTTCGTAACTTTATAAACAAAAGTGATTAATAAAGAAATGAATAGTTTGCGAAGAAAGGGAGGGAGGGGGGTGGGGGGAGGGGCGGAATGGTTAGGTAAACGAGTACCAAATTATGACGCGTTCATAGTCAATTCTGGTAAAGTTGCATCATTTGCGGAGACTATTTATAGCCTTATATATTGTCTTAAAAACTCAGTACATTTAAATTTATCATTCTTATTATAATATTCATCGTGCCTAGAGTATTTATATTCTCATTAGGTAAATAATGAGAACATGCAGTAGATATCTCCATTCATGAATATGAGTTATAGCTTCATGCGTAATCTATTACAGATCTCGTTTAATACATATCCTTTATCTTATCGAAAGAAAATTGTGATTGTTGACTAGAGCAGAAAGCTTGTTGTTACACAGCATTATTAACAAGAAATATATCTAATGAATATTCATATATAAAATTAAGACGGATAGTTGTAAGTGGAGATTATTGCATTTGTATATGCGATTAAATGAAATAGCTTTTTCTTTTAAGCAAAATATACATAGATACTATTCAAGTTGACAAAACGTAACGATATTTAATCAGGTCAACAAATTGACTATGTTTTTCAAGAACATCCTTTTCAACTATAAATATAAAAATCAAAGTATTCAAAACTGCTAATCAGCTTATCAAACTCCGCTAGAGGGCGGTTGTTATTGAATGAAAACGCATAAAATGTTCAAATTGGAACAGAACCGACAAAGCTGGTTAAGTTGTTTTATGAGTAATCATATCAATTACTTATATCAAACTAATTGAAATAAACTATAGACAGGGAAATATATAAATGCATATAGATTATATAACGACATTGGGAGAAGAATAGATCAAGTGATAGATTTCTTAAATAGTTGAATGAGATAAGGCAAGGCCTCGATTTTCGTTTTTAAAGGCAACTGAGAAGAGAGAAAAAGGAATAAGCAGTTACAATTATATAACCGAAAGAAGGAGAGAGACCATGTCGGTAAAAGAATTATTTCGTTGTATCGGTAGAACGGAAGACGAGAAAAGAGACAAGATGATATCGAAACAATTAAAGAAAGCTGACAAAAGAGAAAAAAGCATTATAAAAATTCTTTTATTAGGTTTGTACATAATTTATTCATAACTATTCAAAAGTATCAATAAATAAATAAACTTATTAGGTATTGCTGAATCAGGAAAAAGTACAATAACTAAACAAATGAAAATTATACATATAAATGGATATAGTGAAGAGTAAGTGAAGATCTTTCCTCTTTTATTAATAAACTTGCATAATCAGTTTGAACAAAAGCCTATACAAGCGAAATACATGACCTTGGTTATCAAGTTACATTTAGGGAATATAAAAAAAAGTACTTGATATAGAATTTCCTGATTAAGATATAATTGTTCTTTAATCATTCAGAAAATAGCTTTAAATAAATTTATCTTTAAAATCGTGTGAAATAATTAGAAATTCTATTGTTAAATAATTGAAAAAAATTAGTTTTCTTTATTATAGAAAGATACAATTGATAAGAAATCTCTTAATCCTAGAATATGCACTTCATAACTATTCTTTTTTAATTTTCTAGGGAAAGAAGACAAAATGTATTGTGGATAAGAAAAAACCTTAGAGATTCTATATTGGTACATATATATATATATATATATACATATATAGTATATATTAACAATGTATAGTTTCGTTTTTTCACCCTATAGACAATTCTTGGTGCTATGAAACGTTTAGATATAAAATTGGAAGATGAAAAATTAGAGGAGAGTAGTAATTATCTTTTAACTAAATGTATTGAAGATTCATCTGAATATCCAGACGTAAGTTATTGCTTAATATATTCATATTCTGTTCATATAGGTAACTTTGTTACTATACCTAACAGGAGTTCTACGATCACACATCGAACTTATGGTCGGATAAGGGAGTATTAAAGTGCTATAAGAGAAGTGCCGAGTATCAGTTAATCGATTGCGCGAAATAGTAAGTGATCATAAACTAATGAACTGTACAGTTAATATCTATAAATATATATTTTATAACTTTTAATTAAATACCTAGATATTCTGAAATAATCAGCTAAAAATAGAACAAAATAACATTAATATACAACTCTAGAAACGAATCAGGACATACATAACCTTATTTATTAGATTATAACTAATAACAAGTTAGTGTAAAGTCGTAAACGTTGTTAATTTACTGCGTTATTTAAAGGAAATTCCATATAAACAAAAGTTGTTATTATTAAGCCAAATACTATAAATAATATAAATATAAATCGTTAACAAATATTAAATTTATTCATTCCTCTCTTTCGTCGCTTCTTTACAGTTTCCTCGATAAGATACACGTTATAAGGAGGGAGGATTATCTACCAACCGAACAGGATATCCTCCATTGCAGAACTTTAACGAATACAATACAAAAAATTGAATTTACAATAACCGAAAACAAGTTCAAAATTCCATTTCACGTCTTTGATGTAGGTGGACAGAGGGGAGAACGAAAGAAATGGATTCAAATGTTTGATTCAGCAACCGCAATTCTATTCGTATTAGATTCGTCAACTTTCGATGTTAACGTTAGAGATGATTTCGAATCAAATAGATTACTTGAAGCGACAGGTGTATTTGAACATATATGGAATTGTAGATTTTTAAAAGATGTCTCTATTCTACTCTTTATAAATAAAATCGATCTATTAGTAGAAAAGATAATGTCTGGAAGTAGTTCAATTGAAAGTCTACTTAAAACAGTTCCAACCTCTCATAAGTATTATCCTCTCTACGAAAAAATGTATAAATCATTCAACGATATAACAGGTAAGTCGTAAAAAAATAAAAAACAAGAATTGAATCTATTAAATCTCATCATTCTAATTTTTCCCTTCCTGCAGACGGCGAGAGAAAATATTTTGTTGATTCTTTATCAATGTGTAAAACAACTACGAAAACAATTATAACAAAAAAAGGAAAGAAACAATGCATACAACCAAAAGTATCTGAAGAGGTTATAAAAACAGCAGTTTTCATTAAAAGAGTGTTTATGGTAAATAAATTATTAATTATTAGATATATATTAATAGTTTATTACATTATATTTTCCCTATTGTCTGTACAGGAAATAGCAGTATCCTCAAAAAAGACTAAAACTGGAAGAGACTTGCATAAGGATCACGATTGCCAATACTTTTATACTTGCGCAGTTGATACTAAAAATATAGAGAAAGTTTTAGAGGGTGTAAGAAGTATATTAACAAAAAATGCTCTCAGGAAGATATGTATAATATAAACAATGTATATAACTCTCTCTCTCTCTTTGTCTTTCTCTTCCTTTCTCGTAAAATTAATTTCATATCTGCATTTATATTACTACTGTAAATTCTTCTTTTTTTTAATACAAACTATTACGTAATATAAGTAAAGCATCTCGTGTTCCTGTTCAAGAAACAATAAAGTATTTGTGTATAGTAATCACTACTTTCAATCTATATTTATAATTAATTATGTAATATTAAAAGCGATCGTTAAAAGCGTTCAAGGTTGTATTTCGTAATTATATAGAAGAGTAGACTGTTCAAACTATGTATTCTATTTATAACTTTTTATATAGGCCAACTCATTATTATTATTTTCATATATTCCTCCTCTTCAATAACCGTTTAACGGAAACAAAATTATTATATTCAATTTATGACATTAATATAAAAAATATGCAATAAATGACAAATTAGAATTAAGGTAGATATATTCAATAAAAATATCTGTTATGAAGTATATAAAATATTAAAAGATCTTTACTTTATTACTAGTTGAAAACTTCATTTTTTTGATAAATTAATCATATTTAAATCAAATAAATCCGTGTTTTAAAATAGGTCAAGTTCATTATATCTATATACTTTTTTATCATATCTCATTCTCTCACTCTTTCTATGACTGTGTGTCCCTCTCTCTCCTTTGTTCTCTTTTTCTTTATGGCTTTATGCTTTTACTTGTATACTTATTTATAATTTAGTGAAAACATTGATAACGTTTATTTCTTCCTCTACTTTTATTTCATACCTATTCTTTTCATTGACTATTTTATCTATTTATTCATTTATTCATTTATTAAAATATAAAAATATTCAATGTTTTTCAATTATTTATAGCAATTCACCCCGACAACCTTGACCGAAACATTCTGGAAATGGAAAAACGTCGGGAACAATATGAGCTTCGGATGTAATTATATAATCCCAATCGTTTTCTCCGGTAAATTCAGCTCTTAGGAAAAAGGCTGTCCATTTTCCTTCTGGGTCTTTTTCAACGGTATACGAATAACTTCCATCAGGCTATTAGTATTATTATAAAAAATTAGAACTATAATTTTTTTTTGATTAATATAAAGCGCCATCTTACGTTTGCTTGAATCTCGTAATCATCCCACTCAATGTCACTTGCACTTGGTGGTTCTCCTTTGTGAAGACGCCAATCACGACTGTAAATAAATAAGACGAACGTATTAAAGTTAGGATATGCACTATATACAGTATTCAATCTTACCGAACGTTGTCAACAGTTTTTGAGATCAAAACATAGGCAGCATCCAATGGAGTATCGCTCCTCATGATGATTGTACCATTCATTTCAGTTTCTTTATATTCAAAGTCTAGTTGAGGCAACTTTTGACCCTGTTAATTAATTTTTATCATTATCCGAAAATATTAAATTACTATTAATTTAATACCGTGAAAACGGGTTTGATAATAGCTCCGACCGCTTCTAAAATATCGAGATAATGAGGGAACATTGCGTGTCCAGCATTCTCTAAAAGCATCATATATTTTGGACCAGGTAGATCGTGGAAGAAATAATGAGAGTCATCAGTCAAAAAGAATTCATCACTGGCTCCAGAGATAATAAATTTTACAGTTTCGTTCAAGCGCTCTTTATATTCTATTAAGAGAATATTTAAGTATTTATGTAAAAGTAGTCGAACAGTTTCTAAGTTCCTCTTACCGTATGGATCGACAAAACTAGCTAGCTTCTTTGTATTTGGATTGTCTAATTCAACTGTTAAATTGTGTTCATAATATGGTTTAAAAGCAAACGTCCATCCACCGAGCGCTCTATAATGATGCTTCATATTCTATTTATTTATATTAATAAATGAATATATTACTCTGGAATAGGAAGACATTTTGTTCTAACTTACGGGTAACAAGTTGAGTAGATCCATAACCATAGGAATAGTAAAAATAGCTCTCTTATCAACGCATGCAACCATCCATGCAGTCCATCCTCTCTGAATTAATTGTAAGTAATACCTAATAAAGTATTCCCCCCTATAAACTATCTAGTATTAATACAAACCTTAGATGCTCCAGTAATAGCGTATCTTTGAATATTTAACTCTGGTCTCATTTCAGCAGCAACAGTCCTAGTTGTTTCAAAAGCCTTGATAACCGCCTTAGTCATTGGGAATCTAGCCAAAACCTCTGGACCTGGTGATTCTGGATTGTCGATAAACATTCTCCAAGTATAGCCAATAAGTCTATCTTCAGTTTTTCTCTTTTGTTCTGGATCACTCTATAAAAGATATATGCGATAAAGATATAAGTTTCACTTGTTCTAGTTAGAAAACTAAGAAAATCTACTTTAAACACTATTGGTTGATTTGGAATTTGTTTGACGTAGGAAACAACAATTCCAATTTCTTCTGCAATAACAGATATAGCCAAGTTAACGAGATCATCTCTATCCGGTGGGCTATTTTAATAAGCGAATTGTAATCTCTTAGAAATAATTAACCAATAGAAAATTCGTCATATTAACCTAGAATTGGGATCGTTTCTTCCAGCATCATTGTACACGAGAGCAGCGTCTGTAAGATCTACAACATCAGGAATAGCTATTCCCATATAATGCCACCAAACTGAGCTATCACTAACACTATCTGTATAAGAAACAATACGTTTTATGTAGGGTAGAGGTATTGAGACACTTATTGAAATAGCAAACCGTCAAGCCATTTTTGAGAAGTCATATTTAAAACATAAATAGTAGATTCATTAGTTACAGATCTGAATGAGTCTAAAATTTCATATTTATAATAGCCGTCATCTTTCCAAACATATTCATCCAAAGCATTTTTTTCATCCTAATTATTAATATAATTTTAGAATTAAACAATTTAATAAAACTTTAAACATTTACCCATCCAATACATTGAATACCATAAACTAAGAAAGCCTGAACCAAGAATAATCTAAGATTATTCTTCATTTTTAGGAAATCTTATAGATAATAATTTAAAGAATAGTTGATTAAGAAATTTGTCTTTTTATATAGTTTTTCTTTGTCATAGTTTATCTCTTTTTAATTTTTTATAAATATACATTTTAATGCACAGCCGTTGTTTCACGGAATTTTATCTTATTTGTTCATGCGTTTATTCTTTTATTCTTTCTATCAACCTAGTTTATTTTAGATTGAATTTACTTTCAACTGAGTCTCTCATTCATTAATATAATAAACTTTTTCGATAACGCAATAGAAAGGAACATTAATAAGACTTTGCAATGTATTTACTTCAAGTTTGATGTGAAATACTAGGTTACTATGTAATACTTTTTTAAAAAGATAATAATTAGAGAGTAATAACTGTAACGTAACAAAACCTAATTAAGCTTTTTTTTATTATGCAAATGACTTTTTTTGTTTATTTAAATGAATTTGAAATAAAGAAGATATTCATTGTTTGTTACGGAGTTTGAAATCAAAGATATATAGAGATTAAATAATCTACGTTTATGCATTTTATTCGTATTTTGAATGAATTTCAAGTTATTTATACAATTTACTTTTCATTGATAAATCTATCCGTTTGTTTCCTAATTATCGTCTTTTCTAATGATTCTTTGTAACATTCTAAGAGCGCTATCTCCTTGATCTTTTGGTACTGCATGGCCTGCTCTGAGAACCCAATAGAATTTAAACTGCTCATGGGCTTTAACAAACATTTCTGTTTGACCATTTTCAGGAGTGGTAAGTGCTACGCGATCAGCAGAGAAATAGTTAGGCATATTCTCCCATTTCAACTTTTGAACCCACAACATAGATCCAGTTGTATCACAAATTAAATCTAATTGACCTTGATAAACAATTACGTCCATGTCCGTTTTATTTAAACAATAGTCAACTGCAAAAAGAACATGTAGAAAGTTATAATTTCAACAGTAGCATTAGCTTTTACCATCGTCTAAGACATCTTTCATGAAAGCTTCTTCCTGAGCAGCAAATACTGGTCCTTGTTGACCTCCCCAAAGGACGTTATCGGGAATAACTCCTAAATACTCTCTAACTTCAGTATTCATGAAGAGGGGTAATCTGGGATCTTGCTTGGCATTGATGATGCTCAAAGTATCGTCTTAACAATATAACAATGAATTTATTAAGCAAGCAAAACAAGGGAAAATTGTTTTCCTTACCCAAACTAACTCCAGTTGGTTTTTTTTCATTTTGACTGAATACTCTAAATTTTAAAATGTTATAGAAATCAACATAATTTGTATGTTCATTAACAGCCCTTTGGGTAGCTCTCCAAAATTGCGTACTTTCGCGCCATCTACCTTGTAAAGCAGCTTGTTCACTCTAACAAACAAATTTGAAAGGAAATATAAGAGAAAGATTTGGAGAGATTGTAACAAATTTTTTACCTGTTCAGCAACCCTTTGAATTTCGTCTCTACCAGTCTCATCAACGGTACTCATTTCAAACAAAAAGTTTGCCCAAGTAAGAGTTGAATCGAGTGGATGAGTCCAAGCATTTCCCATAGCAAATCCTCCAAGATTACATTCCAAATTACCAGCTTGAATTTCCTTTAGAGCAATTCAAGAGCAATAATCATAATTATAATAAGATACTATCAGAATAGAATTACATACAGTATGCAATTTTCTGGCATAGTTTGCCGCCATTTTACCACCGTAACTTTGGCCAAAGATGTAAAAAGGAACAGTCTTAAATTCTGGATGACTATCCAAGAATGATTTAAAAAGAACAAATAAATCTTGCGATATTTCTTCAGTCGTTGTTGTTAAATCATTTAAATCGTCGACGTAGCTGTAAAGAATAATAAATAAATAAATGTGTGTTGAAGTTATTTTCCCCTATTACCTGAAACCGGCACCAACGGGATTATCCACGAAGAGAATGTTAGCTTCCTGTGCCCAAGTAGAATTTCTATACTCTTTGTCGATATTGTACGGTCCAATTATCTCAAAATTTCCGTATCCAGTTGACGATCCTCCAGGTCCACCCTGTAACCACATAACCAAAGGTCTCTGTGTAGGTCCATCGGCATGAGAGGTTTTAAATAGCCAATAGAACATATGCACACCAGGACGAACATCAACATAACGCCAAGATTGTTCGAAGTTTTCAGCAATCACAACTATTAAAATAGAATAGAATAATAAAAGAAAACACCTCAAATTGAAATTAATTAATAAATGAATAAATAAACTAACGACAAACAATAAAACTTGAAATTAGAACGAATTTCATATTTTTTTTTTGTTTTTTCTAAAATGACGAAACAAAAAAAAAATGACCTTTTCAATTCCTTTCCCAATTTATAACATTTGATAAATTTGTACTTTTAACCGTTTTAAAGCTGTTATTTCACAAGCGTGTAATATTTTAATATAATATGCTTACGAGTTTTTTTTTCTCTCTTAGTTTCTTTGTTTCAATTTGATATTATTCAATTTTAAATGATTTGTTTGAATACAAAATTTGTTCCATAGTTATTATTGTAAGCTAAATCTAATATAATGACCTAGTTCTAATCCAAGATCATAATAGAATTATTCACTACTTAAGTGTGATTAAGGAACTTTAAAACACGCATTTTATGTATACAGTGTGTAATTTATTGATAATAGATAGGCTTAATCCTTTATTTCTTCTTTTTATATTCTCAGTTCGAGAGAGGGCGCTAGCCATCCCTTAACAAATCGATTTTTTTTACCCTATTCTTCCCTATTTCCAAATAAACAAACACACCAACCGAATCGATTAGCCTTCTACATTACCTTAATTGAAAATCAACATGTCCGATTTCTATACATGGGATGACATAAAAAACCATAGGACTGAGGAGAGTAGGTGGATAGTTATAGAGGAAAACGTCTATGACGTCACAGAATGGCAATATTCCCATCCCGGTGGAAGGAGAATCCTAGGACACTACGCTGGTCAAGATGCAACGGTAGGTAAAAAAGAAGAATGATTCTATTAAAACGTACTAATAAATTCTCTTATCGAAAGTTTGCTTGGAAAAATAGTCATATAAATCATAAAGAAATAAAGAATTATATGAAAAAATACGAAATTGGCAAAGTAAAGGGTTCAAACTATACAATTGAACAGGTATGTATACCTATTTATCTTTATATTATATATTTAAAACATTTTTCCTTTGTCAGCAAAATGTACTGAAAGATTTTAAACAATTAGAAGAATTTGTCATTGAAAATAAACTATTTAATCCCAATTACCTTTTCTATACTTTACACTTTTTACAAGTAATCTTATTTGAAATATTAGGAGCATTAGTACTATTCTATTTCGGTAATGAATGGACAAGTTATATGATGGCAACATTACTTTTAACAATATCACAAGTAATTTGGAAATAATATTATCAATTTTGCATTATTATTATTATTGTTATAATAATAAATCTTTAACAATTTCAGGCTCAAGCTGGTTGGACTATGCACGATTACGGTCATCTAAGTGTTTTTAAATCAACAAAATTTAATCACATTGCTCAAAATATAGCTCAAATGCACATTAAGGGAGCTTCATCTAAATGGTGGAATTTTAGGCATCATCAACATCATGTAAAAGTGAATGTTTATAAGAAAGATCCCGATGTTACGTTTCCAATTATAATACTTATTGGAGACTTAATAGCCGAGCATTGGGGTAAAATGAAGAAAGGTATAATGCCATATAAATGGCAGCATATTTACTTCTATTTACGTAAGTACTAACTAATATTTTAATTAGTAATTTAAATATTTTTCGATTAATTAATATTAATATATTCTTTATTTTTATTCTTCTTTCAGTTGGCCCTTGTTTCTTGTTGCCAGGATATTTTCACTTTGAAAATATATACTTTGTTCTAAAGCGTAAATACTTCAAAGTAAGTTAATAAATTAAATATTAATATATTAATTGTAATAAAACTTGTCTTTTAAATAGGAATTCGCCATTTGTATGACTTTCTTTGTCAGATGGATTCTAATATTTGCACCTTTACTTGACGGAGTTAAATCTGCTTTATATTTCTATCTATTTGTTAGATTTTTCGAATCTCATTGGTTTGTTTTTGCTACCCAAATGAGTCATTTACCCATGAAAATAAGTTACGAAAAATCAACTGATAAACAAATAGATTGGGTTACCGCCCAGGTATAATTTAAAAACTATTTAAACCCTCTACGTACAAGTAAATATATCCCTTTATATAGGCTTATGCAACTTGTAACGTTGAACCTGGTTATTTTAATGATTGGTGGTCTGGTCATTTAAATTATCAAATTGAGCATCATCTGTTTCCTACAATGCCTCGACATAACTATGCAAAGTATGTAGGATATTACATTAATCAATTACGAATTGCATAACACTCTGAAATAGTCAATTGTTATACGCCAATTAAAAATCTAATTAATTAAACAATGTCCAGAGAATGATAACAACATTTAAACTATAAAATTTATATACAGGATTGCACCACTTGTAAAGTCATTATTTAGAAAGCATAATCTACCATATACTGTAAAATCGTTGGAAACTGCAATTGCCGACATATTTAGGTAATTATTAAAATATGTTGTTTGTCAGATTGAAATTTATATTCAAAATACTTTTTAATAATCATTATCAACAGGTCTTTAAAGAATAGTGGAGAAATTTATGAAAAAGCATTTTCTCTATAATCAACTCTTAATAAAGGAAGATAAAGAAGAAACGAACGCTATCTCTTTCATATTTTCACTCTTTCTCTTCCCTATTTTAGTTAACATTTATGCAAAACTTCTTCCGAGTTAATCCATTATTGCTATACTTGTTCTCTATTTCTAATTTCGTCCTGGCAACAGTTTTTAAATACTTAAAAGATATTTCTATTTATTATAAAGCAGATGTCACTTTGAGGAATTGGAGAGGGACAATGAATAGGAGTTGTGTTATGTTCTTGTTTTTTATGCACTCTTCTTCCCAAATGAAAGAAATCTTAATCTATCTACATTAGTTTTCTTCCAAAGATGTGAAAAGTTTTACATTTTCGATAATAAAATACAAAAATATTGATACAAGTATTATATCTTCACTATCAACTGATCAGCATATTCCATCTGTTTCAAACAATCAATATTCCTTCATATATTCTTTTTATCTTTAATTAAACTCTATGAATTAATGTATTTTATTACCTCTACTTTAGAGTACTACGATGGATATAATTATTATATAAAACGACAATAGAACAACATTTACAGCATAAAGATACGTGTCTTGAGTCGTAGTTGATCTCTCTCCCTCTCTGTGTGTCTCTTAAATTAATATAAAGTATGAAATTTGATTGATTTAAAATACTTTGAAATGAAACTTTTAGTTATATTTAGATTATTTTCTTTCAATCTTTCTATCATTTTATTTCTCTTTGATTATTATAATTGAAAATTTATAGTCTATTCTATAGATTTATTGCCAGTAAGACCCATAGATTTTTAATGGAAAGGAGGCGAAGATTCTAGGGCAGGCCAATCTTTTAAATACTTTATCTCTTCTATACTTTATTTTATAGAGTATATAAAATTCAAGTTGCTTTTGTAAAGATGGACGCCTTTGACATCGTCTCCTTCTGATGAATTTAGTTTATTTAAAACAACAATCTATATAATTAATAAATATAAATACAGTTTATAGGAATCGTGTTAAAGTTCTACTACGAGATGGCACTATTGAATTTTAAGCTATTTAAAAGTTTTGTAAGAACATTTAACGCTCTACACAAAGCGAATGAAAGTAGTGGAATAAAAAGATTTTTCCAGTCAAATAGTACTTAATTAATGAAAACAAATAGGCCTTAGTTGACAACAGTCATTTAAATTTGATTCTGTAGATGACAGCTGTGGCAGTCATCAGCAACAACAGAGTACAAGGGTACTACAATGATTGGTTAAGATTTGTTATAGATTTGAACAAAAAACATTTTTATACATTAGAAATATAAAGTATATGTAAAGTCTACATATTCTTTTTCAAAAAAATGCTTTTAAACAAATTATTTCTGCTATTTTTACTATAAATGAAAAACTGAAGAAATCAATTCTCTCCTGCTGTTTTTCCTTCTTCATTCTTCCTCAATAATTATATTAAATTGAATAGTAAATTGAAAAATCATTTTGTTCCCTCCTCTAAAAATCTTTAAATATATATTATCCATTGAATAGGGTAAACGAGGTTATATTAGTTAAATCACTAATACTTTTCTTTTCATTTATCAATCATTATCTCTTATTTCTAAACATTCTTTTCAGACGTTGAATAAATTAAAAAGAAAAAAATTTGAATATTGACTATATATTTTTTTTATTTAATAGACAAACATAAAAAAATCTCTATGAAAAGTTTAAGGTTTGTTTGTCTCTTTGTTTGATTAATGGAGGAATCTACTTTAATCCTCTTAGTTTTTTTTTCCTTTTAATTACCAAATTAATTTCTATAAATACAATGAAAAGTAATCAATACATTCATATTGTTTTTCACTGGGTTGTAACCATGGTAAATTGAACTTAGTCAATAAGTTACATATGATTTTTGGAATTATTAAAGCGGTTCCCTCATTTGCTTTTACATGTATTCGTCGATATTCGCTACGAGGAACATTAACCATACATTACCCCCGCGTACACCTTACCTAAACACGCAACAGCATCAATAAAATAACGGGTTGGAACAGGATACCTTGCAAATCAAGGTGAGACATGTACGTGAACAGAGGAGTACCAATATGAACAATGGCGGTTTTATTTTTCTTTTTATACGCCTATACCTTCTTAATATTGCGTAATTCTGCTGAAGAATGGAGCATCGATTTTAATTATGAGAATATCCAGATATGCTCTTCGAAAATTTACGGTTGGGAGACAAATTCACAGAATTTTGCGAAATATGATACAAATTTAAGGGAACAAAAGAATTTAATTGGTAAATATAACTGCTCAATTATTCAAGTTAACATTGATAAAGATTGTAAATGGATAACAATAAATTGTTTACCAAACGAAAATGAATATAAAACAATTTATATAAACGAAAGATCGAATCAACAAAATACGAAGATGTTTACGTTTACAAGAAATGAGAATGCCTTAAATTTTAATTGGTCAAATATTCCAGTTTACGTATTCAACAACGATATATTCTTAATTCAATTCTATTTTAAGGATAGTTTAGGACGATTTAAGCCTACTGTTGAGTGCTTTAATTCGTCCAATACCAGGCAGAGTACGACTTGTTGGAAATGTGTACAAACAACCACAAATAGCCCAGATTATCAATATTTACGTCTATCTTCATCGTTTAGGCATAGATTTTAATATAATGAGATTTTTAATTAACATACCTCTTATTCATCTTTATTCCATTTTTATTCTTTTAATTTATCTAACCAACCTGATCGATCATTGAAATACTAATACCTTATTAAAGTATACAATATTACGGTATACCGTATATATTTCTATTTCAATTAGCTAATAGATGGCGCTAATCTAAAATAATATCTGTGAATTACATTTTAATCTATGCCTAACAAATATTTAATTAATTAGTCATCAAAGCAACGTTATATCGATAGTGGAGAAATCAATTATGAGCAAAATTCAAATTAAACGTAATTGCAATATGGAATTAATAACCGATAATGAATTATCAAATAGTCAAAAATCTATATCTCATAAAAAATCTTGGCTTGTTCGAACAATGAATTATCTCATCTTCTCCGATGGTTCTATATGGGATAATAACTTAAATATTGTTAGTAATCTAAATTTCCCTGATACTGATGATGATGACGATGGTAATGGTAATATTGACGAAATCAGTGCCTTGTTCAACGAAGGAGCCTATTTATACGTTTATCGTGCGAATACTTTCCTAAAAATTGGGTAAGTCTATTTATATAATTTGATGGGGGGGTTTTTTATAGCTTTTTCGTTTATATGTAATAAATATATAGGTAATAAATATATAATTGTTTATAGACTGGAAGATTTAAAACTTCAAGGCCAATATCGAATTAATACAGATGGCGACCTAAAAACTTTAGTGTCGATGGAAGAAGGAAAATTACTAATTGTCCATGTAAGAAAGAACAAAAAAATACTAATTGAGAAAGTAATGTTGGGAACTATTTCATGGAGAAATTTCGAAGAGAAGAGAGAGTCTAAAAGTGGCCTCTCTTCCGGCCAGACAGCTGCTATTACGTGCGCCGTACTATTATTTGCTGGTATTTGTACGGCAGCATCTCTTTTTGTCTATAGACACAGAGATAAAAGTATGATGAAATCTAATATTCAAGTAACAGAATTCGGAAGTGGGGAGGGAGGTTCAAACCGAACGGAAGTTAAAATGAATGGCAGTAATGAAGGTAAACAATAAAATCAGTGTAAAGATATATAAGATAAAAGTGTATAAATAAAAATTTATACGGCTAACTAGGCCTAATAATCGAATAATATAACTTATACAAGTGATTTTAAAGTCTTGTTTCTATTATTTATCCCTAACATTTATACCAAATCTTTTCTTTCATCAGGAATCGTAAACAGTTCATACGATAATACAGATCAAACTGGACCATTTGGTGCAACCTCTAGTCGCAATAAAATGTCTCAGTTATATGACATTAAAGGTTTGACATTTATAAAATGAAAGATTTGTTTTCATATACCAAAATAAAATATCATATATATATATATATATTTATATATAAACAAATATAAGGAGAATAATAGGAAAAAGAAACTTCACTACGCCTCAATTTTTAATTTACCTGTTTGTTTATTTTTTTTAATTTATTTTAATAGAACCAAGTCCAAAACGAGGTTTTCCTGGCTATGTTCAATGTGTTGATGATACACCACCGGTACGTATCAATTCTATTACGTAAATTATACTCACGAGCAGAAAAAAAAAAGAAAACAAGAATTCTCATTCAGCCTAGTTTTAGTAGAGTTTACTATTACTCTCTTTTTTATTGTTTTAGATCGTTTATTGTAATGTATACTATTAGTAAAGCTTTAGTAATATATAAATAGGTAATTTTTTTTTCGTATCGTGTACAATCAGATCTGATATTTGTGTAAAAATTGTAAAATTATTCTAAAGATATAAAAACAAGAGGTCATAGATCCCATTAGTACAAAATTTTTAAGGGTTCCATCCTATTGAGAAAGTGGAAAATAGCCACATTTTGGTCATTAATAAAAGAGGTATGGCATCGTTATTAAACTTGAAAAAAAAAAAGTTGTTTGCTCTCACCTGTGGCACGGTTATGGAGTTCACTAGGTGTACCATTTATATTCGGTACTATCAGGTAACTCTGGGCTCATCAGTATCATGTCTCTTTGTCTTTTATTATAATCTAAACAATTAAATCTATTTTGATTTGTTTCTAAATGAAAATTATAAGGTTGAAATTAGAAATATGTTTTATCTATTGACTATACATATCTACATGTATAACTAATGAATAATGAATATATTAAACATACATGTAGTTGTGTATATACTGTATATATATATATATATATATATATATATATATCTCATTTATTTCATAATTATCTCTTTCTAAATTTACATTTTTTCGGGAAGAACTTAAAAAAGAAAAAGAAAAAAAATCTATTCTTATTTTCTATTCATTTATGTTAATTAAATTATTTCCTGTTTCCTTTAAAAATAGATGTTAACGCCTGATGAAACGGCTCGCTACATCAACATCCAAAGCGTAGCGGAAGTTCAAACTCCTGTTTCAACGCCTCGATTAACGCCGGTTCAAGCTCATCACGTTTCTATGAGTTCTGTCCAGAGTATTGTGTAAAATTTTTTTAGTGATGAAAAATGCTATCGGTATTTTTAGATAGTTAAATACATAGTTTTCATAGTTTTTCTTTGTTTTTATCTTTATTTTTTGTTAAAGTTTCTTGAACAATATACGATACATATATACAGTATATAAACATACATACATACATACAACATATATTTATATATTTACTATTTTCTCTAATTATATTACTCATGCCTTAATAAGAATAGTTTTCAACTAAAACAGTAGTTTAACACAGTTAACTTTCATTTAAATAATACTTAAGTAGATTGCGAATAACTTATTATAAATAGAATAAAACTTGATTTAAAATTTTCCCGCGTTCCCCGTGACTCCTTCTCACTAACGCCATCTACTTCCGGTTTGGTGCTTTACCAATTTTATCCCTCACAAAATATGCCATTTTTCAGCGATCCTACTGGCGTTTAACGCCGTTTATTAATTATGTCGGATGTTAAAAGAGTAAAGAAGACGAAAGAGATTGAATCGGAAGCAGAGTCGAGGATAAAAGGTAAAAATGTCCACACCTTACAAGTCTTGACTAATTCCATTGTTTATTTCTCAACTAGAAATCAAACAGCAATTAGGAGATCAACTAAAATGTCTCGATCAAAGATTGGAATATCAAATTCAACTACTCAGTGAATTACAAGAGTTCTATAGAAGAAGAGCGGATATAGAATTGGAATATGCTAGACAATTGGATCGTCTGCATCGCTCATATAAACCCAGAAAAGATGAGAGAACTAAAGATTTTTGGAGATATTTAGCACCATGGGATTGTTGGGAATCAGTTGTAAAATCTGTAGAAAAACAGTATAGATTCCATTCAAAGTTATATGGGATTTACTCGAATAACATTAGTAATCGGTTAGCCGACTTAGAAAATGACGTTCAAAGTTTGCAGAAAAGGTGCAGAGAGATGGGCGCAAAAGCCCACGAACAAATTCTTAAATGCTTGAACGAATTGCAGTCTTCTTTGAAAGTGTATAATTATACTCAGCAGGTAAGAAATATTCTTTTTCTCATCGGTCCAGTTCTAATACTAATAACCTTTGTAAAAACACGAAAAAGATTCTTCCATTGTTTAACTTCATGTTCTTTTATTTATTCAAGATTTAGCGTTAAACCTATACAGATATAGATAAATTTTCCAACAAATATATATAATTATATTCATTTATTTATTGTAAAAAAGAACGGAACTTTTAACAGTTAACGCCCTTACTCATATATGAAATTGAAATGTTTAATATTATACTTTTTTTATGCTTATCCTATTCAACTTTACTACAGAGTCTCTAATTAAATATACAGTATCTAAAATATCATTTAAATAACGTTAATCTATTGACCTATTAATGGTATTAATCATATATCAATTTTAATTTTCTTTTTCTTTTAAATGAGGCAACGTAGACAAAAAAAATCTATCTATCTATCTATCCCCTTTCTCTCGCTCTCTCTCCCTCTATCTCTCTTTCTCCTACTAGAGAGAGCTATCCAGTAAAAATTTTCATTTTCAAACGAGTATCTCTTTTCGCTATTCAAATTTTTTATTATTATTATTATTATTCATCATATTCATATTTTTCTTTTCATGTTAAATGTATAGGATGAAGAAATTGCTTTGTATATTAGTTACTAACTCTCTATTTGACATTTTCTATATATATATATATATAGATATATATACTGTATATATACGATATATTACTGGTGACATCTATATTTTAAATTCGTTACTATTAATTGTAAACTAATAATGTTGTGTTTTTTCTTTTTTGTACAGAACTTTAAGAATGCCGAAGTTAAATTAGAAAGTGTTAAAAAGGAAAAATTAAAGAGTAGCAGTAGTAAAAAGTCTAAACAATTGGCGAAAACAACCGAAAAGAAGGAAAGAAAATATTCAGAGCAGAGAAAGGCTGCTGTAAGGGCTCGAAATGAATATATGCTATGTGTTGAAGCCGCTAATGCTGCTATTAAACGCTTTTATGTGTCCGACATTTACGATTTAATCGATACAATGGACCATGGCTATCACGCTTCTTTAAGGAATATTTTCCTCCTTCACGTCTCCTGTGGCGAACAGGTTAGTATAATAATCTTAAGGGGTAGGGACCTTTCCCCTTCAACCCTTCTATGACTATTCCATATCTCTAGAGATCTATAAAGACCTAATGCAGGGCGAAAACTACGGCTAGAAGGGTTAATGGTCTCTAACGTTATAATAATTTTTATGTAAATATGTAGTGTATATATTTTTAAAAATAGCTTTTAGACTATAAAAATACAATCTTATTTTAATAATATCTATGAGTGCGATAGATAAAAAAGATGATATTTGAAAGAAAATTAAATACTCAATTAAAATCATCTAATATAGACGTTTTCCATTTCTTCTTTATGTTCTTAGGAACGTTTGACGTAAAACTGTTGGAAAATTTAGGAATAGATAGCCTTGCCATCATATTCCCTCAATTTTCTTCTATATTTAGACTATTCAATTATAGCATTATTTATAAATATATATACTATATATATATATATATATGCACTGAGTTAATATATTAAATATTTTTTATAGGCCTGTCAGCAACAAATGATATGTAATGATGAATTAAAGAAATGCGCCACTGAAATTGACACTCAAAAGGAACTGCAGGTGCTGAAGGACAACTTTCGTCCAATTTTCGCTGTTCCACCTCCCTTCGATTTTCAACGTCATGTAGACGATGATTTGTCGCCTGCAATAGCACAAGCGGACGACGATCTAATCGAACGCGCCAGGTCCCTTAGGGAGCGTATCGATTCGCTAAAATTATGTACAGAAGAGATTTGGAAAACTCTAGAGGCTACAGAGCATTCATTGAGTAAGATTTTCGTCGATGACGTCGACCAAGAAGCAATGGATGTTTTGGGTGATAATGCCGAACTAGTTAATAAACAAAACTGCAATTATCAAAAACGCAGAAACGATAGATTAGAGCAGGAAGAATTCTACTTAAAGAGATTAGAAGAGTACTTGATTAATATAAATTTAATGACGAGACTAGAAGCTAAGCACGCTTGTTTACAAAAATCCGTAGGAGAAAAGACGCCGACTCAAGGACCGTTCAAAGAGTTACCCCCAAAGCCAAAAAGTAGACCATTCCGCAAAAGCATATTCAATAAGCCTCTTAAACTGTTCGGTGGAACTATCGAAGAGTATGTTGAAGCTGTTGGAGATGATATACCATTAGTTATTAGAAGTTGTATACGAGTTATAGTTAAGTTTGGTTTACATCACCAAGGTATATTCAGGGTTCCTGGAGCCCAATTGGAAATCAATGAATTCCGAAACGCCTTCGAAAGGGGCGAAGATCCTTTAGCCGATGTAAATGACGGTAAAGATATCAATTCCGTTGCCGGAGTGTTGAAATTATATATCAGGGAACTGAGGGAAGCTCTTTTCCCTCCAATACTTTTTGATCAGTTAATCAGCTGCTCTAAATCGGCTGATATTATTCCCCAACTACACGATCTCCTAACAACTGCCCTTCCAAGGCCTGTCCTAGTCGTGATGAGATACCTATTTGCTTTCTTTAGTCATTTATCGGAGTACAGCGATGAAAATATGATGGATCCGTCGAATTTAGCCATATGCTTGGGACCTACACTTTTTCCAGTTCCACACGATAAGGATCAAGTACACTTTCGTGGCCCTGTTAATGAGTTAATCAAGAGCATAATTATACATAATCAAGCCATATTCCCCCAGGAAGGTGGGGAATTATACAATAAATTTATGATGACTGTTCGGTAAGATAATTGATATATTTATTCTTTTTTCCCGTCTTCGTTTCTGTGCATATAGGTTGACAAATGTTATATTAGTATATACAGTATAATGTATATCAAAGTGTAACTTGTTCTGTTTATTAACGACGTACGCAACGTACTAATTGACTCTGTTTATGTTTATTTCTTTAGGGATGATACAACCGATAATGTTTCCGATAATGACGAAGAAGAGGTTAATGATCTCTCTGTAGAAGAAAGCTCTACTGAACGTGATTCGGGATTGGAAATGACTGCCTTGTATGATTTCACAGGACGAACCTCTTTGGAACTAACCTTTTCGAAAGGTGCCTCATTAACCGTCTATAATAAAGCGTCGGATGAATGGTGGCGAGGGTCTTTTAAAGGTAGAAAGGGTCTTATTCCGGCAAACTACATAGTTAGAAAATCTTCCTTATCGGCGGATTTTCGATTATCAGGCGATTTTAAACCTGTTAAGGTAGCAAATGTTAAATCAGAAGGCGACGAAGAAGAAAACGTTTCCTCGTCGTCCACCTCCTCCGATGTTGATAGTATGGAAGAACCGAATATCGACGAGCAATTAGAGGCAGCCGAGGAGAGACGCACGCCCGATTTAGTTTTAGACTTACCCAAAAGAAACGATGGTATTACTTCAGCGGCCGAGGCTTTTGCTTGTACACAAACAGGAACCATTAAAAAAGGTCATAGTGTAGATAGCGTCGAAGTTAAGGACGACGAAGACGAACCTGAAGAGCCTATAGCTGCTATTAAACCAGTTAAACCAAAGCCTCCGATAAAGGCTAAGCCTTCTTTGGGGAAGAGTAAAAGTCTTACACCTCCAGATGGAGGAGACGAATCAAACGTTTAGAATGTATTGTTTGTTCAAAACTTTTTTCTCGATAAATATAGGTATATGTATATAATTAGGTTTATATATACACGCATGTATATATATATATATATATATATGTTTTAGTTTCTTTACTCGCAGTTGAGACTTAAAGGAGAAAACTTGATTAGCAAACTTTACTTCAGAAGGAAAATGTCAAAAAATTAAAAAAAAAATCAATTTAAACTCTTCCTTTTACTTTATTTTTCTTCTTTTATTCTCTTTCAATCAACATGAACTTTAAAATGTTCAGTATCCAAATAACAGGAAAAAAACTAAGGCATTTTTTATTTTTTCTCTTCATTTTTAAATCAAAATGAAAGAAGAAGAGAAAACGATGAATGAAATATCAAAAAAAAGGTCTTGTCGCCTACATATTCAGTTTTATCTTTATTCTTCGTTATGGCTCTCTATTTCTTTTTTATCGATTGTTTTTATTCCTTTTTCAAAAGAAAGATCTCTGAAAGAAAGAAAAAAGGAAAGATAAAAAGACTTTTTTATATCTTTTGTTGTTTCTTTTAAAAAACAAAAATGATCAATTTTTGATTTGTACAAAATATCTCATATGATTATTTTTTGTCTCCGAAAACATTGTTTGTTTTGGTATTTTTTTATGAAAATACTCTTATGTTTATTATATATTTAATCAATTATGAATATTCTTAATCGAACCAAAAGTAAAATGAATGATTATATAGTTTCACAAAGGAAAAATACGAACGTTCAAAAATGTAGGATTTCTGTATTTGAATTTTCTAGATGTATCTGTTTATAATTGAAGCGTCTAGCCTAGTATTCTCTTTGTTTATGTTTTAACTGATTTTTTATTTTTTTTTCAATTATTTGTGCCAAAGTTGCGCAAGAGTTTTTCAAGAATTCTTTTACTTTTCTTTTAAATTTGCATGATCGTCTAGTAATGTTTTGCATTGTAAACATTTTTTAAGTACATTTTTGTCCTGATACAGTATATTTCTTATTGATTTCTTTATATGTTATATACAATTTCGAGATGGAAAAAAATAGTATAAATATCATAAACATATCTTTTTATCTTTAATTAAAAAATATAACAGTTATAGTACAAACTTTCAAACATTACTTTCACTTTTCAAACTAGTTTGTTCAAGGGAAAGAGACAGAGAATCTGTTTAAACTATGAGAAAACAAAGAAAAGCAAATATTATTTGTTTTTATTATTGTTTGTTTGTTTTGTTTTTGATTTGTGTTCAAGAGAGAATGAGAAAAAGCAAAATGGTGTAAATATCTTTATCTGCTGCTGCTGCTCCTCCTCTTCTTCTATAAAGAGCAGGTTATCTAATTATAAATATAACAGTATTTATGTTATGTAAACTGTTAATAGAATGAATAAAAGTTGAAAATAATGAAAAAATTTTATTAATTATTGATAGAAATGATTAATTATTCCATAATCATAATAATTAATAAAAAAGGAATCAATAATACGACATAAATCACGTAAATAACTAGTAGAATCACGTATTTGGACTAACTCAGGCCTAGTAATATACTACAGATTATGGCTCCTTCTTTCCCCCGCCCTCTCTCCCCTTCGCTTTTAGATTGTTTATTAACGACTGTGGAATGATATTTGTCTTTGAGCGAACGCGATGGATATCACTCAAAATCATTTATTAAAGATATATAAAAGGAATTTTAAAGAATTATTAAAGGATATTGTAACTTTTGAACGTTTTTGTTCAAGTTTAATTGAATGGAATATTTTAACGATCAATCATAAAGAAAAATTTCAATACGAAATTAATAAAATAAAGGAAATTAAGGATAATCTATTTGAAGAATTATTTCGTATTATTGCCTGTAACGATACTGCTGTAATTTTAAACTGTCTGCATAGTTTAGGCTCTGAGCAATGTTTAAAGTTAACCTCCGAAATAAGTAGAACGTGGGAAAGAGTAATTGAGCGAATGAAGGAAAAGTTTAAAATTGATTATTCAACTATATCTATATCGCCGTTTGATGATGAAAATGCTATACCCATTGATAAGATTCTGACACCTATGACTCTAATTAGAATTGATAAGAATCTAACGGACGAAGAAGGTCATATTGAATATCTAGAGGATGTTGACAACTTCCTTTTATCTATTATCTCGAGTAGAGGAAATAGAATTATAATAAGGGGTCCACCTGGTATTGGTAAAACTGTACATATGAAAAGATTGGTTAATCAATGGATAAATAATCATTTAAATACAAACCAAATAGACATAGTTTTAGTTATATTATTAAGAAAGGTCAGAAGAGGTCAATCACTTTTAGACGCTATCTGGGAACAAAATTTTATTCATATAGAATGGTTAGATAAAGAGACGCTCAACTATTTGTTAAAAATAAATATGAAATCAAATATCGTACTATTTTTAGACGGTGCCGATGAATTCCATATAATTGATAACGAAATTCATTCAATTCTTGAAAATAGAGAAAATTCCTTTTCATCATTTACTATTGTTGTCTGGTCTAGAGAATGGAAAGCTCACCGTATTGATGTAACCTACGATTTTATCTTCCAGTTGTGCGGATTTGACGAAAACCAATTGTTAATCTACTATAGAAAATGCTTAAATGAAAATAGAGGTAACGAATTAGTTGATTATTTAAAAAATAACAATATGGACCTATTTAAAACCTGTTCAACGCCTTTAATAGCGCTTTTAGTCTGGTTGGTTTGGAAGGAGGAAGAAAATCATAATATTGTTGAGAATCATTTTTTAATATATGATCAATTCATTAAGATTCTCTGCTTTAAGAGAAATGTCAATAGGGAAACTAAAGAATTTAAATTGGCCTTTCAGTACTGTTGCGAATTGGCGTTCAAACATTTAGGAAATGATCGTATAGTCCTTGAATCTAATAAGAGTATTCATCATTTAAAATACGTTACTGAATGCCTTGGAGGTCTTTTAAGAGTTATTAATATTAAATATACAACAGAGAGACCATCGTCAATTGAGGAATTTCAATTTTTTCATCTGTCAATACAAGAATATTTTGCAGCCAAATATATAATAAATGAGATGAAGAAGAGATCGTCTGGAAGTAGATTATCCCATGTTCTGGAAATGTGTACAGGAGGACGTCATGAATTCTCGACCAATATCCAAAGTCTATTGGATGTAAATGGAAATTTATATAGAATGTTAAACGTTCTAAAATTCGTTAAAGCTCTTGATTTTTCCGTCTACGAAGAGATTGTTACGAGAAAGCCGGACGTTGTAAAAGCGTTAGAGAATGTTAGCGACGGAATAGGATCCATCATTAACAATGGTCCTAATAATAATACAATCACTATAAAGCATGAAATCTTATCAATATCGATTATTCAATTAATAATTGAAAGATATTGGTTTATTATACAAAAATTATGTCTAATTAATATAGAACTCGACTGGGATAACTTTATTAAAATGGCCGATGGAAAATTAACCAAAACCTTAAGTACTTTGGAAATAATATGTGATTTTCCCCTAAAAACAATCACAAGTTTACTTTGCAGTTGTAACAATTTAAGAAATTTTACACTGCAAAATAATGATATTAATCTTAGACTGTTTGATGATAAATTAACAATCCATTGTCTAAACTGGTGCAAAATTGATAAGAATTCGCTAATTACAATTCTTAATAATTATCCTAATATTAAATCTTTAGATTTTACTAAAAGTAATATGAATGATAAAAGTTGGAATTCAACTCTGGAATTAATGGAGAATCATTACAATATAAATGAATTAAACATAACAGATTGTAGAATTGCTGATGTTGACATTTGCCATATTAATAAGTTAATTAATTATCTGCCAAATATTAAATCGATTCATTTATCTGAAAATCTTATTTCTGATTCTGGTATTTTAGATTTATTCGCATTTATTAACGATAGGCCTATATTCCTTGAAGAATTAAACCTATCAAACATCAATATTGGATTTAACGGTATAGAAAACTTTGCTAATTCAATACAACAATATAGACAGTTAAAACTACTTAATTTATCATTTAATGACTTAAGAGACGATGGAATAATGATATTGTCGAAAGTTTTATCGAAATATTGTACGAATTTACTCGAATTGAGATTGAAAAACTGCAATTTTACAGAGGAAGGTGCCAAGTATTTATCAGCAGCAATTGAAAATTTGAAACACTTAAAAATATTGGATTTGAGTAGGAATACGTTAAGGAATAATGGTATTTCTATTATTTCATTGTCAATTATTAACTTTCTGGAAAATTTAGAAGAGATTAACCTAAATTCTTGTAAATTTACTTCCGCCGGGGCTATAAATATTGGACAATCGATTAAAAATCAACGAAATCTATCAATTTTATCTCTAACAAACAACAATATAGGCGACGAAGGGGCAACATTTATCCTAAAAGTTCTACGAGCTTGTTGTATTAATCTTCAACAATTATATCTCTATAGGTGCAATCTAAATATAGAATTTATAAGAATTCTTTGTAGTTCATTGGAAAGTCTACATGGTCTATCAACTTTAGATATTTCACGAAATCTTTTCGGAGATGACGCCATAAAACTACTTTCAACAAATTTCAACAAGAATAATATAAGACTAAAGGAATTCTATATAGAAAGATGTAATTTTACAGATATCGGATTGAAATCATTATCAATATTATTCAATAATGGAAATATATTAAAAACTATAAACTTATCGAATAATTTGACAACAAATAACGGATTTATTGACCTATTTAAGTATAATTCTAATAATTTCAATACTATAGAAGAATTATACTTAAGTAATTGTAATTTAGAATATAGAATTATAGAATCTCTTGGTGAATATCCTAATTTATGGAAGAATATAAAAACTCTTGATTTATCATTAAATAATCTTGGTAATACTGGAATTCATTTAATCTTTCAAATCTTATCAAAATATATAACTAGAATAATTGAATTAAATCTATCTAATTGTAATTTTACTAATTTCAATATTCATCATCTGGTTGAAGGGATAAAGAATATAGAATGTTTAAAAATCTTGAATATCTCCTATAATAAAGTTAAAAATGAAGGTATTATAATACTTTTAAAATCATTATTAAAATATCAAAGAAATATACAACAACTATTCCTAAATACTTGTGGATTTTCAAGCGAAATTGGAAAGAAATTGATGGATATTGGTGGAAAATTGCATAATTTACATTTATTGGATATATCTCATAATAAATTAGATAATGAAGGATGGATAAATCTATTATCTAGTATTATCAATACAAATAATAATCTTCGAAAGTGTTTCTTTGTTGATTGCAAATTACGTAATTTGGAATCGTCATCAATACAATTCTATACGAAAGTGTTCATCAATTTAAGGCTATTCAATATTTCTTATAACAACTTTAAAGAAAACGATTTAATAATTTTATTTCAAGCGATGACAAACTCGGTTAAACTACTCGAAGAGATTTACGTTCAAAATTGTAATTTAACTATTCATAGTATTGAAAGTTTAGCTCAATTGACAAAGAGGCAACGGTTATTAAAGATTATTGACGTTTCATTTAATAAACTCGGTGACGCTGGTGGATCTATTTTATTCAATTCGTTAACAAACAATAATAAGGATTTGAATGAAATTTACCTCAATTCTTGTAATCTAGGAGTAACGGCTTGCGATAAATTATCCAAAGCGCTTAGTAGACAACCTCTATTAAAGATTTTAAATGTTTCTAATAATGTATTGGACGATGAAGGAGCTCTTGTCTTATTTACATCTTTAGCCGACTATAATAGGAATTTAGAGAAGCTTTTCATTAGAAATTGTAAATTTGGAATATTTGGATTAAAGAGATTAATTAAAAATATGAAAATATTGAGAAATCTTTATGTTTTAGATATATCTGAAAACTACTTTCTGGATGAGGAAATATCTCAATTACTGACAACGATAATCCAGCACGGAAATATTTGTGAGTTGTATTTAAAAGGCGTTAAACACGTTCGTCAAAGAATTCAAGTGACATTATCAATAATTAATAGAAAAATTAATAGTTTTAATGTTAATCGTACGGACTTTTATAGATATTTAATAAAATATCAAGCGAAATTCCATCAATTACCAATAAGAGGATATAATTTTGGTTTGATGTCATCCGACAAACTATTCGACGCTATTTCTACACTAAACAACCTTAAAGTATTAGATTTATCTTGTAATATTATTGAGAATAACTACGAATTAATAATACCATTTGTTATCAATTATCAATTGGGTCAATTGGAGAAACTTTACCTAAGAAACTGTTACTTAGGCTGTACAGAAGTGGAAAAATTTCTACAAACGATTAAAATGCAGCCTTTATTGAAAATATTAGATATTTCTAACAGTATAATCAACGCTAACAATGGAGCATCAACGATATTTGAGATCATTAGTGAATTCTCTCATCTAGAAAATTTATATATAAGAAATTGTCATCTTAATCAGAATGGAATTAAAAGTCTTAATCAAATATTTACTAATCAAATTCAATTAAGTACATTGGACTTATCATTTACGGATATAAAAGAAAAGGGAGCAATAAGTCTGTTTGAATCGATCTCATACTCTTGTAATAATATTCAAGAATTATATTTAAAAGCTTGTAAATTTCATTCGTCTGGCGCAAAGAAATTGGGTAATGCCTTAAAAAACCAACATAAACTAAGAATATTAGATATCTCTTATAATAAAATTGGCAATGACGGTGCAGTTTATCTATTCAAATCAATGAAAATGTCAAATCTTTGCCTAGAAGTTTTAATTATAGACAATTGTTTAATTGGCTTTGAGGGAATTAACGAATTAAGTAAACTAATTGAATGTTTAGATAGTTTGAAATGTTTAAATGTTTCTCGAAATCCAATTAAAGATGAGGGAGGAGCATTACTTATCGATTCTATTTGCACTAACAATATATACCTAGAGGAGCTTCGTCTGTGTAATTGTAAAATTGGAAGGACATCAGATCAAAGTCTATCAATTGCTATAAAGAGTCTATCCTATTTGAAGGTACTTGATGTTACTCAAAATAAAGATTGCAACTTTAAGGAATTTCTCAATTCACAACATCGTAACTGTAATTTAAACGAAATTCGTATTGAATCATCAGCTTTTGATCAATTTGTAATAATGGAAACATTTGCTCAATTAGTCGGAAATCAATCAAAATTGGCTATATTATCTTTATCGAATAGCAGTATAACAAACGAAACGTTAGAGATGCTTTTGGTAATATTATCTATGAATTCTGATAATCTGGAAGAATTTTATCTTTGTAATTGTAATCTAACTAGTAAATGCTCAGAAATTCTATCGATTTATATTAAATTGTTTGATCGATTGAAGATACTCGACCTTTCCGAAAATCCATTCGAAGATGAAGGATCATCATTCTTATTCAAATCTCTAATAGATTTTAATAATAACCTGGAAGAAGTATCTTTAATTAATAATAGATTTACATCAATTGCAATGGTATATCTGTTCGAAGCTCTACCTTCTCTCAACAACTTACGATTAATTGATCTTTCCAATAATAAACTACAGACGCCTTTAACCTTTAATCTTTTATTTTCATTAAACAATATCGAAGAATTATATCTAGCAAATTGCGATATCGATTCAGCCGATTCTTTGCAATTTCAGTACTCATTTCAAAGATTAAAATGCCTAAGGATATTAGATATTTCTCATAATCGAATTGGAGACGATCTGTCAGCCCTCATTCTACACTTTATCGCCGAACACTGTAATAGAATTGAGGAACTTCATATTCAATACTGTAATATTGGTATATTTAGCTTTAACGAGTTATTACAGATTATTAGAAGATTAATCGATTTAAGAATATTAGATATATCTGGAAATTATATTAACGATAATATAATATTTAATCTCTGTAATACCATAAACAACGATTTTAGAAAGAATTTAAAGGAAATTTACATTACTGATTGTAATATTTCAAAGAAAAGCGAAGAAAATCTGTTAAATACTGCAAAAAAATATCATGGAAATTTAAAATTTATATTAAATGAATATTCATTTAATGAGTTAATTAATAATTAATTTATTCATTTTATTATATTTTATTAATAAAGTAGAAAATGTTTCGACTAAATGTTTTATGTTTTTCAACTCTGATATACTGTTTATACTTTACTTGTATATTTAAACTATAAAAATAGGGTAAAATAGGGCAGAGTAGGCCTTTTTATCACAATAATATTTGATCTGAATATTGTATAAATTTCCTGCTATTTTTGTTTTTTCTATAACAATATAAAGAAAGAAAAAGAGAGAAAGAGAAAGAGAGGAAATCAGCTGATCTCTTATATATTTTTATTAAGTAAACTTGATCGCAAATATTTTTAAACAAAAACGTTCTATTCTATCAAAAGAAATGGAAGAGGCAAGAAATCATTTGCTATTACTATATGAAAATGAATTTCGTGTAGTTCTTAAAAATGTTGTTACCTTTATCGAGTTTTGTAATGAATTAATTACAAAAAATATATTAACTATTGATCATTTAGATAAATTCAAAAATGAAATTGATAATAAGGGAGAGTTTGTTGCTGATGACCTATTTAAAGAATTATTTAAAATATTAATAAATACTAGAACCGATTGGATTTTAATTTGTCTTATGAAAACTCAACAAGAACAATGCACCGAATTGGCTTTTGAGATTGCTAATACTTGGAAAAGGATTATTGAAGAATTAATGAATAAATTCAAAACAGATTATTCAACTGTACCAATATCCCCATTCGAAAATGGTAATCCTATACCGGTTGAAAGAGTTCTTACGCCTATGACGATAATAAAGGTAAACAAAACTCTTTTAGATGAAAAACTTAATAAAAGCTTCGAAGAGAGTTGGAATTTTTTATCAATAATTAACGATGAATGCAAGAGAATTATTGTAAGAGGTCCACCAGGGATTGGTAAAACTGTTCACATGCGTAAATTAGTAAGCTGGTGGGCAAACTCCACGAGTCAAAAACCCCATTTAGAAATGGTTCTTCCCCTTACTTTGAGGAAGGTTAGAAAAGGTCAGCGTTTTATAGACGCTATCTGGGAGCAAAATAATTTTCACAAAATTCCTAAACTGAATAAAGAGGCATTTACGTACTTCCTAGAATTAAAAGCGTCTAAAGCAGAAACGAGAAATAAAATTGTCTTCTTTCTGGACGGAGCCGATGAATTTTACGAGAAAACTAGTGAAGTCTACGATATTCTAAATGGTAAGTCCTTTCCGTTTCCCATAATTGTTTGGTCTAGAGAATGGAGAGCTCATCAAATCGAACTGACCTACGACGCTATCTTTCAATTATGCGGTTTTAATGAGAAACAGTTGGAACTGTACTATATTAAGTGCCTGGACGAGGAACGTGGAAGAGAATTAGTTGCATATTTGAAAAGGGAAAAAGAGGATCTTTTCAGAGTTTGCTCCACTCCTCTTTTAGCTTTAATAGTTTGGCTAGTTTGGAAAGAACCCGGAAATGAATTATCAGTGAATCATTACCTAATCTATGAGCAATTTGTCAACGTTCTTTGTTCAAAAATGAATATAAATAGAAAGACAAAGAAATTTAAGAAAACTTTAGAATTTTGCTATGAATTAGCGTACGATAATTTAGGAAAGGAGCGGATTATCTTAAATGAGAACAAAAAGGGCGCAGATCGCCTACAGCACGCTGTTAATTATTTAGGAGGACTTTTAAGAGTGATAAAGATTAATTATACAAATGAACAATTTCATTCTTGCTCCCAAGAATTTCAATTCTTCCATCTAACGATCCAGGAATATTTTGCCGCAAAATACATCATTAGCAAATCAAATCAGGCCTTAACCGATCTCTTGGCGCCATTTTGCTGCGGACATTTCAACTTCTTATCTCAATTAGGAAAGCGTCTGACAGACGATGGAAACGTATACACAATGTTAAACGTTTTAAGATTTGTTAGGGCGTTAAATAGACAAATCTATGACAAACTCGTCAAAGATAATAGAGAACTCAGACGTATACTAGATGGCGTCAGTGACACAATTAGAAAAATCATCACCGATGGTCCTACTGATCATAGTTTAATTGTACGAGACGAAGAGTTATCTAATGCAATAGTAAAACTATTAGTCAATAAATATTGGCATCTAATTCAAAATATAACTCTAATTAATGCAAAGGCTAATTGGAGGTTTTTGATCAAACAAACGAAAAGTATTTCGTTTAAAAACCATCTTCAAGTCTTGGAGATAAAGAGTAACGACGCCCTTTACATACTCTTGAAATTCTTAGAAGTTTTTGAAAGCATCGAAACTATACAAATGGAAAACAATAGTACAAAGTTAACCTTTTGTGAAAGGAGACTAAAAATAAAATCATATGGATGGAATGAGCCTGAAGTGGATTCTCTAATGACCTTTGTCAGCCTGCTTAATGATATACGATCTATGAGGATCTCAGTTAAGAAAACAGAAAGCAAGTTCATTCCCAAGCTACTAGATAGCCTTAGATATCCTAACAAAATAAAAGTTATTGATTTATCCAATTCTTACTTGACAATAAATACAGAGTTAGGAGGTAATGATCTAACAGAGGAGGTTGTTAGAATAATTAAAAACTTTACACATATAGAGGCTGTTTACTTGTCAAACAATAACATCTTCGATCAAAGTATTGCCGAATTGTTTAAAGCCTTATCCCATCCAAAGAATAAACTCTATCAGCTGAAGGTTAATAATTGTTGTTTTAGATCGTACGGAGCTGAAAAATTGGCAAAAGAAATGATTAACTTGACTAATTTAAAGATACTTGACATTTCCGATAATAAAATTGATAGTAAAGGCTCCATTACCCTATTTAAAGCGTTGAACAACTGTATAAATAATCTTGAAGAATTACATTCGAGAAGATGTAATATTGACTGGAAAGGAGGAGAAAGTTTAGCCGACGCTCTTCGAAATTTCAAAAAATTGACAATTATTGACATCTCATTTAATCCCATTGGTACTAGGGCTATAAATAAAATTCTAGAATCTATTTATCGATTTAATTCAAGAATGGAAAAACTAAATATGGAATCATGTCGTTTTGATGGTGGAAGTACTGTATTTTTAGCAGCAGTAATTGAGAAATTAACAAATTTAACGTACTTTAATATATCCGGAAATATCATGAATAAAATGTCACTGTTAATCCTCTTCGAATCAATGGCTGTGTCATTGAACGAATTCAAGGAACTATGGTTAAATGACATTAATTTATGGGGTGATAGTGTGAAACCCTTACTTCCTTTTCTCCAACGCCAGTTGCATATTGAAGTTATTCAACTTTCCAATAACTATCTAAGTGATACAGGAGTATATAATTTATTTAAAACAATGAGTGACTTTAACATTTATATAAGGGTACTTGATATTTCCAACTGCAATTTGGGAGTTGCAGGAGCGGAATACTTGGCAGAAGCAATTAAAAATCAATCTTATCTACAGCATTTAAACGTTTCTTTCAACGTTATTGAAGATGAAGGTGCTGTTGTACTATTTAAATCTGTTGCTCTATTTTGCAAAAGTCTTCAGCTATTGAACGTTGAAAAGTGTGGCTTTGGACTATACGGTGCTGAGTGTTTGGCTTTAGTCATTCTAAAGTTATATTCTCTACGTACTTTGATCTTTTCGCAAAATATTGTCGGAGAGAAAGGAGGAGAACTTTTATTTAAAATGCTATCAAAATCATCTTGTAATCACTTGAAGGAACTACGTTTCAGAGCTTGCCAATTAAGATCATCGGGAGGAGAACACTTTGCCAAAGCCCTATATAATCTCGATTCCCTTAAGATTTTGGACTGTTCATCAAATTATTTTAACGATCAGACTTCGTCACTGATACTAGAATCTATTGCTGCCTATTGTAACAAGCTTGAAATACTACTTATAGAAGACTGCCAATTAAGCTCTAACACCTTTAATAAATTGAACAAGATTTTCATAACCCAATTAAACTTGAAAATACTTAATATTTCCAATAATCCAATTGAAAATAATATGGACGATACATTGTTCTATTCTTTTCCTAAATCTTCTTCCTTCCTCGAAGAAATTCATCTTCAAAAGTGCGAATTAAATGTTAATAGTATCCGACAACTCTGTTATACAATTCAACATATAACAACTTTAACTTATTTGAACATTTCCAATAATCATTTAGAGGAAGAGGATGCCAAATACCTTTTTAAAGTATTATCAGACTCTAAAAACAGACTAGAAGTTCTTCTTTTGCAGAATTGTTCACTTAAAGAAGGAGGAATTGATGGTCTGGCGGAAGTTTTAAAAAAACAAACACTTTTAAAAACCTTAAATATTTCCTACAATCATATAAGTAATCTCTCAGCTCTAAGCCTATCGAAGAGTTTAGCGTGCTTTTGCAAAGAATGCTGTAATTTACGGTTGACGAATACTTTTTCCGGTTCAAAAGCTACTGAAACAATTGTAAAGCTTATAATTCGATTGCCTAATCTAAGAATATTAGACTTATCCCTGTGTAAATTGGAAAACGACGGAGCAATAAACTTATTCGAATCGTTATACGAATCAAACATTATACTGGAAGGATTCCATTTGAGACACTGTAATTTTGACTCTCACTCAATGCCAAGCTTAATAAGAGCTCTTGAGAAACAGCATCTTTTAAAAATATTGGCCTTATCTTATAACAAACTTGGTAATAATAGCATTATTTCTCTATTCTACTGTCTTAGTAATTTTAATTCGAATCTTAACGAATTACATCTTCAAGGATGTGGAATAGAAATATTAACAACGCAAACTTTTAATCTTCTCTTAACGGAGCAATCATATCTTAAATTGTTAAATTTAACGGACAATCCAATAGGAGATGAAGGATTTGAAAATTTTATTGAATCATTCAAACAATCGTGTAAATATTTAACTTTTCTTGGACTTGATCAGTGTGGAATAAACAATTTGGACCAAAAGTTATCAAAAGAATTGCCCAAGGCTAAATTTTTACGAAAATTAACGTAAACAATCGATTTTATGATCATATTTTTTCACTAGTTCTGTTAAGATGTGCAAATTATAGTGTGATAATCTCTAAATATTAATATGGGTAACATATATACGGTATATATGGTCATATATCTGTTGAGTTTTCTATTGAAATATAAAGTTGTTCAACCATATTTAAATACATAGTTTTTAGACTGTTAATCAACTAGATAGTTTTATTTATACTTTTTTTCATTTGTTGAAATATTTTTATCAATAAATAGTGAATAATTCAAGATTTATCTCCTCGGTGAGTAACAACAAATTTTTTTATTATTTTTTTATTATACTATCCAAAAAAAATTTAAATAAAAATATTTAAGTTACTATGAAAAGAATGCTTTAAATGAAAATTAGTTAATACGAAAATGATTTCTAACCGGATGAACTAGTAGCGCCACCACAACCAAAGGAACGCAGTTTATTACCAACTACAATATCCATTTCGGATAAAAAAAAGGATATCTTATGAGCAATAACAAAACAACTTTCGTTAACCTACAACAGAACGGTAATTGCTCTTTCTGATCGTATTTGTATACACGAATAATGTCGAAAAAGCTAGCCATATTTATTAACTTCGTTGTTCTAGATCCATTTAGCGATAACGCTGTATCTGGATCAAGTCAAGGTGGGGTAATACACATACGAATCCAACAAAGAAATGGTAGAAAGACGCTAACTACTGTCCAAGGTATAAAGGATGAATTCGATTTGAAAAAAATTGTGAAAGTGTGCAAAAAGGTAATAAAACTACAAACCATGCCGGTTTTATAGACGTTAAATTTAAATGTATTCTTTTAACTACAATAGAATTACCTTCTATTTATCATTTTCTTGTATAATTTCATTTAAAATGCAAATATTTAGTTGAAAATTCTTGCAGGAATTTGCCTGTAACGGAACTGTTGTCGAGCATCCAGAATATGGGGAAGTAATTCAATTTCAAGGAGATCAAAGACAAAACATTAATGACTTTCTTATCAAGATTGGTCTTGCAAAAACCGAGCAAATCAAGGTAACCTTAAAGCTTATTAATACAAATCGCTAATGCTTTCTATATTTACAGGTTCACGGGTTCTAGAGATTGTCATGAAGAAAATTCAACTAAGAATTTTTATGTAGTAAATACTTACTTTGACAAAACATTAGGATTTAAAGAATAAGTTAACGAAATGTTTTGCATGAAAATACTGAGTAAATATTGTTGTTGGTGATGTATTTCTTAAAAATATAAACCATTTACTCACGAAATTCTACAGACTTTTATAAATTCTGATAAATTAATTATCAGTCACAAATAATTTTTGGAGTCTTTGGTTGAGAAAAATCCCTTTGGGATCATATTTATCTCTTATAGCTCTGAATTTATCCCATTCAGGGTAGATTTTTCGAAAGTCACCACCGCTAAAATTGCACGGTTTAGCCCAATGTGGCCTAGCTCCATACTTCCTTGCAATATCTTCAAAAGCATTCCAGTATCTTTCGTATTCAACTTCTTTATAATAAGGCCTATAAAGAAAATTTTGATACTCTGGATAGTTTTTATAGATATAAAATAAACTATTTTAGGTGAATTCTACCTAAGCATTATAATATTTATCCAGGCTGATTTTCTTTCAAACGAAGGGCTCAATAATAGGTCATCAGGGGCCGTAAATCGTACTTCTACCCATGAATGAGCGTAAAAATTGTTCTTTTTCAACCAAGCTTTTAATTCATATAGAACATCAGCTGTTTTATCTCTGTATATTAAGGTTAAAAATTACCTAACTAACATATTTATGGTCTGAATTTACTGTGGAAAAGCCCATTCCATTACGTGTTGAGAGAATAAGCAATCAAAATTGAATATTTTGTAACCAATATCATAGTCCAGTCTTGGTTTTCGAAAGAGTAAAGCAACAAATCTATTAACTAAAACTATCAACTGCGGTATAAATAGACTGAAATATATAAAATTTAATTATATTTCTTGATTTTGAATAAACTATTAAGTTCTCACCAGATCCAGTAGAGAAATTGTAAAAGATGATAATTAAGAAGAACATCCCTAATATAATCAGATGATCGAATACGTTTCTCTTCATTCTTAGGACAACGATACTGATGATCAATAACAACATTTTCAGTATGAGGAATCCAGTAGAATTTAAAATGATCAGATTGATTTAAATGATCATCCAAATTATTTAGAACATCAGTCAGTTGCCCAAGCTCTCTATTCTGTCTGATAGAGTATAATTTCTCACATTGGATAGTTACAGTCAAAACAATTCCCATGCAACCCAAGGAAACGCATGCCGCTTTAAATTCTACTTCGTCGTTTTCTCTATTGAAATATACAATTTCGCCATCGCTCGTTAAAACTTCCATTTCAAGAACCTATGATAAAGTATTCCATAAGATATATTTATAATATATAGAACAAGTTAAAAGAGAATCCTTACTGTTGATGTCAGGCATTTATAATTTATTCCAGATCCGTGATAGGCAGTCAATAGCATACCAGCTATAGTTGCATCCGATATTGAACCTAATCTGTATTCAAATAATTAGATTATATATGTTTATTAATGATATATGTTTTATAAGTTACAGGCTAAGACAAAGGTCATTTTCTTCTAAAATTTCATTCAATGCGGTTGTTTCAGTTCCTGCTTCACATTTCACTGTCATATTTTTCTTATCAAGCTGTTGATTTCAATAGGAAGTATGAAGTCATAAATTTAACTAGTCTTTCATTTAATCTTACTCTTATTATCTTATTCATCGCCTTTAACGAAATCATATAGTCATCAGTGCATGGTATATCTGATGGAGAGTGTCCATTTCCAGAAATTCTAATTTTCTTGTTGTTTTGCTTTGCTAACCTCAAAATAGATTTGATCTCTTCAACATTTTTTGGTTCAAAATATAATTCTGGGTTACATGAAAACGTCTTCGACCAATTTTCAAATTTATACCGTTTTTGACCTTCAATCTATAAGAAAAATATAGATATTTAAATTGCAGCATAGTCATCATTACATGTAACTTTGCAATCTAGAAACTTTATAATTATTAAGTCGAATTGGAGGTCAATGCTCTTAACATTTGGTCATCCTAGCTGACCAACAACTACTTTCGAAAAAACTGTGTAAGATGTTTTATCTTATGACCTAATTTTGGAACTCTCTAAAAAAAACGAATTGATATCGTTAGAAATACAAATAGTATGCATATTTTAAAATGAATATATTGATATTCAACATATAGAACCAAAACCTTTTTCTATTAAACATTGTAATATATAAAGGGAAATTAATGAAAATCTTCTAGTGAAGTTATTATTGCAATATATTAATTTTATTCTACAGTAAATGCAATACTAAAACCGATGCTAATCAGATGATAATTTAAGGAAGGAGTTGGCCGTACGTTCGATTTTTAGGCAAAATATCTAAAATTACGCTTTTTAAAAGGTTAAACATTTACTTTTTCGATGATACAACAATATTATTATGTTTCTTACCTTTATATCCCCTAAATTATCATTTATACTTTTTCTGGCCATTGTTGAACTAATAAACCAGGTTAATAGAGTGCGTTTTAAACATAAACTGGTAGCGGCACAAAGCATTATATATACAAGAATATTTTACTGTCAACAATATAATCCAAGAATGTGAATGGTAATGTAGAATTTCAACTGGTTTTAGGCCCGCATTCAATACGAGCCCCTTTTTATGACCTTACTGATAGCACGTTTCATTTTTATTTGAATTTTATTCAACGAATTAGGAATTATATTACATATTAAACGCTTTCACTATATCGTCAACACATGACTTAAATGTCTCTACAAACGCACCGCTATCCCTTTCAGGATATGCTGAAACAGTGCATCCTAATTGGTCTCTTTCAATTCCATAACCAATTCCAAAACCATCTCTAACTACTGGACCAAAACTGCCAATCAATAAGGCAGAACTTGTTAATGTCGATGTACTAATAACGTTTTGATTAATTTTTACGTAAGCTGGATCTTGAAATATCTCTGGTAAAGCGTCTCCAGACTGTGTAGCCAAGTTTTTCAAAGCAAACAAATGCCTATCCCAACCTTTGCCCATTGCTGCGTGTTTTGTTAATTCTGTATGAACGGTTGAACATTTTCTAACAGCTTCTTGTAATTCAGAAGAGCTTGGGAGTGTTCCAGTCGTTTTGCTAAAAAGTTCACATGCAGTTTTCGTAGCCAACGTAGCTGGTCGAATTGTTTCTGTTCTGCCGTGTTTATATATAGCCGTACTGCAAGATTCATAAGTTGGCACGACCTGACCATGCATTTTATAAAATGTCATTTGGAAAAGGAGTTGCATCATGGCATCAGGACTAATTTTCATAGCTTTACAAGTTTTTCTTCCAGTTCCAAGAACTTGAGAATAATTTAAAGTCAACGAATCAACTTTATCGTCAAATTTTTGTTTCGACGAATCAATGATTGACTTGAGTTTATCATTTAAATTAAATTCAATAGGCTTAACTTGAGAGGACGGTAAATCGTATTCGACACCTCCATTTACCCTAGGATTCTTAGTAGTATCCTCAAAGCATTCGTTAAAGTATCGAACAACGGCTACTCCATCTCCCCAAGCGTGTTCAAAATTAACGGCTGCATGACCATTCTTGTCCAAAATTAAAGAGAAACTTTTGTCGAACCAACGATTACATCCGTCACCGTGTAAGAAATTCCTAACAATTTCAACATTATCACTTGTATCCAAATCGTCAAGGGTCAACATAAAAGCGGCATCGTCAACTAATTTTATTGCATCTGTATTTCCTTCAGCAATGAGAATATCTCTAGCATTCGCCCATATATCTCTATTGTCCGATGTCAGATAACCCAGAGGATGATCTGGGGCAGGCCTATTGTCCCGAAGAATATGACGTACATTCGATAATAATTGACGTGCATCTACAATCGATCCTATAGAAGAATAAAAATGGTATTAAACAAATATTAAAGTTAATTAGGAGCACATGCTAATTTAGTGCTATAAGGTAAAGGATTTACAATGGCCACAATTTATAGTCTTAAATTACCGAAATGTGTTTCGTAGGTTCCCGCCTTTATAGTTTACTAGTTCTTTTAGTGCTTTACACGATTTAGACAGAGATGGAGCAGATTAGTGTAAATACAACAATAAGCGATGTTACTAATGAAGGAGTTTCTTCAGAAAGGAGTGCCTATATGGAAAGTGTCATAGCAACGTTATTATCAATATTAATCCTTTCGGGTAACAGTTTCATTCTTGTTTTACTATGGAAATTTCGAAAATTAAGGAAGAGACCCTACTACTGTATAGTAGCTTTAACAATCAGTGATTTTTGCGTTGGACTTATTGTACCCATAAATGCCTTTGTTGTTGCCGCAAAAGTTCTACAAAGCAATTTTTACGTATGCATGTGTGTTTATAATTTACTAGTGGTTTGCGTACTTTGTTCAGCATCTTTCGTTTTCCGTAAGTATACAATAAAAGAAAAACAAGGTCGAAGACTTTGTTTGAAAAAGGGCGCATCATTAATTATATATTTTCGTCCTTTCTCTTAAACAGTTTTATCCTTGCATCGGCTCTTTATCCAACTGAAACCTCTTCAACACAAGGTTATATTAACTCGTAAAATGTTGATTTACATACTATTTATATGTACAACCATCAACGTAATATTTGCACTATCACCCTATTTAACCGTAAAAGGAAGGAAGTGGAATGGTAGCTGCTCTTATTTAGAAATGTTCTCCGTTAAACCAGTTTTAGCAGTAACCCTTCTCATTTTTACATTTCTCATTGGGATGATATTATCGTATGGTACGTTACTTATTCTTTTGAAAAGAAAGGCAACAGTAAATCTATCTGCCACGTTAAACAAGAAAAAGTTTAAATACGCCGTTGCTGCTCGAAAATTAAAACCAATTATAACAGTCTTTACAGTATGTAACTTACCCTACGTTATTGCAATATTGCTTAGAATAAGTGATGAGAACGAAATCAATATGATTATTCATAGAATAACACTACTTCTTATGCTTTTAAATAGCTTTTTTAACCCTATTTTGTACATAATTAATTTAAAAGACTTTAGAACTGCTTATGAGTCTTTCTTTAATCTCAGAGCATCTATATAAATCTATTAATATAATCCGGATATGATAACTTAAAAAACGTATTCCTACAATAAATACGACATTGATCAAATTAAATTCTAATTAAGATATTTAAAAATAAATAAAAATAACTAACCATCTTCGTTTAGAATATCAAAACAATAGAATCTTCCTTTTCTCATAACAGCTACGTGCCTTGCACTCTTGTTAACGTATAGTTCATCTTTTCCCTGTCTTGGTACTCTTGTTGAATTGAATAAATTCTTATACTGACTCATATCAAGAGGAAAGACTTTTTTCACGTATGAACCGTAAGTTGCTATTCCCCTAGGTAACCAACTAATGTATTTCCAATACTGATCATTATTGGTCTTTTCGGGATTTAGATGAAAAACCTCAGGTCTAAGGATATTGCTCTCTAGACTCTTTTTAAATTTCATTGAAGCTACAATAAAATTCGTAGCTCTAATCGCTTGATCGTTATTTTTTTCATTCGGATCATCTTTATAGACAATACAAGGATTTTGGTTAAAGGCTAAACCATTTCGATCTTTAAGATACATGTCAAACCATGGTCCTGATACATAACTGGTATGCTTGTTTCTCTTATTTTCTTTAATGAGGCGACTATTAAGATCTGAAATAATTTATTGGAATAATTTGTTAAATCAAGAAATTAAAGTTTTTCCAATATTTAACCTTTGCCCTCTTTTTGCAAAAAATTCATAGTTAATTTCTCTGTTCGGGCGTAGGCCTCTTCATTGAGCAAAACTCTCTGGCTAGCTAAGTACTTTTCGCAAGTTTTTTCTAATTTTGGAATGGGTAGTCTTGGTAATGAGGGTTGAAAATAGTCACTAGGAACAGTACATTTTGGTAAAAGATCAGACTGATCTGCTTTCGTGCTGCAAAGTTATACACGATGTAATTTATCAGGTATATTTGAAGGCAATAATTGGGACAGACCTTAAAACTCTTGTTGAGTTAAATTTTAATTTATTGATAGCCTGAAATAAAGTTAATTTATTAAAAATTAATACGATTACGTAGTATTTTAAGTACTGACATTAACTGCTCTTGTAGTTTCTCTTCTCAAAGCCATTTTTCAGCCGGTCAAAGTTGAATTTGTTTACTAAATGAATGATGTTGTATGGCAAAGTATTTGCAGTCAAAATTTTAAACAATAAAGTGACATCGGATTCAGTAACCACACTATGAGAATAAAGTCTCGCTCCGAAACGATATCGAATCTTCGCGCCTAATTTTGAAAAATGGTACAAATAGTATAACTTGCATATTATCTATTAAAATATATCCATCTTTTTCTGAGTAACATGATGCACGATAATACAACCAATAATATAATACTTCCATATAAAGGAAATCTGATTAAATATGACACAAAAACTACATTTGCCCAGCAACAGAAAGCTAGAAACAGACTCAATCTGAAACTTGTCCTAATACGAAATCGTCTATAAGGAAAATGGAAAATTTTCAGAGTTAACAAAAATTTACCTACGCAAGCAAAGCTAACAACAAATATAATAAAAGATGCAGCTCTTAATAAATTAGTTTCGAAAGACACAGATATAGATTGTTTATGGAGCAATTCTTCTGCAGTATGGATCCCTCGTTCGATTATTGCTATTGGGACATTGTTAGCAGTTACGTATGGTTGAAGGGACACGTGGTGTTGTTTAGCTAAAACGCTAAACTGTAAATATAAATAAGAATATATACAGTATATATTAAATAAAGACTATCTCCTAAAAAGTAAAGAGGATACTTAACCTTTCCATATGAATTGTTTAAAGCAATATAAAAATTTGCTCTAATATCACCAATTTGTGGTTCGCTATTTTTATTAAGATAGTAATAGTTATCACTCTTTTTCAAATGAGGCTTTTCTGGTAGATTCATTATTAGGCTCATTTCTAGCTTATTCAAAACTTCTTCTGTTATATAAAAACCGCCAATTTTCGGATTTTTACCCAAGAACTTCTCACTTTCAACAGAGAATTTTCTGTATTAAGAAAAAGAAGCATTTCTTTTATCTTATTTTATTCAAATCAGTGTAAAATACTTTGGATTTTCGTGACTTGCGCTTCTTTCAAAAGAGAAACTTTTCACAAGATCTTCACGCCATTCCTTTGCTTTATAAGAATGTTTGATATTAATAATATATCTAATATAGAAAACGATTAAAGTACTTACAATAGGAAAACGATGATCGACCTGTTTCTCTGCAAGAAAGTATTTTATATCAATTATTTATATCTTTAAAAATTTCGAATATTATACTTACTCTCTTTTCTCTACTTCAACCCATTGGTACATTTCAACTGATCTCTGCAAAACTGCACTATTAAAGCCAACATCAAATACAGGATCGTGTGCTTCCTATAAAATATAAATCTTATAAGAGTAATTTCTGGAATGTTGTTATTGATTATAAATTTTTGAAAAAATGTATTAACTAACATGTTTCATATGTAAATTTCCAGTAAAGTGAACTAATTTCCCATCATTCGATTCATCTGCTATAAATATATTTTCCAAACGGACAACAGACTTCGAGCTTTCATCAGAGGCGTAGTGAAAGAGAGTACTATTGTATTCGGCATATATGAGAATTGTTAATGCTGCTAAGCAGAGCACAGAAGATGTAATTAAGGGAAGAAGATAAAATTTAACTCTTGTCTTTAATGACCAGTGTTCCATAGCTGCATTTTGCCGGAGACGATATTGTAAATTATGCATTCCCGGTGCATCTGGATACTGAAAATAAACAAACTTCATTTATCGCTCAAAAATAATGTGAAAAGTTTACAAATGTGAATTTCCTTATAAAAAGCAAATATGCAATAAAATCTATGATAATAAATATTAATAAATTTAATCTACTCACATGTTGACGATACATATCAGCTAAATATTTTGCTTTCGACTCATCCGAATAGTGAAAATTGAATATACCGGAAGTAGTTATCAGAAACACAGAACAACATTCGATTCAACATGGATCTTGGTGTGATGAAGCAAAGTTTCAACTCTCAAATAAATGCTAGTTCAGAACTTTATCCAGATTGGCTAAAGGAGGAACATGAAACCGGCGTAAGTTAATTACGAATCTTCTATAAAACAAGCTTTTCCTATTGCAGTATACTGTATATAAATTTCATATCCTTAACTAAACATATTATCGCCCAATTTTTAGACAACTATTATGGCAGTAGAATTTTCTGAAGGTGTAGTTATCGCAGCAGATTCTCGAACCACCACTGGGTAAATAGAATATTAAGAGAGTTGACGATTATTATCTGAATTCTTTATTTTTATTTTTCAGAGCATACATTGCCAATAGAGTGACTGACAAACTGACCAGAGTAACAGATAGAATATATTGCTGCAGATCCGGCTCTGCCGCAGATACTCAAGCAATAACTGATGTAGTTGCTTATCACCTGGGATTTTTACAGTAAGTGAAATACACTACATTCCAATCAATGCTCAATTTCGTTATATAACAGAATGGAACAAGGCGAAGAACCTCAAGTCAAAATTGCCGCAAGCGTCTTTCAAGAGATGTGTTATAATTATAGAGATAGCTTGACAGCAGGCATTATTTGCGCTGGATGGGACCGCCATAAGGGAGGACAAGTTTATTGTTTACCTTTAGGAGGTATGTGCGTTAGACAGCCTTTCGCTATTGGAGGTTCCGGCTCGACTTATATCTATGGTCATGTCGACAAAGAATTTAAGGAAAATATGGCAAAAGACGAATGTAAGGAATTTTGTAAAAATGCCGTTGCTTTAGCTATGAGCAGAGATGGAAGCTCTGGTGGCGTTATCCGACTAGCTGTAATCACAAAGGACGGTATCGAAAGAGAATTTTTTGCAGGCAGCGATGTACCTACATTTTGGGAAAAATATTGAACTACTAAATATTCATTTATAAGTGCAAGCTTCTGATAAGTTAAATAAAAAAAAGGTCTTAATCAAAGTAGTAAGGTTGTCTGAACGTAAGTTAATTTGAAACAAAATTCTTAAAAATTCTTATTTTTTAATTTTAAAAACAATTGTAAAGATAGCAGCATTTAACAATTACTGCAAAGGAAAAAAACATCAATTTTGACTTAGAGCCTCAGTATTTTTTTGATATGTAAATGCGATTTCTTGAATTATCCAAGTTGAGAACTTCATTTTGATTAAGAAAAAATGAGTAAGCAAAACCAGTCATAAAAGCATCAAAGCCTGAACTATGTTGACCTGATAATTTTTTCTCAGTAGCTTCTTCATTAATTTCTTTGCATGTTTCATCACGTTCTTTATTTTGACACTTTCTAAACTTAAAGTTAATATGTACAATAGTGTCTAAATCGTGTGATCTCTTACAATCCGTTCCATCTCTGCACCAGCCGTTAAACTGTTCGAGGTGAATTTTTTTATTAAGCTAAATCTGGCGAATGTTAAATAATTGGACTTACGGCAAAATGTTTACAGATTTGATTTGTAATTAAAATGGGATAATCCGGAGTCTTGCAGGTGAAAAATGATAATTGCTCTCCATTAGTTAATAAATCGGAGAATGCAACATCTATCGATTTATTGCGATTCTGATTATTTTCAACATTATCCTTTTGACTGTAAAATAACGAAAGTATGAATATTACAATTGTTGTTTTTTAGATGAAAAAAATCGTACCACTTTCTAAACATATAAGCTAAATATGAGGCTCTCATCTTCTTCAATTTTAAAGCTATGTACTTCGTATCAAAGATTCCTCCTATATAGATAGATTAAATAGAAATGTTTCAACAATTCTCTTCTGCTAAAGTGTTTACCTTTAAAATTTTCTTTTAGACTGTTAAAAAATTTTTTTGAAGATGTTGGTAAGTCAGAAATAAAATTTTGATAAAAAAAAGCTAAATCAACAAAACCATTATGAACAATCATAGGAACGTTACAGTTTAACATTTTCATTAATAAATCAATAAAAGATTTATCTGTTCTTCTATTATTCTCATTCTGCAAGCAAATGTACAAATTTTTCAATTGTTTAATTCAGCTGTTAGCCTTTTGAAATTTTTTAAATGGGTCTATTTACCATTCTATCAGTTAATGTATAATGTATTCCAGACTTGTATAATTTGTTAAAGTTAAATTCGTGGAGAGCTAAAAACTTAATAGAAAAAGGATCAACTGTATGATGATCTTCAGGCATGAGCATAAAATTATAAGTGTGCACGAGATATTTAGTAATTGGTTTTTCATTATTAGCTGAAGTTTCATTTCTTAAGATGAAACAACTAATACCCATTGATAATACTGCATGACTTTTTGCGGTCTCACTTAGTAGTTTATATTCATCTTCTAAGCTTTTAAACGTAAAATTTTAATAAAAACTCGTTAAGATTCGCTTGTACATATTCATAGAGAGTAATTAAACTAACCTTTCTGCTACTTTTATTTTTCGCCCTATACCACTGAGTTCCTATATGATTGAATTTTATAAATAATGCTTGAGCTACTTATATTATTAATCAATTTTTTTACCATATCAATAGCAATAAAAGTTGACGAATTAAATGCTTTTAATATTGTTTCATAAACAATTTCATAATTATCTTGATAAACATCTACTACAGGAACTTTATCGAAGTACACCATGATTTTACTTTATAATATCGCTCATTAAATAATAGAAATGATAGCTATAAGTATAGGAAATCGATGAACGCCATCTGTATTCACTATTAGATTTATAATAGGATTTTTTATTTTGCAAGTGAAAATACTTTATGTAATATTGAACTAGTGAACCGAGACAGAATTATCGTTTTGATAATAATCGCAAAGCTTTCAACAAGGCTGGATCAACCTTGATCCAGAGACTTGACCGTCAAGCAAGAACAACCACTTATGAAGATAGATTTAACGCAGCAACATTCAAATTATTTCCTTCAAACAACAAAAACAATGAAATAAAAATAACGAACAATAAACCAACAATTACGAACGCTTTCACTGGAACATTTGTCAAAGCCTGATGTTCATAAAAACCTATCCCAATTAAGGTCAACATTAAAGAAACAAATATAGGCAAGTGTATATGACATTTGAGAGGGTAAATTAGGGCACAAAAAACTGCAGTTGAAACAGTAGCAATTGACTGAGTGTATACCTTTACAACGTTATCAGTCTTTTTCATGACTGCTCCTACTGTCAATCCACATGCTGCTGTTAAGACTACAGCCAAGATGGCAGATAGTTGTGGCATTTGTAGTCTATCCATGACCATAGGCTTACGTAGAACATCTAGACTGACAACAACAAGACAAGATAACAATCCCATGGTGTACAATTGAAACTGTTGAACGGCGAATGACCTTGATTCATCACTTTTAAGCCTCCATTCGACGACAATTGGTCCAATAGCAGATAAAAAAGATGCTCCTAGTGCAATAATACAAGCATACATTAAGTCAGACCTAGTATAAGTTTTATGTTTGGAATCATCCCCTTTAGCCGCAGTAAGTGTCACAGCTATCAGTAAGAAAAACAGACCAGTCCATTGATATTTTGTAAATTGTCTCTTGAATATAAATTTGTAAACGACGCCCAAAAATATAACTCTTGTTTGATTTAATATAGCCCAAATAGGAGGAGGTACCAGACTTACTCCAACATAGAAAAGATTATTCGTTATAGCATAAATTGAGGCTGGAAAGAGTAGCCATAGCGAAAACTTATGAACTTTCATAAGTTCAGCGCTTCTCGTTAGCAAAAAGCAAAACAAAACTATTAATTTCAAGCATTCGGAAAACAGCACTATCAATGATGAACGTATTCCACCATCGAAGGTTACTTGATAACCGACTAATTGTCTAGCAGTATCCAAACTTCCCAAAACTACTGACCAAGCGGCTATTGTCGAACATTTAGTGGTCTCCCTTGACAATACTTCATCAGATCTTGACATATCAACTTCAACGTTTTCACTGAGAAAATAATAAAACGTTGTAGAAATTAGTCAATTTCTCTTTCAATTTTACCTAACACTACCAATGTTAGAGTATATAAAATAGTGATGGTCACATGACTCCTTCTATCAATAATATCTAAGAGTTTATTTCATTATTTCTCTAGATAATATTTTAGTAGATGTAATCAATGTCACGTGGTGCCGCCATTTTTCTTCCAATACTTTTGTATAAATAGCTGTATTTAAACATTCAAAAAGTTTATTTACCTTGGTTTGTCCTCCATCTTGTAGAGAAATTTAGTTGTTGTCAAATTAGTGAATCGTAGTTGAGCAAATAAATGAAAATTCCTAGCTAATATTTAAATGTTCAGCTGTTATATTTCAATACAGCACATTGAAACATAACTAAAAAAGCAATGGTTAGGCTGAAGGAACAGAAATTTTAACAGAGCTCTCTCAACTCAGCCTGCTTTTGTTCTATGAACTATATAATTTCAACTTGAATATAATTCTTTAACTGTTCTTTATAATCAAATGTTATAGTAATTTTCTGTTTGAATTCAATGAAGATAGCAAAGAAAAACTTTCATTTTTCTGCTATTTAATATAAAGAATAAATACATTTCATTTTGAAAAAGTTTTATAAAAATGGCGGGTTTTTTTTATTTATATATATAAAGTAATTAAAATTTTTAGTAAAGTATGCCATTTTTATATTAATTTATGTATATTAATTAATTAAAAACTTTCCTTGAAAAATTTGTTTCCTGTTTATTCGAAAGCAATTTAAACGACGAATAAGTTACATTATGGAAACTTCCGTAGTGGTTCCGTTTCCGTTCATTGGAGCGCAAGACATGCACCGGTAAATTCAACTCCAAAGTTATTTTGTTAAAAATTAATTTGCTATAGTAAATAAACTCTTAATTTAAGTGACAATAACGATTAATATAGCTCAGGTTAGATCATAATAATGTTTTTTTAGATGATAAATCAGGTTTTGTGCATAATATATATAACTTTTTTTGACAAGTATAATTCGCCATTACTTTTCCACAGCATCCTAAGAAGTTTATGTACTATGGCATTATGCTAACTCACAGGCACTTTTTTGAGTGAGTTTGTAGCAAGCTATTGCAAGAGATTTTTTGTGATAAATTCTTCCTACAACTCTACGTATTCTGAATAAAAGCAAGTCTTTTTTAAAGCCTAAGTAAGAACTCTATTTTTTTTTTAAAATTAGGCTTCTGTGTATTGAATCCGTTTTAAAAGTGTTTTTTTGGGTTTAGCTTTTCTTATATTGACTTGTTTGGGGACCGGCAATATGGCGCAAGTTGTATCCCCTGGACCTAACCTAAAAGCAAATATCTTAGGCTTTATCAAAGATTATGCAAATCATTTGGGTAAAGGAAGTAAAACCAAAGACGTTGTTCAAAATTTTATTAACTTTTCTATGAATTGGCTGCAATCTGAAATAGAGAGCAGTGGGTGCTATTTTCAGATAACTGGTAAGAAAAAGTAGAAATTTACAGACTTTATTACAGTTTATTTTTTACTGAATAGAATTTTTGAAAACAAATGGATTTCATGTTAGCTCTGATGATAAAGAATCTGAAGATATCACCAATGACGATAATTTTAATAATAATCAAATTGTGCCATTGGCCACAACTGAAATATGTAGCATCCTTACAAGTCCTAATTCCGAAATATCAAAGGAAACTTTAATGAAATTTCTTTGCCAACGTCCCCATTGCGGTTTAACCTTTGCATCGCAGGATTTACTAAGCGAACATTTATATGGCTTCAAAAGGGAAATAATATGCCCTGTTTGTTTCAAACCCTGTCCGGAAAAGCAAGAAAGAGTTTTTCAGGTATTCTATGATATTTTATGGTTACTGCTCACGGTAAATTTACATTTATGCTTTTCATTACGTATTAACAGACGCACTTAGATGAATGTTTCAAGACAAACAAAGCAGAACATCCAGAGGCAGCTCTATATTTTGAGATTCAAACTCAAGCTCATAAATGCTGCAAGTGTCGAAAATTTTTCATTAATCGAGCAGATATGATTCCTCATCTTGCAATTTGCCAAACCGGTGCAAAAATTGATTGCAATATTTGTTTCAAGGGCTTTCGCAGTGAAATAAATCTAAGTGTCCACATTGAAGAGGATCACAACATACACTATTGTTGCTTTCTATGCAAAAAAGTGTTTTTTTATAAGGGGCATTTCAATATGCACCTATTTCAATGTCATTACCTAAGGAAGTTTTGGAAATCCAAATATAAATGCGATATTTGCAGACTTCATCTTTCTAACTTGAATGGTTTAAGGGATCACTGTATTAAATTTCACAACACCAACGATATTGCCTTTTCATGTATGTTTTGTTCGGAGGTTACAGAATATCATGATATAGCAACTCATTACATTATAAAGCACTTCGAGAGAGTTATTAAACAGACAAAAGGAGTTAAGAAATCTCTCAAAGTTCGTCCAGAGCCAGAAATTATTGATAATCTTGATTCCAAGAAATATTTACAAACGTCTATTGAGTCAGTGAACAATCTTTCTGCTGTAAGTCTCCATTTCTATCATAAAATATATAAAATATATACAAACTTATAGGTCATGGAAGAAAGAGACAGGCTCATGAATAAAATTTTTAACAGTTCTTCTTTACCTGTTGTAAAACCTGTGCCTGAACCGACTTTAGATCCAATACCAAAAAAATCTCCACTACTCGTAAAAAGACCTTTTTACAATGATGACAATGACTTCATGAGTCACAGAGAATTTGAACCAAATATCAATCCCTTTGCAACACCTATAAATAAAAATATAATCTCTACTACTTCTGTTGACGTATCTGGTAAGAAGCGAAGGACTAGTGGGTTAGATTTACCAAGTATTACATCTTTTCTTGTTAAGCCGGAAGAACCAGTACCAGCTAACCATAGTGCAGACATTCAGTATATTCCTGGTAAGAGGCCAAACTTTAGTTTAATTTTAGTAACATCTTTTATGACTTACTGTTCAATAGGAATGACCTCAGTTACAGATGCTGTTCAAAATTTTGCTTATGGCATTAATAAAAATGATTTCCAATACAATGAAATTCCAAATTACACAATGAATAATTCATTCTCTCAAAATTACGAACCAATAGAAGATTCATATTCAATGTCTACAATCGCAACAACACCAACACTCTCAGCCTACGTAATGATGCCAGAAACTGTTCAAGAGACTCAAGACAGTTTCGTAGAACCTGTTCAAAATACTTTTTATGACGGTAAGAGTTTTCAAAATACAAATCTCTTTTTTTAACAGCTCATACAATTAATAGCAGGAGCAATCACCTATCCTCCAAGCAGTCTATATTACTGTCAAGATTGTTCGATGTCATTTAAAGAAGAAACTGAATTGGAAAATCATTTCAGATTTGTTCATGGTAAAGAAAAAACAATTTGCTACATTTGTAAGGGCCTTTTCAACGATAAGAGAGACTGCAATCTGCATATAATCAACGAACATTTAGCTGAAACCAACTTATTTGAGGAAACATGTTTTTGCGGCGCTAACTTTAAATGTTGTGATAATTTTCGACGCCATTTATTTATGAAACATTATCCAAACGGATTTTATTGTCCTGTGTGTGAAGAAGAAGGTTTCTTTGGTCTGAAGTTGAAGACTCATTTACTAACTCATAGCAAATTAGAATGTCCTGTGTGTTATAGTCAGGAAAACTCACCCCATCATTATAAAATGCATTTTCAAGTAGATCATCCTGACATGGATGTAATCGTTGATTGTACATTCTGTTCTGCCTTCGTGAGAAATTCCGTTATTGATATTCATTATTTAACTAAGCATCGTCGGCAACTTTCAACAACAAAAGCAATTGTAAATAAACCAGAAAAATCCTCTCAACAGATGTCATCTGTTGCCGAAGCTCTAGGCAACGAAACTCTCTCTGAAATGCTCGACAAAAAGATAGACGATAGCTCTTTATTTGTGAGTGAGTTTTATGTGTAATTTATAATTATTGTATTTTTCTTTTAAGCAGAGAAGAACTTGTCTATTCTGTGATTTAGTCTTTGAAAACAGTTTGGACTTCAACAATCATAATCAGCAACATTTGCAAAGTCATTGCTGTGTGTGCCAAAATGTTATTAATTCTGAAACCCAATTCGAAGAACACTTGATTAATGGAGATTATGGTTTTAAAACTACTTCTGGACAAGATGATCAGGCTGAATTTATCAATAGTATGAGATATGCTTATAAAGAAAATTGCAGATATTGTAAAATAGCCAAAATGCAAGCTAATGACGGTCCTCTCGTCTCTAGCGTTCCTTCTGTAAGATCCATTGATAGCAAAATAACGCTATGTTCTCAATGTTCTCGTAAGTTTAAGTCAGTAGCTCTCCATTACTTCGGAGAAAATTATCGGAAAGGGTACGCCTGCCCAACATGTCCTGGTGAGATATATTTAAAATCTTATATAATAGTAATGTATAATATAAGAAAAGCACTCACCAAAAAACAATAACTAACTTTTGTTAAGTTTCAAACTAACGCCAAAGTTATACAAGATAATTTAAGAACTGTTTTGTAGTGAATTGAAAATTAACCGAATTTATCATGTAACATTTTCCTAGATTTTGTAGAAAGTTCAAATCCTGGATATCAGTACCTACAAAACCATGGTGACCAAACTAGGAGAGCAGCATGTGCAGACCTTCAGCAGCAGGTAAGTGCTGGCCAAAGCACTGCAAGTGAAAATACCTTTTCAAAGAACGAATCTACCAACTGGATGGAATTAGATTTGGATAAGCTTTTAGAGATAAAACAACCGGAGGATATTGAAAGTGAAGGGCATCAAGCTAGTGAACCTTTGCCGCTGAGCGACGATGTGGGTAGACATAGCAGTAGTCACTTGGATCTTGTTGACAAAAATATACCAAATACTAATGTTGAAGAGCCTTCTCAATATCCAAATATATCTGATGATGACCAATTGAATCAGGTAAAATCACTTTCTTTGTGTGAACTTTGTAATAAATTTTCTTCATATTCCTCAGATATTATCAGAACTAGAATATGTTAATTGACGTTAGAGATACTCGTTTCTTTGTGTTTAACTAAACAATCCTCTGAATTTTTGTTTAGTGTTATGTATGATTAGATTGCACTGATTTTTCAGTATAGTTGTTATTTTTGCTTTTAATTGTAATGAGCTACCAAATTTAATTTTTTCAATAACTTCTTTATCAATTTAGTCAGTAGAACGAATGTGACAATTGAAGAATATGAAAATGTACAATGCAAATAAATTGATAGTACAAAGCCAAAATTTCGTAGTTATAAAATATTGACCAGAACAAAACAAAACTCAGTTTTTAACGAAACAAAGCTGAAGAATAGCATCTATTTTATCGCTCATTGGTTCTCGCTTGCTGGTTTTCAGATCATTTAATAAACCCGTGCTCTTTAAATTTACAAAGCTAAATTATTCAAATTCTGGTTGAAAAAATTAAGTAAAAACATACATTTTCAACTATCTTGAAACCGCACATTCGAGCTATATCCACTAAACTTTCTCTAGTTAGCTGGGGATACTTTGGTTGTTCTATCTCATTTTCTTCATAAATTCCTATGAAACATTTATTTAGATTTAGTTACTATCGAAATAAACTTCTCACCTTGATGTATCCAAATGCCATCGTTGTCTAAAACCAAATAGACTGCCTCAATAAAAGAAATGACATCGGGAATATTTGATAATTTTCGCCCAGTAATAATGATTTTATAGTTATCTAAAAATTAATGCTAAGTTATTATTTTTACATAATGAATAAATAGAGAAAACTTTTCATGCTATCATGCCCAAAATGATTGACAAAATTTCCCACTGCCATTCTATAATCTTGTTTTCTGCGATCCGTTTTGTTCAACAACTCTATTGCCTCAGTTTCAGGAAAAGTAACATCAATTTTCTGAAATGAATAAAAAATAATGGTACCTTTGTTAAATGTGAAAAGCTAACTAAACAAACTCTTTTACTGAGAAGTTTGCGATGGCTGAAGTAGGGGTATATTGTCAAAGAGTCTGAATTCATACCCTCGCGACTGAAATTAACAACACAAATGTTGATTTTATTGAAAAGTAGTTATGTGAAAATATCAATAAAATTACCATTTTTTCTCAAATTTTTCATATGCGTCTGCTAAGTGACTATCTGAAAAGTGGCAGATAATTGAAAATCCCATTGCTCGAATTTCATTCAGAAGTCTTCCCAAGCCTACATCGCTTAACAGGACAACGATATTTGACCTCGGCATTTGCCTTAAGAGTGACAATAATTTGAAAAGAGATATACGTAAAAATAAAAGCAAACTTTTTGATAACGTCGACTTCCACTTTCTGCTTAAAATGTCGTAGATAATAACTATACACTTCGTTTCTTCCAGCTGAAAAGAAACGCGACCAATCAAAAGAGAACATGGTGCATAATTTTCGAATATAGGAGATATGTTCCAAGCCGGAGGGTAGGTCTTTCGTTATACCAATGGCCTCTAAAAAGTCTTCATTTGCCTTAAGCGCCTTCCTAAAGTTTGGATTGTTTCGTAAGCTAAATTGAAGTTGGCCATTTTCCTGAGAAGTGTCTGGAATGGAACTATCGTGAGGATTTTCGCCCGCTTTAAACATGGTGACCCCGTTTCCAATGATAAACGGGTTCGTATTGTGTAACCGAAATTAATGATTAAAATAGTACCAGCTTGTTGTTTTGCCGCCGAATGATGGAACTCAAAATAGTTCCTATGGAAAGTAAATAAAATATGAGATAAAATGAACTACTATACTTAGATAAAAAGATTTTCTAAATAAAGTTTATTGACGAATTTCAAGCTGCCGCGTAGAAGTGAACTTATTAGAATTTTAATAGACATTAAACTTGTGTTAATTTCTATAAAATATGTATAAATACATCTACACTTTTAAATATAGATTTATTTATAATTTAACACCCATATAAAGGCAATAAACTACTTTTATTGAATACTTTCAACTGTAAACGTGCATTTTTTAAAATAAATTATTATAAATAAAAAATTTTAGGGCCGTTTTTACGTGCAATTACTCGCGTCTGTTTACCGTTGCGTATTAAAATATGGCAATTACGAAGAATGTTACAAAATAAATCCTCTTAATTATTCATTTTTTCTCAGAAAGGAGAGAAAGGAATATTGACGAAATGTGTTGTCTTTGGACAATTGATATGCTCTCCATTAAGGATATTGCCCTAGAAAGAAAAAAAAACAAGAAGTTTTACATAAAAAATAATATACTTTCATAGCGAAGCATTTCGTAATTCTTGGAATATTCGATTTTATTTCTCTTACTACATGAGTACATGAAAGTCTAACAGAATTTCAGTATTCAAATCAAAGAGTATGATGAATAGCATCAGTTATCGATATTACTTATTGCTAATCATAAAATAACAAACTATATTATCTAGGATGTTATTATTTAGAAGTCTGCCCATCAGATTTCATATATCTTCTGTCCATTCGGTCTTTTTTAAAGGATAAAAAAGTCTTAGGTACTTAAGCTTACGAAAAATTGTTTATCTTTATCTGTTTAAGCCTAGACTAATGGCTTTATGAGCTGAAATTTACTCATTGAAATATTATTATTCCATTAATCCTCTTTTCGTAAAGTTCTTTAAAACTGTTGTAATCTTAATTTCATTAAGCTTCTATTTATCATTTATGAATTCGTATATTAGCGGAAAAATCAAAATCCAAATTGATCAATATTTTTCAATTTTTAGAGTATTAAAAAAGGGAATGGAACCTTTAGTGATTGTGCTATGTGGAGTTTCCGGCTGCGGAAAGTATTTACAACGAAATTCTATCAAATCTATAAAATTCAATAGTACTATTCATTGATTAAATTGATTACTATTTGTATTTCATGTAGAACAACTGTTGGAAAGGCTTTGGAGGAGCTGGTAAGTTTTTTTTGGTTGAAACTCTAAAATTTTTTAGGCTTGGAGCTGGATTAGATTCCAGGTTCGGAGTTTGTTGATGCCGACGACTATCATTCTGAGGAAAATAAGAGTAAAATGTCTCGAAGCGAAGCCCTAACAGACGAAGATCGATTAGCTTGGCTAATTACTCTGAGGAAACTCATTTTGAAGTGAGTGAGCCTAGAGCCATTTAGAATTGCTTTAATATTTAACAATGACTTAACCGTTAAGGTGGCCTCTTTATGACATGCCCAAGAAATCCTACGTCTTAGCATGCTCTGCCTTAAAAGTGTACTATCGTCAAATTCTAAACGGACAATTCGACAACGACTTAAAGATAAACCCCTTGGGCAATACAACCGATCGCATTATTTTTGTAATCCTTAACGGAGATCAGAATATAATTCAACAAAGACTACTGAATAGAAAGGGCCATTTCATGCCGCCATCACTATTACAATCTCAATTTGAAACACTTGAATTGTCGGAGAAAAGTGAACCAAACATTTTACTAATTGATGTAAATAAGAGTATTCTGGAAATTGCACAAGAGATTTTATCGCACATAAAGAACTTTTAATATAGAGATTAAACTTTTATGACTTATCAACGATAAGACGGAATATATTTCATTAAATCACAAATTATATAGTTTCAAAAGCAAATGACATTAGTCTATTCATATTTTTAGCGTTCAAAAAAGAAAAAACGTAGAAATAATAACAAATCGAACGATTTGTACGTTCGTTATGGTCACGACTTGAACAAGATCAATAAACACTGTATATGTTTTTACGAACGTACTAAACGCAGATATATATATATTATTTATATTGAAATATTGCATATCTTAAAAATGTTATTATATTTTAGATACAGGTAATCAAATGTACACCTAACCTCATTAATCGATAATGCTAACGAGAGCAGGACCCATACGAAATATTGATATCAAAGATTACAATAAATTAAACAAATAAGAATATTACTAAAAGACAAAAATTTCTGATATTTTATAAATTGAATGTTTTTGTTTAAAAATTTAACAATTCTGTCCTCAATAGGAGCTATAGATTGCAATAAAGCGAATCGGCTTATACTCGAAATACAGCGATTGTTGGTTACTTGAAAAAAAAAGGGCAAGAGTAAAAATAGACAGGGTCCCCCTTTGTTGATCATAAATCGACTTGCCTACAAAGGCGAGTTGAATATGACAGGGTTGCTAGTTGCAGTAAACAGCGGATAAATCATGAAAAAGGGCGACGAGTTTCGTGTAAGTTATTTTTTTTATTATTATTTACTTAAAACTTTTCTAATGAACTCTTCCGTTTACTTTTGAACCAATGAAATATTTTAATTAATTGAATCGATAGTTGAATAGATCAACTATCCGCAAAATCTTTCTATTTGCATTATAAAGTTTAAACTAATTGTAAAGATACCGGCAGGAAAAGATATCTTATTTCAAAGTATATTACTATATAGATTTATTGTTTCTAAGCTAAACAATATGGCTGTCTCAAATTGGTTTCAGTATACATAAGACTTAATTATTTCTACTTTTAATAATGTTTGAAAACTTTTATTCATAGATATAATTAACTGGTGCGTTCATGCTTACGTTATTTATTTTGTTGAATCGTATAGCAAATTTTCGTGTTTTCTTGTTAATATAATCTGTAATGAGGGGTAGATCGAATGGAATAAATACTAGTCAAATAACAGTTCTTTCTGAAAGGTTTCAGTGTGTAAAATGGTATATTAATCTTATGCAAATAGTAATATCATTCATAAATTCTTTTAAATAAATTAACTATCTATATAATCTCTTTTTTAAGTTGGGTCAAGAGCGTCTAGATTCCATACCCCAATGGCTTTCTACAAATACACCTAATGGCGTTAAAATTCAAAGAAATAATAAGTTAATGAGTTTACACGGTAAATTCTTGCTAAAATATCGTTTTTCTTAATATAAATTTATATATATATATATAAGGGGAGAATCAATAGAAACTTATATTTGGGTAATATAAATAACAAAAAAATGACCCCCACAGCTAGCTGCGATAATCTATCGGGTAAAGTAAGTATATATATATATATATATATTTAGCTATAAATGCACTTAATATAGATATAAACAAATAAAAATAGATTCAGTATATAGGCTACTAATAAAATGACAAAACGCCAACATTCTTATGAAATTTTAACGATTCTAATAAAAAAAATTAACGTTCTTTTATTTTTTACTAATCTTAGTAATATAACTTTTATTTATAAAGAAAACCACTTATTTTGTTATAATCACCTCTTTAGACTAATAAGAAAAGTCTTGAAAAACTACAAGTATTGGGCGAACCTACCAGAAGATGGAGTACTGCTGAATGTCCTAGTAAAGGACTTCAGAGAACTCATCATTTGCCTGCATTACGGCACAACACAGAAAGCTTAAAGAGCACACCTAGACAATCTATGAATCCAAGTCTTTTAGCTAAACAGTTAACGTCTATGGGATTTAATAACAAAGCCGACTCGTCCTTGGACAATTTATTGACAGTTGATTCATATTTATCAGGTCAAAAGGTTAGTTTATTCGGTTGTTTTGTTGTTCTATTTTGTTTAGGATTACAATTAATTTATTGCCCTGTAATCTTTGATCTCTAGAAATGCAATTCTTTCTTTCTACCTAGCTGTTACAGCTAGGCTCTGATGTGTTTTATTTAACCATATAGTAGCATAGCGTTTTGACTATGTTCAAAAGTAATTTCTATAAAACAATTGGTCATTTTAGGTTCCACATCAAGGACTCTATAGACAATCGACGAGTATTTTACCTGTCCAACAGAATTCAATACATCGCCAAAGTACTCAATTCTTTCACAGAAAGAGGTTTGATAAATCAAGCCCAACTCCCGAAATTAAATCTGCAAGAAGTCCTACTATTATACTTAATGAAAAATCTCCTCTGCCTTATCACGAAGAAGAAAGCTCCCATAGCGAAAATATCTGTAAATCAACTATTGACAATGAAGTAGCAGTAACAGTTGCAGAAGAAACGCCTGCTGAAGAAACAGCAACAATAGGACCCGTTGTTCACGAGGAATTTTCTACTCTATTCGAACTTCAGTTGGCAGACGTTCGTAAGGCTTTAGAAAGAAAAGAAGATAGAAAGGAACTATTATTAAACAAGAATATTAGCGAAGAAAGAATGAATGTCCTCCGCGGAAAATGCGATAATCTTCCTCCTATCCCTACAGGTCAAGTGCGATTGTATTTGAGTGGAAGTGTGACAGGTACATTTTTATTCACTATAATTCGCATAAAAACTAAAAATAAAGTGCTATTATAATCTCTGATAATCCTCAATAATCTTACCTATTGTTAAATGATTTATAAATGTTTTGCTTAATTATTTTTTATAAAAAGAGCTTACATTCTTATTTACAGATATGAAAACTGAACGATTGGGAATTTTAAAGGCATCACAAAAAGTTGCAACTTTTTGTAGGAGAGCTGGAATTGATTTTCACATTGTTGATTTAAGATGGGCAATCACTGCTGATGCTCAAAATGAGCATAATCTTACTGACTTAATGAAAGAAGAGCTATTGAGATGCAAAAGATTAAGTATAGGACATCATTTTGCGGTTAGTTAGTATCAAGCTATTCTTTCTCTTCTAATTTGACAATAATTTTTTAGTGCCTTCTGGGTAGTAAATACGGCTATAGGCCTTTGCCTAGCCGAATATGTGAGAATCATTGGGAGATTATAAAAAAATTTACAAAGGATAAAAGCTTTGAACATTGGAATCTAATGCAAGATTGGTATCTGTTAGACGAAAATAATATTCCACCTGTTTATATTCTTCAGGTGTTTATTTGCCAAAAAAACTTAATTTATTTATTATTGTTTTTTATTTTCTTTATAAAAGCCGATCAACAGCAAATTGCAGTACTTCTTGGATTCAGATATAGAAAATGCAGACTTTCGTGAAAGAGATCGAAAGGAATGGCGTCAAATATATCTAAAAATAAGACAGCTATTGGTTAGAGTATCAACTCTGGCTCATGCTGAGGGACTTTTTTCCGATGAAGTTCGTAGATCTTATGTTGGTTCTGTAACTGATATCGAACTTCATTTAGGAGTCTTTGAAAACGAATTCAAAACGGAACGTAGTATGGTATACGATAGAACTGTTAAAGGACTTAAAACGGCTGAAAATCAAAATTTCATGTCGATATATATTGATACTATGGAATTTGAGAATAAAACAATTCAAGATTGGGAAGCTACTAATGCCATTAAAGATTTAAAATATAGAACATCCAAAAATCTAATGGGTCATAACTATCGTTGTTACGTTACTGAATTCGCTAATCAGGTCCTTCAATTGGCTGGCCAAAAAGGTAAAGGAAATTACATTGCAAATTATACATCAGATTTTATAGAGGATTGCACTCATTTCATTGAAAATTGCGTAGAATCTGAGCATATCGAAGCTCAGAAAGATGTAGAATTTAATGAAATTCTTCATCATGCAATAATGTGTGAAAGTTTATATAAATCTAGTCCAATTGAAAGAACTAGTGTTCTTAAACAAATAAAGGAACTCCTTCTTCAAGAAGATCCTAATAGACATCCTTATGCGATTTATGGTGAATCAGGAGTAGGAAAGAGTTGTATTTGCGCCAAGATTGCCAAACTGATACCCGATTGGTTGGGAGAGGATACTATTGTGCTAATCAGATTTGTTGCCACGTCTACGCCGTCTTGCAATGTTATAGATCTGTTGCATAGTATATGTTATCAACTATCAGCAATAGCTCGTATTCCTCTACCCAAAGTTGTAATGGATGTTAGCCATCTATCCAAAACTTTAATATCATTAATAAAAAAGATAGAGGAGACTATTGTTATAATACTAGACGGTATTGATGAAATAGATAATAATCAAAATGCTCATGAATTAAGTTGGTTACCTGGTATATTACCTGATGGTGTCTTTATAATAGTCAGCTTATCCGATGGCGTAGGAAGCAACTCAACAATTATCAGGGCCTTAAATGACAAAATGCCGGAAGAAGGATGTGAAGAGAATTTTTTAAAGGTAGATAGGTTTAATGAAGAGGAAGCTAAGGAAATGATAGATTATATCCTAAATAAAAAGAACAGGGTGTTGACACCCGAACAACGGTCAGTTATAGACCAAGCTATAAGCAATTGCTCAAATTCATTATACTTGAAATTATTAATGGACGAAGCTGTCCTACTCAAATCATATAATGCCTTGGATTTCAAACATGTAGCCTGTAATGTGCGATTGGCCATAGGAAATTTGTTTAAAAATCTTGAATGCCACTACGGGAAGGAAACGATAAAATACGCTCTATCCTATATAACAGTCTGCCGCGGTGGTGTAACTGCTACTGAACTTGAGGATTTACTCTCTATGAACGATGATATTTTAGATGAAGTTTATAGGGATCTTCATCCACCTTTTGAACACTATATTCGAATTCCTACTTTGCATTGGGTGCGTATTCGCCATCATATTGACGACTTCCTCCTCGAAACACATTGCGATGGAAAATTAACACTTACCTGGTTTCATAAAGAGTTTCGAAAAGTTGTTAAAGATAAGTATCTGACACGACTCGAAGATACCATTCATAAGCACATAAGCGATATGTTTCTCCAAGAAAGCGAGCTTCGGAGAACCATTATTTTAAAACATAGAAAGGTCACTATAGAAAACGCAGACAGGCTTATTCGGTGAGTAGCTTAACCTGATTTAATCTGTGTTTTTATTAATTAAGGTACCAGATGATTTCTCATTTTTCAACCTTTTAACAGTCCGCAAAAGACAATACCCGGTAATCGCAGGAAATTAAATTGCCTGCCCTATCATTTGGCCAGATCGAAAGAGGTTAATCCAAAATTTCTTGATATCGCAAAATGCAAAATGTTCTTCTCACTGAAGTGGATTATTGCAAAATTCATTGCCTATTGTCTGGACGAAGTAATATCTGACATAGAAAGATTCAAAGAACTTCTTCCCGTTGAGGGCGACATAGAATTAAATCTAATTGAAGAAACTTTAAAAGACTGCAGGAACTGTGAGAATATAGAACTCGACCCTGGCACAATACCAAGGTTTATTTATGAGAGTTTGAAAGATAAAACTCATTTCAAAAATGTTGAAAGCCTTATAAACGAATGTGAAAATTGGGTTTCGGCGGACGATAAATATAAAGAAAAGAGGAGTTAATCAATCTAAACTGTTTAAAATTTATCTGAATAAAATATGCTGTAATTGCGTAAAAAATAACATAAATCAACTTGAAGAGAGTATACTTTTTGTGTATACAACCACAACAATAAAAGTAAGAAATGTAAACACATATTAACTATAGGTGACGCTGTATACAATAAAATATTCAAATTATTTGTCCGTTATGTTAATAAATTATCAGTTATATTTTTTAACAATTTGGTCTATTGTTGTTAGCAAAAAAGAAACTATACATACATAATGAAAAAGCAAATTAAAAGCTGTCATTTTCATTGATAAGTAGAAACAAAAACAGTCTTGTCATTGCCTAAAAAATAGTCGATAAGTCGACCTCCATAATCACTCGCTTTCGATAAGTGCGAAGCACGTTTACACAAGACTTCAAATAATTTGTGTATACAAAATGTTCTTTGCCTAGTTCTCTCGCATTCTATCGCTCACCTCCGACAAGTATTGTGTGCGTCTCTCTCGTTTACCGACCGCCTTCCCCCTCTCCCTTCCGCCTACCCGGACAAAGCTCTGACCAGATGTAAAGAAGTACAGAAGGAACGTTGAGAGGGAGATATTTACATTAATAAAAACATTTTAACAACATCAACAAATAAATATGGATGAACAAACTCGTCTGGCGAAATTTGAATCCATGAGGAAGCAGACAAATCATAAACAACTATTTCTCAATCATCAAGAGTTGGCAAAGCATAGAGACAGAGTTATAAGACGCTATGCTTTAGACGCAAAAGTTGCTACTTCAGATATTCAACGTCAACAGTATTACATGGAATTAAAGTAAAATTTTACCAAAATTCTCTATTTTTATACTCACATATAATTTTATGATAGTCTTGGTAGGGATTAAGGTTCTATCAAGTAGCGTTATTACAGCCTAATTGAAAAGGCTTTTGCATATTTAATAAAGCTACAGTACCTTTGGCCAAAAAAACTTGTTATAGTTTTTTAACTATTAATTTATTTTAACTAAATTATTGTACTTCTTTTTTTATATATAAAATCAACAAATCTCTTTCATTATTTAACATTTTTCTTTCTATTTACTTATATATATATATATATATATATATATATATATATATGAATGAAAAGAATAGTTTAAATATCAATAGTAGTAGGCCTATTTAATCTGCAATTAAATAAGAATTTCGGTAATAATTTGCTTTATGAAAAAAAAAATTATAATTATAGAAAGGAAAAGTTGAGAAAAGATATGAAAAAATTGGATTTAAGAAGAGAGAAGACTCATACGTATTTTAGAAGAATAGACAATCGTCATCTAGAAAGAGAAAGAACTTTTAAATATGACTTTGCCAATCCTTCAACGAATCGATTCCAATTAGATAGGATTCTAGGTAAACTTTTCACACTACCCTCGATTGCTACTAACGAGAGAGCCAATAAGGGTTGAAATATATTTATTGAACGTGTTATAGTAGTTCTATACAATTTTTACTAATCGACTAACTAAACACATTTTTTTGCCCTCTTTTCTTTCTTTCTTCCTTCCTTTTATTTATTTATTCATTCATTCATTCGCTCTTTGTGGTTGTTCAATTTCACTTCATTTAAAGTCATCGGCGCTAAACATTCCCTGAAGGAGAGAAAAGAAAAAAAATCATTATGCAATCAACTGTAGAAATATACGTTATACATTCAATTCTATAGTTATAATACACTTCTTACGTTCTCTATTAATACGGAAAATATTTAATATTTTCATTACCTTGGCTCTAAGAAGAATGGAATCTTTTGAAGCGTCGTATGGATGATCCTTTGATGGAATTTCCAAAACGGCAGGTGTTGGTTTAACATGTGCATCTAACTGATGTCTTATTAATTCTGCAATCTGTAAAATTTATCTTTATTATTTATTGTTTGTTTGTTTATTCAAGAAATTACCAATAAATTATTAATTAATTCATTGGAAAAACATACTACTTACGTGTTGATTTATAAGTATAATTGCTATATCAGTACGACTTAGGAAGGCTTTGAAGGAGTCTTCTATTTCTGACACAGGAGTATCTAAGAATAGCGAAGTTATTTTTAATCTTTAAATCTTATTTCATTGAAAAAATATCTAGATATTCACTTACTCTTACTAACTACAAGGAAATTTGGATGCCGATGCTTGTTCAACTCCCCAACTCCTCCCAATAAGAATCCAGTACATGTATCTTCATCACCTATTACTGCCAACAGTTTTCCTTTTATTCCTAAATGCGCCATTCTTATCGTTACAGCAAAAGAATAAAAGTTAAGGATTTGTACAATTATCTAAGAAATTTGCTAGTTTGATCGGTTTGATATTTATTAATTATTGTATGTTTTCAATATCTGTTCAGTCCTTACGATAATGCAATCACATGATTTGATCACGTGCTAGAAGAATTCCGTTTCCGGACAAATTTTTTGGCGCGTAAACAGGCAATAACGGTCGTTGAGAAACTGAAGGCAATGGTATCACGCGATCTGTCTAGCCGAAAAAAATGTGCATGTTGAACAAAAAACAAATACAAGAGCACTTAAATAGACCTATTACCCTCATTCTTACCTTTTTACTTAGCTTAACGAACAACCTGAATAGTTTAGCAAGAAATTTTAAAAAGTAGCTTTTTTATAGTAAAATTATTAAGCCATGCATTGTTGAGAGAAAGTAGAGTTCAAACTCTATTTAGAACTTTTGGGAAATTGGCTGCTTACATGGTCTCGTGTTATTATTTTTTTTAAGCATTCATTAGTGACGATGACCTAAAAACCCTGGAAACCAAGGATATTCAGCCTGTCTGGGTTACAGTTGACATACAACTACTCAAAATCGGTAACTCTAAATTCAGTTTACGGTACTTGCCAACAGGAAATTACTGGTATATATTATATTTTTATCATAAATTTAGCTTTTTCAAATAGATAATACATAATTTTTTTGCGTAAATTTATAATTACTAATAACATTTAATATGGGATAATTACATAACATTTAAATTAAATCTTAATAAATAGAGTAAATTAAAAAAAAACTATTAATATTCGTTTATAAAATCATTATAAAAATAGTGAGAATATGTTAAAGTAAATTACTACTTAGTGAGTTTAAATTTTGAAAAAACAAACTTTGTGTTGATAAAATTTCAATAGAATATAACTAAGTGTTTCAAATAAGAAACTGTTGTACACCAGAGTGCACTAGGCATGCTCCAGGGTTGCTAGTTTTTTCCGTTATTTAGCTATACCTAAATTCAAAATCATGGCGGCTAATAAACAAGAAGCCTTTATTATTCCAGCGAAGAAACGTCGTCAGACGATGGAAGCGTCTACTCAAACCGTTGTACGAATAACAACTGAAACTGAAGAAGTTTTTCTTGATTCCGAAAGTATCATGCAGGAATTCCAAGGGGTTTGCAATACCTATACTCAAACTTCTCCTTTCTGCCGTGGAAATGCAGTTAAACGGCCTGTTCGAAACGAAATCAAATCTCAGCCCGAACCACCGGTTATTATGAACCTGAAAACTTATATCGATAAACAACAACGAGACGATGAAAATGATCAGCCTGTCGTGAAGAAGATCAAGAAAAACTGCTTTGTAAAGTTCCCCGAACAGGTTAGTTAATTTAAACATTGAAATCGACTTGTCAAATTTTGCTTCTGATTGCTCATTTAGATAGCAATAATCGATAATGATTAAGAGTATATTATTATTTGTTGTATAAAACACAGGCTACACCCGAAAATATGGCTGAATATAGGATAATAAAAGCTGTATTAAATACAACTAAGCAGACATTGGGTACCGATTCTCTCTCTCGAGATACTGTAAAGGAGATTAAAGAAATGGTTGGCGAAGTGAAAAAGACGGAGAATTTTTCGCAAGTCGCTCAAGAAAGGTGTGTATATTTTGTTAATATGATTGTGTTATTCATTCGTTTCTTATATATAATTCTATATCCTGTTCTTTTATCTATAGACTAACCGTTGAGGAGAATGTCAATCATAAAGTATTAGAGGATGATATTGAAAAGTAAGATAATTTTCCAGTTCATTAAGTAAAGATGTATTATTAATAAAAAATAACAAAACAAAAAAGTTTACAACTACTCTCTTTCTTTTCTTCAATAAAGGTATAAGAATGAACATAGCCAGTGGGAAGAACATCATCAAAAACTTAAAAGTCAATTACAAGAGAAACAGTCAGAGGCCAAACTACCTAGGATTGTCACTCCGCCAGAAATATCACCGATTAAGGCTACTTGGCGCGAAGCTCGCAGGCGAACTTCTCGATTAAAGAATTTGGATTCGTACGTTGAAGATTTAAAGAGTTTGAACGAGAAACTTCATCGGAAAACCAATGGCGTTAAAAAACAACTAGGAGAATATGAAAAAAAAATAGAACAATTTGAAGGTGGAATGGAGTCGACAGTCGTTCAATTAGGTAAAAAAAAAACAAAAACAAATAAAAAATATCCGTTTTCTATTCTAATAAAAGCTTTAAATTAGGTCACACACTAAAGAGTAGTGTGTAACAACTAATAAAAAATTATATATATATATATATATTTAATTACATCTGCTTTTCTTTTTTATTCATACAGAACGAAAGCTTTTCTCCTACAATATAAAGGACGTTTTATCTCAGTTTATAGACTTCGAACTAGAATAATGGAACATTAAAACCTTCCTCTTTCGCATGGGTTTCGTGCTCTTTCTTCATTTATTTCGTTCCCTCTTTTTCTGTATGTTCATTTGTTAATAACCATTAAAAAGAGTGTCATCTAAAAACGCCACATTTTTCGCTTATCCTTTAATTATTATGTATTAATAATACATCGTCATTATCATTCATCATCATAATAATAATCATCATCGTCATAAATTTCACCCATTTAAATCATGTTTGTCTCAATCACCACTTAATTATACTTATCCTCTCATAATCATAATAACAATAATGAAAAAAAAACTCAATCTTGCAAATAATATTTAATCTTTTTGTTTTTTTAAAAAAAAACAAAACTAGTTTAAATTTTTTATTTTATTAAGAAATATTAATGTAAAATGTACACAAAATTTTTAAAAAACAACAACAAAAAAAAACCTATATAGATTGAAATAATATTTAAATTAGCTAATTTAGACTTGTAGTATATACTATTCCTCTCTCTCTCTCTCTATCTCTCTATCTCTTGTTTTTTCCCATATTATGTTTGATGAAAACAGAAAAATATTTAATTTTCACTTTTGTTTTTAATATTAGAAGACAAAGGAAAAAAAATTGGACCATATCTCATTATCTTTTTCTCTCTCCCTCTCTCTCTCTCTCTCTGTTGCTTTTTTGATTTTTTTGTTTATTTGTCTTAATTTTTGATTTTTTCGATCATTTATATTCATATATCATTATCATCATTGTCATTGTGGTGTGTATAAAGAAAATATGACATTATGCAGTGTATCCATCATCTTCCATTCGTATATAACTGTATCTATTCTCTCCTTCTCCCAGCCCTTCCCCTCCTTCACCTTCTCCGTTCTGTAAAATTTGTTTAAAAATTACTTTCTCCTCTTTTTTCTTTTACTTTTAAATGTAAAGTGAATGATTTGGACAAGTTTTTTTGTCTTTTCCAATTTTTATATTGAACCATATTTTTTTGGGGAAATTTTTTTTCATTTTTAATTAACGATGTCTCTATTGTCTAGAATAAAGTAAACTAATATAAAAGAAATATTATAATAATGGAATCCTTTTTATCTTTTAAGAGCCCCTCTTTATTCATAATTCATATGACAATTAAGATTTTCATCAGATCCTAATCTAATGATTGCTTCTTTTTCGACGGGGGGAAAGTAATACGAGAGATGGAATTGAAGTAAAGAATACGATCAAATATCCGTACAATTATCGACTCTATAGATATAAAGTTATGGCTCTTATGTCTTTAGTACTTGAATGGGAAGAGGAACGGCAACATTAGAGGTTAACTTTTTATTCCTGGAAAAAAAGACTAATTTAATGGAAAACTTTGATAGAAGCTTTCTCGTTTGTCTTCTTTCTCCCTTGCTAATTAATATAATGCTTGCGGGTCTCACTTATATTAGGCTTAGCTTGTAAAACGGCGTAATTCGCCACGGGAAGGGTAGATGGCATTACCCGTTACGATTCGTTAACAGATCTAAAAGAGAAAGAATAGCTTATCCTACGTTGTAGTCATAACAGCGTAATAGATCAATCTTTTTCATTTGAATATTCATTAGATATAATTATACTTTACTAACTTAACGACAGTATAGGCCTTATTAGTTCTAACTATCACAATGAAAATCCGTTTGGTTCTTTAAATACTAAATATTAATGTAAAAAGTAAGTTGAAAGTATTCGTTTTTTAGGTTTCAACAAATAATTGAGGATGGACAAGGAAGGGAAGAGAGGCAGAGAGAGAGAAAGAGAAGAAAAAAGATCATTTAAGAAAATTAAAAAGTTATGTAATATATCAAAAAAGTTGAAATTTGGCTGTTAATTTATTTTCTTACTTCGATTCTCTCTCTTTTGTTTGTTACAAAAGATTAGACGCTTTTATAAGAAACTGAAAAATCAGCTGTATCTCAACCGTCTCTCTCTCTCTCTCTCTCTCTCTCTTTTGCAGTTGTTTGTTCTTAACAAAGTTCGCAGTAACGCAGTTTAGTAGATTGACGACAGCAAATATCTATTGTTAATAAATTATAGTTTAACTATATCCCAATATCAAATACGTATATATAATACAATTAATAACTTTACTGGTGTAATCTTTATACAATTGAAAAACTATATAGGCCTATCAAATGCAACTGATTAAGATTAAGACGGTGAATTAAATCTTCTCTAACCAAAACAGGAACATGCAACCAAGAAAAAAGTCGGCCAAGCCAAAATTGTTGAACGATCGAAGATCAAGTGGCACTAATTATTCCCGATTAACAAACTTACATAAATACATATCGAATGGAGATAAGGAATCTTTAGAAAAACAATTAGAAGTGGAAGGTACGAAGAATTTAAATACGCAGGACAAAACAGGGAAAAGCCCATTATTATATTCAATTCTCGGGGAATACACTGACTGCTTTGAGGTTTTGTTAAACTATGACCCTGACATTACGATTAAAGATTCTACAGGCAAAACAGCTTTACATTACGCCGTGCAGAAGGTCTTTAGAAGAATAATAGCTAATTAATTAATCGATTAATACATTCATTATATACTTTGTCAGGGAAACATTGCATTTATAGAGATGCTTTTACAAAGGGGAGCAAATATTATGGACAAAGATAACGAAGGATTAAATTCTCTCCTTCTATCGTCTAGGTATTCGAATGCAAAATGCTTAAATTTAATGTTAAAGCATCTAAATGCTCGTGACCTGGAAGATACGGATAAGCAAAAAGTTAATGGCAAAATATTTCTGTTAAAAAACAGCGTTAATTAGAGAAATCTATTTTTTTTATAAACAGAAAACTGCATTGCATTGGAGTTGTTCGTCTGGCCATCTAGAAATTGTTAAAATACTTATAAATAATGTAAAAATCAAAATTTCTAAATATAGACTATGATCTATTACGTAATTATGACATAATTTCATACAATGTCTCAAAAACACTAGGGAATGAAGGCTTCTACTCAAGACATCACTGGTAAAACTTCCCTACATTGGGCAGCAATGGGAAAAGGGCAATTCGCAACTGACTGCATTAGTTATCTACTTGTAAATAATTATAATCACAATATTTATAATAATAACATGAAATTCTGTTAAAAACTGAGCGATTTAATTAAGAAGTAATTATTTTTTGAATAGGAAGTGGAACCGAGTATAATTAACGTACAGGATTATGAAGGAAGAACATCTTTACACCAGGCAGCCGCCTATGGTGACGAGAATGCTGTCAGGACATTAGTCAGTTATTAATTAAATTTTTATTGGAGCTATCTGCAGAATTTCTATTTCTAGGCTTCTAATGAGAAATGCTCCGTTTCTTGTGTTGATTCTCTATTCCGTACTCCTTTACACTGGGCATCGGTGTTGGGAAGGCAAGAAATAGTAAAAATTCTTATGGAATTTAAGATTGATTGCGGAATGACAGACAGTAACGGCGCAACCGCTTTGCATTACAGTGCAAAGAATAATTATTCTGGCTGCGTAAAAGCTCTTTTGGGCGGAATTTCTCAGGTAATTAGGGACGAATCGGACGGCGAGGGAAGGACTGCTCTAATTTGGGCCTCCGGTCACGGAGCTGACGATGCTCTGTCTCTCTTGGTAGAAGCCGGTTGCAATGTTCATCATGTTGATAATCACGGTGCAACCGCTTTGCACGCAGCTGCTCAAAATGGTCACGCTTCTACGGTAAAATTGCTTCTAGCCTATGGATCGGATAAGAATGTAATGGACCAATTAAGTTTAACTCCACTTTTCCGTGCATGCGAGTATGGTCACGAAGAAGTTCTTCGTATTTTATACCAAAGTGGAGTGGATTTAGAAACTAGGGATGCTGATGGTAGATCCGCTCTGCACTGGGCTTCTCTTTCCGGCCACGCCCACATATGTTCCATGTTAATTAAGTTTGGATTGAATCCGGATGTTTACGATAGATCAGGGTTAGTTATTTTTTTAGTTTAGTTTTTTTTAAAGATCTAGTTTATAACTTTGTAAAAAATAAATATACTGTATATATATATATTTATATATAACAGTCGAACTCCTTTGCAATGTGCATCATATAGTGGTCATGTAAATTGTATGATAATTTTGATAGAATACAAGGCTGATCCGAATTGGCAAGATAACGAAGTAAGTTCTATTTTATTTACAAAATTAACAAAATATAATAAAACATTAATTTCTATATTTTGTACTTTTTCTAGGGCATGACAGCACTTCACTGGGCTTGTAGTAAAGGTCATCTGGAATCTGCTAAAATTTTAATACAATTTCAAGCCTCTCTTAATAATATGGAATTAACTGAGGATAAATACACTCCGTTAGATTATGCGTTATTGGAGAATCACCAAAAAGTGGCACAATTCTTAATTGAACAGGGGGCCCTCTCCATTAGAGGAATTCAAGAATCGGCTGCTACAAAAATTCAATCAGTCATTCGAGGTTTAGCTGTTCGAAGGGAATTAGAAGAAAAGAGAAACTTATTAAGAAAAAAGCATCAGAAACAACTTGAAGAAAAAAGGTAAATACTGTTAACGGGGAAATATTGATAGAGGAAGGTTGAAGGAGATTTTTCAACGAACTTTGACTTTTACTAAAATAAACGTATTCCAGGAAGCAATCTAGGCATATACGTGCAGAGAAACTTCCGGTAACCAAAAAAAATTCGAAAAACTCAAAACAAATAGATCGTTCCGAAACTAACGAGATGATACTGGAGAGAAAGAATAGTTATCGAAGAAATATCAGCAGAGAAAAAGAGAGAAAAAAATTGATAAAAGCAAAAATTACAGCCGCAATTGTAATTCAAAGAGCTTGGAGACGGTGATCATTCTTCTATTTATTTTTAAGTAGCATCCTTAATTTGGTAAAAAATTTTGTTTCCAAAGGTATAAATCCAGCGGATTCGTCAGGAACGGAAATGACGATATGATTAGAGAATTGGCAGCGTTAACTATTCAGTTGGCTTGGAGAAAGTATTATAGGTATAGAAAGTTTGGTTACCATGCTGCATTATTCATATATGTAATTGCCTGTTTAAATTAATGATAGGAGGAGAGTCTTGTCCAAATTGAATGAATTAACCTCAAAAAAGAGAAAAGTGTTACAAATATGGGACCCAGCAGTAATCTCAGCTAAACAGGAGGCCTTAGTCCGGCATATATATGGTAAAAAATTAATTTAATGCTATCTGAGTTACCGCTGACACTGTCCCTAATAATTTATTAATAGGAGACGAAAATGTAACGGAGCCTGACCAATGGTTTCCCAAATTGAAAGCCATTAACAGACCATTATGGTTAAAATATGCTTCATCTCCAGCTGCACTGTCCTTTAATTTTGCAGTTGATCAATATAATCCCTACGTTTGAAAATTCTTATACAGATATTTAGAATAATTTGCGAAATGATAATTTTATCATTCTACGTACTGAAAATAGCACAGAAACAACCCAATCACTATTCTAATGATTCTCTGTAGATGGCGTTGGACATGCCTTTATTCACTTGCCAAAAAGCTTAAATTTGTAATTAATATTAGCCTATTCCAAGAATACTGAAATAAATAATGGCTGATTTTCTTCAAAATAAAGTAATCTTTATTTATCTTAATGTAAAGGAATTAAAGGAATTGTTAGGAAAGAAGACATAATCCAGTACAAAAGAGAATCCGTTTCTTATCTAATTGCTAAATTTGTTATTTTGATTACAGACAGCTTTTAATATTTAATTTATCCATCTATTTTATGTCTTTCCTTTTCAGTTACAAATAAAAAAACATCATAAAGAATAAAGATATTTACATGTCCTTTCAATCTTTCTAAAAGCAATCAAGATAATCTTATTCACTTGACAGAATTGGTAAAAAAATTTTCCTCTTAGGTCAATAAAAAAAAACAGTATTTACCTTATTTAAGATCTGGAATCTTTCTGTGTAATGCAGTTAGATAAGTCTAATGCAATAATTGTATATATTACTGAATTTATCTTTATAAACCCTTATATTCTATACAATTCCGTCGCGAAAAATTCTATATTCTTCGTAAGCATTCCACTTACCTTTAAGCATTTCTTTAAGATAAGGATATTTTAAGGAAACAATTTATCTAAAATACTATATTAGAAGGTGATTTAACATTTTCATTTCTTTTATTCTACGAAATTATTTCCTCTTCTTCTTGAACTTACAAATTACCTTTGTAAAATATATAAGAAAATATTTATAGAACATATTGCAATATATAGAACATTCTGTAATTCTATGTCTATCCTGAAAGATAAATTAACCGAATTGATTATTTATAATCTTAGATTACTTTAGTTTAAATCTTTCTTTGTAAATTTGTCTTGGTTCTCTCCCTTCTCGATTATAGTAATATTTAGAACTCTCTATATCTTTCGTTTATCTTCAGTTTACTATTATTTTTTTGATAGATATATCTTTTCTCTTCAGTGTTTAACTTTATTCTTCTCAAGACATTCGATGAGAATGTTATTTTAGTATAGATGGCGCCTCATATTCTATAAAAATTAAACTAAAATCAATAAAAGAACTCCAAAAGTTTACGATATTTTTTTTTGTTTTGTTTATTTCACATATTATCACTCTTGTTTGGTTTTTTGATCTATATCTATTCACTAAGCATTAGTCATGTTCTAAACGTAAGTTTATTTCACGTAAAACGATTTTATTTTGTCAAAGATATATATTTTAGGTACTTTGTACAGATGAAAAAATCATCATTCAACTGTGACGTAAAAGAATCTTCATTCACCTATCATCGCTCTCTTTTATAATTCATATTCACTCTTCGGATTTTAAAATAAGGTTGGATATTTAAGCACCGAGTCGAAGGAAACGATTATCAAAAAACTTTACTATGCGTTCATATCATATGAAAAAGTAAAGCAGTTCAAAAAATTATTTCTCTTAACTTAAAATTAGATATTTATCATCAGAGCATAATATATAACGTGCGCGATTTTGCTAAGATAAGCAGCTGTTATAAATTATTTCCACCTGTCGTAGAAAATCAGGAAAAAAAATAGAAAAGTCGTAACCCCATACGTTTGTTTCTACAGGAGAATAAGTATGACATTGATTACTGTAAATCACCACTTTTTCAGATCTAAATGTTGAGGGTTAAAAGCTACGCTGTAGCAGAATTAGAAGATGCATCAAAAAAGGCATCAATAAATTCCGTTCAACGAGAAAATGTGGCTTTTGTTGGTCAATACTTCTGTGATCCAGCAATGCCACCTTTACATCAAGCTGTTGCTTCTGGTAATATAACTTTGCTCAAGGAAACTCTCAAACGAGCTAAATTAGACCGCTTGGACCAGAATGGTGAAACTGCATTGACATTGGCTGTAAGGTTAGGTTGGGTAGATTTACTAGAAGTTTTAGTTCGGGGTGGAGCTAAATCGGAAGGCAACAATGGAAAAACGGCTCTTCACGTTGCAGTTACACTAAGATCTTATCAGTGCATAAAACGACTCTTAAAATTAGGCATTAGAGCGGACGTTTCGGATGCTTCCGGGTATACACCACTGATGCTGGCCAGTAAGAATGGGGACGTTTCGGGAGTTAAACTTCTTATAGAACACGGCGGAAAAATTGGTCGTCAGGGTTATCTATCGTCCGCTTTGCCTTTGGCTCTATCTGCCGAATCGATAGGATGCTTGAGGGCGCTGCTAGAGGCAGGAGCGGGTGTTGATTGTAAAGTGGGAACTGATCCGTCAAGAACGCTTTTAGTAGACGCCATAGAAACGAATAATGTTAAAATAGTGGAGATTTTATATGAGGCTTTCTTAGCTCAAGGCGTTTGCATTGGCGCAGCGCTAGAAAAGGCAATTCAACTATGCCTACCAAAAATAATGGAAATCTTTCTAAAACGAGGATATGATCCAAATAGAAGTACGAAAGCAGTCCCGCTTTTAGAATTAGCTCTAAAAGCAAGCTTAAATAGTAGGAGGGAATTGATTAGGCTCCTGCTTTTGTATGGGACAAATATTAAGACTATTGATAAAGAAAACTCGATACTATTCTACCAGTGTCCGTCAGTGTTATCAATGCTACTACACGCTGGTCTAAATATATGCAACACCACATTCCAAATGCATATGATAGGAAATACGGACAGAGAAAAGGCTTGCAAAAAAGTGGTTAAAGATTGGACCTCAAAACCACCGTCATTATCGCATTTTTGTCGTCTTAAGATAAGATCTCAATTACGGAACGTCGCCTTCGACGTTGAGCGACTTCCTCTACCCCCTTCTATTATAAGTTATTTGCAATATGACAAATTTTTAATGTTTGTTTAAATGTTGATATGTCATAGCTATTAAGACTAATTCTTCTTACTTTAGCGCTGTCTCATTTTACTAATACTCCTAATACTTTGGCGCAAATAAAAAAGGATTTTGTTAAGTATACCAATATACGAAAGTATATATGTATATCTATTAGAAAATTTGAACATATCTATATATATATATATATATATAGATATATATATATATATATAATTATATAAATATATAATATATATTACCTATATATTTATATATACATATATTTATATATATATATTAATATATATATATATATATATATCCTTTTTTTTGAGCAAAGAAAGAGGAAACGTTTAATCCGAATAAACAAACGAAAATCAACTCGTGTTTTTGCACGAAAGCAGTCGAACACATGAAAAACAAACGACGTCGCGTTCAGTTCAATTTTTTGTTACTAGTTAATAAGTAGAATTTTTTCAATAGAGTATATAAGAATTAGAATTTTTCACAAATGGACACGCAACAGTGCAAAATTCCTTCCTTCTCTGTACATGTGGCGAGAGAAAGAGTGAGAAAATAGAGATAGAGAAAAGGAGAAGAGAAATAGTCTTTTGAGCATTCTTTAAAAACAAAAAAACTGAAAGAGAAACTAAATGATGCAGGACGGGTTCAGGTGGTAGTGATGATGACGAGCAGATGCGGCGTATCGTTGATAGATGGAGCAAAGTTAGGCGCAAGCTTGAGTAGGATGAGTTTAGCGAATTCACAAGGAGGAAATATATGCACGACGTATGCAGCATGTGGTGAAAGAGGATCTGGACCAGGAACATTTACAATTCCGGCAGCCGTCTTTTGCAAAAGATATTGAATGAAAGAAGCAGAGAGAACCCGTTCATTTCTATTCTTCTCCGGCACAGATATTCCCTGAGCGGTAGCAATTAATAGAGCATAACTGTTGAGATCAGTCATTCGCCTAGTGACGCCATCAAGCTGCTCCTTAGCCAATCTCATCCTCTGAACAACCCGGAGGATGGGACAACAGCCTTCAGACACTGCTTGGGGTAGAGCTAATTCCGCTAGGCGTTTCGAACCTCCCACTAGAAGCATATTGACTAGAGAACGTTCGCTCTTCAGTTCAACCTCGCCTTGCCAGACGATTGGATCCCTATACACTTGGCTTCTAGGCGATTGGGCTGCACTGCCAGGCGTTTGAGCGCGATGTGGTGAACTTTGTGCTGGTAATAATGCACGATGTGCTGCAGCAGCTGCTAAATATTCCGGAGGATAAATAACTTGTTGTCTAACGCCTCCTGGATAAAGAGCTTGTCCGTACAACAATTCTGAATAGCCTTGAAGTGATGTTAAATGTCTCTCCGACAACGGACTATGTGGACGAGTATGAGCCGGCGGTGGGTGTAATATAGGGGGCTGAGCTAAAGCTTGTCGTAGTTCGCTCGTTGAAGATGTGGAGGTTGTGGTATGAGGAGGAAATTGTGGAAAGTGAGAAGGTGGTGGATGAGCCGAATCTGGTCTATTAGCATGAGGCGGTTCTGCTCTAGAACCGGATGGAATATCCGGTAAAGAGGCAACTGGTGGGGTATGATGTCGAGGTGATAAATGGGGATTTGGTACTTTCTCAATCATTTGTTGCCCAGACGGTATTACCTTAGAGAACAGATAATTCGAATAAAATTCTGAATACTTTTCACAATTCAAACTTACAGATTTTAATGGAGGAGGACTAGTTTTAATATCTCCCGCCCTTTGTGGGTGACCAGCTTGTTGCAAGACCCCTTCCAACTTTACTCTTTGCTCATCATTAACCTGTTTGTTTGATGTTTGCTCATCAGAATCTTTTTCCACAATTTTTTCCTTCTCCTCATTATTTTTACTTGATTTAGGATCCTCAACATTAAGTCTAAATTCATTTTGTATTTGCTCCATTATTTCTTTATTCTTCCAAGCCATTTTTAAAGGCATATGGTGTGATTTCGTCGAACCCGAAGACGGTGTTACCAATGTCGCCGTTGTTATTGGTGCTGTTGATGTTGATACAACAGGTTGAGACGTAATTATTGGTTTCTCATCAACTGTTTCTTCTATTGGAAGAGGTGGTTTCTTTTCACTCGGAGCAATTTCTTTTGAAATTGAGGGAGGTTTTCTTTTTCTTATTGGTCTTTGGAAATCACTAACTGAATCGTCATCATCTTCGGTGAATGCAAAAGCGTCTTTCTCATCTTTGATGATTGTCTTTTGAGGAGTTAATGGAGTAGTTGGAGTCAATTGATTAGAAACTTTTCTTCTTCGTCCACTTGCTTCTGACTCTGATGTTCGACCAGACAAAGCAACTTGCCTAGTGATTCTGCGATCAGGAAGCTCCTGGTTTGTTGTAGATCTGGTTGATCTTCGAAGGTTTTTCGTGGTCAATGGTTCTTCACACTGCACTTTTGATGGTCTCCTTAATCTTCCAGTACCTCTTCCTCTTCCGCGAATAGTCTTTTTATCTTCTGCTATCTTTTCTTCCTCTATCTCAGGTTTACGATTATTTCCTATAACATCATCATAGTCTTTGGCTTTTTGATTTGGTATTAAGGTTCTACCCCTTGAAGAAACCTTTCCTCCACGGTTGCTAGGTGTCTTAGGTGCTTCATGGATTTTGCATACGGGAGAATTACTAGAATTACTGTGAGTGTCATTTTTAGATTCAGCGATCACTAAGCGTTCACTTTCCGAGTCATCCTCAATTTCTGGTTCAGGCTCAATATCTTTCTCTTGTGGTTCTGGTTCTGGCTCCTTTTTGATAGTCTTTTCGTCTATAAGCTTTTCTGGTTCCTGTGGCTTAGATTCTGGCGTATCGATTGGTTGAAGTGATGATGGCAACGATGGAGGGGCTATTACCGGCTCGGATTGCTGAGACACCTCCATTGGTTCAATCGGTAATATTTTGAGAAGAACTTTTTGTTCTTCGGCTGACAAATGACTGTATTTTCTAGATGCGGAAATGGGCGATTGGTAGCTGTGTAACCCAGCACTAACGAGTGCAGGCGCTTCCCCCATTGATGAATGCATTTCATATGGATTGGCCATTCGTAATCCCAAACCACTCGGTGATTGAATAGGATGTCCTGTCAGGCATTCTGTAAAAGGAGGTAGCGGAGGCAGTACTTGATTGACTGTTGGTCTTGTTATACTAGATTGATTAGGAGTACTCGTTGATGAGTGAACAACCGCTGGTCCAAGAGGTGGCAACGTGTTTTCCGGTTGTCGTGTTGGACTATGCAAAAGAGGATTTAAATCTGTTTTCAGAGTTGGAGGGGTAATCCCTTCCTCGACCTTACATTTCGGTTGCACCGTCTGAGAAATAGTTGGTGAAATAATATCTGGTTCCTCAACAACTTTCTTTTCTTCCTTCACATTTTCAATCGGACATTCAGGCGGTTTATCAATCTTTTCTTCTTTTGGTATCTCAGGGCCTTTAACAATGGCTTTCGGACTATTTTCAACTTCTGCTGCAACTACTTTAACATTCTCAATTTCTTCTGAAACAGGAGCAATAGGAGAATCCAGTGTCGTTGTTGGCTCAATAGACGGAGCTTCCTGCTCTGGTTCGCATATTTTCTCAGGCACTCTTTCCTTCGAATTAACGAGTGGTTGTGGTGCTGGTGCTGGCGGTGGTGGTATTGACGGAGGTGGCGATGCTGCTTCCTCTGGTTTTACTTCCTCTGCAACTTCCTTATCCAATAGAATCTGTACTGCTATTTCGGCTTCGGTGCGGTTCAAGTCATTTACTCCTCCCTGGTCAAACGAAATGGTTTTTTAAAAATATGAAACTATGTATATACATTACAAGTTTTCACTTAATTCCAAAGTACAGGTTAAACATGCCTACTGAAATCTTCGCTTCGATTGTGTAAACTTAATTGTTCGCATTTTCAAGGACAATCGCAAGAAACATTAATGGTGTGTCTTACACCAATCTACTGGCGACAATAATGCATTTCATTACAGCGATTAAAGAGCAATTCTCCATTGTTACAAGCGCACAAAATTTTAACATCGATATAAATGCTTCCGACTCGAGTACCTTTAACTTTTTTCTATCATAAAAAAATATTTTTACCTCTTCAGGAAGGGGTTCGTCAGGTGGAAAACTGTTGTATATAGGAGATGGGGTGCGATCACTACTCAGGTGATCAGGTTCGGGTGGATTGGTACGGGTTATACTATCCAAAGCTGCTTGCATTTCAATTTCTATTTGACGTTTTCGTTCAGCTTCCTCTCTCGCTTTCTTCTCTGCCAACTCCTTTTCTTTCTTCTCCTGACTTTCCTTCAGCTTTTTTTCCATTTCCTCCTGAACCTTTCTAGCCTCTTCTTCTTCTTCTTCTCTTTTTCTCCTCTCCTCAGCTCTTAACTTATCTTCTTCTTGTCTTTTCTTTCTTCTTTGAGCTTCTTCTTCTTGACGTTTTTGTTCAGCTTCTTGTGCTTTCTGTTTAAATAAAGACTCTGGGGTATTCTTTGGTTTGTCACTCTCAATCGTGAGACTCCACTTTTCAATTTCTTCCTCCTCTTTTCTGAGTCTCCTTAATTCTTCATCTTCAACCAAATCTTCAGGTTTCGACTTCTTTTCCAACTTCGAGACAACTTTATTCAAGAGATTCATATCAATTTTTGGTGTCTTAATCGAATTATTACCATTTGAATTTTCTGGTCGAATTTTTTCTAGAGGCAATAGTTTATTATTTATTGTCTTGTGAGAAGTTTTTGCTGGAACTGAAGGAATTTGACTTGATGGCTTAAGACAATTCGACGGAGAGGCTTTTCGAGATGACTTCTTCAAGGGTGTATTCACATCTCTGGCAGCGATCTCCCCATCACTATCACTACTCGTAAATATATCATGGCCACGCGGTTTTTTATCTGACGATTTTGAGGGGCCAAGTGAGCTGTCACTTGAAGAACTAGACGAACTAGTACTCTCGGAGGAAGACGATGAAGACGAGGAGTCAGAGGAAGATGATGACACTCGTGTTCTTGATACCCTTTTGCTAGAAACGGGTTGTATCTTTTTAGCGGCCGGAGACGAATGAGATTTAGCATTATCCTTATGATCAGCTTCAGCATTAAAAAATGACTCAGGCATGGCTTTCTTGCCAGCTTTTGTTTTTGGTGGTTGTCGCACAAAATTCTCTTCTTCACTCCCTTCTAGACTCTTTATTTTATTAGATTTCCTATTCATCTTCCTTAAGGAGTTGGGGGGGAAGTCTGTATCTGATTCTGAATCGGTTAAACCTCCAGTTCCGCCAGAAGATCGCTTTTTTCTCTGCTTTTTCTTTGGCTTACTCATTTTCATCATCGATGGTTCTTTATCACTATCAGAAGTAGCGTCGTCTGTGTAGATCTCATTTCTTCGATAGTCCTATTTTAAATTAAAAAAATACCATATCATACATATGTTGCTCAATTGATAGAATACTACTAAACACAAAACAAATAGCATTTAAAAAATGTTTAAATTTTAACGAGTAGTAAAATGTGTTGTATATCGAAAAGTCTCGACTTCGAAGTCATTGACCTTTAACCGATTTTCAAATTCTTTCGAGAATAAGTGTGTAATCTTGGGATAAAAATGTCAATCTTTAACTATCTCTACATACATAAACCTTCATATCCTTTAACAGGTTTATAAAAAAATATAATGATTATTTGATATTATAAAAGTTCGTTAAACTTTCAAAGATTGTTACTTAATGGACTATCCGAAGTTTCCTATTTACATTCTGAAGGAGTTGGACATTATACAGTTATAAATCATTGTACTTTGAAGATAAAATGAGTACAAAAATTGAACATACCTGAATAGTTTGTTTCCTTTCTTGCTCTGCTCGACATGCTCTTTGTTTAATACGATCGTACATAGACGTATATTCAATAAAATCAAAATTATCCACTAATTGTCCTTCCACCGTTTTTCTCAATTTTCCTTTTTGTTTGTCCAGCTTCTTTTTATCCGATCTGTGTTCCTTGAAAACTTGATCATTTGAAGATGATTTGGACTTTGAGGAATGTTTACTGCTTCTATGGCTGGACTTCATCTTATCTCGTTTTTCAGATTTTAACTTATTTGAGGATGATGACGAACTTATTTTGTCTTTATACAATTTGTTCTTATTTTCCGAGTTGCTCTTAGATTTCTCCCTTGAAGAGTGTTGCTGCTTATGATGATGGTGATGATGGTGGAGGGAAGAATTTGAGTTATTATTAACAGTTGGTTTATTAGAGTGTGTTTTCTCCTTATTTTTAGCAATTTGATTTTGGCTACTGTTGTTATTATTTGTACTATTATTGTTATTACTAACAACAGTTTTCGACTTGGATCTTTTCTCTTTATCCTTGTCCCTATCTCTGTCTTTTTCTCGTTCTTTATCCCTTTCTCTGTCCCGATCTCTGTCTTTATCTCTATCTTTCTCCCGTTCCTTTTCTCTTTCCTTCTCCTTCTCTTTTTCTTTATCTTTGTCCTTTTCTTTTTCCTTATCCTTATCTTTTTCTTTCTCCTTATCCCTCTCTCTTTCTTTTTCTTTCTCCTTTTCTTTGTCCTTTTCTTTGTCTTTTTCTTTGTCTTTGTCCTTTTCTTTGTCCTTTTCTTTGTCCTTATCTTTTTCCCTCTCTTTTTCGATTTTGTCATTTTTTAAAGTAGAGGACGAGGAAGATGCTTTGCTCGGAGTTTTACCAGTTGTCGAAGAACTATGATCTCGCGATTTTTTACTATGAGAGGATCCAGTCTTATGTTTGTCACTGTGGTGCTTTAAATGTTTCGAACTCTTGTTGGAAGAATGCTGATGGCTCGATTTTGGTTTAGAATTCTCCGAGTGTCTTGGCTTATTTTCTTTCGAATTTGTAGATTTATGGATCTGCGATTTGGATTCCTTCTTCAATGAATGATTTGAAGAAACAGTCGCGACCGTAGATACTTGGGCGGATAATTGAGTTGAAGGAGGAGTTGAATGCAACGTAGTTGTTGAAGTAGAAGATATAACTGAGGAACAAGATGAAAGAGATGCATTTGTAGTTGGAATAAAAGTCGAAGTAGAAGAAGAAATAGTAGAAATAGAAGTAGAAATTGAAGAAGCTATAGCTGAAGTCGAGGTCGAAGTCGAAGTCATAGCGAGAGAGCATGCAGTTGCTGACGTTGCAGGACATACTGAAGAGGGCGATTGTAATGCAGGGCAAGGAAGAGAATCTTTAGGCTTCGACAGAATAGATTTCGGCATAGTTGTCGGAGTCGTTGGCGTATGCAGAACGGATGAAGTCGACGAAACACTATCCGATCTTATAGGACTCAATTTCGCCGATTTCTTCACAGGATCCATTAGCTCTAATGAATCCTCAGCTCTCCGTTTACGATCTATTAACGACGACGGCCCCGAGAGGACCGAGCCTCCACAACTCGGGGCTTGCCGTGGAGGCTCTTCACAGTTTAAATGAACTTTTACTGCCGATTCTGTTCCCCCTTTCTTTTCATCAAACACAGGAGGATCTTTCGGCTGATATTTCTCATGAATGTTCGATAATCTAGCAGTATCTTGATCAAATATTGATGAAGTCCTACGTAATAAACCAGACGAGCAAATGTCTGATGTCGGTGTCAAAATTGGCTCTGCTGAAGTAGGTGTACTAATAGAGCTTATCGACTCGGTTTTCTTCTTCAGACGAAATTTACTGTAATCCACTGTTGGGGTTGTTGGAGTGGAAACTTCTGTTCTTGGAGGAGGAGGAGGTAATTGTGTATATTTCCTCTGATGTTCTGTTTTTCGCATCTTTTCATCCAAAGCTCTTATACGCTCATCAATTGCGTCGGTTGTTGGATCTTCATTACCACTATCATCTTTGTCACTAACACGATTATCCAACTTTGAGGAAAAACTCTCCTTAATTGAAGTTGCTGATCCGGGTGCCGAACCAGGAGTTGAGCACCGAGTTTCATCTCCATGTGGAGGTGGTGTAGACGCCCTTGAAGACGCCTTTTGCTTCGATTTGTAGAACTCGTAAGAAAATTTAGGTAGAGGTAAAGTCAAAACACCATCTTTGGCTGTTTTTCTAGAAGTTATTCGTGGCTCCTGAGGATTACCAAATTTTTTAGCCTCTATTTTTGGCTCGGAAAATTTTCCTGGTCGCTCTCCTATACAGCTACTATCATTAGTTTCTTCTAAACGAGGTTTTTTAGCTTTGGCTTCCTCGTCATCGCTATTCGGTTTGGGAGACGGATGAGGAATGGACGATGTCGATATTCTGCGTTTGGCTTCGTGCAACGAATCCGTATAATCACGTTTCCACCTGAAAAAGCGTAAAAATAATTTAGAATAAATCAATTGTAAAGAACTATTCACAAAACATTTTAGTATGTCATATAGGCTTATATTTTTACTATAAAAGTTAGGGTTAATATGAAAAAAATTATTGTTTTGATTGAAACCTGCTGCTGATAGCATCGAATTTACTATAGAATTTTTCGTTTTCACAGTAAATTTATGACGCAACAAGAATTCAGTACATGGGAAAGGCCAACGGCAACAAAAACTGATTGCATTTTTAGTTCAGGACACCTTGCGGCAGGCTCAACCCTGCTTGCAAAGCTTTAGTTTTCCGTTAATGTACACTTTATATCAAACACATTTTAAAATATATATAGTTCATTTTAAAAGCTAACTCCTTTAATTTGATTATCGAGGAAGTTACGTCGAAAACAAAGAAAAATAAAGTACAAACCTTCCTCCATCTTCGGATCCACTACCAGCGCGTTCCGTGTCGGATCGTTCTTGACTAGAAGTTCTTCGATAATCTGCTGACACACCACCTACTTCCACTGAACGCTCCGAACTACTTCCGGGGCTATATGGTACATTACTATTAGTTTTAGACTTAGAAGGCGGTGGGCTTGGGGATGAATGTTCTCTCTTCATTCTGTCATAACTCCTCAATTCATCCTCGAATGAATCTCCAGTTCTAGGCCTAGTTGAAGTTAATGTCCTAGAACCAGAATTTGACCTATATCCTTGTTCATGGTTACGTTTTGTAGAAGTACCACTAGAAGAAGTTGCTGAAGATGCAGAGGTGGAAGATGATGCTGAGACATTTTCCCTCGAACTTCTACTAAAGTTTGCAGGATGATACTTACAGTCATACGGACGGGAGGAAGGTGTTCGAGTTGTTGAAGGAGGAGGTGGTGGTGGCGGTAAATTAGTCGCTTCTTCATAAACATATCCATTCTGATTTGGCGGTAGCTTATCTTTAAAGTCACCAATACAATCCCTGCTAGCAAAGTCGATCTGCAGTTTACAGCTGCCTATAACCCGCCCGCGCAAATCGCTCACACAGTACTGCGCACAATCGACACTGTCGTAATAAACTAACGATCGTCCACAACTCCTATCTATCAACAATTTCGATAGACTGCCATATCGCAGAACTGTTCGCTTTAAAAGCGAATCAGTAACAGTATCATCTAAGCCATCTAACCAAACCACTGTTGTTGGCATAGATTTACCGAAACCTAATTTAACCTTGCTCTCTCCTATATATTCTGCATCCATTTTCTTCAAAGCCTTTACGACTGATATAATATCCGTATATTGAACAAATGCATATGCATTTGAACCTTGCTGCTTTTTAATATCTATATCGAGAATTTGGCCAAACTGGGAAAATACATCTCTTAACACTGGGTTAGTTATATCCTTTTCTAAATTGCCAACAAATAAAGTTCTTGTTGCCTTAGGATGATATTCATCCAATTCAGCTTCTGGTGGTCGGAATTCGGAATCTTCCATTTCGAATCCCTCATGCGAGGTGACACGTATTTTTGAGCCAAAAAATTTCTTTTTTTGAGAGCTTTCTAAAGCTGACGAAGCTTCCTCAGGTTTTTTAAACGAGACGATAGCATAGCGACCATCACCCTGACCTTCAACGTTAACTGATGTTACTTTTCCATATTTTTTATATTCATGATAAAGTCCATCTCGGAGGGACGTATCAGTAGATCGAATTGGTAATCCTTTAATTAGTATTCCCAAATTCGGTCTAGTTGGTCTATTTCGACTAGTAGTGGATGATGATGGCGAGTTTGTACGATCAGCACTGCCAGATCTCGATTCGTCGCTCATACTCCCAGTTGAACTAGCTGGTGACATCGAACGCCCCCCTTTTTTCGTCCGGTTTCCATCAATATCCGAACCGACAGCACCGACATTATTCGATCTAAGAATAAGAAATATTTAGATCAATTGCCACTAAGGAAAAAAGTTACATAAAGAAAAAATGAGGAATATAACGACCATGTCCCACAATGTTTAATAATAATCAATAGAAAACGCGCGTTCACAATACAAGCACACAAAACGATCCGGCGATCAACTTTGACATTTGGGCTGTTAACCCTTTGCCAACCGTCGACCAGCCGAAACGGGTCAGAACGCAGCTAGGAAGGCGAAACGCCACGTTGCAATAAATTAACCCTCTGACTACCGCCTCTTCAAAGCGCTGCAGCTGCTCGCCTTTTACCGATTATAATTTCAATATATTCGTATATTTGTGTATCTATATATATATATATGGTATAAAGCATACTACTAAATATATAAATATAACAATGTAATAAATGTGTATGTGCTTTTTTGTTGGTGCATAAATTCATCTTTGCATCCATTCTCTTATATCCAACCCAAATATTGCTAGATATATCCTATGGCTGCTATAAGAACTATTTTATCCTTGTAACTTGAAAATAATAGCAATGTGAATTTATAATAAAGGAAGTTAAAAATAGTCATTTATTATTCTGATATCGCTTCTTTATGATATATATATATATATATATATATATACAAAGCGTATGGAATTATAAATCCACAACGCTCAGATCGATTATATATATTGCCCGCTTTAACAGGGGGCCGCGCCTTTCAATATTGCATTACTAATTAGGCAGAAAAAATATGCACTTCTAATAATACTTCGTGCGCGCTTATCGATCCGCTTTCCGATCTATCAATAAAACTAGGCGCCGCCAGCGTGATCATGAATCATCAAACGCCGTCCGCCATCTTTGTAATTCGACGAAAAACTGGGTCAATGCTGTGTGGCAGAATTTCAAGTTTCTTTGTGCGTAAGCCTAATCCTCGTTTTTACCAAAATTTTACCACAACCTTCAGCATGCAGAGTTAGAGTTGACAGAGAAAGACACACATAGACGAGACAGTGAGAAAGAGACAAACAGACAGAGAAAGCGAGAGTGAATAAGAGAAAGCGAGCAAGAAACAAAGACAGCGAGAGTGAGCGAGAGGCTAGGGACGACGGTGGTAAAAGATAAATAAAGTCGTTCTACCTGCCGACTATTGATTTTTTTGGCAAAAAATCAAAACACGACTGTACATTATTCCTTGTTGTAATTATTTTGTATAGTAAGAAAGAACAGTGTTTGCGAAGTTAACACTCCCTAAATCTTCTTCGGGGTGAAAATTGTCTTAAATAGTAAACAAAAAAGAATAAGGAGGAATACGAAGCAAATAAAATTGTCGGTAAATTATTCCCAATGTCGGGCTTCATTATCCTAGCTAATCCCAATTAGGAAAAACTGCCTTTAATCATTGGTATATTTTAATCGAGGAAAACAAAGGAAAATGACGAATTTTTTTCAAAAAAAAATACAGATTTTTGCACGTTTCAACAACGGCCACCGCACAATGCCAACTGCTAATCGCATCACGTGACCGTACTGCGGCACAAGGAGAACCAATCACCGACAGACACGTCATACAATGCGTACATGCCACGTAGGCAACCAGGAAAGGTGGCGCCTCTGTAGAAGAGAGCGCCCTAGAGACGGATCGATAGCGCATTGCGCCGATATATAGGCTTCTATTTTTACGGACGGCCAAGAGAATACATTAACGACCGGGTTTCTTCTCTCTCTCTCTCTCACAGACTATCGATTTCTCATGGAAAAACTATAAATTTATAAAATATATACACACATTTACGAATAAATATGTATATAATAAGGAAGAGCGACGTCTTGTCTGTGCTTGGTGCGGTTCGTTAGCGTTAACCCTCCTCCGGCCACTTCCCTTGGACGGCGTATAGAGTAAAAATTACACGGAATAAACACCTAGTACAAATATACCGCATTATGACATCACGTCGCCGCATTTCGAAACGGTTGGTTAAGCCTATTCGAGCGAAAAAATTTCGATCGATTTTAAGAAGAGCAGAAAATGACGAATAGAATGATTTTTCTGTCTCCCCCGCTTGCGACTCTTAGAAAACGTCAATAAGATCTTTTCACCTGTTCAAAGTAATGTAAATAGGCCTAGGAGATACCAGGTGTATATTTTACGATATATATTTTATATATATATATATAAAACTCTAAATGCATGCATGTATGTATCTGTTTATATATATAAGCATTGTGTCTAAAACATTAAGCTCGAATGTACACAATCTGCTTACGTGAGTAATAAATTAGCCAACTATGATTATTTCTCTCACACTACATCCCTGGTCCTTTAAAGTACAGTTCGACGTTCGTACAATAAGCAACATATGCAAAAAGTATAAAATACAAAATATCGATCCGCCAACGCAGAGAATAATAGCCGTTTCTAATTTTCTTCAACAACACAGTAATACAATCGGTACGGGATTTAAAAACCGAAAAAATCGATATCCCAGACGAGAAATATCCATTTAAAGCGTTCTCGTTTATATTCGATGAATAATTGCCATTCAGTCTAACCTACATTTATCATTTTTGGTCAAAACATATAGAGATCTCCTATATTTGTTAGAAAAATTTAAAAATCCCTTTGGATTTTGTACAGTTAGGACTTTAGGGAGGCCAGAAATTTACTTTTTCGAAAGATTGTAGCCTATTTTATAATGATAAGTAGCGTTGCTACGCAGATGCACACGCATATACACACACAAACGCTCCCCGAGTTTATCTGGCGCAAACATTCGAAGTTGAGGGGGGAAAAAAAAGAGAAATATGCGAATTTGGCATCACGCCAAAAACACTAGTAGATATAGGCCGCGTTTCCGGCGGCGCGGATTTCTCCTCGTTTTTCTCCCCTTCTCCTATCCCTGCCCATCCTAGATTTTCCCCTATGCAGTTTAATATGGCTATTGATCCTTACCCGGGTGTCGATGGAGGTGAAGAAAAGTTTGCGGGGGCCGCAGGCGTAATATCTTGATAGGACGTCGTCAAAATGACACCGTCCAACGTATGCGGGCAGGATTTGTGCGCCTTAGACGCTGATTTGATGTCCATGAATGCAACGATGGCGCAGCGAGTTCCATATTCATTAAGGGATTGTAGTTTAACGTTCTGAATTTTGCCAAATCTAAAAAAAAAAAAACTTTCAGCCTATGTGAATAGGATCAATTTCTTACGCTATGTTTTTCACTTATTTATCCTTATACTATTTATATTATATAACAGAAAAAATTATTAATTTTATTTTATCGGGAAGCTGGAATACGGGATGATGTGGGTGAAAGCTTATCGTTCCGTTACGTAATCTAAAAATTTTCCTAATCCCATAAAAAGATCTTCAGTAATCATTTTTAGAATATAATTTCCAATAGTTTTATAGCTAATGTTTTATTTTAGTGTATATCCGAGCAGTTAAGTATTCCTTATCCGGCTCGGTAGTTAAACATAGAATGCCTTCATTTTACGAATACGGTCAGCATTCCTTCTGATTGGAATATCCGTGTTCTTTTTTTAGACTTCTCCTTTATAAATTGTGAATATTCTGCGCCAATAAATAAAGAAATACAATGACATTTTCTTTATGAATATTCCCATTCAGAGTTGTAACTTGTTGTCTGAAAATTTCCCGCCAGAAGCTCTTTCTTCGATCTTTGTTCTCTCTTTATCAGTAAAGCGCGTATGCCTTGTGTTATCGTCGCTTCATTTAGGCCGTTTCGATTAGATAAGTGTACGGCTTTTTTATTTTTCACAACGTAACGTTTTTCAAAAATTTTTTCAAAATGAAAAATTAATTCTATTGCTGCACTTCTATATTATTCCAATATTGCGTCTTTTATATAATAATTTTTGATTTACAATCCAAGAATTTAAACCGATAAATATATATCCGTTCGGACTTGATGGTTTTATCGGTAATCCGAAAAACAATAGGTTATTAAATCCTCCAAAACACGTTTTCTTACCTCTCGAAATAATCTTGAATTTGCAATTCGGGAATTTTGTCCGGCAGAAAACCGACCCACAAATGTCGAGTTTCTCGAACGGTAGATACCATTATTTTTAGCGTTCCGCGCTAAAAAACGCGTAATTTCGGCGCATTTTAAGCGCAAAAAAATTTTTAGCGCATCTTAACTATACGGTGATCCAAAATGCACTGTGTACTGCTTAGCTTAAATTTACTCGACGATAGGCGGCGCTTTCTGCGCATTAATGCTCTTGCGCACTTTAACCCTTTCGCTCCCACTGTCTTTTGTAGGCCTAAAGGTAATCAGGTAAAAAAATACGCCAGAATCGATAAGGATGGACGTACTGATTCGAAACGGGAGGATTATCGATCCAGCTAACGGCGTTGATCAAGCGCTTGATATTTGGGTGAAAAACGGGAGAATATCCTACGAAAATAACGTTAATCCTGACGAAATTATAGACGCCAACGGTTTACTGGTTTGTCCGGGTTTGATTGACGCCCATATTCATGCTTATCAATTCTCAACACCTCTTGGTATAGACATAGACCGATATTGCCTTGCTAGAGGCGTTACCTGTGCCTTAGACGCCGGAAGTGCAGGTGTGGGTTGGCTCTAACTAATTGCGTTTCCTAATGAAAAAAATTCCATTCGCGTCGCATTTCAGGAGCCGGCACTTTGAAAGGTCTCGAGAAATACGTGAAAGATGCTTGCAAGACGCGCCTTTTTGCCTTAGTACATATTGCTGCGCACGGATTGGCGTCTAGCGGATGCGCTGGGGACGGTAAAAGCGATTTTTTTACTGTAATTACTGTAGGAAAGGTCAGTGAGAATAGAAGAGTTAATAATTAACCATGTACCTCGTCGAACTACAAGCTAGAATGTTCACCGTGTTATGCAGTGGACACTATTGAAGAGAGTAAAAGAGTCTAATTAATTTCCAGCCTAGATGTTCATTTTCAAACTGATGACAAGGGAATTGACCCATTTTCAACTAAAAGGAGATTACACTCTTAAATTTTTAATACTAGTATTTATTTACTATAATATTTATTAATGAATCGAAATTAATGGAAAATCTGAAATTTCTTAAACCCTAATGGGCTGACATTTTCCAACTCATAAATATCTCATAGAGTTTGATGAAACAAAAAAAGTATCTCTACTTAGCCTTATAAGATAACTATATATACATATTAAAATCTCATTCATTCATAGGTGAGGGAGGTGAACTGGATTCTTTAAATCAAGTGGACGAATCAAGATGCTTAAAGGCCATACATGAAAATCAAGAATTTGTTAAAGGTATTAAAGTTCGTTTGGCGACTGCGATATCAAATGGTGGACTGAATGAGCAAGAAGCTCTCAGGTAAAAAAATATTGAGCGAAATAGCAAATGAACGCGCGTGCGCGTGTATTTGTATATATACATATATATATATATAAACATATATATATAAATGTATATATAAATATATATGTAATAGCAGACAGATTCGAAATAGAGGTAGAAAGCGGGGGAATCGTTGTCTCCATGGCGACTATGCTAATATAGACAACGAGAGAAGAATCGAGGGTTTTATAATAGTAGCTAGACGCCCTCTACTTTCTGATTAAACGCTTCTGCCCGTCTGTAGGAGGGCCTCTAGGGCTGCTGAACGTGCCAGAGCTCCGCTAATGGTCCACCACGCTTGTTCGTCTATTAGTAAGGCTGATGTTCTGAATTATTTGAGAAAAGGCGATTTACACACGCACACATATAATCCACACGCTTCATCGGTGTTAGGAGCCGATGGACGCCTACTTCCGGCTGTCAGAGAGGCCAGAAAGCGTGGAGTACTATTTGACGTTGGTCACGGGATGGGCTCGTTTGGCTGGCGGGTGGCAGAACAATGTATCCGGCACGGATTTGAACCGGATATCATCAGCACGGATCTGCACGCAGAGAACGTCCGGGGACCCGTCTATGACCTGGCCACTGTAATGACAAAGTTCCTTAATCTGGGAATGACCGTCAACAATATAATAAAAGCAGTCACTTGGACGCCAGCTCAGTCAATCGGCTTATCGAAATTATTAGGCTGTTTGAGCGAAGGTAGGCCGGCAGATATAACAATTCTAAAGCTAGAGAATTGTGATATAGAGCTGGAAGATTCCTTGGGTGAGGTCAGAAGAATTACGAAAAGGTTTAGACCGGTCAAAGTTTTCTTAGGCGGGATTGAATACCCCATAGTTGAAAATGATGGCCAATGGCCAAACCCATTGTCTGCCGCTCGACTTAAAGAGGCTATCAAAAAGATGAATTTACCCAAAGGCGAAGGGGACGATCAACTCGTCTAAAGAGTAGCGCCATCTGATATCCGAATTTTATAAGCTCTTAATAACCTATTGATTCATATATAATGAATGATGAGCATATATAAACACGTTTCTATGCATATGAAATACAGATACTTGATTAGACATGACACCGAGCATTGAATTTCAGTCGTCCATAAAGACGTTCATATTTAATACAGAGATACTCATAAACAATGCAGTTAATCGCTTGATAAATATTCAATGAGACATAGGCTGACATCGTATGCATATACCATATTGAGACACGTGATGTTGACCCGGCCAATGATTATCGATTAAAAAAAAAAACTAGAATGTAGTGACCCCATTTCTAAGTAGAGAGTGGACATAAAAAAATTGTAAACATTATATAAGCGAAAAAGATCGAGGGGAGAAAAAAATATCTAATGTAAATATTATTACTGCACTATTTTTTCAAAACAATTCCTTCTTATATTTCATCGTTATAAAGAAAATCTTATATAAAAAGAAAACAAAGATGAGCGAAAGGGAAGAGAAGGGGGGAAGGAGTGGAAGTGAAAGGGGGGAGGAGGGTGGCAAGAGAGAATTACTATAATATATTCTCTTGTTGTATATGATAAAAGAGAACTAGTATAAAAAGATGTATATATATATATATGCAGTATATACAATTATATATTTAAAAAATTCCAGATATTCTCCATACTTTTTTTGTTGTATTGTCAATGGAAGTAAAAAACTGACCACGCCTTACTATATCCTCCCCTCCTGAGCTTTTATCCTCATTCTCTCTCTCTCTGTTTCCTTTATCCCATAAATCCTTTTTCCTTCTCATAGACGATGAAACCTTATTTTTTCAGCATAATCATAGTTATTATAAAAGCTAAAAAAAAAATAAAAGGCAGAAAAGTTTATACGTCTTTTTTTAGCCTATTTATTTTACTAGGCTTATAATTAAACGCTAAATTCAACGTTATATCAGTATTTTTTTCTTTAACATATACAAAATATGGCAAATATATATAATTTTAATATATATATATATATATATATATATGCGCATTTAAAGAGGAATAGGACAAAAAAAGACAAAAAGAAGAACCTACTTCAAGGCTTCCTCTTTCCTTTTTTCTCTCGTATAATCTATTCGGTTTTTTTTATCTTGACAGCAATTTATTTTTGAAGAACTGTGATCGATAGGTGTCGCTAGGTACTGTCGATTTAAGCCTATGCGCGGAATTTTTACAAGGGCCGATTGATTTATGCCTTTAACGTCTGTATTTTGCTCGAGAATAAATGTTTTATTGCTTTTTTATTGATTGATATATTAAAAACGAGATAAAGGACACTGAAAGTGGTTATTTTGAATAATTAATTACATAAAGGGTGATATTTGTTGATGCTGTTTGTATAGAATACAAAACTGGTATATAATATATTTACAGCATATATATATACAAACACATTTGTAGGCCTATAAAATGGTGTAACATTTGGGATTAATAGTGCGTGCAAACCGGTCGGAATTAGTTTGTCAATGTTTGATTTCACGGTATTTCGAATAGTCTGTTGGTACAAATCGATTTTCTACGGTTATTAAAGAACTCATACTATATGTACACTGTAGGCCTAATAAAAACGCCTAGTTTTCTGTCTTGTAACAAAGGCCTATACAATGCCCTTGGAATTCATTATATTTACATTTTATTGCCAATATATTTTTGTATAGATTGAATATATAGCATATGGAATATAGTGTCTATGATGTATCTATCTATACACTACTATTTTAAAAATAATTTTCAAACGTGCAGATCAATCCATTTCCATTGAAAACGTTAGTCAATTCAAAAAGAGTAAAATAGAATGAGATAGATAGGTAGATAGATAGATAGACAAAGACGGAGAGAGAGAGAGAGAGAGAGAGAGAGAAATACAATGAGGGGGGAATAGGAAATAAAGAAAGAAAGAATGAGAATTGTTACATTTTACTATACCCGACAGATGTTACTGATACCATTGTAACATTGCAATATCAGTAGTAGTAGTAGTAGAACTAATTTAATAATATTCATGCTTTATTAATACATTTACAAGTATGTTGTATGTTGTATATTACATATTAATAATTAATAAAATTACAAATTTTCGTGCTCGATTTGTATAATGTTTACAATATATGCAACGTATTAGTTGTATTGGGAATTCAATAGAAATAAACTGTAAACAAGCTGTGTGTTCACCCCCCTATATTCTATTATATTTATATAGTCTATGCGACTGTATATGCTATTGTTTTTTACTCAAAGTAATAAGCAGGTCAAATAATGGCACTCGTTCATAATCGTCAATGGCTATTTGGCGTACACCTGGAGGGTATGGCATTATTCTAAATGACGTAATAACGTTTCTGATTTACCCAGTCAAACATAATTAATGGAATATTGAAAAGATAAGTCTGTTATTTAGGGTTACCTGACTAGTTAACTTGTTTTTTTTTATTTGTGTGTATTTTCTATCTATCAGACACGGATTAATTAAATCAATATATTGGAATATAAATACAAACAATATATGAAAAAAGGAAACAAATTGATATATTATAATGCTATCGTACGATGAATGTATTAATTTCCTGATTTTCCTACAAAATAGCCAAGTTTTATGGTATTCGTTACCTAACTACAGACAGGTTGTGTCACGCTCTCCAACAGACAAAACGACGTTGTGAACACCTGGCCTGAATCGTTAAACAACTCTGGGGTTTAGAAAAGGTCACCTCTTGTCTAGATTTAATTTAGAAAGTAATAGAGGGCGTTGCTCAATTTCTCTTTATAACACCAGGGAAAATTATGTATTCTCTTATATAGTCATTATTTTCAGCTTAAATTAAATCATTTCTTGTATGCTTTGAAGTAATTCAAGATTTTGTAAGGTAGTTTCCGCTAATTTGAATAAATTATCATACCATCGGAATAATGGAGGTATATTATAACTTCAAAGACAACAAACGCCATCTATAGCCTACTTTGTAGTTAATAAAAAGCTTTGAGTAGAAAAAAGGATTGGATGTAGATGACTAATTAGATCCATTGTAAAATTCATCTGTCATTTAAAGTGAATATTTCCTCGTATCAGTTTAAATAACCTTTTTTTAACTAACCAAATCCTCCATAGTAAACATTGTTTATGTAAGTTAACCATAGCTTTCTTGAAATAATACTACCTTAATTAATAGTAAACGAATATTGTATGTTTTCATAAGCAATATTTTCCATCTATCCCGTCTAAATCTCAGATTGAAATTTATGTCTACAACTAATTTTGTTAATTGATTTATTACGCTAAAAAATTGTTCATAGGCCTACTTCGAATAGTTTTTGAAAGGATAGCTAATTTAATTAATTTTCATTCTAGATATATATTTTTTGTTTATAAAATATTAAAAGATTATCTCCAGACACAACATTCAGACAGATATCAGTAGAGATATACTGTAGACTATATATACGGTATATACCGTATATAGGGAGATATATATAGATAAGAGAAACTGTAAAAATGTTTCTTCTGTTCTATTTCTCATATCTTATTTATTAAACTACTTAAAAAATGATATAGTTTTAATATTTTAGTCATAGAATTTATGGAATTTCATACAAAATAAGGAATTCATTGCGCCATCTTTTGACAATTATTTCTTATGTTTGTCTGTATAATATATTTTACCCTTTATACAAGTTTCCTTTGTATAAAGGCTATAAACAGAAATGTATTATTTATGTATTTAATTATTAAAAATGAATAAAGAAAAAGCAAAAAAAAAGCATTGAAAGGAAATATCTTTGATTTATAATTTATGACATTGATTAATCATATCGTTTCCCGATTGAACCACTGATAAGCAACCTTTTTTCGCCCATGCTTTTCTTGTTTTTATATTGTGAATGTATATGCGATATTAGTGTAATTGGTTTACATAATACATTATCTTTAATATGTATACAGTATAAAGTCTTTGTTATTTTCTACTCCCTTTATACAACTCTCCTTCCTTTTCTCTCATATTAACTCTACTGCTGCTTAGATAAACAATCTTATTAATTAATTTATTTAATTGGTATACTTAATTATAACGTGTAAAAGGTTACCTGTTTGTCTAATTAACCTAAATTCTCTCACTAGTAAAATGATAAGGAAATAATTATATTTCATATTTCCCTCCCCTCCACCCTCCATTTCAAATGTTTGTTCAAAGCCTATGGGTATCATTTTCATCCAACACCCCTACAAAGAGAGTAATTTAATAATGCATATCGGAATAATATTAATCGTATGGTAAAGAAAATTGAATAAATACTAAATTTTCAACAGAGAAAATCAATAATAATAATAATAATAACATATAGTTGAGAGCACGAATAAAAACTTATTAAAAGGAATATTATAAAATATATAAATACATGTTAAAATGAAAACATATTCTATTACAAAACTTTTAATAACTTCTTTAATAATTGTACTTGATTAAATGAATTAATATTAAATATCTGATAATTTATATTTAACATTTTTTTTACTTAAGATCGTGCTTTGACAACAAACCTTCGGATATTATTCTCTCGTTTATGAAGAAATTAAATATTGGAGAGTACGAGAGTAGGACGAGTTGTTTTTAAGATATGTGGGATTTTTTTTTAAGTTGTCAATTCCTTTTTCTTTCCAACCGCCTCCCTCTCATCCCCTCCCACCATTTCTCTCTCTCTCTCTCTCTCTCTCTCTCTCTCTCTCTACCTCTCTTTACTTCTCTGCTCTCCATACTTATACTGTTGCACAACTTACAGTGCTGTCTACAAAACGAATAATATTGCTATGAGACATGTTTTATTATCTAAAGAAAGAATAACACGACCCCTATTGTTATTATTGATCATATCGACCAAAACGCGCAGTAAAAATGATCTTACGGTCTTAGCAACGCCTGATCAATTGAATAATCAAACACTCGATTGGTGCATAAAGAAAGAAAGAGGGAAAAAGCTATTAATTCGTAGACATTATGACTTCCCTTGAGTTTTACGATTATCCAGCGTATAATAATAATAAAGACAAAACGAAGGAATGGGGAACAGGTAAAGTTCCCCAGAAAGTGCCACTTTGGTCGGAAAAATCTCCGACATGGCATATGAGGTTCGTATATTTTACAATTAGCACTTGAAACGCTTTTTAATTAAGTTTAATACTAATTGATGGTAAAGTGGCGAACCAATCCAGCAGAATTATGACGTAACAAATCTTCATAGAAGTAATGTTAGACCAAATGATGAACTGTGAGTAGAAGGATTTTACATTACAAATTAATTATACACAAATTTTTTATATCTGCATTTGTATTGAACCATAAATGTTCTTGTACAGAGTACCAAAACCGGAGATAACGGATTTAGGGTAAGACTATTTATCGTCTATTATATCTATAGGTATTAATTAAATATTTCTCTTTTTTTTGTAACTTTATTTAATTATAAAGACAAGAGCAAATTCTGAGGAATTATCCATCCAATCATCCCTATGCGTCTCACATGTCTAGAGCTCAGGTCTTCCCAAAGTTTACACCTGCTCCCGAACACGAAACATTAGGTTTTAAAGCTCGTTTAGAAACTCCTAGAGGTCCAGAAATTCCTGCTAGTAACTTTAAGGTCGACGTTCACACAAAAATCAAGGGTATTTAAGCTATTCAACTTTCTTTCTCTCTATTTATATGTGCATATATCATATATAGGCTTTCCAAGGAGGGAGGAGACGCAGGAATATCTTCCTGATTCAAGGAGAACAGCTTTACACTGGCCCGAAGGACCATTCGACCAGGTATAAATATTATTATACGAAGGAATATAAATAGTAAATAGTGTATATTAAAAAACTCTTTGCAGACGGTTAAAGGTTACCAAAAGCAATCCGATATTTATCCAACCCCTCCAACTCTACTTGTTCCTAATATGAAAGAGAGATACAACGCAAAATGTTTGACCGGGGATATGCAAGCTACTCCTAGAACGGCTAACGTCGGTAAAAATATTGAAAAACTCCAATGGAAAACTACGTACGACCTTGAACATTCAGGGGTTGGGCCGTCTAATCCAATGAAATTAGATAATTTCGAAGATTTAAGAAACCAAAGAATATTTGGTGTTAATAGCTCTGATTTAGTGAGGATTAATTAAGAATACTGTCTTTTATTCTAAAACGTTATCGTCTTTTAGCGGCCTATATCCGTACCAACAATAGACCGTCCAAGACCCTTAGAGGGAAGGATTAGTAGATCATTAACTCCTAAACCTAATCCACAAATCGGTTATCGAAAAGCAGAAATCGATTCAAATTATACAAGGTAAATCTGGAATTTTTTATATTCGATTTGCTCTCCTTTTCAATGACAATCATTGTGCACTCAACTAGAAAACCAACTTTAACCGAAAGAGAAGAAGATCGATTGTTAAATGGTGGAAAATATAGAAATTTACCTGTAAACGTTGTAATTAATGAAAAAGAGAGAAATTTTCCAAGGGTCAGTTTGTATAACTATTACAAAAATGTTTTTTTTGTCAAGCAGCTCCTTAAACGAGTTTATTAAAAAAAACCGTTCAGTTTTTTATGTCTATTTGAAACACTTCGCCATTCAAAACAGTCTAGACGAATTGATTTTCTCTTTTTTTTAACCCTAATAATGAATCATGAAGATATAGCATGCTTAGATGGCAATTTATATTAATAATACTGTTTATAAATAGTATTGTTTTCTAAATATTTTTCTTTTATTGATACAGAAAAGTCAAAAAACTGTCAGATTGCGAAATAATCAAATAGAGGACAATGATGAGGAACTGGACAATAATAGTGAAAATGGTGATAACGTTGAGGAAAGAGAATTAATCAAATTGAGATTGGAACAGCATGATAATCATCAGCAAATGGAAGCGTCTAATAGATGGAAAGATTTAGAATTACAAACCCCTGCTCATGATGTTGGAAGTTTAAATAGGAAATATGCAGGAGTTAGTTTATTATTAGTTCTATCGATAAATTTTGTTTTCTCTTCCTCTTTACTTTATTTTATCTGTAGGAAACTGATAAGAATCATCCAAAAATATTCTACAATCACGAAGGAACGTACCAGAAAGAGAGAGGCGCTCTCTATCGCACAAGCTACGAACCAGAAAAGTTACAAGGGTTAATGGATGATGTAAAATCGAGCGAAAGATTTACTGTCTTAAACTCCTACAAAGGGAGCTTAGATCACCCAACGTCAATGAATGATCAGATGGGGGAAGCCGTATGGAACAATCGCACTTTAGGTAGTCCCGGGAGTGTTCCTCAATTAAACGGTCAGCCAACACCGTATGAAATTTTCTCCCAGTTTAAAACCACTAGACAAAAACAACGCAATGAAATTACACCAATAGTAGATGAATGTGATAGAAGAACTCAAGAAGGGCATTTAATTTCTACTGAATCGAGCTATGGAAATGATTTTAATACTGCAAAATTCCTTCAAGAAAAGACTTTGCCAAGACAAAATAGAAGAGAGCCATACGTCTTAATGTCGCTGGAAAATAAAAATATGGATAATGTCCGAAATAATATATTAACTCGTGAAGGTTCCACATCCAACAAGAAAGTTGTTACCTTCAAACAACCCGTTCAAATCTATACATCCAGATCGGATGGAAGAAATTATTCGGCTAATTTGCCCCTAGCATTAAGCTCGAGAAATATGTTCTCGTCAAAATCTAGCAATTTGGTACCAACCAATCTAAAGACTAGTTGGCAAAATGCTTCTGCATATGAAAGCCAATTTGGAATGAATACTGAGAGGCAACAATACGATCCAAGATTTGATTGGGAACCTGGATCGGGAACACCACGACCCCAATCAAGACTGTTACAAATTCAAAATTCCTTCTCAAAAACTGATAGTAGGAAGGAATTTCATAGAAAATTCCCAGAAACTAACCCAGATTTAAGAGAAAATATTATTTTTGGTAGAAAGCACGATTTTTCCCCAAGTGGAATTAACGCCCAGGTTTTAAGGGGTGCACAAGCGGTTTTCTAAAAACCCTCCTTTTTTCACTCTATCCATTAGGCCTCCTTATCTCTTTAAACCCTTCTTTATTCCTTACAGTATTACATCACACTTGCAGTATTATAAACGCTTGTATATTTCTTTCGCTTTCCTGAGTTATAGCAGTCATACGTAATGTTTTATTGATTGATATACATGAGTAATGTCTATGTTCTAGCGAAAGAGAATACAGCTTATAGTTGAAGTTATTTTTAATTAATTTCGTGTGAGACGGCACATTGTTTCTTAAAATATTTAACGGTTTAAATAAAAAAAAACCAGATAAACGGTTAACGACCGTCTTGAGAGATATTTTACAAAGTGATCGTTATGACCGATTCATTCATAACATTCTCTTTATTTATCTTTCTTTCGTTCCTTCTGTCGGGTCAAGTTCGTTCTGATAGATTGGACGGAAGGTTACCAAAGTCTGTTGTCCCTCTCTCCTATATTTTACGTATCAGACCAGACTTTTATTCAAACGATACAAACAACTTTAAGTACAATGGTACCGTCAATATACTTATGGAATGCCGATTTCCTACGGATCAAATAGTTCTTAATTACGACGACGAAGACGGTTTGATATTATCCGATTTCCGGCTGGTGGACACTGACGGAGTCGACTTATTGCATAATGTAACGATAGACAATGACGCCGAATTCTTAATTGTTAACCCATCAAGGAGCTTGGCAGTAGGGGAAAATTTTTGGCTGACTGTTCGCCTGAATGGTGGGATATTTGATGACAGATTCGGGTTTTTTTATGCGGGATACGAAGAAAAGGACTTAGGACAGAGGTGATAATACCTGAACACGTTGACTTGCAAAAAAGAAAGAGGAGGAAATGATAATTTTTATATTTTCTTATTATATAGATATATGGTGTCAACGTTCTTTGTACCAAAGATAGCTAGAGCCGTTTTCCCATGCTTTGATGAACCTTCTTTTAAGTCTAGATTTAAACTAATCATTGAAAGAAAGTCGGAATACTCTTCTCTTACTTCAACGCGTCGTGTTCGTACGGCTCCAATGTAAGCCCACAATATTGTATATTTTCTTAAAGGCAAACTCTTTATTATATTAATAACCTAAGATTGTTATATTTTTAATGTTTGCAATTGAAGGACAAACGATTTTGTAGCTGATGAATTTGATTGGTCACCGATTATGCCACTGTATAGTCTATGTTGGGCCGTTGTAGACTTCGCATATGTTGAATCGTTTACAACAGATGGCGTTCGGGTTGGTAGCTCAACGTCCCCAGTGTTTTCTTAAATCTAGTTCATGACCCTTACTTAAAATTGACCCTAGGTTCGAGTTTACGCCAGAAGGGATCGTATCGACGAAGCTAATTTAGCCCTACAGATGGCGACAAGAACTTTGGAGTACTTTGGAGACAAACTAGACTACAATTATACCCTCTCTAAATTAGGTTAGATTGTAACAAATGGGTTACTTCCTTTAAAATTTAATAGCAAACATTTTTTCAAATTTAATGTACAGATAACTTGGCCATTCCCAAAGAAATAGGATACGCAATGGAGCACTGGGGCTTAGTTACGTACGCAGAATCCTCCTTGTTATATAATAGTGAAAAGAATATCCTAAGAGAAAAGATTCGTACGGCAAAATTAGTTATGCATGAATTGGCTCATCAGGTCTTTTTTTTTATTATTATTCTATTCTTATTCTTTTAATAACTTCCTTTTCCACGTATCAATTAAACTTGTTTATATATATAGTGGTTTGGAAATCTTATCACCTGTGAATGGTGGAATCACACTTGGATAAATGAAGGTATAACAGAGTTTATGCAGTTTGTACCATTAAAATCTCTCCTCGGTCTTGATCATGTAAGTTCCTTTTTTAAAATTAAAAAAATAAGAGACAAAACTGTAAAGCAATTTTTTTCTGTATTTAGAGCGAAATGCAAATATTGGACGATTTACAAAGAATACAAGTATCTGACGCTTTGAACACTTCTCAAGAAGTTATACCAGATATACCAACAGTTTGGGATAGTAGTAAAGCATTCTCCAGAATAACCTATAACAAAGTATAGTAAACAATATTATCATATAGATAATTTGTTTCCATTTCTGTAACAATTCACCTACAAAAAAGAGTATGTAGAATGATAATGAGTCATATATCCATTTCGAGACAGGAAGCTGGAATATACCTTTTTCCTCAAAAGTGTCAATTTATAAAAGAAACTTTATTATAAATGTTAATTTTAGAAGTAAAAGGACACAATAACTAGGACTGATTTAATAATGAAATGGTACAATTTATATAGTATTTTCAGTTATACAATATGCATTAATATATAAATATATATGAAATATACATGTATAATAAAAAGAAATCTAGACAGAAAGAAGAAGCGGCTAGACATTTGTTCCAAGATAGATTACTTTACAAAAAGAGTATAAAATATACTCTAGTCGTATTAAAACTTATGTAATAGTAATAAAGGGTAAAAATTTATACTCTACTATCTATTTTATCGGCTATCTTAATGAAGATAGTTAACATTGTAAATTATTAATAGTTGGGAAAAAAGGGGAGAAGAATAGAAAGAAAGTGATAGGAAAGACATAATATGCTTATACTACGGTAGTAAGGATAAATAATGAAAATATATGTATATCTCTTTTTATCTTCCAGCTTTTATCATTCATTTTTGATTAGGAGAAAATTGATATAAATTATAATAGAGTATAATAATTATAAGTTTATTAATCTTGTCTAACTAAGTAGATTTATAATCTAACTATATGTTTATTAATATATTTGAAGAGAGAATAGCCTTTTTCTTTTAAACAATACAGGGTGGTGCTATTGTTAGAATGCTGAGATCGGATTTGGGAGAAAATGAGTTTTGGAAGAGAATTCAAACAGCTCTAAAAATATTCCAGTACAAAAGCGTTACTACAGATCAATTGTGGGATGTTCTTTTACCAGTAAATTATTCTTTTATAATTCCTATTAAATAATCTTTATGTGGGCGAAAAGCTTTGAATGAAACATATGCATTTCGTAGGAAGAGAATGGCGATACGTTGAATGAAAGGAAACGCAAATGGAATACATGGATGGAACAAATAAATTATCCATTAATTAGAGTAACCTTAGATGCCAAAAGCGGTGCCTCGGTCCAACAATTTCATTACTTAGATCCGAAAGACCAAATAATAAGCAAACCGTCCCCTCATAAGTATTTGACAGTCTTTTTTGCTAATTAATTTATTTTTCTCGGTACGTTAACCTAATTCCCTTATTCTGAAAGCTATATTTGGAGTGTACCTATCACGATCATAACTGCTGATGATATGTCTAATACGACAGTAAGATGGCTCGTCAATGAAACTGGTATTTATTAACATATACTGTTGTTAGAAACACTCACAAAAGCATTCGAATGGTAACATAATACATTATCTTCAAATCAACACAGCCCATCTACCGGAAGTTAATGGAAAAGAATGGTTTTTATTAAATTCTCAGCAAGTTGGATTCTACAGAGTAGATTACGATTCTACTCTCCGATCCAAAATTAGTGATATTTTGAAGTCGGATTTCAGTCAAATTCCATACGAAAATAGAGCTCTGTTATTGGATGATGCGTTTACCTTAGCAAGGTATTTAGCCATATTCATCATGTAATTTACTTAAGCTAAACACCAATTTTTGATTACTATTTAATGAATTTTATTAATCCCTTTTCAGAGGTCTTTTACACTTTCAATAATTAGTATCTTGCTTTAAAATTAGTTCCGGTATGTCATTGTCTTTCCTCTCTTCTTTAATATAAACATATACATATATATTATATATACAGTATATATTAAAGCAACCTCACTTTACAATAATTATATCTTGCAATTTTTATTAAGACTAGCCTAACTCAACCTTTTAACTATACTGTTTTATTTTTGTTTTTTTATAAAAAACAAACTAAAAATAATCTATAAAAAAAAATAGTTGTGACAGGTAGAAAGTTTTTACTTTTCATATAAAAGAACAATTTGAGTAATCGAGAGGAAATCTGCCAATAGATTTGGGTTTTCTTGTTTTTATTCCTTTCAATTTTTACCTTTCTCCCCTTCTCCCATTCCCTGCCCACCCCTCTCTCTCTCTCTTATACCTACATTTATTTTTTAAATATAGGTAAAAATACTTTGATATAGTTTTTGCGGTCGATAAAAGACGCAAAACTTTTTACCTATGTTTTTAGGCTTTTAAAGCTATTTTCCCAACAAAAACAAAATCAAAGGATAAAGCTATTTAATTGTTTAGTTTCTAATTTAATTCCCTTTACAGAAACGGTTATTATACGGAAGATGTTGCTATGGAATTTTCTCGTCACATGAGTCAAGAAAGAGAGAGAACCGTTTGGGAAACGTTTTTTAAGGGATCACAACAAATTGAACGTCTTCTCGGCTCTCTTAATGAGACGTCTAACCTAATTCGGGTACAGGACAAAATAATTTATTTACAACGAATGTTGAAAAACAAAAGAGAGGGAGAGAGACGTTGTCTCTTTCTATTTCAATTATTTAGCCCGAAAACAATGTAATAAAAAAACAACTTAATTTATGTTTCTTTCAACTCTTAATATAGAATTATCTGGTTCATCTAATTGATCCTACCTATCAGGATTTGGGATTTGACGAAAGGGATGAAGAAGGATTATCTATCAAGTAGGTAACATCTTCTGTTGTAGTAGAAAAAATACGCATAATTGATAGAAAAACCCTCAGCATGAGTTTACACACAAGTAACCTAGTTAATTCGTCTTTAACATTACGTTAACTTCTTTCTTCTATTTTAACCCTTTTCCAAAAGTTCAAAACAGTTGTTTCTTTTTTCTCATTCTCTTTTAGTTTTTACGATAAAATTCCTGATCTTGCTCTTTCCCTTTAACCACCCGCCTTGTCTTTTTCCTTTCTCTATCCGTCTGTCCTACTATCCGCCCCCTCATTCTCTCTTTCTCTCTCTCTCGTTCATATTGTGTCTTTGAGCCTTATTGTACAGAGGAGAAAAGAGGGAGAATAAATAAGTTACGAAATACCCAAGGGCCAACTAAAAATGTTTCTTCTTTTGACGAGAAAAAAATATTATCCTTTAAAATCTTTTTTACCATTTTTTTTGAATAAACAAAAAAGAAATATAGAGTTTTTGCCCAAGTTATGCGTCACAAAATCTATTTTTAGAGATGAACTAATGCTTAGAGAAGGTTAACATAAACCATATATATATTATACTGTATATATATATAGATAGATATAAGATAAATTGAAAAAAAAAGGAAGAGGATGTGGAACATGATATAAAGTGGTATAAACCATAGTATAGATGTAACTTAATGATTTATACCTTCAAATTACTATTCTTGTAATTGATTACGTCAATTCATCGCTAGGCCTACTCACGAACAAAAAATCTGTAAATCATCCTTGACTAAATACTTGCAATGCTATTAATAAAAAAAAAGTTGATCTTTACCTTTGTTTTCACATTCTTTTTTCACAATATTTAACTTTAAACATGTGATTCCCTTTTGTTAGTCGTTAAATAAGTTAAAAAATTGTAATTTCCTGAAAATGATAAAAGCTATATGCTCTTCATTCTTTCAACAGATTACTACGCTTTGAAATAATAAAAAGAGCGTGTAATTTCAATATCGGAAATTGCAGGAATAAAGCTGAGGAATTATTTCAAAGATGGACTGAATTAGGAGACAAGTAAGAGCTTTAAAATAGAGACATTTAAAATATTTAAGGATATCATAGTGTGTTATATTGTCAAGATTTTTTTCTACTATCTTTTTCTATTCTATCCTTTAAATAGGCCTAAACCTGATATGGTGTATACGGTAGCGTGTCAGGGAGCTTTAACGAGTACGGATAACGGATGGGATGCTATTTACGAAAAAGGTAAAAGTGAAGAAAGGAACAATCGTTTAGCCATTTTGAGAAGTTTGTCATGTAAAGATGATAAATCATCACTGGGGAGGTAAAGAATGAGCCATTACTATTAATTGTATAACAGAAAAGTAAAGAGACAGGGGAAACTTTTCTTATTTATAGATATTTCGAAAGATTATGGAATGATTCAGATTATAGTTTTGCCAATAAGGTAGCCGCTACTAATTCTATCGTACAAACCGGAAACGGAAGGAGCGTTTTATGGGGTCATTTTCTCGTTAATTGGAAGATAACGCCTTTACAGTGAGTATAAAAAGAAATAACAATAAAAAAGTCAATTAATTTTCTCAAAACATATCCTGATGACTTTATAGAATTGAAAGAAAATTATTTAGTAAAAGACTAATTAAAAAATCTAAATATATCAAATTAGACGCCCTCCCTCTATTAAACTATAAAGAAACTTATCGAATTATAAATCACATTGGCAATTCGAACATTTATAAAAAAAAGCCATATTGATTGAGAAATATAAAGACATTTATTACGATTTCCCCTTAATTAATACTTTATTTTATAAAAAAAAACACAGAGGTGCCAAGTATGCAATTCTATCAACAATGGCATCCTTTATAGTTGATCAACAAGAACTGATAGAGGTATGTATATTTAATGCTATAAACTTGTTAAACTCTTTCAGCCTTTCTTTTTCCTCTCTCTCTGTATGTGCGTTATACATAGGAAATGTACGCTGTTGGAAGACACTATATTCATCCTAATATACATACATACATACATATATATAGCTTACATATACATTTGCTGTATATGTTTAATATAAATGTATATATGAGTCTATCAATTGTACGTATAAATCTAATAAAGATAGCCTAAAAGCCCATTAAATTAATATTTCATCACTCTTTTAACACGTTCAAGTTGTTTATTATATCGATAGATCTTGTTTAAAAAGATAATTTATTCACTTTTTTCCCTATAGTTCCTTTCAATTCTTAATTAATTCGTTTTAAATGGAAAGAAAACGATATGTTTCTTTCTAAAGAATAAGAGAATAAATGCAAAAAGGCATAAAGTTATACATATAAAAATCTTTAGGCCTATTTCTCTCTTTTTTTTCATAAGTGTATTAGTTTACGTGTGTTAAATACAGTTCACTTTGTTTTTGCTCTTGTTATCTAGATATATACTCCTACAGTATTAATTACTGCTATACATGTACACCGTAGAACAATATATTAAATAAATTTGTATAGGGCGATAATAAATAATTACAACGTATTTTATATTTTCCAACTAATTAGCGTGATTAATAATTAACACTATACAAAATTATGAAAAAATAGTAAATAAATTTTGTATTGCGCAACAGTTACGAGAATTTCTTGAAAATGAAGATGAATTAAATAACCCATCAGCGACTTCCGCAATAGACATTGGCGAAATTAACCTAAGTTGGTTGGACAAGAACAAGGAGCCATTAAAACGATGGTTAGAAGAAATTTGAATATGCTAATGTATTTTTGAATATTGATTAAACTGATACGATTTGAATGAACGATTATTAATAATAACTATAGAAAAAAGCGGAAAAAAGTGGGAAAACACGTATACCTATACTATTTTATCAATAAACTAATAATAGTCTTGGCATTATCACGTTTACCGAATCGATGGATGCTTTTACCAGTTTAAAGGCTTCCCCACTTAATTTTCTATCCTATAAAATTGTATTAGTTTATTAGTGCTATTAGGCTCACGTATTCACATTTCTCAACAAATTGAAAGGAGGTTAAATGTTGAAATTACAATAAAAAGAAAAATTACATATATCTTTACAGGTCTATCCAATTTACATATCCTGCAAAAACTGTATAATTTGTTAATTATTAATCGAAGCAATGCTTTATAATAAAGATCTTTTGTCATAAAGCATTTTTCTCCCTTTGTTTTTTATAGCAGTAATTCAATCGAATTTGGCTGTTGAACGATTTAACTGACTCTATATTAATTTTTAATGATAACGTTCGATATTTAGGCTTTTATATATATAATAAATAATATACTGACAAATAATTAATAGATATAAAAGCCAAAAATTGGTAATACTTTATCGAATTAAATGAAATTCTTTCAATTTCTGTTTGTTCGTTAGTTTGTTTCTTATTGCGTGTAGTCTCTAAAGATGTAGTACAATAACTATTATAATTTGTAGGAGAAATAAACAAAGGGTAAAAGAAAGTAAGAGGGATGGAACGAGAGAGGGAGAGAGAGAGTGAGAGAGAAAGAGAGAGAGAGAGAGAGAGTGAGAGAGAGAGAGAGAAAGAGAGAAAATTTGATAGATAAATATATACATATAATATACAGAGAGTAACAGAGAGAGAGCTCTATTTAATTATTAAAGTTGTTAAATCTGTTCTGATGTATTAAAAAAGAAGAAGAAAAGAAAATAGAAAAAAATAAATAAGGAGAAAAAATATGAATGAAAATGTTAATTCAACAACTATCATTTACGTTTCTTTCTCTTTTATTCATTGTTTCTTGTTAATTCTTTCTCTTAAAATTCTAATTTTTTTTTGTTATCATTACGTTTAGATAAATATATATATTTACATTTATATATATATATATATATATATATATACATATGCATACATATATATATATATATAATATATATACTGTATATATACATATATGTATATATATATATATATATTTACTTATTATTTGTTTAGTTTAGTCTATAATGTTAAATCATCATTACTGTCCCGTTTATCGATAAACATCCTATTTCTTTTACCAATATAGAATGGTCGGCTTCTTAATCTTCTCTTCATCTCCTTAGCCAATTCAGTTAGACGTTGAATACGTTCATCGATCCCTTCCGATTTCTTACCAATAAATAATCTGCCATCTCTCTTGCCAACAAACCAAGGTGCTCTTTTGCCATTAAACTCTTCGTAATAATCAGCCGAAAGTCCGGCGATGAGAAAGCAAAATAAGAAAAGGAACACGACGACAGATCGTCGCATAGTTACTAACTTTCTAGTGTGAATGCGTCTGCTTTATTAGTCGGAGCTGATTGGCTGCGATAGGCTAGCTGTTTTGCATATTTCCATCTTTTCTCTTTAAGCTGGCTTCTATACGTTAGAAAAACATCCATTAAGTTAGTAGACCCTCTAGTATTTTTTTTTTTGTGAAACAAACCTTTATAATCCAATGAATTATGTAGTACATCTAAATCAACAGAAGTAGTATATCTATAAAAAAAACTACGCCCTAACGTTTGATGGCGTTTTCTTCTATATAATATCTTAATGGCTTCGTGTTTATTCGGTCGCCTTTCGCCTTTATGTAAAGCTAAATGCAAAAAGATGTTGGGACAACTATGACACTCCAACAAGAGTATTAAAGATAGTCATATCTAAATTAGAAATTTCATTTAAACATCATAGTATTATTGTATAGATAAATGTATATCATGTAGATAGACACTTTCTATTATAATGAAAGTAAATGTAAGTGAATTCAATTCATGAATTCACGTTGAAACATCTTATTTTCTTTATAAACGACTGCTAATTATTATTTCAAGGGCTCTTTTAATATCATTTAAGAGTAATCTTAATAAGAAATATGAGAGGAAGGTTGTTTAAAGATAATTTTCAACCTGATCATGAAGTTTATTCTTTAGAGTATTAAGTTTTTATTATAAAATTAACATTTTTTTGTTATAAAGTTGTTCGCCCTATCTTCATCATTTATTGTCATGATCAATTAATAACAACTCCTTTCTTCTTTTTTATCTTACCTCGGCGATTTTTTTACTTTTTTTAATCATAAACATCTATTCGATCCTTTGTTTTCCTCCGCTTTCTCTTCCTTTTCAAATACCTACTTTCTCTCGTGTTCACTAATACTCCTTTTTTTTTGTTCACATGCTTCCTGTTGCGCCATCTACCGGCTTATAACTAGTATTTGTGTTATCATTATTATTATTTAGTATTATTACTTAAAATACCATTGTGAATGGCTTGAGAACTAAAATTTATGGGTGGAGGGAATCAATCGAAGATTTTCCTATGTATATAAATAAAGTATTAATTAATAAATTGAGTTATTTATTTAAAGTAATGAATAATATTTATTAGTAATCCTCTAAAAGTGCTTGATAGAGTACTCTGATTGAATCGGGAGAGGTTTTCGCAACTTCTCCTTTTCTCTCTCTCTCTCTCTCTCTCTCTTTCCTTTTATCCGTAGATCTATATTTATGTCTATTCGTATATAGATTTATATACTTTATACTTATATTCAAAATAGAATAACAAGATTATAACTGAACAAAAGCAGAGAGAATAATTAATCTTTTTCAATTGTCAATAAATATCTTCTCCTATTCAAGAAGAACTTACATAGTTTTTTATATAATGAAAGAAATAATTAGGACTAGTACCTTTTTTTTCTTTTTCTCTTTTTTCACTCCTTCTATATCCGATTATATAGGAGAAAGAGATGAAGAAATTGGAAAAATGAAAGGTTGATATATATATATATATATATATTTATATAGATAGATATATAAAGTTACCTATTCACTACAAAATAACTTATATACAGTATTAAATGATTCAGAGGTAGAATGTTTTCGTTTCTATATTTATCTTAGCATAAGAATTGAATAGAAAAAAAAATTTTTCAATTGATTATTTCATCAGTTTAACAAACAACTTAGATACAAATAAACAGAAAATACAGTAGACGCAATATTAGATGTCGTTGTAATAGCTATTTCTTTGTATTCTTTTCATAATTTTTACCATAAAAGTGTCATTGAATAAATGGACTATATTCGAGGGCGGTTTCTTATTTTTATTAACGAATGTGAAAAGAGGGGTTTACTACCCATTAACAAGACACAAAAGAGCATATAATAACATTCTAAACCGAACAGGGAAATTGAGAGAGAGAGAGAGAGAGAGAGAGAGAGAGAGGAGAGCGAACCGACAAAAAATAAAAGACAGAAACTGGAGAGAAAGAGAGAAAAATCAATCGTTGTCGAAATATTAATAGACGATTAGTTACTATAGGCCTATAGTAGTAAATCGAACTGTTTACGTTTATCGGCGCTAGGCAACCTAGGAAAGGTTAACGTTTAGCTGGCTGTATCCTCTTAACATTTGAATTCTCTCCTATGTATGATTTGATTATAAAAATAAAAATAAATTTGTCAATTGTAATTGCCTAATAATGTCATCGGATCTTACGAATAAAACAAATAGAGGTAATTAATTAATATAATTGGTGTCTGTTTGCTTGTTTTTCCTTCCCGTTTACGATTAAATAGTATATATATATATATGTATATATATATATTGTATTTGTGTCTTGAATTTGTTACTTGAAATAAGAATTCTATTCTCATACTAAAGTAAAATAATACTCAATTAAAAAATTAGTTAATTCTTCGTTAATTAATTCTATATTATCAGGTATATAGATAAATTCGTTATGTATAAAGCTGTGACTTTAATTGATTTAATCCTTTATTATTTTTTTTTGGATAGAGGAGATAGGAGTAGATGTTAAATATTAAAATCAGTGTACTGATTTTGTTATTGTCCATACCAAATTATGTATTTTTTGCGTTCGTTTGCTATAAATCTGTTATCATTTTATTAAATTATTATTCAATTTGATAAGATAATAAATAGATTTCTGCTTACCGTTACTAACCAATTTGTATAAGATTAGATAATATCAAAGAATGATTTTTATTATAATATAAACATGGATTATATTCTATAGTATATGCATTGTTTTAGCGTTTAAATTCCCTCGTTATCAGACAAACCAGGTCAATTTAAAGTCGTCCATTTTCTAGTAAATATATATATTAGTATATATACTTTATGTATATACAGTACAGTATATATAAGTATATGTGTATTTTACTTAACAGACAACATATACTTTAACAATTGCATAGTATATCTAACAGAAGCATAAATGCTATCGTACTAACTGTTTATACTGGCTATTGGTAGTTTACTTATTCTATGAATAAAGACACCAAGTTGAATAACCTTCAATATGTCCTCTATCATAAATTCTAATCATAAGTAATAGATTGGATACCGTCTGGCTGTCTGGCCAAACAAGAACTACCTACAGGTAACGCTTCACCGGAAACGCTAAATCACTTTGGCAAATCGCAATTAATTTTCTTGAAAATAAAATCAATTTTAAGGATAGACCTGCAAATCATTTACTCTTTCTCTCTGCTCTTCTGCCCCCCTCTCTCTTTCTCTCTCTCTCTCTCTCTCTCTCTCTCTCTCTTTCTTTCTAATTGCTCTTTTCCCTTCCTTTATTTTCCCTTGTCAATTTTATCTGTTTTATTCTCATTCACATCTCCATTGTTCAATCCCTTTAGAGGTGTTTATGGATTACTTTTTCCAATACCTATCCTTTTATTCAATCACTTAACCTTTTCTACTGTTTCCTCTCTTTTTAAAACTTTATCATTTTCACTTCAATTTCCTCTCTATTAAATCTATCAATGATTGGCAGAAGAAAGCAAGTAAGTTTTGAACGTTTTCCGGAACTGATTAGGCGGGCAGAACGAGTATACGCTCATTCAGCGTTTAAATTTAGTAGGTAGAATTTGTCAATGTTATTAATTGGATTGTGTAGCAATGTTTGAGTTTTTGTAAATAAGTGTAAAATAAGAAGAGAACAATTTGGATTCGATTGAAATAAGATAGATTGCAGTGTATCTCTTTTTTTTTATCTAGAATTGAATAGAGTATATTTACAGGAAAGCTAAAATTATCTTACGAAGAAATATTAATAATAGTAATATATTGACATTTTATTTTGCATTTTATGAGTCTTTTTCTTAGAAAATTAAGGTTTAAACATATTTCAAATGTGGCAGGTAAATCGGACGAATCAACGCACCCGGCTATTCAAAGAGCAAGAACAGTCCTGGCGCCTAATAAAGAACCAACCTTTTACGTTGGCGGAGGTAATGGTTGTGCATTGTAAGTAATAGATTAATTGCATTTTGCTTTACCGTGCAGGGAGCAATTAAATGTATAAACAAAAGCCATTAAGGGAATAATGATTATTTTTTTTATCGAATATCGTGAACAGAATTGAAAGTAGTCTACTAAAACTCGGGTGGAAAAGGATTAATGATAAAATGACCGAAAATTTTAAATTGAAATGGGTTGAATGCAAACAAAACATTAATTATCAAGCGTTCAGGGAAGGAGAGCAATTAGTCAATCACATACCAAATTGTGGCCTATTAACCAATAAGTTAGGCCTACTTAATTCCCTACAATCTTTCGATCGTGTTACGACAGCGGTGAAAAAATCGAGGCAATCGACAATAATTAAATCCTATTTGGATTTCACGCCAGAAACTTTCCGGGTAGATGATATGAAAGAACGTGAAAAGTTCTTTCAAGAGTATAAAGAAGGTGATATATGGATCTGTAAACCAACTGGCACGAATCAGGGTAAAGGTATATTCCTCGTTAGAGATCTTAATGAATTTCGAGCAACTCTAGTCGAATACGATGAAAAGAAAAAGGAAAAAAAAGCCTATAAACCAACAACAAACAGAATTATTCAACGCTACGTAGCCAATCCTCTTTTACTTGACGGCAAAAAATTCGACTTGAGAGCTTACATGTTAATATCAAGTACAAGTCCACTATTAGTACTTTATGCGCATGGTTACGTAAGGCTATCGTTAGCCCAATACGATAATGACACAACTAATCTCGTTGCCCATTTAACAAATCAGTATATTCAAAAGAAAGATCCAGCTTATAAAGACGTTAAAGAGGATACCGTCTGGTCTTTTGATAAGCTAAATGACTACGTTAACAGGCATGTTGCTCCTGGAAAGGAGGTTGAAAATGATTGGGTAAAGAATGGGATGACTAAAACAATTAAATCAATTATGGTGCACCTAATCAAATGCGTACAAAATCGATTAGCAGCTAAAGTTGGTTATTTCGATTTATACGGTTTAGATTTTATGATTGATGAAAATTTAAAAGTATGGTTTATTGAGGCAAACGTTAATCCGGCTTTGGCGACAAATTGCGGAGTACTTAAAGATGTTATACCCGGAGTTGTTGACGAAACTCTTCGACTATCTATTGAATGTTTTGAAAAATCAAAGAGAAACGTTCAATTATTACCATTAAAGAATTTGAAAACCTTTGAAGTTATATATAGCGAAACAAAAAATAGGTTAATTGATGGGCCTCCTATTCGTCAACCCCAACAATCTCTATCTCCTAAACCTAACAGACGTTCCAGATCTTTATCACCCGGCAAAGAGATGACAACGATAATTGAAACTGTCCCCCAAACTTTGAATACGCCGCAAAAATCACTGCCAGCTAAAGTTCCTTTAACAGTACCAAGTTTAAGGGGAGTACCACCTGGAATGGAGCGGAGTCCTTACGCTGCAAGCGATTCTATACGTTTCCGATTAACACATGCCCAGAGGAGGGCAAATAGTAGCAACACTCATAGTGGGCAGAACAATAGCACTACAACTTCAAATAATAATCACGCCAATAATAATACCACCAACTCTGCTACAACTGCGGCAGCTAATAATAACATTAATAATAACAATGGTGGTAATAGTAATGATAATAGCAACAGCAATATCACCGGAAATAGCAATAATAATAACGACGTTACCGCTAATACTGGCAGTAATACGAACGTTGCTAATGAAGCGAAACAAGCCCGAAGTGGAATTAGAGCGGACGAAAGAGGAACGAAACTTCACATTAGCAACAATTCCAAGAAACAAGAATCGATAAACGCCTCAAATGAAGATAAAAGTAAAGGTAAAAAATTGGAAATCGTATCTGTTAAGGCAAAAACAAAAACTCAAGATGATACTACGAAAAAGCCTTGTGCAATTTGCGAAGACAAGGGTGCTAAGCAATCAACAGGTCAACCATCAACGTCTAAGGATGATTCTAAAGTACTTGCTGAAGCATTAATACCCAAATTGGCCAGAAGGAGCGACCAAACAAAACTGTCGAAAACTGTTCTCAAATCGAAAGAGGGCGCCATTTTAGCCTGTAAAACAACAAAACCAAGATTTGAAAGCAGAAGACAAAAACAGAAAGACGATACTCGTTCCAGAAGTGCGACAATACCTAAAAAAGTTTCAGTTAACATCACTCATGGACACGATGTAGCCGATAGAGGGAGCTAGGTAACCGTTAAACAAAAGAGAAATAATTTAATTTTAGGAAAAGAAGATAAAAAAAAGCTATAAAAAGGAGAAGAAAAAAATATCCTAGTCAATTGATTTATAAGATTGATTGAAAAAGTCAACTTTCTATCTGCATACGAATACTTTTATGTCATGAAAATTTTCTCGATGAATGATCCTTAATACTGTCTGAGATCTATCTACGTCTTTATCATTCCCAATATTGTATCCATTTCTATTCGTTTCTTTTTGGGCCAAATTTTAAACTGTGATAAATCGGTATACAAGAGTTATAAATAAATAAATGTGTACTGTTTATACAACGGTATACCTTAACGATAAAAAGGAAAACAACAGTTTTAAAGTAGTAAGTTATGTAGGAAGTGAGAAAAGAAACATTCCAATTTACTATTTCATACTTTATATATCTCCAACAACGGTAGTGTATTAGTGAAGAAAAAAAAATGAAAAAAAGAACTCTTTTAAAAGGCGATAGATAGCGCCACAATTCGCAAGAAACTACTAAAAAAGTTTCTTTAATAGTGATATATATATATATATATATATATAAATTACCTATTCAATTTTACGAGCTAATTGTTAATTAATAAACAATTGGCAGAGAAAAAAAATTTACAACGGTATCTTAAATGACTGTTTGTTTTTTTTCTATTATAAAGAATCTCAAGAATCGATTGCCATTCCTTTATTAACTTGATTTTCAAACAATTCCAAAAGTCTCTTCACCTCTTTCCTATGAGCAACGTATTCAAATTGAATAATTAATGAAATTACTCTAATTAAAAAAAGTTTCAACTTACATTTCGTTTGATAGTTTATAAACGGGTTGCATACTTTTAGATAACTCTTCGCATTTAGCCATAAGAGCGTACATAGTCTACAGACGTAATACGTTAATGATTAATTAAAAGGGTCATTAGTATTATTTAACTTTTTAGAACGACCTTGATACTAGCGTCTACAGAATCGCAAGTTCTGTCCACTCCTTCCTTGTAGGCGTCGATACAACTTGTCGTTACAGAAGACATCTAGAAATTAGGCAAGTGCGATATTTCTAATATTTCTATATATACTGTATATATATATATTAGATATTTATATAGGTTAATATGAAAGATAATGAATATTACTAAATGTAAATTAGCAGCCATTGAATCCATCATTTTACCCACTGAAGCAGCAATTTTATGAGCAGAATTTTCAATTTCAAACAGCGCTTTTACGTCAACCGGAGGTAAGGTTTCAGGACTATGAAGAGTTGGTGAACGCGATACACCTGACCAACCTGACGCTGAACTAAGGGATGATGGGGTGGCAGACGATAGTCTTACTAAATCAGTTAATCCCTCAGCTACAAACGTCATAACTTCTCCATCTCTTTCTAAAGTTCCATGCATATCTAATGGTGTATCGGATGATTTTAAACACTCTTCCAATTCCCTAAGACTAGATGCGGTGGTGTTAGATGAGAAACTAGAATTTCTCTTCAAGTGGTCCTTAGGCGAGTCTTTTGTTGGTTGTTGAGGAGATTCAAATTGATCAGGTTGTTCTTTCATCATTGCAACTGTTCTTTTCAAATTTTCAACTGAAGTTTTTAATGATTCTTGAGTTTTTTCAATACCTTCCGAATTTTTCAAATCATCAGATAATATAGAATTAGGCGATCTGTCAATCGACTCGGAACTATCAAATTTGACTTGTTTATCAACGTTCAAGTTATCTTGATTGTCATCTATTATCTCAGCCATGTTACTCGCCGTATCCTTATCAAAATCTTCCGATAGACTTGCATTCCTTAAAGAGTATATCTGAACAGAATATCAATAATATCATTGAATACAGTTTACCCCAGCTTTGAATTGTATTATTGTTTTCTTTTGTTTAATATTTATTTTAAATTTTATTGTCTATGCGTAGGAATCCTCTTTGTATTATATAGAATGTATTTTTAATAAAGAAATTCTTGATATTCGCTTCAGATATACTTTATTTCTTTATCTTCTGCTACACTTTCGTTTTCTCTTTCAACTTTTTCTCCTGAATCGGCCATTATTGTTAAATAATATTAATTTATTCTAATATGTAGATTAATCGAAAAATGCAACATAATATTTATGACGAATTTTATTCTTTGAAAACAGTTGCTTTCAGTTATGGAGATAAAATAGCCGAAATATCCCAAATTTCGCCCAAAACCGGAAATTATAGACGAATCTCGTCCCAATTCTCGCCAGCTATTGATTTACATACATTGCCAATAGCAACGACTGTGATTGGTCGTCGTCAATCACGTGATCAATCGCTTATCCGGGATCCTTGCATGGCAACGAGCGATCATCGAAAAGAAGCAGCATAAACCGATAGAAACGCTTAAAACTGTTTACGGCGTGAAAAAGAACAGACCGGATTATAAAATTAGGAAACAAATATACAAGACAATATAAATGTACTATTAGGTATGACGGTATGTCAATCAAGTTGAAGAGGAGCGAACATAGTATGCCTTCCAACGCGATGTTACCTCACATCTCTCAGACACAGTCCGTCGGTGGCGGACAGTCGCAGATTAAAGTGACACAGTTATTCGATGACAAGTCTGGAAGTGAACAACTTCAGGGTCACGGCCTTCCACAGGTCAGGCCCCCAAGTTCGGCAGCCAGTGCCGGTTCAAAAGGTTCTTTGAAGAGGACTCATGCAGTAGCACCAGGTACAGCTATGAAGAATTTCATGCATAAGATGACCGCCTATGAACATCACGAAATATTCTCCTACAATCAAATCTATTTTGTTGGCCAAAATTCAAAGAAGAGACAGGGTATTGTTGGTGGATCGCAAAATAATGGCTACGACGACGAACACGGTTCCTACCTACACGTTCCTCACGATCATATAGCCTACAGATATGAAGTTCTAAAAGTTATTGGTAAAGGATCTTTTGGGCAGGTTAGTAACTTTATTTTCCTTCATTTTTGGTTCAAACGAAACAAAAATATTTCTCAATCTTTTTACGATCAATCTTACTCTCTAAAACTAGGTTATCTAGTTGTTTTTTTTTTCTTTTTTTTATAAGAAAAAACTATAAAGAAAGGTATTTTCCCGTTAAAATTCCTACTCTTTTTCATTCCCCAATCTTGAAAAGAAAGCTAAAACATCTCTCAGTTTACTGTTATTACAATTTACAAAAATAAAACCTACTATCAATCTTTTAAAGAATATTCTAATATGACTTTTCAACATATCGTCTCAACTGTTGAATTACGTTATGCCGTTCGAGGCCTATAATTGTAAATATATCCATTATATCACTTTTGTTTTCTTTATCTAAAGTCGTAATTTGATACATAAATGATAGAAATATTATCGTCTAGAAATTAAAAGTTTCCATAGAAAAGACGAGAGGTCAATGACTATCTAAATATGAGAGACAGGAAGCAGAGAAGAAAGTACCTAGATCTAACATAATAAGATATATAGCTATAAACCTATTTGCGATATTTATTAGCTATAATTTTATAATTTTCCACCTTATATTTAATTTAAACCTTAGAAATTAATCCACAAATAAAGCAACCTTTCCCCCCCTGCCCAGAGGCTTAAACAAAAAGAGTAGAATAAACTACTAATTAATGTATTAATGTTGTTAAAAAATGAAGGTTTAATAGGCCTTATCTTCCGTTCTAACGATATATTTATTATTAATAATTTAAAGCTCTTTTAAAAATCTTCTTTTCGCCCCCCCCTCTCCTCCCCCCTTACCAATCTAGTTGAAGCACCACCCCCCTACCCCCCACCACCACCCCCTGCCACCTTTTTTCTCTTCTGTCTTTTTTCTCTTTTGCCATTAATAAGATTTAAGCAGCAATTCCTTAGAAAATGAAAAAAATCGAATACTTTATTATCAATGACTAATGTTTTTAATCAATAAAGAAAAAAAATCGAAATTAGTCAAGATCGATTTAAGTTATGTAATTTTCAACAATACTCTCCTATTTCCCTCATATTTTAGACGTTTTTTTACAGTAAAAGAGGTAAAGAAATGAGAAAAAAAAAAATCCATGCTGGCTTTTTTCATTTATTCGTAAAAAATTTTATTGGCTTTTTTTTAAAAAAAAAAAAAATGAAACATTTTATTTAATAGTGTAAAAGGAAAAGAGAATAACCTTATAAAAAAGAAGGTTGTTTGGTACAGGAGAGAGAGAGAGCGGGAGAGAAAGAGATTAGACGAATTCTTATATTGGTTAGGTTAAAAATGTTATATTAATACATATGTATAATGAAAATTACCTTATACATAATAAATAAAATTGCATGAGTAGACGCTTTGAAAAAAACTAATGGAAAATCATTGTTATGAAATATTCATATAATGGTCAACCTACATGGTAAACAGCAATTGTAAATTTCTTTCTACCTTTATTCTTCTATAATTTAGGTCTAGTAGTCTTCTTCTCGCTCCCATTCACCAGAGGCTCTTAATTAACTCGGGCAAGGCTACTTTACACGAATACACAACTTTTACAATCTATTTTTTGTCAGAAATAGCCTTTGAAATGGGTATAATAGCTAGAGTGCCGTTCCTTTCTTAAACATACTGTATATGTACTGAATGACGGTGACAAACGGTTAAGAATAGTTAAGCGGAAACTTGATAGGGATTTAATCCGTCCGCTCCCACAAAATGTAGGCCTTGTCTAGTGAAAGGAGAAAAAGTAGAGGTGAATGTGCCTTTAGGAAATATATACTGGATTGTTGAATAAATAGGGAGAAAAACTAGAAGGATAAAAAGGCAGGAACAGAAGTAAAGGTTAAGGTTATCTACGCTTAAAAATCGAAACATAAAATGATTGAAATGGACAGAAAACGAGTTAAATAGATAGAAAGAAAATATAAAAACAAAACCAGTTTGTTCGTTTTATATAAAAACGTAAATAGAAAGGTCAGACATCGGTTATCTTGGAATAATCGAATTAGACTATTTTCCGTACCTCAAACACCTTTAAATAGCTTTTATAACATGTATTCTCCAATATTTTGTTGGTCTCCATAGACAGTGCACCTATTTACTTCAATGGAAAAGCAAGCAAAAGAGAGAACAACATAGTAAAAAAGGTCTAGTGAATAATGTAGATGAGACCTTTTAAAATTGCATCAATTAAGTATTACTCCTATATTAAAAATTACTTAGATTTTTTAGTTTATGCTCTATCAACAATTGCCGATTTTTATTACATTATCAAGTAGGCTGTTATTAACTATTAAAAATGTTAATCTTCATTGTTAACTCTACTTGTACCCATTATAATCTAGTCTTAATAAACAAGCATATAGAATATAACAGTGTAAAAAGTATATAAGAGTGAATATGAATATCTAATTCTATACGATTTATAATCTTTAAAGGTAGAACTGAATTTATAAAACATTCTATAATATTAATAATACAAAGTCAATTACATGCTTTGGATTGGGGTGGATAGATATGTTTACGTAGACATTTTGAATGCCTATAATATACAGTATATTAGTGATTGCTCTATATATTTCTGCATAGTCTTTGCTTATTCATATTGATTAACTCCCTCTCTCTCTCTCTCTCTCTCTCTCTCGCAAACTTAATATACAGTCTCTAGCTCGTTCCCCCTCTCTGCCCCTCCAACAGCTCCACCCCCTCGATCCCTGCACGCCGTTTAATCGAAATTCTTTTAATTTTATAACAACATAATCAATTGATTTATCAATATTCCAATTCTTAATCCTCTAGCCTGCCTTATTGTTCTGTATTATAAGTTCTTTTCACTTTCGTTTGTAAAAGATCGTTAATTAGTTATTAGTTCTAGTTCATTTTAAAACCAGATATATGCAACTATTTATAGAAGAAAGTTGATTCCATATGTAAAGACTTATGTTTAATATTTTATATTGACTGATTAAAAGGAGAAATAATGAAGGGGAGAGAGTATGAGTAAGTAAGTAGGTGACTGACTGACTGACTGACTGAGAGATTTTATTTTATACCTTATAATTTCTTAGTCTGCGTTTTAACCTTCTCTGACAGCCCGTTACCTGTTTAGGAAATTATTAGGAAATTTATTGTCATAGTCACGTGATCTAACAAATGCTAAGAGAAATTAAGACGGGCTGAGCAGATGACTGTACTAACGAACGTTTAGGGTGACCTATTTTCCTTTTCTAACGTCCAGCGTAGTAGAGAGTGATAGGGAAATAAAAAGGAAGAGAAATGGGATAGGGATAAAGGGTGGGGGGGGGGGAGTAAGGAGAGGGGAGTTATAAATTTACTTACTTAATGGAAATTTATTGTATTGGAAATATATGTTTCTAGGTTGTCAAGGCCTATGATCATAAAGTCCAGCAACATATTGCCCTGAAAATGGTTAGGAATGAAAAGCGATTCCATAGACAAGCTCAGGAAGAGATAAGAATTCTGGAGCACCTGAGGAAACAAGATAAGGATAACAACATGAACGTTGTACATATGCTGGAACATTTCACATTCCGAAATCATATTTGTATAACATTTGAACTGTTATCGATGAATTTATACGAATTAATCAAGAAGAACAAATTCCAAGGATTCTCTCTTCAACTTGTTAGAAAATTCGCTCATTCAATACTTCAATGCCTGGATGCTTTGCATCGTAATAGGATAATCCATTGCGATTTAAAACCAGAGAATATTCTATTGAAGCAACAGGGTAGATCAGGGATAAAAGTCATTGATTTTGGTTCCTCTTGCTATGAGCATCAAAGGATATATACGTACATACAGTCTAGATTCTATAGAGCACCAGAAGTGATACTTGGAGCCAAATATGGAATGCCAATTGATATGTGGAGTTTTGGCTGTATTTTGGCAGAACTATTGACAGGGTACCCAATTTTTCCGGGAGAAGATGAAGGGGACCAATTAGCTTGTATTATAGAATTATTGGGTATGCCACCTGAACGACTCCTTGAAACGTCAAAGAGAAGCAAGAATTTTTTCTCCTCTAAGGGCTATCCTCGTTATTGCACGGTGGCTCAGACGTCCGATGGGACAGTTTTACTGCAGGGAGGTAGGTCTCGAAGGGGTAAAGTCAGGGGTCCACCCGGTAGTAAAGATTATACGACTGCACTCAAAGGCCAAGAAGATCCGCTTTTCGTCGATTTTCTAAAACGATGTTTAGATTGGGATCCGTCAACCAGAATGACTCCTTCCCAAGCATTAAGGCATAATTGGTTAAGAAGACGCCTGCCAAAGCCCCCTCACGATGCCTCGTCTTTATCGGACAAGACTAGAAGGTCAGCTGTCCGCGGATCTGCTGCTAAATTGGGACCTAATAATTCGGGAAAGAGAATCATCGCCACTACAGATGCTAGCGAATTTAACACCAGATCGAAATTGCCACAAATCGGATCAACTTTATAAAAATTTTTAAAAATAATGACTAAAAGAGACACGAATTTAAATAATTGTAAAGAATATAAAAGGAACACGAGTGGGATATTTTAAAATGTAATAAGCTTTCATAAGTTATTTCTTTATCTCTCTCTTTCTCTCTCTCTCTCTCTCTCTTTATATTTAAAAAAAAAAACAAAACCGAAACACACAATAGGATAATCAAAAGCATCATCAACAACGGCAAACAACAGCAACCGATAAAAAATTAAGTAAACAAATTAAGGTAGGGGATAGGGAAAAAATATGGACAAGAAAAAGCTATCTTTTTCGGAGGGAAAAGGGTCTCTTTCGAAGGTTATAGGGATGATAAAAAATATATCTTTTTCCAAGTATTAAATCTTTTTTGCAGTTGTTTTAAAAACTGTGCAAAAAGATTATTATTATTATTAATTTATGATATTAATATCTATTATTACATATTTACTTATGTTTTAATGAAAGAATTGCACCAAACGATACCTTTATTATAAACATTTTCTATTTGTAATAATTGTTTTTTTTTATTATATCTTTAAAGCATAACGAACAAGAAAATAGGAAAGAAATTTCTATCTTATTAAATATTAATTAATTAATTAATTAATTAATTAATATTGTCTTTTTGATAAAAAAAACTGCATGCAAAAGTTTAATATAAGAAAATAAAGAAAAAAAATAGTAATTTTAATAAGTTAAAAGTAAAAAATAGAATGAAAGAAAACTATTAGAAGATCTTAATAATTGGGCTGAGGGATGGGGATGGGATTTATTATAAAAGCTTTAATAAGAAAAGTGACAAAGGAGAAGATAGAAATGGTAAATATATATATATATATATGTGTATGTTTATATATGTATATGTATATGAAAAACCACTTTTCATGATATTCTTATACATTTCTATTTTATATTTTATTTTTTTTGTGCTTAGCACGAAGTGATTTCACAAAGACAATACAGTTCTGCAGATAATGCATCCTTAATATTCTCTATACATATTTCCTATATTAAAGAAAAACAGTGATAATTTCTTATTGATAATAATAAAATAAAAAAAGGTACAAACTATTTATGTTAAACATAAACGAATATTCACTAATCTATTTTTCTTTTGTACACGTAGTATTTATAAATATACAGTATATATATATATACATGGGTGTACTTCTATATTGTATATAAAGGAGAGAAATGTCATTGATTTTCCAATTTGTATTCAAAGAAGATATATTTCCATAACTTTGTCGTATCAATCAATAAAATTTATTGAGTAAAATAGCGAGATAGAGAAAGAGGACACTGCTGATTAAGTAGTTTATTCAACTTACAAAAAATATATAGAAAAGATATAGTGGAAGAGAGATTCGTCTATCTCTCTATACGTTGTTAGCTATATTAAAATAGGAAGACGTATAGCTGAGACATGCACCATAACAGTTATAAGAGGAAGAGGGAATAAGATTAAAAAGATGAAATTAGCTGTACCTTTTCAACTATTAGAATTCTTTTGAAGATTTTTTAACTTGACGTGATAGGAAAAAATAACAATCATCAACCTATTTAAGTAATGAAAAATTTTATCCAAGATAATTATTATTAACTAAATATAGAGAATATCTGTGTCTAGTTTGTTTAAAAGTATACAAATTACATATAAATGACATCATCGGTTGTATTTTATAGACTATTACAAAGGTAACATTGATTGTTTTTAATTTGTAGGTAGAAATAATCGTTTATCTGTAAATTTTCTATAGTAATCAGTTAATATCTGCTCTTGGCCTATTTTTTACTGTTTTTCCATTTGTCCTTCCCTTAAAAAAATTATATTGTGATATTGTCAAGTGCTTTTTTTTCATATTCTCTGCAGCATGGAGAGAAGATGTATGTGAACAACCTTTCAGCAGCAATTACAGCTCTAACCTTTTCCATTTTCTTTTCAGAGTATACAATATATATACTGTATATACTGTATATATACATATATATATATTAGAATTCTACTTAGTCATTTATGTTTCGTTTTATGCCAACATGTCCAGTCTGTCTATCTTTTTATTTATAATGTGCAGTACAATGACAAAAGGCATTGATAATAGGGAAAAAATTAGAGGGAGAAGAGGGAAGGAGAGGAGGGAGGAGGGAGGGAGAGAGAGAAGAAAGAAAGAAAAAGAAGAAAATGAATAAGATTAGTTGAACTTTAGAATAGAATAATTGAATAATTATTTACTTCTTTATTAAACCTAAAACTATCATATTTGGCAAAGCATGCCATAAATTCTCTTCTGCTAATCTCTATATTTTTATTTCTTAATACTGATCCCCTTTGAACTGGAAATGGGAATTCGATTTTCCCTAATAGTATACAACATATATTAATATACACACTGAATATATACAGTATGTATCTATATATTTGGAAAGAAAATAAAGGACGAATTGTTCTGTTTATATATAGTATATGACGTATGTTTTTGATCAGTCTTATAGGCTTTAACTACTTTGGCATTTATCACAATCGTTCAACTACAAAACATAGCGTCATTTCTCACTCACTCTTTCTCTCTCTCTCTCTCTCTCTCTTCCATCTTTCAATTATAATAACTTTTTCGATTATCAATATTATTAAGGGATTCTTCTTTTGAGGATCGATTGAAAGAACGGAAAAGAACGAATATTGCTTTTTATAATGATTTATATTTTAAAAATGGGCAATAACAGGAAGTAGCACACGTTGCAATTGTTCCTTTAGCTTGTTGTTAAAAAATCCAATTTATCGATATGAACCAAACAACGATCGATAAATTGTTGCTAAAGTAACCAAAAATGTACTAAAACACTTTTACAATCTTTATTGAAGATATTTAAAATAAGAGCGGGAAAATTTCTTTTATCTCTACCGCTTTTCTTTACATTGGAACCATCTTTAAAAATTCGAAAGCATAATGTATATTTTACTAATATTGTTTTTTTAGTATCATTCTACTCTAATACTGCTCAATAGCCTACAATACACGTAGGCATTATTAGGTGTAACAGCAAAGTTGAAAGATATTAAAATCAATTAATCAGAGAAATTGTACATGTTCTTATCAAGAGGTACGACTTTAATCGGCCTATTTTCTCTAGTTTCCGCATTTTTTATATTTAGTTCAGCTGGAAGGTTTTCATTCAATACAATTACTAAAATGGCCCAAGCGTATACATCATCAACAAACACTTACTCTATGGCATTTGTAACTGTTCCTAGTAAGGAAGTTGGAGAGAAGATTGGATCAGGATTAGTTGAGGAGCAACTAGCTGCTTGCGTTAATGTGATACCCGGTTTAACATCTATCTATAAATGGCAAGGGAAAATAGAAAAAGATAGCGAACTTTTACTTATGATAAAGACAAAAACTGAATTGGTTGATCAAATAAGCGAATACATTAGAAAGCATCATCCTTACGACGTTGCAGAGGTTATTAGCTCTAAAATCGACAATGGAAATCCGCCTTATTTGGACTGGATAGAGAAGAATGTCAAGTGATTGATATTAACTCTTGAATATAATAGTAGGGTTTGCAAATCGATCCTGTTCTCTAATAAATATTCCCTTTGTATATATTTATAGTGTATATTTATACGTCAATCCACTTTGTTCTCTAAGCTAGACAGTTCAAATGATCTTGGTCTATTAATTTTCATCTGAAAAAAGATTGATAAATCCTTTGTAATATTCAAATTAATCACCTGATAACCTTATTCTGAACACATATTTATATGAACAGCCCAACATGGAAAAGGAAAAGAAGATCACGATCTAAAATTCTCTGTCTTATATATCAATAAAACTATAATAAATTTACAAGCAAGTTTATATACCGAATCGTGTTGTGTGCAGAAATTCTAATTGAATCTTGCCAAAGCAGTAGGAAATACTAGATGGAACATTTGTAGACTTTAGACAAATACTACAATTGGATACATTATCTTTTTTTTTCCATTTTTACGAATAAAGTATACTTTTTCTCTTGTAATTGTAGAATTCGAATGAATATAATGTATAGCGTTTTTTATATTCGCTCTTCTAAATCTATAACGAAATGCTCAATGTTTATTTTGTTAAACATTGCCTAAAGTCTATTCTAAGAATAAAGAGAAGAATGCTACTTTCACCCTTTTCATACTGAATTAATAAGGACAATTTACGCACCTAAGGACCTAGGGAATTCTTGTTAAAAAACCCTATACAATTTCTGTATACTCTATCAATCTTCTTCCTTTCCATCGAAGATTGCAGAGTATACTGTATATACTGTATAGAAATTATAAAAAGAAGAAAAGAAAACAATCTTCACTAATATTTAATATAATTAGTTATTAGCACTAGATGTCGTTGGCTTACAAGAAGAAATTTTTTACAACTATAACAATCTTTACAGATAAATAAGATGTTTGATTGAAATAACATTTATTGCGCAATCTCAAGGGAAAAACGGGAAGAGACGCTAATTTCTGTCTGGCTTACAAAAAGAAGAAAGAAAACTTGAATCAGTTATGTTAATTATCTTTAAGATAAAAGTTTATTATTATAAAATATTTGGAGGAAACGATTATTTATGTTTAAACAAAAAAAATATTAATAACAATAATAGAAACTATAAAAAAAAGTATTTATAGTAATAATAAAGGATGTATAGAAAGAGAAACAGTAATTAACAATGTTTATAAACAGGTTTTCTATCTATTGGATCTAACTAACTAACTAAATAGTTTTAAACAAACAATACAAAGTACTAATAGCTAAATTTAATTATAAACAAATTATATATTTTTCTATTTAATATTTGTTTATGTTAATAAAAAAATCATCTTTTGTTTTTATAAAAAAAAAACTTTAACAAATAAAAATATTTTTATTAAAGGTTTTTTTTAGCTTTATTCGTCTTTTTTCTTTTGGTCTGGAATCAAGGATTAGGAAATACAGGTATGTGTTTCTTTTTTTGCTGTTTTTCACTCTATATATATACAATGTACAGTGTGTATAACTTGCTTTACATGGAATAATTAAGGTGTAATGAGCAAAGGCAATAAACCAGTACAAAAACATTTTTTTTAATCACTTATTTAAACTTGTTATAATCATTAAATCAAATGCCACACGATGCCATAATATCGAGAGAAAAAAAAAGAGTACAGAAGGAATATTAACATACTTTCTTCTTTTCCTTTTTTTTTTTTCCCTTTCGTCATCTTGTTACTATTATTAATTAATTTCTTAAAAGAACAGACCGGGAATATTCCTATTATTTTTCCCGTACACTTTCGAAATTATTAATAATTTAAAAAAAAGATTCTTTTTGTTTTTTTAAAAAAAAAACAAATAATTAAAAATAAAATATTATTAAAAGAAAATACATATTTCATTGTATCTTTTTTCGATTAAAATTAATTTAGAATTAATAATAGTATTAGGGCAGTTTGAATCCATTTTTTTATAAAAAAAAAGTGTATATATAATTACTTTATATGTTTTTCTAGTATACTGGATAAATTAGACATATATATATATATATATATATATATGTCTAATATAAAAAAGAAGATACAAATAAAACGCATATATATATATATATATATATAAAGAAAATTTCGCTATTCAGATTGTTGTGTAGGCTTGTTTGTAATTACTGATCTTAAAGCGGTCGTCTTCTCGAAATCAATCTCTCTATATTCTGTAGCAGGTACAGGTTTCTTTGGACTGCTTGGTGTGCTTGGCAATTCCAATGATAATTCCGAATAATTAATCATTTTGTGACTTTGTATAGAAACTGGAACTCTTACATTGGCAGCAGAATGATTAGGTGGAACGAAAATACCTTTATTTGAAAGGCTTGACGGACTTGTTGGCGTTTTAGGCTAATGAATGTTTTTTAAGTAAAAAATCATATTAGATAGTAATTAATTAATATTGAAAGTGCTACCTTAGTTCTATTAGAAAAAGCTTCATCATTCAAATTGTCTTGATCGTCAATGCTATCCTCCTCATCAGAAAATTCTTCTGTAGGCTTCCTTCTCGGTAATCTAATCCTTTCTTCTTCCGTTCTGCATATATAGATATATATATACATATATTATTAGATAACGAAATGACCGATATAAACACGCCATGTAAAAGTGTTATACTGCATATTTTAGAGTTAGCTTAGTAAAGTTTCCTTTTATAGATATATCACTTAATGAAAAATAAATGTATATAAATAGATTATCCTAAGAAGAATAAGAAAGAAAGAAAAAGAAACCTTTCTCTTTTAAAGCTCTTTGTATTAGAGTTTCTTAAGGGCAAGTCGCGGAACGCTTTTGGTCGAAAATCATTTTTATCTTCGCTGCTAATACTCAATTCTGCATATTTCAGCTTCTGATCGACTGGCTCCTTCGGCACTTGACAACTGAGAATTCCTGATGAAGGTTCTTTTGGCATTTTTGGAGGTACTAAGCCCATAGAGCCGTTTTCATAGGCGTGGACTTGTTGTAATCCGATTGTAGCGGGTGGAATATGGGTATGCATAGTAGGAAAGTCATAATGTTGGTCATCCAAAACTTGATTATAGTATCCATTGGGGCCCATCTTTGTTGGAGGGGGCGGTGGTACACACCTATTACGCATTGACGCAGTATTATGATTGCAATCTCCAATGTTAACACTATCATGGGGTGGAATAATATTCTCGTAATTCTGTTCGGGAGTCACCGGTGACATTTTAACAGGAGGAAGTGGAGCAGGTTCGGTTGGCACGGAATCTTGTCTTTCCAGTCCACCTCGTGGTGGTATATTTATTGGTTGAGCGGTGGTAGGCGCTGGCCATATTACGTCATAGACTAATTTATTGTCTTCATCTAAAGAATCTGCAGAGTTCTCTGGAGGTAAAACTGGAGGGTTAATCGGAGAGAACGACTTGGTAGGTGGTAGATCAACAAATGTAGGACTCTCTGTCATTCTATGCTTTCGCCTAGGATTGGAGTCAACCTCATCGGGATCGACCGAAACACATTTACACATTTTACAGAGATAATCAGCCCATGAATTCATCTCTCTTTCAGAAGAAGCAGCTAGATAATAGGTTCTTGAAGTATTCCGATGAGTAGAAGTAAGACTAAACACGAATCTAATGGGAAAATTATAGAAAATGACGGTAATTATTTAAATAATACAAATATATAAATAAAAAGCGGGATTAATGGAAGATTTTTGTATATTAAAGATATAGGGATATTAATATATATTTGCACTCGCAAATATGATAATCTGAAAACGTTAACCTTATTAAATCTTCCACGAAAAGAGTTTTCAATAGATTATAAAACGAAAATAGCTGGTATATATACGCCGAATATTAATTTATTATAACCTATAATACTAATACAATGAAAAGATACGTCAGAGAAAGATAGCAATTTTTCCATTATACAAGTATATAAAAATAATCTTAAACTAATCAATTTGAAATGAAATGAATCATTTTATCTAAAGACATAATTCATGTTTTTCTTAAATAAATGTCATCTTATTTTCCTCTCCTTTTTCTTTTTCTTATAGAGATATTTCAAAGGTTTGCTTTCCCTTCTTTCGTTATTTAGTACTATAAGAGACGTACTTTGAAAACTCTACACAATATTATACAGTATAATAAAAAGCGTATTGAATAATATATATCTTTATATATGTATAAATAGATAGATATATACTATGTATATAGAATATAACGTTCGCTACTCTCTGATGGTTTACTAATGGTTAATATAGTATGTAATTTGTGTATATATAAACTTACTCGTAAGTTTTCGAGTCTAATTTTGTATCAATTGAATCTATATTTAATAGATCTATTTTCCCCTTTAGTTTCTTTCTATTTTCGTCCTCGAAGTATTCCAGACGAGGAACGCCGTCAATCGACTGAGATAAAACGAAAAAACGCCGCCGCCAACGCTAAATAAATAAAAAAAAGAGAAAAATATTAAATACATTAAATTATTCAATTAAATTCTTTAGTAAAACAAATAGTTATATTTTATAAATAGGGCGTTATAGGTTTAGTTTTAAAAAAAAAGAAAACATACTCTTCTCTCCACTATTATATTATTAAATATAAATAATATATATATATACAGTATATATATATATATAGTATTTAGCACATATCGCTATTTATATATATATTGATAGATATCCAGATTAATAAAGACAGGAGACTTGGAATAAATTAACCTTTTAGGAAATATTTCTTAGAATTTTATAAACGGCTTTGAGTCTATTCACTTTCTCTCTCTCTCTCTCTCTCTCTCTCACTATCACCGTATATCTGTCCTTTGTCTGTCTATCTCTCTCTCTCTCCCTCTATCTATCTATTTATCTTTGTCTATCTATCTCTCCCTAGCTATGGGTGTCTCTAACCTTTCTCTCTCTCTCTCCTTTACTTCTCCAAATGAAGATGAATATCTCCACCTTAATTTTTCATATAACTTCTAAAACCTGAACTCTTAAAGTGTTCAAATAAAATAAAAAAAAAAAAGAGTATAAAAAATGTTGGTTACAGTTCACTTAATTTTTTATTAGGATAAGAAACGGTCAAAGAGCAAAAGTGTACACTCGTAAGACCTAGTATATGTTATCTTTAAGTTTTATCAAATCCTTCTAAGTGCTAAATGAAAAAAAAATCAAACAGAGGCAGAGAGAGAGAGAGACAGAGAGAGAGAGAGACAGAGAGAGAGAGAATGATGGAAAATACAATAAAGCATAATAAATAAAACATATCCTTAAGTAATCAATCATTGGTTATTTTTAATCGTTTTAAAGAGAAAAAAATCAAAAATTTGCCTTAACAATCAAAAAAACAACACTAATAAGCAGAAGAAATTCAGCTGGTTTGGCAATCTAACAATTCTTGTAATTTCTTTATGGCTAAGAGAAAAAAACAATAAAATATTGATAACGTACCGATTTGGAAAAATATTAACGCCTACGGCTGCTTGCCTTAGAAGAAATAGACTCCTACAATATTAGTATATCGTTTGTTAAAGGGAACTGCCTGAAATCTATTTCTCTACATCGCTTACGAAATACCAACTTGACTGTATTTTTTATAATTAGTAGACAGTTATTAACTAATTATTCATAGTTTTTACCACCTAATTTACTAATTTAGTAAAATAGGCTGTCATGTTTACGCGTTAATATCACTGATAAAATTGAACTTACAGCCTTTGGTAGGAATCGTAACAGTCCTGGTAGTTTTTTAGGAGGAGGTGATTTAATCAAATATCCTTTATATATAGTAAGACTCATAAGCGTTGGTCTGTTTTTTTCGATCAAGTTTTCACGGAATTTTTTAATTATTGGCCTGTATAAACTTTATGAAATTCAGCGCCGTCTGGTGAATAGTGTTACTTTGGTTAAATTAAACAGCGGATGGAGTAGGAACGCACTGATTCGTTATACATATTCTCTTTATTGGTGCACCTACATGCTGTAAAGTGACATATAACCCATTAACAGCATTTAAAAATACCCATCTTCTTATAAAATTTTATATTGTTTAATATTTGCCACTTATTCCTCATTAAAGTATTGAATTCTTATACAATAATTATTAAAATATTGTATTCTTTATTTTTATTAAACAATCCTTAAACTATACACCATACAAGCTGAATAAATATTTCAAATTTGTAAAAAATATATATCTGATTAGAATAAATATAAAAATTATCTAAATATGAAGCGAATAAATATAAATAGTATTTATATCTGTAGATAACTGTTGAAATTATCCGGCTATTGGCCTAGAAAAGAGCACTTTTGCAATCTTTAGTGAGAATAGTGACGAGTTTGTTAAAAAATGTAACACAGCTATTATTTCTATTTAATCATACTCGAGTATTTCACAATCCGTTCACTAAACAGAAGTACCCTAAATAATTTTCGTATTATACTACGAGAACTATAAACTTCGTCCTTGACCTTGTTTATAAATATTATAGATAATCGTCTCCACGTCATTTTGAACAAGTTTTTCTAGAGATACATCAGCGGATGGGTCAAGTTTTAATAAGAAAAAGACTACACGAATCAAGCCAAGAATTTACTGATCTTGACAAACTTCCACCCGAAGTTGCCATCGGTATTTTATCTCATTTGAACGCAACCGATCTCTGTTTGGCGGGATGCGTTTGGCAACATTTAGCCAACGACCAAATTCTATGGAAAGGAGTTTGTAGATCGGAGTTTGGATTTAGTCCAACAGGAGATCTAAAAGCATCAGAATATAAAAGAATTTTCCTGCAATTAGACGAAGCAACATTGACTTTCAATGCAAATCCAGAAAATGGTATTAACTACCTACTTCGTTATGGTTTGATTGAAAACGTTCCGAGTCAAATAGCCGAATTTCTCTATAGAAATAGAAAAATTCACTGGAGAAGAAGAAGAGATTATCTACAAAAACGACCTGACGTTCTACAGGTACTTTTTCCTTACTTTTTAAAGGAATCAAAGCATAAAACTTATCATTTCTTTCCTTCCTTAGGAGATAATAGGCTTAGAAAATTTTAAAAATTTATTTCTTCCTAATGCTCTACGAAAGTTTTTCGCTAAGAATAGACCTACGAATGACAGAGGCGAATATCTACACCTGTTAATCGATGCTTTTTCCAAGAGATTTTCCACCTGCAATCCTAATTTGAACATAAATCCAGAAGCAATATACGTTATATGCTTTTCACTCATACTACTATCTGTCGATTTGTCAAGCCCTCACATCAGGAATAAAATGTCTAAAAGAGAATTCATCAAAAATACCAAGAGAGCCGCAAGTATAGATGAGGAATTTTGTGGACATCTATACGATAATATATATCTCGTTGGTCATGTTGCTCCAACCGATCTCTGATTGCCTATTAATAGTATTTTTTTTTTAACGGTGCCATCTTTTTTGTTGCTTCTTTGAAAGGCAATTTATTTTTCATCCTTCTCCCTTACCCTCTTCCTTCTTCCTATTCCGCTTTGTTTTTTCTACATTTTGAATACAAACTCATTCGAATACTTTTTTAACTTTTTGTGATATTAATTCATAATTCATTCTACACTAATATGACTAATTATCATGTGTTACAATATAAATTAAAATAAATTAATACTCAGTTTTAATATATGAATAAATTTGCATCTAATTAGTTGGTTGTAAGACTTTTTCTAATATATTCTATAACCCTAGAATATGCGCAGTTTTCAGAAAAATCACGTGACTATATATTTAGAAAGTTTTCTCTTCTAAAATAAGAAACACCTTTTACAGAATAAAAACCGTGAAATATGCTTTGTCCAAGATATTCACTTCGAATACAACTTTATAGGCATTTAGCTTGCATAATAGACTACATAGGCTTAACAAACAGGCTTGAGCTATTCATGTTAGATGAAAGTACTAACGCCAAAGTCGGTAATTCTTTTTTACTAAGGAAAGTTGGTTATTTGTACACTTTATGCTTTAGAAACAAAGAATCGTACGTCTATTATTAAATTTACATACTATATATATATACAATATAATTCTAATATACTATACGCTTTATGTTTATACTTATAAAACAGTTGACCAAAATGGACACAATGATTTCGAATGTACTGCAATTCGGCGACTCAAGACTGGGTGGAGGAGATGATTTTACAGATCAACTTAATAGTAAATACACAGTTTATCTCCTGGTCGCATTGTCGGTGATTGTATCGACAAATCATTATATAGCGGAAGCTATATCTTGCTGGTGTCCAAATAATTTTACGGATGCTCAAGTTGAATATACAAAATCAGCTTGTTGGTCAAGGAGAGCTTATAGAGTACCTAAGGTGTCGGATTATTATGATATCTATACCAAGGGAAACGATAATGAGTAAATATACAACAATTCAAGTACATAGTATACTTATTTTCTACTATCTAAATGCCATACAGGAAAATATCTTATTATCAATGGATACCTGTAATACTGTACTTTCAGGCTATACTATTCTACTTACCACGTCCTATGTGGAGAATTGTAAGTAAAAGATTGGGTCTACCCTTGTCGACTGTGGTAGACTCGGCCGTAGATTGCCAAAGGCAAAGGTCAACGGATTCTAGGAAATTAATATTAGATTACATGACCAGACAAATTACATCATTTTTATTAAATCAACGAAGTTTAAATAGAAGATCTGCCAATAGTTATTTTCAAACTTTACACAGGTCTAGACTATTAATATCTTATACAGTTATTAAAGTAATCTATCTAATGAACATTATCTGTCAATTAACTCTGTTAAATATCTTCGTTGGTGGCAGTTTGGAAGGCTATGGCTTTAAAACTATAATAAATATTGTGGAAAAAGGTAATGGATGGTTCTTATCAGATCATTTTCCGGGAACAATTTTATGTAAGCTAGAAATTCAGGTTAATGAAACGCATATTAAAAATCATATTATTCAATGTGATTTACCATCAAACAAGCTTAATGAAAAGATATATATCGTTATGTGGATCTGGTTTGTTTTCATTGTAACAGCAACATCTAGTACTTTCTCATTTATAATTCATCCTATCCATTTATATTAATTCGAATGCTTTTAAAAATTAAAGATTATTTATGAGAAAGTACTATGTGACCTATTTTATAGTATCGTTAATAAGTTGGATATGCTCTTTAATTAAATCCGCAAATATATGGTCCATATTGAAAGTTTTAAAATTCACCGATATTGAAAAGTGTAACTCCTACAAAACACACGAGCTGAATGAGTTTATGTACAATTTTTTGAAAAAGGACGGCAATTTCGTAATTCAAATGGTTAAACATAACACATCAGAACAATTAGCTGCTGAATTAACGAAGAGTCTATGGAATACGTATAGTGTAATACACTCACAAAATAAGAATTTTGAAGTAGATGATGAACAAGAATCTTTATGTTAGAGACCTTCTCTAATCGTTAAACGGAAGAAATTACGTAAAAACTAAAACTACTTATCGCGTCATTATTTCTAACGTCTCTTCGATACTTTCTTATCTAATTACTTTCATTTTTCTACACCGTATTACTAATTTCATTTGGTAAATGACATATTTTCTAATTGGAATCTATAATAAAAGTATCTTGGCTATCTTCCCTTTAATGCTCAAGTTAATTACTTATTGTAAAAGGTACTTTTTCCTAATTAAAATCTTTTGAAATATTTAATACCCTTTTAAGATGCTAAACTTCTTATCTTGTGTCGAACTGCGCACTTTTACGCGCATTGCGTAAAGTGATAATGAATTACGCATGCGCTGAAATTAACCGCTAAAAAGTTAATCATCGACTACTTTATTGGTCATTCGATAGTCGTTATTGAACCGAGTCGTTTACTTAATACTTCCTATTGCTGTTACTATTTATTAAGTTTTATAAAGACAAACTATGGCTGAAGGAATGAACAATAAAGGGTCAAGTGCAAACTTTCAAAGCTTTAATCCATGCAATTTCGGAGAGGATGCAAGTATTTGGAGAGTTGAAAAATCCAAAGTATTTCCACCATTTGCTCTAAATTTAAATTACCGACCTTTTACTCCAATACCGACGCCAACTTCTCCTCCTCCTCCACCCCCTCCTCTACCAAGTCCTCTTCCTGCTATGAGATTTCTACCACCGAACCTCAATTGCCAGCCAACGGCTATTCCTAGTAAGTAAAAATTTGAAAAAGTTTGATTATTACTTAAATTTTACTTTTTTCATCTAGAAATTGGAATATTCGGAGAATCTATCACTTCTACTCCTTTTAGCTATCCTCAGGTTTGCTTTTGCGTATTTTCTTATATCTTTAAGTGATGTATTTTACGACAATCGAAAGATTTTCAGTTTGCGGAAGTAGCGGGAAGGGGGTGGAGCACATTTTTAAAAATAAACGGCCACTTTTTTCTAGGTCATTCGTCCATCACCACCAAAGTTCAACATACCATCAAGAAAGGACAACTCTGGTGCTATTTTCTGCGTCTTCTGTAAGAATAACAGAACGGCATCGTCGACTTATATGTCTCATACGATAAGAGATAACGACAATAAAATTACTTGCCCTCTTTTGAGAGCGTATGTTTGTCCTGTTTGTTTCGCCAACGGCGATAACGCACATACAATCCGATATTGTCCATTGACAATGTATCCTCATCTATTACAACATGTTACGTTTTCTCATTGGGTATCACTCCCAATAAAAACTCAAATTAGATTGGCTACATCGGCTAAGGAAAATGGATTGAACCTAATTGAGCCTGTACATCCTCAATCTAAGCTGGCCCGATTAGGCGAATCTCCTCAGTACAAAAACAAAACTATTGTCGAAGTTATTACTATGCTTAGAAATAACGAATTAGAACTTATTTAAAAGTATATATTGTCTGTTCATATTAACTTATTAATGTATAAAAATGTTTAATTATATAGTTTGTTTAGCGTTTATCTTGAAATAAAGTAGCTTTTATTTAAATCACGTGTAACATCTACAAGTCAGTTACAATTCAACCGAGAACAGAGCTTAGCTCAAACTCTCAAATATAATAATACCTCCTCCCTAAGTTTCTAACTTGAATACCAATAATACATAAGAAAATACATATATAATCAGAACAGCATATAATAGAATTCTAAATAACAGCTAATTTAATATACTACTCCATACATATCGGCAGTATTCTTTCGAACATGCTCCAAAATTGTTTCAAGCGGCTCTTCTCTAAGCGCTGCTACCTCTTCAGCAACGGATATGCAGAAAGGTGGTAGAGACACTTGATTCATAGTCGCGCCTTTAACTTCTCGAGGAATGAAATACGGTGCATCCGTTTCTAAAAGAAGTTTATTTAAAGGCATATGGCGAGCACATTCTCTTATGCCTTGCGCTCTTGCGTGGTCCGCAAAAGTTAAAAGTGGAGTAAATCCGATAAAAGAGTTTGGAAAGTGTTTCAACCAATCATCCATTTCTTTTCTTGACCCGACGAAACAGTGTCGATGAATTTTATGATTGCCGAGATTTAGCTAGAAATGTTTACACTTTAAAAACGAATTTTTCTTATCTGCTCTACTTACACTAAGCAACTCTTCAATTATTTCATCATTTGCGTCACGGGCGTGAATAACTATCGGTTTGTTGTGCTTTATGGCGAGAGCAACTTGTCTCTTAAGAACAAACACTTGCTTTTCCTTTTCTCTGAAAAAGCTGAAAAATATGTTTTTGATAATTAGAATTTTTCTTCAACATAAAAGTTGTTGATATAAAAAATGTGGCTAACTCTTTTGAGAAATCCAATCCAATTTCTCCTAGAGCTACACATTTTGGATGCTTTAGCATCTCTTCCATAGCCGTTTCATGAGCTTCAGTTAGAAATTTTACTTTTTTAGGATGACAGCCGACAGTTCCATATACGTTTTCAATCTTTAACACTTCATTCCATAAACTGTTTTCTATCAATCAAAAAGTATCACCATATTACAGGAAGGTTAATTTATTATGATAAGGTATGGAAAGTCGCTATACCTGTACACTTAAACTGGATGGGATCACAAAAATTTGTCACACAACCTTTATACCCTAGAGGAAAGAGATCTTCATACTGCATCATAACACTTTGAAAGGAACTATGCTGAAAAAGAAGGTTTTTTTATAAGTCCGTCTGTGCCAACTTTTCGTTTAAAAACCTTAAATTTTAAATTATTAAGGATATAATCAATGTGGCAGTGAGAATCGAAATAAGGAGTTTTCAAGTCTTCGAACTTTTGACGATATCTGTTGCTGATACTACTAGAAAAGCCTCTCTTGAAAGCAGGTTTTTTCTTTACTTCAATATGACTGTAATTAAGAGGAACAGAGCACTCCGAATCACTGGCAGATATAGTCAAAGACCAGTTTGAAGAAACTAAGAAGAAGAAGAAATTTTAAACATTTTTACTTTAATATTGATATAAATGAAAAATCACAATTACAATGTTTTCCCTCTTTTCTTGGCCACAAATACGAATTGTATCCTGTGAAAGCAATGAAACAGTATAAGTATGTAATTGTATGTTTAAAATAATCATTTACTTTGAATAGATCCTTCAATAAACTTTGGAATATACCTAAAAATAAAGCTAAAATGAAATAAGAGTTCCAATTGATAAGAAAATTTGAGTACCCAGAATGGTATGAGTTTGGAAAATGAGAAACACGTGAAGCCGAATTATAAAACCATGGCCTCTGTACATTTCTAAGAATGAAATAATGATTAATTCAATACTTTCATAAATGACTAAAAATAATAATTAGCTACCGATAGTGATGATCTTGAGTGAAATAGCTTTTACATACCTGAAATTCTTCATTGACTCTAAGGGAAGAATAAGATATGGACGTGAAATATACAAATTGCATAAGATTATACCGTACGGGATAACGACTGGTGTTGTCTGATATCTCATAACTTTTATCATCGAATTTCTCGCTAAAATAATTTACAGTTACTTTAATAATTTATAATTTCATTGTAATACCTCTCAGAATCCACAAACTCAGTTACATCATCCCTCGAATCGTTCTCTGGTGTCGCTAGATCATTCTCTTTACCATCTGGTACATATGGTACATATTGTGCTTCAGTATTCTCGTCAATGTTATTGTTAGCAGCAGTTAAATCTTGTAACTCCTCTTTAATTTCATTTTCATTGCTGACAGACTCACTTTTATTTTCACTTTCTTCAAGCAAAGTTTCTTCAACGGAAGAATTTTTGCGTTCTTCTTGCTGAGCAGAAATTTCTAGAGGTGCCACTTTTTCATTGTCAATCAAGGGAATTTTTAAATTCTCTGTAGGAAGCTCATCCTTGGTTCCCTCTTTGTTTTCGCTATTCTGACAGTTGCTTGGAAAAGTGGCCATAGCAGACTTTTCAGTTTCTTCATTCTTCAAAACTTCAGGTTTCTCTGAAACTGTTACCTCGCTTTCCGTTTCAAGCTTCACAGGACTGGTAATCTCAAAATTGTCACCTAGCTTCTCACAATCATCCGTATTCTCCAACTCAGGGTTTTCATCGCTAATGTCAGCATCTATACTTTGCGTCGACAACGACTTTTCTTCTTCGTCATTTGAACTGCACAGGTGTCTGATTGAAACATTTTCGTTTTTGTCAGATTCGAATGGCTGCTCCGAAATATTTAGTAAATGACAATCGGAGTTTTCTCGAACCCCATGGTCACATTCCGCATTCCAGTCTTCACCTGTGTCTATAAAATAATTGGACCAGCTAGAGTTTTCTTCATGTAAAATAATAGGTTTCTCAATTTCATTCGAACCTTCATCTCTATTATTATCCTCTATTGTTTCTAAAAAGATGAAAAGTTTTAATCATGAATTATTTAATGAATTTCATTTACCAAATTTTCCAAATCGATTTTGACGAGATTTCTGACAGTTAGTGTCAATGCCATCCTTGAAAGAGTATTTTTTTTTAAAATTACTCTTCCTTTTATCGTTTGTTTTTGGGAAGTGTCGATATTTAATGTTAGATTCTTGCGGTTCCAAACTATCTGAACTTTTGTAATATTTTCTCGTATTAAAAAACTCGTAGTTCGATCCGAATGAATTTTGTTCAGTATAATCCGGAAAACCTACTATTAGAATTTTTTTCGAACAATTTTAATGATATATACAAAAAATGACATACTTACCAGATACATACGATGTCCCGTGACGTTCAGGATTATTCGCCTTTATTTTTGAATCATGTCGTACGTACGACTTGTTGTAAAATCTGCAAGTTTTTTCTTTACCGTAAGTTGGCTTTTTGGTTTTAGGACGTTTTTCATATACTCTATTTGTCTTTTTTTGTGATGGGTTAAAGTCTTGTTTGGCGAGCGAAGAATCTAGCTCTTGACTATTACTCTTATTAAATATGCATATTTTAGTTATATTGTTATAGAAATAATACCCTTGAAGATTATGTGAGTTGTCTTCATTGGCAGTATCTTCTTTCTTAGCTATCAATTCATTCATAGTGTTACCGTTTTTTGCACCTTGTTCTTCATTATTCACTGAAACATCATCTAATGCCGAATGAAAACAATCAACATTAACAGTAATTATTATGTATAGAGTAAATGTTTAATTTATTACCTGGTTTATTCAAATTAGTGGGTTTCTCGCCATGAGTAACTTTCTTGTTCGTTCTTTCCTTGCTATCATCAGGTTTATGGAGGAAATCTCGAATTCGGTGTTGAATAAATTCCTGTTCAATAACTGTTGGCTTTTTCTTTGAGTCCGCCATATTTCTTTATGAGCAATTATATAGTTTGAAAAAAATTGATGAGTTTTATTTTCTGTGCTAACACAAAAGTGTTTTTAAATGCACTTTTTAAAGAAGTATAAGAATTAGAGGCTATTTTTTAACTTTTCCACTAATTACGTGACTTTTTTTATGCATTTCGTAATGTCAGTTCAAAATACGTCGTTAATATTTGAAGTTACTTTTCCCGAAGAACATTTGTAACTTTATATTTACCTTATATAAATTAAACTTCTTACTTCCTTTTCAAGAGTATGGCTTCTACTCTACTTAAATCAGCAATAATGGTAAAATGACCTCATTTCATTAGCCTACCTTGCGATTTTAATGACAATGAGTTATGTTAATGTTTTACATAATTCCACAGGAAAGAAAACTGGTAAAAAAAGGGTAAAAAAAATTTAGTTATGATTTATAACATACAATTTTAACCGAAGAATACGTGAAGCCTCCGTGGCCTAATGGATAAGGCACCGGCCTCCTATCAATATAGGGCGCAAGCCGGGGATTGCGGGTTCGAGTCCCGTCGGAGGTGAATTTTTTTTTTCTTGTCTTTTCAGTAATATAGTGCATACATGTTTAGTACATACTGTATAACTTGAATAAATCGCAATAAATCATTATATAATGTTTAATATTTGCGTTTATTTATTTATTATTATTATTATTTTATAGATTATTTTTAAGTAAACTAAATAAAGTTTACACAGACACGGAAATCTCGCATATTTTCATACTCTGGTTCAAATCAATGACATTAGCATATGTTGCTTGACAATGATCTTCAAAACATGTGCAATTAAAGCTACATGAATCACTTGAAGAAAGTAATAGATCACAGGTGCGGAAACTTCCGGCAAACGTAGGTTGTGGTTGAAGTATTGTAGGTATATAAACAAAAACATTCTCTTTATTGGATAGATCAATTCTATCGTGACAATGCAGATTATTGCCTTTTATATTCACTTGAAAAGGTTTAACATTCTCATTAACAGTTGGAAAAGGTATTCTTATCTTTAACGAATTTGAGATGTTATCGTTACATGACGTCTCGTTATTATCAAACATAACGTTGTCAATTGCCACACTCTCGGTTGATGAATCACTACCTTTGAATAGATTTCCAGTGAAACAAGTATAAATTGCAAGATTGTTATTTAAATCGCTTAGAGCAAGATTCTATTGTATAACATTAAGAGAGAATTAATAAAAATCGTAACAAAATGTAAATTGCATATCACCTTTAAATATAATAAATTTGTAACTAGGACCATTCCTTTCACTTTATTATCAAAACTGTAATCTATGGTGGTTAATATATCTTCTCTGGGGAATGTCGTTACAACACCTGCCGATGAATCTCCAAAGTAACATGACAGACGTCTATAAGCGTATCTAAAATATCTTATTACGGTTTGATCTATAATTTCAGTATTACATTTGTTTTTTAATACGCAAGTAGAATTTTCATTCATTGTGAAAGCATGACATGAAGGATTATTTAGGCAAGCTTTACCACAAGAAATTACATCTGATGAATAAATTATTCCAATATCGGAACCGGGACAATCCGAACCTCTCCTATTTCTTCTAAATCCGGGAACATTATATTTACTGAGATAGCATTTTTGACCAGCTTCATAACAAGTATTTTTGTTACTACATTCGCTATTCGATGTAGGTTTAAAATTACCTGAAAAAAATTTTGTCAAATTATTAAATTTTATAAAGAAAACATTCATTTCAAACCAATCCGTATTCTCTCATCAGTAGGAACAATACATTCGTCATTTTGTATCGCTTCGCAAAGGAAGAAAATTGAAAATTTCCCCAAAATTAATAGAAAGAGCATTTCTTCCGAGGAGCTTTTATATTATTACTCTTACTTTCAACGTTGTTTGGCTATAGAACGAAATCTTAAACAACTATATGACGAATAAAAAACTGATATGATCGATTGTCATTGATTCGGAATCAGAGATTTTCATTATTCAAATAAAGCATCATTTGAAGATATTAATTGTTTAATCTTTTTAAAAATATATAGTATATACTGTATTAATCATTTAACCAGCAGCATTAAACTCAACTTGCTGAGAGTAATAAATATTATTTAATAAACAGTTATTAAACAATTATATATTATCATATTACGTCAATAATATATTCGTATTAATGACTAAAAGCTATTCGATTAAATGCATTCTAACAGTTTGGATAATTAATTACAGGATTAGGAGAACAGAAAGGGACAATTCATTTTATGTAAACAGTACGTGTAAAAAGAGTTTCATGAATTTTTAATATATAGAATTTGTAGTCATTTCAATCAGTGAATTATCATTTTCCTATGTATTGCCTTTACTTTAATAGTGTCACTATTTGTCTTGTTTTATTGAGTATAATACAAAATGTAAACAATAGGATACTTTCCATTGACTTTATTTATCTTCATTCAAAGGATAATTCACAAACACACCCAACACGAATTAGTATTTTATAGATAAATACTTATTGGTACACTTCCACCTGCCATATACTGTTTTTATACTAATACATTCATACATGATTTTATTAATCTTTAAACAAATCGAATCCTATTTATCAAACTTTCCATAGTCAATATCAACGCTTACGAGCGAAATTTTAGTAACGATATATTAAGTAGCTCGAAAGAAATCTTATTATTACTATCCATTAAAGTAATTTAGGATGATCATAACTGGATTGTTATCATAGGTCAACGTTTCATGAGGTTCATGGGAAGATAAGGATTTGAAGGAGAAATTAGCTCTCTGAAGCATCTAGATTGATTATTAAATTATATTTCATGAAATATCATGATTTTGCGGTAATAACACTACCATTTTGCGGATGGAAAACCGTAAATCAATACAATGAATTTTAACAAATAACCATCAATAACGTCAAACGAACTTTTTATTCTTACATCAACGTCCTTGAAAATTATTGACGATTTCAAGATCAAGAAATCCTCCTACAATAAAATTTCTGAGAACGATAATGCATCAGTTATTAATATCAATATATATTTATGTTTGTTTACTAAACGGACTTTTGGAATTGTAAAAATAAAAGTTTCACTTTGTGTCCCAATTGTATTTTTAAATTAATAAACTTTCATAAAATATTAATCTAATTGCATAATCTTCTTTGTAAAATTAATACCAATTCAGAAATAATTAAGAATTTTTGTATTTAAACTGATTTTTAATGTTTTATAATAAAATCCAAGCTTCTTTATTTTCCTAGGTAGACATCTGATAGATGGCACTAAATCGGCTGCGTGGGGCACTTCCGTTTCCGGCCTGTATATTTTTCGTTTTCGCTCAGTCATCAATCAAGAGGAATAGTGTCAACATTTATTTATCTTAATCAATTTATACAATTTTAAAACTTGGAAGTGTACACAACTATGATGGGAGATTCCCATTCGAAATTACAGCAGACAAAAAAAAACTCGATTTCGGATGACTATGAAGTTAAACATTCGGAAGTGTTGGGACTTGGTATTAACGGAAAAGTTGTTGAGTGCTATGAGAAAAAAACAGGACGTAAATTCGCTTTAAAGGTTATTTTTTATTTATTACAAAGATTATCATGCTTAAGACAAGTATATGTTTATTATTTTGACGCTAAGTGACATTTACACGTGACTCAAGGTGACTCATAATTTGGAAATTTCGAGTACTAATTGCAATACATTCATAATTAAATTCTTCAGATACTACGCGATTCACCGAAAGCGCGGCGAGAAGTTGAGTTACACTATAAGGGCTCAAGTTGTAAGCATATTGTTCAGATCCATGATGTATACGAAAATACGTATCAAAGCCACAAATCTCTTCTCGTTGTTATGGAATGTATGGATGGAGGTGAGGGACTTTAATTTAACAAGAAAGACATAAAGTTCATTTTAAGTAGCGACTAATACATTTGAAAGATATTAACTACTATAATTAAAATCAGGCGAGCTTTTCACAAGAATATCAGAAAGAGCTGAAGGAGCCTTCACTGAACGAGAGGCTGCTTCAATAATTTACGATATTTGTCAAGCTATAAAGCATCTTCATGATAAAAATATTGCTCATAGAGACCTTAAGGTAAAGCAGTGGCGAAACTTAAGATAACGATTCAATATTTTACTTGGTATAAATTGTTATTTAACAGCCAGAAAATCTATTATATTCTTGCAAGGGACCTGCTGGTATCCTAAAATTAACAGATTTTGGATTTTCTAAGGAATTGAGTAGTAGTAAAAGCCTTCAAACTCCCTGTTATACCCCCTATTATGTAGCCCCTGAAGTTCTCAGCCAAGAAAAGTATGGCAAAGCCTGTGATATGTGGTCCTTAGGAGTAATTATGTATATTCTCTTGTGTGGTTATCCACCGTTTTATTCAACACACGGAGCAGCTATATCTCCTGGTATGAAGAAGAAAATTAGAAATGGACAATACGAATTTCCCAAAGCTGAATGGCAATATGTTAGTGAGGATGCAAAAAATTTAATCAGGGGACTTTTGAAGACAGATGCCGAATTTCGACTAACAATATTCGACGTAAGTTTTATGATCATAACTTTGTTAAATTTAAATTAGTGAAAATGTAAGCTTTAAAAATTTACAATTCATTTTTTAGACTCTTTTATGTCTCCTCTCTCTCCCTTTTCTTTTATATTCTTGCCAATTACTTTTATTCATTGTCTAGTCTAAGTGTCCACATCTGTTGCAAATGCCTTCGTACCAAGGTATGACCTATTTGAGAATGCTAAAATTAGACACGTTTTGAAACCTTCAACTTGATTGTATCGTTCTAAAACAAGACTTATGTTATCAAGGTGGATAAGAAAATTTTTGCAACACAATGTTATTCATTAAACCTCGGCAATATTATCACAGATGGGTGTAGGCCGAAGCTCATGTACCAAAAAACAATAAATTGTTCAACTATAGTCAAATAGAATTTTGGCAGAGGTTAGCGAAAAAAAACATAAATAAGCTAAACTAAAATAAATTAATACAGTATAAAATTCTGATATGTAAATTTACCTTGCTTTAATTGGCATCATTCTGTTATTTATCGGCCTTTGTCTCGAATTACAACGCACATAGTTAAATTCTCTTTCTAAAGAAAAATAATCATTAATTGTAAAAGGAAGTATATTATCTCTAGTATATATCAATATTCTAGCTATAGTTAGAATACGATTCGTTTTACAATGATTATAGGCGTAAAGCTTATTAATGCTGATTATCTGTTGGCTAATTTTATTAATAATTACCTCAATTGCTCTTAGAGTCAATGAGAGAAACTATAAAAGAGTTTTTTATATTGGTTTAAAAATGAAAGGAATAGCACAATAAACGTAATTTTTGTATAGCAGGTCCGCTAATCAGCATTTACTTTAAATGTATAAGGTGCATATTTCTTAAGTAGTAAGAGATTATTTTTCCATAAGATAATTAATTTCTTGTTTGCTTTAAAGGTTATGGAGAATAAATGGATTCGCGAACATCAAAATGTTCCTCAAACGCCATTGGTTTCCGCACAAATTTTGAAGGAAGATGCTGAATTGTGGCCAGAAGTGCAAGACGAAATGACGCAAGCCTTGCAAACAATGAGAGTTGACCCTGATGTTCCAGCAATGAAGCCCATGGAAATAGCCAATAATAGGATTTTGAATAAAAGAAAAAAGAAACCATAATTCATTTATCATTATGGTTTTAAATTTTCTTTTCTTTTTATTCTTTCTTTTAATTTTTGTCCTTTAAAATTTACATATATATATATATATATATATATATATATATTATGTAACCTTGTACAAAGATAGTTTTTATTTATAATAATACGTTATATGCTTTTTCTCTTTTTTTCTATCTTATTCTTTTTTTTTTTGCAAAAAAAAAGGCACTTGGTGAAAACGTAACTAACTGTGATGTAACATACGTTATACTGACAGATTTTTTTTTCTTTCCAGATTACGTTATTAATTCGTGTTTTCTAGATTATAGAATTTTTTTTAAAGTTATTTATTCATTATTAAAAAGTTATTCTTTTTTTTTTTTTTGAAATCCTAACGTTATTCATTTTTTCAAGAAAAACATATTTGAAAAAAAAAGAAAAAATACCAACTAACGTCTTATATATGCTTGTTTTCTTTTTTTTTGATATCGGTGGTTATGTACACACTACTATTTTCAATATCTTATTCACTTTCATCCATCATTTACTTTCGAATAGGAAAAACAGGATAAATTATCTTCCCCGATCAGGAGAGGGAATTGTTTCTTAGACATAATAAAAAAGTGAACGACCAGAATTCTTCTGTAATTGTTTATATATCTATCTACTTATGTAACGTAAGCCTATGAACAATACTTTAGCTCAAGTTATTATTCCTTTTTGTATAAGAATAATGAATATAAGTATATTTTTTAAAACTTATAAACTCTTCGTACAACTAACAACTAAATTTACCAACGCACCATATATAACCCTATATTTGTGGAACGCAACAATAATCTTATGCGAACTACAGTTGATTGCATGATAAAACGCAAAAAGGTATCTTTTCTTTTTATAGCAAAGGAAAAAAAATAAACAAAAGCACAGAGACAGAAAAAAAAGCGAAATCTTAACCCATTCAATATTTATAATAGAGTTGTTTTTTTTAAAATTCCTCTTCAACGTACCACAACCGACTTTGTTATTTTGTGATTGGAGACACAAAATGGAAAGTAAAATATTGGTAGCGAAGAGGAATTCAGGGGAAAAACTCTGAATTTTGAAGAAAATAAAGTTATCTAAGGTTTCTCGGCACCATTTTCCTTTTCCTCTTCAAAAACTTCATCGGTAGATTTTTGAGGTTTACTCCCTGCCGATTTATGTCTAATTCTATCGATTATAGATTGCTTCTTGCCTTTTCCCTTCAAATTTGAAAGGAGGGTGCTATCGCTAAAGTGCCGTTGCCTTACATCTTCGGCATCAGAAACGGAAGCGCTCCTAAGGATAGTCGGCAGACGGCACACAATTACAGGACAGACTGCATGATGTACCAAGTAGTCTGAGACAGATCCAATTAAGACTCTTTTCATCCTTCCAATGTTTCTTGATCCAGTAACAATCATAGATGCTCCTTCTTCAATAGCTACTTTACAAATCATTGGCCCTGGTTTGCCAGCCGCTGTTCTTAGTACTCCGCTGCACTAATTTTTGTAAAGGAAAGAGGGAATTAAATAGTTAAGAGTTGTTTCCCTTTTGACAATTAACGTCTTACTCTTTTTTCTTGCAACAAACGACGCATAGTCTGTTCCAATTCAATTGTTTTTTCCTCCTCTTTCTTCCATAATTCCTGTAAGGTTTTCGGCGAAATATGCATTCCTCCTACAACACAAAACAAAAACAATTAAGTTTTATAGTAGCGAAAACAGAATTTTTCTTTATCAATGTAATTTTTTCTCTTATTGATAAAATATAAGACAATAACTCTGACAATTCTCAACGAAGTACTTAATTACATGATAAAACCTAACTAGGATATAAGATAACATAAGCCGATATCAGTAAAATTAGTAAGGGAGTCTAAGTCTTGTTTTTTCCATGGATTGTAGAAAATACAGACCAAGAATTTGCGTGTCTATGAAGAGAGAGAAAAAATAAAAGATACTATAAAAAACATACTAATTCAGTTGGCATAGAAACAAAACAAAAAAAAAGCCGTCCCACAAGCGATTCTAACTAGACTACTTAAATTTATTTGTTACTCTAAGATACTATTAATAAATTTAAGTAAAGAAAGAAGAAAAATCTATAGATTTTTTTTCATATAACGCAAAACATTCTTCTCGTAGTATATACGACACCTAAACACACAACGGAATTGTCAATAACTCTAGGTGATTGTTGAAAAATGTCTGTTGGGAGCAATTCTTACCTAAAGGTTGCGACATTTTGCCGCTTGATTGTTCTACAAGTTTAGAAATTAAATTTGAAAGCTTGATTTAAATATTGGTAGAAAGACAATATTTACTTGTTGAGGGTTTTTGTTCGGGTAATTCTATGATATAGACAATAACGACCTTATACTTTTGTCTATGAACGTTGTCGTGATACCCTGTAGGAAGAAAAATATGATAAAGCATAAAATTATTATCAACAGGTGTTTTATTTAACCATTAAGAATATTTTGTAACATTTGCAGTTTTCATTAATAACATACTAATTTATGAACTAATAAAATATTATTAGAATTTTTCAAAGGCTTATTCTATTATTTATGAATTAAATTAAACATTCATGATTGATGTAGACCATTTGAAACTAGATTTGCGGTAGATTGTTTAAGTTTTTCTCTTAGAGGTTAGTACTCTGATACAGGTTACTTACATTTGAAAGTATATTCGCAATGGTTGCAATTTTCGGCCGCGATTATGACAACTTTGGCCTCGGGATCTCCTTCTGGAGTCTTTACTTGATATTCTGTCTTCTTTTCGGCAGAATGGCTCTCGTCAAGAGATGCAAATCGACTAAGTTTTTTCAGCACAAAACTAGCCATGGTCAGGATTTATTAAAAGATGATTGCTATTCAAATAAGCTATTTCTAAAAATTCATTGTTTCTTCCGCCAAATTAGATTAACTTGTTAATTTTCTAAGAATTACAGATTTGTCAGACCCTATTCGTTGCTATTTCGTCATTTTCGACATGAAGAGGGTTGTGCCGTATAGTTCCGGAAGTAGAGAGGCGTAGTAAAAATGGCTTTAAAAAAGTTCTTGCTTACTTTTATGAATTTACAACAAAAAATCGTATTAACTCATAATATATTAATAGTTTTTAAATATTTTAATTAATATCTAAATATTAATAACAAATAATCAAAATATATTTAAATCTATGCGAAAAAAATAGACCGAACAAACGTGACAAACTGGAATATGTAGATTTTAATCTACAGCAGTAAATATCACGCGTGAACTAAATTTTGCCATTTAATTTATTAAAGAAAAATAGACATTTATAGCTAAAAAATACATTTTCTTTGTTTAAAATATCTGTTCATGAAAATATAAATGTTACAGGCATAAAGTATTGTATACATGTTTAACTGTGCATAAACATATATATATATATATAGACAGAGAGAGAGAGAGAGTCACCCACACACACGCACACGCACAGAAGATAATAGAGAGATTATAATATATTTTTTCTCAAATCCTCAAAAAATAGTAAATTCTAAATATAAACAAACTGTTGATATAATTACATTCAAATCTGATTTCTACTGTATGTTTAATTGTAAATTCTTAAAATAAGTACTTTAGTAAAATATCCTAGAAATAACTGAATTGTTTATTTTTTTATGGTTTAGACTGTTTTTGCTATTTGATGTCTAAATTTCTTTAAGAATTCACTTTATAATTGATAAATTAATTTTAAAAATTCGTTTACTTTTTCAAATATTTTGCTAATTTATTGCTTTTATTAAATATTCTGTCTAATTTCTCAATAATAAAAGATATTTTAACAAAAAGAATTGTTTAGAAAAGTTTCAAAAATGGCGCCATAAAACTTTTTTGTTTTTTCGATAATTGTTTTCGTATAAAAAGAAATTAACTAGAAAATATATAAGTAAATTATCCATAGACTCCTCTAGTTCTATAAATTATTTTTAAAACTATTAAATACAAGTTTTTTTGTTAATTTATCTAAAGAGTGGCGAAATTCTTTGCGAAAATATTTCAAACATTCGAAAGAATCAGTAATGTAGGCATAGAAACAATGACGCAAAAATCGGGTCGACCAAAGTTTTTTACTCCTTGCGAAGTAAGTGTTCATAATAGCACCGAAGATATATGGGTATCGTTTTTGGGAAAAGTTTACGATTTGACAATACTATGCGAAAGATATAAAGGTTTATCAGAGAAAAGATTGACAGAATTATTAATATTGTGAATAATTGAACTTTTCTTCTAGGAGATATTTTACTCAAACCAATATTACAGGCTGGAGGAACAGATATATCCCATTGGTTTGATACGAAAACAAAAAATGTCAGTATATTCTTTATTACATGCAGAGAACATATCATGTTTTCTTTTCTAATCGATTTAATAATTGATGTTTAGGTTAGAAGTTACATAGATCCTGTTACAGGGTGTAAAATTCCCTTTACTCCTTATGGTCGTTTTATCCATGTACCGCCACCGTATCCCGATTCCTCTTGGGCAAACGATTTCGGTAGACCTTGGTGGAGGGACGAAAGTTACTGTATCGGTCAATTGTCCGTTAAAACTCGCCGTATAAAGATTATAAATACTCTTACTTCTGAAAGTGAGGTATTAGAGGTAAGAATTAGAGTGAAAAATGTAATTTCCTATATTCAAAGGTCGTTTATTGATTACTTTATAGGTGTGTTCCGAGGAAACAATGAATGAGATACGGAAACGTTATTTTAAGTATAACGCTCACGCTTCGAGTTATACTTGGAAATATGATTGTCGTGAATTGAATATGGATCAAACACTGAGCGAGAATAGTATTTTAGATGAGGATCAAGACTTTTACGATTTAGGAATAAATGACGATGTATTCCTTCAGCCCATACTCTTATATTATAACGACGATTTAACTGAAGCCTGATTAAAAAGTTTATTCTGTAAAGAAAGAAAAGAAACAGATTAATATTCAAAATTCAGTCAGTCAGTCAATCAATCAGTCAATTGTATTGTTGCTCACTATTCTTCTTTTTATTTAGTAATAATTAATATTGTTCAGTTTTGTGAGATTTTAAATATGTTTTTATTGATTCATTAATGACCATTTGAACTGCTACAATGACGCTAACCATTAATACTCGAGGTAAAATTCCTCTCCATAAACCTATTGGAAAGATTTTTTATTTATTATAAGTTAATAAATTTTTATACGGTTTATTTTAGGTTAGAATACCAACATAAAATGCTTGATTTTTTGACGATTTCTTTAATATTTGTATCATTATAATACAATTTTGAAAAAATTGTATCAGCCGGATGACTAATTATTGAACTTTGGAAACCAGCTGTATAACCAGCTGCAAAGGTTATAAATAACTTTTCAAGTGTTGAATATTCGTCTATAGGTTTTCCTAAATTGGAAGATATATACTTAATATTCTGTTCATAACAGGTAAAAAATGCAGATGTAAATATTGTCTGCCTAGCTAATAGAGGTTTTAAACCTCTATATAAACCAACAAGTCCTTCTTCTTTTACTATTCTAGTCATCGCTTTATAAACTGATAATTTAGCCCAATCGGGTTGAAAGTAGAATTTCATTTTTACACTCTCAAAAGGACAAAGGCTAATGCATGTGTAAAATTCTGCAGTTAAACTAGAAGCAATACATACAATAAATCCATTGCCAGTTCCGAGACTGGTCGGTTGTGAGTAGTATGATTTGAAAAAATCGAATAATACTATCTTTCCTATTCCCTGAATCGAATATCCTAATAGTGTAGGATTCAATCCCCTAAAGGTGCTTCTTAAGCTATCCAATTTCATGGTACCTTCATATATGTGAGAACTGTTAATCACTTGTTTTCTACATTTTAAAAAGTCAAGAGGAGCAAGTGAAGCATGAAGCATTCCCCAAGATAAACCTCCGCATATCGATGGAACGAGCCAGTTCTTTACGTTATCTGAGAAAAGTATCCTTGGATTTTCTGTATATTTTAAATCAATCATTATTGTTGTACAACTTTACCATAAAGTTTATAAATCAATAGTTACCCTTTGCAACTTGAGTTTTATGCATTCGAAAATATTTAAAGTCAGCTGTAGGAAATTTAGATGGTTCGTTGGGACGATAAAGAGTGCTATCCAATCCAAAAATTTTATAGATTATCTTGCTACGACACATAATGAAAGAAAGACGTCCTTTTATCCTAAACACGGAGATGATTATTGTCTTTTAGATCTGACAGATGTTAAATCCTATACTGTATTAAAATCATTTATTTATGTACAAGAATATATATAAATTTACATACAGTATATACTATATATATATATGTTACCTAAATTGCCGGCACTTTATAAGAACAAAAGATTAGAATTCTTCCTATCGTTAGAGAACACGGATAAACTGGTATGTGAGCGACCAATTTCCTATTAATTCATATTTGTCGACGTACTGCTTTCACACAGTTTAGAAATTGGTGATATATAAGTTTTGTAAACTATTCACATATGACGCAACAACCAATATGGAATTTTACTTTGAAGCTAACGCCATCTAACTTTAACCTTCAAACGCTGCATATCTAAATTGTGCAATATTTTGATATTACGCAATTTATCAATTACACATAATGAAGATAAAAGAGTGTAAATTGACACAAGATTTGTCTTTTGTAAAAAGATTTATTTATATTACAACTTATGAGTTGAAACTGTAAAAAATTGATATAACGTAAATTAAAACATATATCTATGCTGTTGAAAGATATATTTTTTCAAATAATTTTTTTACAGTAACGTAACAAAAACCATTTCGGTTAAATACCTCTTTTTCTTTTTTATGAATATCTTGACCGAAGGCTATAGACATGAACCAAATTTGGAACGTTAACAATTATCAGCTTCAAAATTTACTGAAGTATTCCCTTACTTCTTTTTATCAATGGGAAATCATAAATTTTGAAGAAAGATACATGATTTAGACGCAACTTCAAAAATATACTATTGAAAATAAAGATAATTTACAATCGTTTAAGTTTTAATAGCCTGGTGGTCGCGGCATTGCGCGACCCATTGGAGGTTGTCCCATTGGCGGTCCTCTTGGCGGTGGACCTCTAAAGCCTGGCTGCATTTGCTGTTGAGCAGGTCCACCAACACCTCTGACGGGACCTGAAAGGCCGGGTGCAACACCTGTGGGGCCCGCAACGCCTCTACCTGCTGCTCTTCCGATGCCTGGACCACCTAGAGCTCCTGCAGCTGATAGAGGGACTCTGGCAACATTTTCTTCAGGAGGAGGTGGACCTTCAACGGTCATAGATACTAAATGTTCTCCTCTGAGTAAAACTAAACCGAGTACTCTCTTCTCTTCACGCTCGCCTGGTTTGTCACCTTTCTTTGTTTTAACTTTACGAAATTCATCACAGTCTCCTAAAATAAGGTTCATGTGCTTGTCAAATGCCTAAAAAAAAGGAAATAAATTTAGATACATTTCAAATATATTTTCAGCTACTGATTATTATTAATATGACTGGTACTTAAGATATTGAAAATTTTGATGATATTTAAAATGAAATAGTTAGACCATTTTATAAAACTAAATCTTTTAAAGAATTTTGAGTTTAACCGAAATAAAATTTTCATTTAGGACCTATACAACTCAATTTTTGTACTCTAGCATATTAAATTGAAAGTTGCTTTTAAGGGGAAAAGCGTAAACCAAATATTAGACTACTATACCTTAAATGTTCCTACAAATGTTCGGCCGTCTTGAAGGCAGCATCGCATTCTGTAGTTTATATGTTGCATCATTTTTGAACTTTTCCCGATCTGAAAGAGAGATCGTTAATATAAAAAAATTAACAATTATACGCATAAAAATATAAATAAGAGGCTGAAGAACGAAAAATAGAGGGACACATTGAAAATCTGCAACTATCTTTTGAATTACAAGTAATCGAAAGATAAAAATCACATTAAATTATCGAAAATTATTATACATTTCAGAATTGCTTACCATATTTAGTTTTAATTGAGATTATACTATTTTAACGATCAAAAGTAGTTTGTCTGAATACCAGATACCGGTTTCAATTCGCTATCCGATCTGATTCAGGTACCGACAGTTTCGATTCGATTAATAACAAATATCAGTTGGCAATTCGATTTCAATCTTTTCATGTTACAAATTTTGCAAAGTTATGAAAATTATGGAATCTGTAAAAAGTTTTTAGCTAATAGTATTGATAGAATAGCAATTTTTCAGAATCTGGAGAAGCACTTTTAATAACTTTGCATTTACAAGTTTAAAATAAACTTAAATGGCAATGTGAAATTTCATAAATTGGACATAAACCTATAAATCTGAATAGCTTTGGCGGAATAATGTTGGGATTTTTAAACATTTAACTAATTTTCTGAAAAATATCTATTCGATAATTGATCGCTAGATTGTAAACTTATCGATCGGAAGTCGATCTGGTAGCGTCTTGAGAGCTTCCGTTTCCTTAACGTTGTACGCATGCTCATTAAAAATATACCTAAATCTTTCAAAGCACCTAAAACTGTAAAATTAATTAATTTATAGAAATTTATAAACTTTAAAGAAATTATATTTATGGTTATAGGTTTTTCGAATAATACACTTTCTTCGCTTTATTTGTGAAACTAACTGCGCATGCGCATAGTTTACATCCGTCTGTTCCATTAAAAAGAAATATTGGAGAAGAAGTTATAAATACCAATTTGCAATGCATAGGCCTCGTGGAAGAGGACAAATGAGTCATATGGGTAGAGGAGGTAGAGGACCACACAATTTCAATGATAGAGGAAGACCAGAACGAGGAGGACCACACAGAGGAGGTTTTGGTAGAGACAATTATCGTCGAGATTACAGAGATGATCGAGATCGTAACCGGTTCAAGAACGATGAGCCGAGGAAACCTGGCCCTGGAAAGAGATCTTACGATGATAAATCTAACGAAAAAAACTCGGAACCTCAAATAAAACAAGAAAAGAGAGAAGCTGAAAAGATCAAGGATGATAACGACGTGAAGTCAGAATTAATGCAATCAGATGGCATTTCTAACGAAAATAATCATAGATCAAAAGAAAAAAGCGATCGAGATTCAGTGGCTAGTCAACGTTCTGAATCAAATTCTCATTCATCTAATGGGCCTAATACAAAACCTCTCGGTAAATGTCGACTATTTATAGGAAATCTTGCAAAGGAAGCAGACGAGAAAACCATGACAGACGTTTTCAAGAAATTCGGTGATATTACTGAACTGTTTGTTAATTCTGCTAAGAGTTTTGCTTTTGTAAGCTTCGTAAGTATGAACAACTTTATACTTTTTATTCTCTTCATCAAAATATTCAATTTCAGTCTTCCCCGGAAGTGGCAGCTAAAGCAAAATCTGCAATGGATTATGCTCAAATATGTGGCAGGAGCGTTCGCGTGAGATTTGCGTCCGTACAAAAAGCTCTGAAAGTTAAGCATCTTTCGCCTTACGTTTCAAATGAAATTCTTCACGAAGCATTTAGTCAGTTTGGTAAGGTGGACCGAGCTGTTGTTATTGTAGATGACAAAGGTAAACCAATTGGAGAAGGTATCGTTGAGTATAATCGCAAGAACGCAGCTCAGAAAGCTCTTCAGTCTATAAATAGTCGCGTTTTCTTTCTCACATCGTAAGTTATATATTCACAGATCTTGACAAAAAAACATGTTAATTTTTATTAAACAGTGAATTGCGCCCCATTGTTGTTGAAATGTTAGATTTAAATGATGATGAAGATGGACAAAGCGAAAACTCCATTGTGAAGTCAAATCAATATTACGCTGCTAGAGAACAAGGCCCAAGGTTCGCTGAACCAGGAACGTTTGATTATGATATTGGTTTAAAATGGAAATCTTTATATCAACAAGATATGGAAAGAAAAGAGCAAATTAGACAGCGTTTTGAAGAAGATATGAAACAGATTGAACAGGAAATGGATCTAGTATACAAAGAACATCAAGCAAGAATAATGAGAGAAGAGATTCAGAGGAGAGAACAAGAGCTTCGAAAACTAGAGGAAGGGATCCATCGTAACACGGGGTATCGAATCCCTCCAATGGGTATGAATGTTGGAATGTAAGTCTAAATCCATTATTACAATTATGCAAATCGGTTTTTTGTTATATTATAAATATAAATTGAATCTCATAGGAATATGGATGATCAGGATGATCGTATGCCACCACCACAAGCTATGGTAATAGTTAATTATACGTTTAAAAAAGAAAGGAAGATTTATCCAAAAATGTATATATTTGCAGATGAGAGATCGACAAAGAGCTATGCAACCACCACCTATTCCACCAAATTTTGATGGAGGTTTCAGTGGTCCAGGGGTGAGTACTTTTCGACCTCCTTTTTTTTAAACTCTTTACTCAACGAAAAAACGACTTTTGTAAGGTTTCTCGTATGTTATTAACTTGTTACGTAATCAGATCTATAAACGAACCACCATGGTAAAGATATTCGGTTCAATGGTTTTTAACATGATTTATAAATCGACAGATAAACTTTTGTTTATAGAAAAAATTTGTGTATATTTTTACTTTTATCTATCGAGATATATCCACAGCATATATATATTTATACATATTTTTTATTATTTTGATATTCAGTTTTTTTCCACATGATTTTTTTTTATTTAAAGTAAAAACGCCACTGTCTGTGATAAAATTTAGATATTGTCCTTAAGCATTTGCTATCCATTTGATTTATAAATTGCCGTTGAAAAAAGAAAAAGATAATTAATTAGTGTACAATTCAGCATTTATTTTCTTTTAAGATTTGGTAGAAACATTCTAAACGAGTTGTATATTCCTAACGTGGAAAATCATTGGGCTATTTGTTTTAAATCATCATCTACAAGCTAATCTTGTTACAGTTTGTTCTATATTAAAGATTCTAAGAGGATTTTCTATTTGTTATTCTCTTTAAAATAATAGATATTGTTAATATTTGGGGTAAAAAAAAAAAGACGTTCTTAAAATGATATATGCTTCTTTTTTTTTCTGTATGGTGTTAAAAATTTCTGAAAGAAAGAAAAAAAATAGATACATAACTTAACCTTGAATGATTTTCTTTTTTTGTAAATATCTAAATACAATTTGAAATTATTCAATTAGTTGAATTATTGAATAAGGGAAGAAAATATTTATAGCAAAAAAGAGAGGAAGGGTGTTCAGCATATTCGATTATAAAGTGCGGGACAATTCTCGAAATACAATTTTAATTAAATTTTAAGAATATACATATAAAATGTATACTGTTTTATAAAGCTTATTCCAATAATTTCGTACTTTCAAAATGGTAAAAATTCGCTAATAAGTAACCATTCATAAATCTTCGTAAATTCTTATTGAGATAATTGAAAAATGAACCGTCTCTCGTGAATGATTTACCCTTCAACCGTAGCTTCGTAAAAGTTTAAGAAAATTGTCTGAACACCCATTATAAAGTATTATTTGAGTATATACTGTATACATTTTTATATATGAATTTTATCTTTTATTTAAATAGAAGAAGCGATACGTTTTAAATGTATTACACAATTCAAGTTGACTCATTTTAATCTTTTATAATATGTGTAAAAATCTGATTTCGAAATTTTTCATTCTTTGAAAAAAAAGGAAGAGAAAGAAAAAAAAAATCAAAAGAAAATGATTTTAATGTTAAAAAAAAAGCTATTTTCGATTAAAAAAGGAAAAAAATTTCTTTAATGTATTAATACTTTTAAAAAAAATATGTTTTTTTTATATATATTTACAGGCTCACCATGAGAATATTTCAAACATCGCTAGGGGCATTAATTTGCCTGGGAATGTTTTGGCTAATGTCCAACGTACTTTAGCTGGTCTCAGACAAGAGAGACATTAATTACAATATTCCTCATCCGACTTTGTTATGTTAATGATATATTTTTTTCAAAAACGAACAAACAAACAAAAACAAACAAACAAGAAATAGAAGAATTTTTAGTTTCATATTTAAAATTTTGTACAGATATCATTCGTTCCACAAAAAAAAAACTCTTAGTATGTGAAGTATCTACTATCATTTTTTTATTCGAAAGAAGAAACGCAATTAGCAGGTCACGAAAGAGACTTTACTTGTGTAGAGTTAACGTTTGAAAATATAAAAAAATAATCCTATACACTTCTTTATCTGGGAGAAAAGAAAAAAACAAACTTTGTCGGATGTTTTGTGACAAAAAAAACTCCAACATCTCACTTGTATATTCTTTTATTCTATTATAGTTAAACAATTCGTGGTCATTTGTTTGTAGTTTTTTTTTTCTAATCCAATATTTGGTCTAGTGAACGTTATTTATAAAGTATCCAGTTATCAGTAATTTTTCTCCAATGATGTGTATTACATTTATATTTATATATAGTTTTAGTTTTTTACTAGAAATGGAAAAAGGTTCATATTATTCTAATTGTCTATTTAAAAAAAAGCATTCTATTGCTATGAGAAAAACTCGTTCTCGTTATTTCCAGTAACAGTATTTTGTTCATTTCGACCATGATTATAAAAAATACCAAAGAAAATATAAGATGATGAAAGTTTCTACGTCTTTACACTATAAATCAAAGTTTCGTCACTACGAACCATAATTTTACAATATATCATGAAAAGGATCTTCAACAATGAATATGCATATTAAAAGAGGACTATTTAATCAATATTCTCATAAGAATTAAAACGTTCTCTCGTAATTATCAACTATATAGATAGATAAAACTTTTGGACTTTTAAAAGATTGAAGAAGTATTGTCGATATAGAATTATGAATGATTATTGGAATAAAAAGATATAAACATAAAAGGTATTAGTATCGATGTTTGTAAGAAGTTTTTGTATATTTCTTTTACTAATATTATAATAACAATTCATTTTTCTTATATGATTTTTTGTAATTAAAAACGATTAGTTCCTTATCTATTTTTATTGTATTAAAATAAAACAACTTCCTTATCCTTCGGATTTAATAAAACTCGTAAATTTACCCTCAAGTCATGAATGAAACATTGTCATTTAACTATATATATATATAATATAATATAATGAATAATATATAAATATATATATTTATTATCTTCAGTTTTTAACAATTTGCCTTTTAAGTTGCTAAATAGTGAATAGGAGTATCAGAAAGATGGAAAAGTTAATATAAAAGGAGAGTTTTGTACGAGAAGACTATTATCAACTGCAAAGACTACAATAAATGAAGAAAATATAACAATATACTCCATTGTAGGTCTAATAAAATCTGTAAAAAGAAAACATAAAACTTAATAATATTGTAAAAGTACATTTTTTTCTATACTAATAATAATTTCAGCGTTTTAGAAAATGGATCAATGGAAGGAAAATGTTAACTATTTACTGTCGCGTTATTTCTAATATACTCTCAATATTTTCCGTAAATAAGGAACAGGAAAATCTACTATTTAACTGAAATTTCTTCCCGGAAGGATAGAAAAAAAATCATTCTTGTAATTAATTCTAACAAATTAATTTTCATTTGTTTGTCTATAAAATCGCTGATAAACGAATCTTTGTCAGCGGAAAATAAGTCTATCTAACTATTTTTAAATATTTATATCCACTATCTATCAGTCAACAATGAAAGCAAACATTCTCTCATTAAGAAATTACTTCTAAAGATTGAAGATATAAAGATTCTGTAGTTTGATCGTAAAACACGTCTAGTAGATCATATCCTTTTTTAATATTTAAAAAAGGATGATCTTGTAAGGCAAATAATCGGTGAAAAAAGAGAAACAATGGATACTTTGACGAATTGTTTGTTATGATTTTTATCAGGTGAGCAAGAAATTTATGTTACGTACGAATATTATAAATAGTAGCTATCGGGACCTAAACATCTTGTTGCGCACAACACTAAATCAGTATATAAGAATGTATATAGCTGTATACTGTAATATATACATATACACCATTCTACACTCAAGAATTTCTAGTTTGGTTTGTTTCTATACCCTTTTAGAAGCCAACTAATTAATTAAATCTTACGGAAAATTTCTTTTCATTATTAATAAGTATCAGTAATTAGATAATTAATTGTGTCGTTGATATTAATAATAATAATAATAATCGGCTCCTATGTTATTATATCAATCTCTCTAAATGTTTTCAACAGAATATAAGTTTCTTCTTTATTGATTTTATAAAATTTGTCAATTTCTTTTATAAAATTTATATCTAACATTTAAAAATTATAATAAAAAACTGGAATCTTCATCGTAACTGCAAAATGGAAGTGTCAACTGCAAAAATGGTTTATATTTTACAGTTATAGATTTATTTAATATAATATTCTATATCTGTATTAATAATCTTTGCTCGAAATATTATATAAATTTAGATATGTACCGTATGAATACATTTTGTATATTTACATTTATTCTAATAATTATATCAAGTATTCAGAGTTTATTATTATATATTATTAATTAATATAATTAAATTAATCTTCTTTTATAGATAATCTTAAGGCAAAGAGTCAAAGGTTGATTTGTGTTTGCTAAAACAACTTGAATGACTTTCTTGATTTATTAACGGAGAGAAAACAAGACAAGATTTTGCATGAAATTAAACAAAAAAACCGTTTAAGCCTTCCTTTTCAAGTAAGAATTTAAGTTCTGATAATTAATTTTTATATATACTTTTTTTTTATATGTTTTCTAGATTTTTTCCAAGACGAGAAATAATAGAGATTTCTAAATAAAGAACATTGGAAAGTTTGAAAGAAAAAACAGAGAAGAAAATAAAAAGAATTAAGAAAATTCAGTATTTTACTCAAGAATAATTTTTTGGTTATCGTTACAAATGTTATTTTATGGTTGTATCTTCATTGAAACTTTCCAATGGGTTTCCTCCAGTAGTATACAATATTCATAAAGTGAATCACATATAACCATATGCATAGTGAGAATATTTCGCTAGAGAATAGAGAAATGGTGAAATTTTTTTAAATTAAAATTTTATTGTTGAATTTTTTAAACTTACTGCATAATCCTTTAATACATCTGACACATTTAGCGCATTCGTACTTGTTTGCGTATCGGTGTAAAGGATGTCTTGAATCTGAAAAAAGTTAATATTAATTATCACATCACGCAATCTTATCAGTAAGACATACCGCAGTATGTTCCTGCGCAAAATCTGCATTCACTACAAGCTTTTCCTTTCAAAAAGGGTCTTAAAGGATGTTTAGGATACTTTTTTATATTTGAATCAGGTGTCAGATTACATACAAGAAAAAAATCTGACTTTCCTCCACTTCTACGACATAAATTCCATGCGCATCCAATCTCAGTTGCCGAAGCCAAAGTAAGCTATTCCCGAATAGATTGTTTAAAAACTTTTATCAGTCAGAAGTTTAGAATATACAAAAAAAGTTACTGTTTTATATCTATCGCAGTTTCTTCTGCACCTTCCTGTTACATAATCATAGCTTTCTTGTTCATATTTAAACCAGCGCTGAGTTATGCGATAATAGAGAAACTTGTTCATTATCCTACTATCCGAAAACTTGTTAACCGATGATGGAAAGTAGCTCTCTGCATCAGTTACTCGATCTGTCATCTATTTCATGATTTGTGATTAAGAGTATAGTTAGTTTCTTGAACATATAATCAAAAACAAGCAAATTTCTTACCTGCATATAATTTCTTGCCCATCCTTTTCGGCAGAGCCTTGAAGTCTTTTTGGCATCACAAGCTAATGTTGCATTCCATTCCTATAAACACATTTAAATGAATCTCAAAAATTGTAAAATTGTAATCAAAATTTAGAATTACCAATTTGTGCATATTACTTGATCTTTGCCGACTTCTATATAGATTAATATACTTCAAAAGAGTCAAAACAAATGAGTCAGTGTTTCCAGCTTTTCCTTTTACATCATACTTGCAAATGTTTTTATAAGCTAATTATGAAAAAGATATATAGTATGTAACATATTTTTTTCAATATTTATACCAGGTTTTCTAGTAATTCTAGTCTTCTTTGTGGTTCTTCTAGTGATTCTCTTCGTCGTCTGACTGGTGGTTCTTTCGGTAGTTTGTGTCGTGATCTTCATGGCAGCTGTAGTTGTTTCTTGAATAGTGTCTTCTTGTGGCTTTTGGGGAGGTACCACTACATCTTGAATGGTATCCTCTTTAGGCTTTTGGGGAGGTACCACTACATCTTGAATGGTATCTTCTATAGGCTTTTGGGGAGGTACCACTACATCTTGAATGGTATCCTCTTTAGGTTTCTGGGGAGGTACCACTACATCTTGAATAGTATCTTCTTTTGGCTTTTGGGGAGGTACTACTACATCTTGAATAGTATCTTCTTTAGGCTTTTGGGGAGGTACCACTACATCTTGAATAGTATCTTCTTTAGGTTTCTGGGGAGGTACCACTACATCTTGAATAGTATCTTCTTTTGGCTTTTGGGGAGGTACTACTACATCTTGAATAGTATCTTCTTTAGGCTTTTGGGGAGGTACCACTACATCTTGAATAGTATCTTCTTTAGGTTTCTGGGGAGGTACCACTACATCTTGAATAGTATCTTCTTTTGGCTTTTGGGGAGGTACTACTACATCTTGAATGGTATCCTCTTTAGGCTTTTGGGGAGGTACCAGTACATCTTGAATAGTATCTTCTTTTGGCTTTTGGGGAGGTACCACTACATCTTGAATGGTATCCTCTTTAGGCTTTTGGGGAGGTACCACTACGTCTTGAATAGTATCTTCTTTAGGCTTCTGGGGAGGTACCACAACATCTTGAATAGTATCTTCTTTTGGCTTTTTTGGAGGTACCACAACATCTTGAATAGTATCTTCTTTAGGTTTCTGGGGAGGTACCACTACATCTTGAATAATATCTTCTTTAGGTTTCTGGGGAGGTACCACTACATCTTGAATGGTATCTTCTATAGGCTTTTGCGGAGGAGCAATTACATCTTGAATAGTATCTTCTTTAGGCTTCTGGGGAGGTACCACTACATCTTGAATGGTATCTTCTTTAGGCTTTTGGGGAGGTACTACTACATCTTGAATGGTATCTTCTTTAGGTTTCTGGGGAGGTACCACAACATCTTGAATAGTATCCTCTTTAGGCTTTTGGGGAGGTACCACTACGTCTTGAATAGTATCTTCTTTAGGCTTCTGGGGAGGTACCACAACATCTTGAATAGTATCTTCTTTTGGCTTTTGTGGAGGTACCACAACATCTTGAATAGTATCTTCTTTAGGCTTTTGGGGAGGTACCACTACATCTTGAATAGTATCCTCTTTAGGTTTCTGGGGAGGTACCACTACATCTTGAATGGTATCTTCTTTAGGTGTTTGTGGAGGTATCACAACATCTTGTTTTGTATCTTTTATCAAAGTTTTATCAAACTCTCTGTCAAGAACTTTCTTTAGACTGTCCAGTTCGTCTCCAGGATCCTTACCTTTTTCTGGTCTGGGTTATAAATGAAGTTATAAAGTTCTAAAAAAGAAAAGCCACAAATAACATGTAACATATTTACAGTATTACTTCATTATCACTTCCAGAACCAACGGCATTTTCTATAGGAAAATTGTAGTTGTTTGAATTATTTTCTCCCCATATTAATTCAAAAGTTACTACTGTTTGAACTGCCAAAACGAAATTTAGAATAAAGTTATATTTTTATTGTAAAATAGAGATTTTTAAACTGCTTACATAATAAGAACGCTAAGAATATGATGCGGAAAGGCATATTTGAACAAGATTGTAACATTGAATGACACTTTATTGCATGTCTTAGAATTGATTGACCTTTGTGTGAAAGGCAGACTGCAACCGTAAGTCGTATAGATTGAGGAATTAGTAACATATGTACATAAAACATTCATGTTTGAAAATCAATTTAACAGAAACTTAAGTTTTATTTATTTGAATATTTTTGGCGTTTCTCCAAATCATCTTCAACTTTTTAAGTCCTTTTTCTTTTGTTAATTTTGAATTCTCAATTTTTTTCCGTATAACGACACTTTTAACGAAATTCTTTAAAATAAAATCTCGAAGATTCTCATCGTCTTTCAATACAAGTTTAATTTGTTTTCCATATTTTAAGTTTGGTGTTGATTTTAAATTGAAAATGTTTTCCTTAATTTTTTTAATTAAATCTTCCGGTGTTTCTTTTGTCTTTTTTCTCTGAATTGGCTCTGAAATTAAATTTTGGATAAAAAATGATTACTTATAAAGTTTAACTTTTTAACTTACGTCCAAGATCAATTCCAGAAGAATCAGTAATACTTTCAGGTTCGGTAGCGGCACTTCTTAAGCTACAAAAAGTTAATAAAATAAACAGTTTCTAGAAAAAGACTAACGAAACTAACCTAGTGCCTTCAGTTGAGTCAGTTTCAAGAGCGTGAGGTAGTTCGAAAGATATCTTTATGGAGAGTGAATTGTGTAAAAACTAGAAAAGAGCTTAACAATTGATTCATTGTCTTACCCATTCAACGTCAGCGCTTCTCAATTTTGTAGATAGATATGCCAACGAATTATAACATTTTTTCATTAGAATCATATACTTTCTAGCTACAACCCTATATATCAGAATATTTATAAGTAGCAGTCTTTCTTATAAAACAAAGATAATTTACCAAATTCTACTTGAGAAGGCGGAAATTACAGTATTAGTTGCTATGAAAAGTCCTCGAGATATTTGTTTTGCTGTCTCACTTTATATAGAAAAAAAACAAGTATTAAGTTATAGAAAATTTCAATTGAACTATGAGAATCCAGTCTTTTGTCAAGGCGTAAAAAAAGGATACGAAAATATTTGCATAGACAAACGTTCTATTTTTAATAGTATGGAATAACATCCTAAAATATGAACTGAAGATGATTGAATGACTTGTTTACTTGGCAGAAAACAATCTTTGATTTGTGTGTTATCTCTACATAAAAAAATATTAATTTCAATTAGAAAGAGTTAATCTCCTAAGAATTACACTTACGGAATGTTTAAATCTTCACATAATTTAAATAAATATTCAAGAGAACATTTCTCAAAGAATTTTTTTATACTTTTATTCAACTGCAAAGAACATTGAAATAGGCTTTTTAATAGCATTAATTTTTAGTTGCTTAATATATTTTCTTACCTGACATATAGTTTGATAAGCTTTTTCTCTTTTGAACGCATTCTTCAACTTATATTTAAATCTATTACAGATATATTCTTCTCTTTTCAAATCGTTTTCTTCGAGAATCTTTTTTAAATGCTCTACATCAGATAGCGATGCAAAATAGGGCTCTAATAGTTTTAAAACAAAATTTTCAACAAGTTAGATTATTTAACATTTAATTTAACTTCCATGAAATATTTACTGCTTGATAATAACTATGGAAAACTAAGTTTACCGCGTAATTTCTTGAACTCTTCCTTAGAATAAGAAAAAGAACAGAATGATGGTGACGATAATTCGATTAACTTTTGTAAAATTTTCGGATCTAACGGCAAAGTCATTTGAGATCAAATAATTATTTGTTTAAGTAAAAATGTAAGCTCTAGAAACACGTTTTGCTCTAGGACAGCGTATTTTTCTTGTTAGAAAACAATTTCGATTTTTTTTAAAATGGCGATGAAATGATTTCCGGTAGAAATATACGTGGATGAAAACAAAGACATAAATTTTCTTTGAAAAGTTCATACGACTTGCCTACGTAAAAAAATGGGCTTATGTAAATGTCCCAAGAAGAAAGTGACAAATCTGTTCTGTTTTGAACACCGAGTAAATGTCTGTGAACACTGTTTGGTACAAACTCACAAAAAGGTTTGCAACATTTTCCATTTTTATAATCATTAGCTAATATACTAATTACATAAGTTTTTTCTTTTAAATCAATAGTGTATGTAAATAGTTTTATCACCTGAGCAAAAATAATGGAATGTTCTTTAAGATTTATTTTTTATTGAACATTTTTTAATTACTTTTCAGTGTATCGTTCAATCGTATCTACAATGGTTACAAGATAGTGACTATGAAGCTAGTTGCAAACTTTGTAATGAATCATTAAGTGGGGAAGAACAGGAGACTGTTCGTCTTATGTGCTACGACGTGTTCCATTGGAAATGCTTGGATTCCTTTGCTCGTCAGATGCCTCAAACCACCGCTCCAGCAGGTTATCAGTGTCCAAACTGCAAAGCATCGATCTTTCCCAATGAACATGCAATGTCGCCCGTTGCGGAACAATTAAAAGTCACTCTGAGTACTGTCAATTGGGCAAGAAATGGTTTAGGTATGCCTTTAATAGAAGAGAAAGAAATTTCACAAACACCTGATCGTCCGCTGGAGAATAAACCTGTTGAATTTCAAACTAGCACACCTTTGCCGGCCTCCTCTGTTGTTCAAACATCTCATGCTTTTTCAAGAGCCGGCTTAGAAGACAGTAGCCACAGTAAGTTTATCTATGCAATTAGAAAAAAAGCTTATATAAATTACTTTCCTTAAATTTTTCAAGGTTCTGCTAGAAAGACTTTAGACACACACATTTCTATTGATCCTACGAAGTCTTTATTGGATTCGCTGGATCACGATGAAAATAAATATGCCAGAAGACCTGCTTTAACTTGGTTAAAACGATGGCTTAAATCTCATAATATTCATCCTTCCGGATACGCAAAACGAAATCGATTCCTTATGTTAATTTTAATCGCATTAATTTTATTCTTGACCGTGATATTGTTTATGTCGACATTTGGACGGTCTCATGCCGACAAAGATCCATTCCTAGATCCAATGGCAAATCCAAACATTCGAATAGAAGGACAACCCTAAGGAAACTGACGAAACGTCTATTGATTAATATTATTTACTCTAAATAAATCAGTTAATACAAATATAATGACCGTTTTGCTCTTGTGTCAAAGTTAAAGAAAAAATATACTCAAATATATAACATTACACAAATTCAATTAAAACAGTTTTTAAAAATTAAGTAAAGTTTAAGAAATAAACAGAAGTCTTGAAAACAATAAATTGAAAGTAAGTGCAGAAATGTATATAACAGTTTTATTTTTCCATTTTAAGCTTTACCAAAACGGGCACCTGTAAATATTTAAAAACATTTTAGAAAACTTTTATTCTTAAAGCAAAGTACAATCGCTTACCATCCAATATAACATTGACATAAGTTTTCATGCGAAGTAGCTTGTTTTGTGAGTAAATCAACTTGTGTACCAACATCAACACCGTCTTTTCTGCTTTGAAAGTCGAATCCCGTTAACTTGTCCTTTACTCTACCAACTATTGCAACAGCCTTTTTATTTAATCCTTCGCTCTGACCAGATTTATTCAATAAGCTTATTCTGTCCCCAACCGTTTTTCTACTAGGACCGGCGAGATCTAACATAGCAGGATCATCTATAACTGCCTCTGTTGATGAGGTAACAACTGGAGCACCAACTTCTGTATAACTACCAGACCCTTTCTTTGAGTGTTTAGCTGCTTTACCTTCCATTAATCTCCAATTAAGCAGAGGATCATATATGAACGCTTCTAACACAGCCATAACCGAATCTTTATTAGATCTCAGGACATTCATTACGGAAATACAAGTATGACGATAATTTCCATTAATACCAGTTACTTCCATGGCATTTGTTAACATTCTTGTTAATCTGAAAGGTATTTTTTCTGGAAATTTATCTCTAATCATGGCAACTTCAAAGCAATCTCCGAAATCTATATGAATTATTTTTCCGTTAAGTCTATCCAACATAAGATTGGATGGATGACGATCACCCAACCCTAAAACGTATCCAACCATTGACATAACCGCTAGCGATCTTGTATAGTTTGTTCTGCGGTCAAACCATACTTCGGAGCTAGGCGATTTATACCATAAAATTTTGGCTAGATCATCTCCTTGAGTATGCTCAAGAGCGTGCTCAAAAACTTCAACTTTCTTCATTAATGGTAAGTGATCATAATCCTGTGCCATTCGGAGCATTATTCTATGTTCTATATTTAAAAGTATCTTTTTTCTCTCTCTATAGTCTCTAATTAAGGAGTGCAGTGTGTCTGTTTGAGGTACCCAACCCAATAAACCAGAGTTTGTAGATAAGGGAATGACTGAGTATCTTTGAATACTCAAATTGCGTTTAGCGGTGTCACTACTTCGAGCCAACAAGGAATTTACCAAACCAAATAGTTGCATAACCCTCTCATCCTGCCGCAAATCTTCATGGCCTTTTAATAAAAATTGATATTCGTGACCGTCTGATCCAAATATTGATAACTTTCTGGGTCTTTGCTTAGACGTAATCACAGACAATGTTTGTTGTACATACTTGATCCTTACCTCTGGTTGTTGAGGATCGTATGTACCTGGTACGACTAGTTGCATATCTCTAGCAGCCAAGAGTTTAGGGCTGACATATTGTAATTCTAATGTTGTCATTTGCGGTAATTGTTTTGTTATTCGACGGAAAACGTGATAGTATTGATCCCATGCTTGTGTTAAATCTTTAAGATTATTAGATCGTTCATATTTACGACACCACTCAGCTGCTTCACGAAGATCTCTACCGTAGGTTTGTTCGAAAGATGTCTCTTTTAAAGTACTGGGACCTTTATCTAGCATACCATGAAGGGGGGCTAGAGTTGCAAGCATCCCACTAATATTCTTTTCACCAAAAAATAACCTCGATGCTTCCTCTAGGCCTTCATGCCATAATTCATGCCATAATATAGCTATTCTAATCAATTCATCAGACATCAGTACAGCCTGATCAACAAGAAGAGGTCGATGTTCTCGTATACTATTTAACACTCTGGTAGCAGCTTGTTTTCGAATTTCATCACTTGATTTAGCTGCTACTGTTAGGGGATAAACAAGAGCTTGTGGATGAGCTCGGCCTATATCAGATAATAATTGCTGAATTAAATTTCTAACATTGGGCTTATTGGTATCAATTCTAGCCATAAGCTGAGGTATAACTTGAAGCCAATGATCCATCTGAATTGTTTTTAACCCCTCGACTAAAGCTTCATAAACTTCGGCAAATGATCCGTATTCAAACCAAAGCGTTAAAAGTCTTAAAGTATCTTGTAGTGATCTACCAATACTGCAAAGAGAAATAGATTTAAAAAAACCGTTAACAGCTGGAACACAATAAGATTTGATTCTATTTTCACGTTTCTTCTCCGATTCCTTTGGATCTTTATTCGATTTTTGTTTGAAGAATAAAACCGATTTATAATTCATAAAGGCCCATGCATGCCATGACTTGTACCATTCATCGTGCTTTTTCTTCGCTTCTGAGTAACATTCTAAAATATGCGGAATTGATGCATCTTCAACGCCATGAAGAGCTTCATTCCATTCACCCATTTTCATGTAACATTTTGCTAGTAACACTTTCAAAGCTTCAGTCTTGTCGCTTCTAATAGCTTCAAAGTCAGATAATTTTGGTTCCAATTGATTTCTGACGAATGAAGTCAAATCAGAAAGCGGTTTTTCTCCTTGTTCGCTTTTCCAAGCATGCTTAAAATAAGCCAAGGTAATTTCAGGCTCTTCAATACAAATAGATGCGGAGGGATTGGATTGAGGGTCAGCACCAAGCAATGTCACAAGAGTTTTATGAGAGAGCTTAAGACGTTGGGACTTTCTACAAAGCGATGCATATTTCAACCAAGTTTGTTTGTGTTCTCTAGGTGTTAGAACAAGAGAATGAACATGTATGATCTTTTGCCAATCCTCAACAACCCTTTGACAGCCTTGCAAACGTTTCCACCACATCTTCTTTATGACATCCCTTCTTTCTGGTACCAATTTGTATTGTATAACTTCCTCTAACTCACTCAACATCTGTACATTTACCATTGCTCCATATGCTCGACTATAGCTCTCCCCAGCCATAGCAGTTAATTCTGTGTCAACGATATCTCTAGCTTTGTCTATACATTGCTGAGCCAATTGAAATTGATCCATATGAAGGGCAAGAACAGATCTGTAAAAAGCTCCATCGTATGTATCTCTTGGAATCATACAAGAGTATTCCTCCATTGAGTCCCAATCCCTCAAAGCCCAAGCAGCAGCCGAAGCCATCCTTGCCATTCTTTGTTTGAAAGTGCTCTCGGCATGTTGCCATTCTTGCTTGGCAACTCGTTGCAAATCTTCCCATTCTCCAAGGGCTTCCAGACAGCGCATTCTACCTAAGGTAAGTTCGCTATCAGTTGTAGCGTATTGTAACTTTTGTTCATATTTTTTTAAAGCGTTTGGCCAATCGTGAAGCTTTTCATACCACCTTTCCTGAATATCTTGTCCGTACATTTCCTGAGCGTATTCTAACAAACCTGCTGCAGATTCAGACTGGCCTAACTTGATATTTATCGAAATTAAACTCTCTAAAACGGCTTTTGTGGGCTCCGAATGGAAGGCTTCCTCCCTATAATGCAGAGCTTTTGCAAATGCCCTACATTGAACTGCTTTATCTGACAATAAACTTGTATTAATAGGTATTGGTCCCTTATCACAATGATCCATGAATTCAGCCAAGTTAAGTATTGTTTGAGTTAACTCTGGAATATCTTGGGTTTTTAAAACATTTTCTAACGAAGCAACAAAATCATCTTGTTGCATATCCTGTAATTCAGTCCAACACGAGACAAATGCAGCATTAAAAAGATGTCTTGCCAGAGCCGGGTAAGACAAAGCTACGCTACTACAAGTTCTTAAGGCCCAAGAAGGGGAATTCGACAGGAAAGCCACAGATAGCCTTCTGAGCCACTCAATCCAGTCATCTCTTGAAACTTGACGATTTGTTTGAAATATTTTTTGTAAACTGGCTGAACTAATGTGCAATTTCCCTATACTCATTTCTGCTGGTTTTGATCCTTTGGCATCTTCATTTTTTCTCTCTTTTTCAACTTTCCTTAAGAGAGGGTCTTGATCTTCTTCTCCTATTGTTGTTCCTTTAATTATTCTACTTGTTAATAGTTCAAACTCAGCTTTAGTAGTTTCATCAAATCTGTGTTGTTGTGTAATTTTTTTAACCATAGGTACAAAAATAAGAAACTTTTTTCCTAACTGTCTCATAAGACAAATTAACGTCTTTAAAGCACAAGTTCTCAAGTCAGCTGAATTGTCCATAGTCCTAACCAGCGGATGAATCAGCTTTGATGCATATTCGGTTAAGTCTACGCTGTCACTGAAAGTTGCTATTGTTTCGAGAGATAAAGTTTTAACGGGAAGTGGGACATCTTGATTATCAAACAACTTGATTAAATGAGGTAAAAGTAAATGAAGATAATCATCTAAATTCACTCCAAATTTTTGTAATGCAGTCAACAGAGCAACAGTTACATGGCGATCTCGACTTGAATCGTGAGCAAGGGTCTTTAGCATATGAGGTATAATTTCTGGCAGGTAAACTTTGAAATCGGGACCTAAGGCTGAAACTAAAGCCTCCAACAACGAAATGACAGTTATGCTGCATTGTGGCCAAAATTCTTTAACAAGAGCAAATAAATCGGCTGAATATTTCCTCATGTGTTCTCCCACTGCAGTAACCATGTCTGCTAAGTCTTTAAATAAAGATTCTTTGAAATTTAAATCTACAGTTGACCGACAGACACACATATAATCAGGAAGTAAAAGTGGCAAATAGGGAATACACTTTAATGCCAAATGCTTGAATATCAGATTAATGGAACGAGCGGCAGCTTTTTGATATTGTACCAGGGTTGGATCTCTTAGGATTCTTAGCAGGGCAGATAGAGAAACTACAAGGTAGAATTCATCCAGACTTGCAGCCGTGCTCATAGCAATTAAAGTTTCTGTATTAGAATTCATCTCAGTTTGACCTAAACGGTTTTCGCCTGGCTTTGCCTCGGATAAGGCAGCACCAGCGGACTGTAATGAAAAATAGATAAATACGTTATTTATATAATGCTGCGTATGATTGAAGAAACTATGCTAACCTGATTAATAACACCGGTGTGGACTTTGTATTTGTAGGGATCTAAAGCGCCAAGTAAACCTAAGACTCTCAGTGTCTCCCTACGCATCACCGGTGTTTGTTCTGTTTTTAAGAAGCTTAGCAAAACATCCAACAGAGCAGGTGATAACTCGTAGGGCTCCACTACAAATCCAGTGCTTTCTACTAATTGCCCCAAAGTCCAAACAGCCACCTCTCGTTTCTGATGAGATACAGAATCTTGCAGCATATCGAATATAAGAGGCAAAAGTTCAGCTCCATATGCTCTCATTTCTGTTCCGCACACTTGAGCTTGTTCACCAATAGCGTTCATTATAGCTATTGTAACGGCGGGATTTGGATCATTCTCTTTCAATTTCGGCTTTAAAACATTTAAAATTGGCTCCATGTAAGGTCTTATAAGTCTAGGGGCAGATGATATTAGAACGCCAAGAAGTTTTGCTGCTTGTTCTTTATTTCTTCCCATACCTGAATGTTCTAATTCAGTCAAAATATTAATAAGTAACCTTCTTAAGCTTGGCATTACGTAAGCAGGATTTTTGCTTGATAATCTGCCTATTGTTGCTATAGCTAATTCTCTTATTTCAAACACTTCATCATTCACGGTCAATAATAAAGCTGAAAGATTTTCAGCTTGAGCAAGATGAGGATCAAATCTTTCATCCAACCACAACAATACGCTGTATCGAATATCTGCATCCGAATCGGTTATACCGACAACTAAAAGTTTTGATAAAACTTCAGCAACAGTATTCATAGCTGAATCACTGGGCTGATGAGAAGATGCGAGAGCAACGGAGGGTAATAGAAGTCTAGTACAAGTTCTCACGGCCTCCATTCTAATTTCCTTCCTCTCCGATGACAAATAATTATCGGCACAGTGGCGAACAAATTGTTTTAGAGTCTGATTTTCAAAATCGAAGCTACCCAGAGTTTTTAAAGCCAAGGTAACATTCCCAACATTCTGGTAGGAATCTAAAGTGGAAAAAGATGGAACCGCAGGCATGGAAGGTCGACTTTGTCGACCTGAACCTAGAGGTTTCAAAGATTTTCCCATCAAAACTTTGCTTAACATTTGTAAAAGTCCGCTTTGAATGTCTTTCTTTAAGGCAGGTATTTGCTGGGCTAAGTCTTTAAGAGCAGCTGTTAAAGCAGGACTTAGACCTGATTCAAACATAGGCTCCAAAAGATCTTTAACCTCTGCGGATATTTGATGACCAACAGCTCGAGCTAACATACTAATACAAAAGAAAACAGCAGGCTCAACAATTACAGTCTTTGTCTTTTTAGACGTTATATCCCTCATTGGTAAACACTTTTTTATATGCTCCATGATAGCTGGTAAATGAGGTGTGATATCTTTCTGAATAGAAACAGCAATTAAGGCAATACTGTGAAATGCGGCTGCTCTTTCTCGTTTTTCCCTAATAGATGAATACAAATAGTTTATACTCAGTTCGAAATAGTATTTCATAAATTCATGTGGATTAAAAGCTGACAATCTCGGTAAAACAGTAGATAACGCTTGCATGATCAAAGGATTTTTACTATTCCTATTCTTCAAAACGATCGAACAGAGATTTTTAAATTCCTCATTTGTAAGCTCTTTACAAGTTTTACTTTCAACTAAAGCTGCTTTTGAAGGTCTGGGACTAGAAAAAGCAATGCCAGACAACTGTAAGTGAGAAGGGTTATTTTGATGTTTTCCTGATTTGGATGAATGTAATTCTTTGTAGCTTCGTTCATGCTGCAATTGTTCTTTTGTAATTTCTTCCATTTCAAATCTAACTCTTTCTCCTTCAACGTTCGATATTCGTAAAAGTTCATTTATTATAAGCAAACTTCCATGAGCCCAATCATCACGTGACATTTTGCGGCTTAAAATTTCATCATATTGCTTTTCAGCTTCTTTGAAGCATTTCTATTTGTTGAAAATAAAAATATATAGTGAAAATTATAAATATAATTCATATAGTATAATATTCTGGTAAATAGAACGTTTTTGAGTAAAACAGTTAATTTGTTCTTACCTCGTACCAAGTAAATCTTCCACGTTCTTTACTCTCTCTTTGGGAAGTAACAACTAATGCTGACTTTAAGGCTGCAGCAGCACCCTCTCTTATGACAGATTTCTGATCTCGAATAGCCTGAAAAATACTATCGAAAAAAGCTGGAATGTGCTGAAAAAAGAAAGTAGGAACATGAATTGCCAGTTGTCTTAAAACTAGAACAGCTGCATGTCTTCTAAGTTCGACTCTATCTCCTTGGAGCCATTCAAAAGCTCTATGAGCTTCTTTATCTACATATTCGTCTGTTAAGGATGCTGCATGTAAAGCTAACTTTCCAATGGCCTTTGCTGCCATCTCCATTACAGAAACATCGCTATTAGGTAGTAAATTCCTTAAATTATTCGCATAACGACTTGATGTTGTACTAAAATGTCCAATGTCAACTCCAATTAAGGAACACATCCCACATATTCCGCCTTTCTTCTCATTTGAGTCATTACTTGATAGCATATTGATAATTTGATGATTGAAATTGTCGAGAAATTCGGATATATCTTCCGTTGATCTTTCTCGTAGTTCTGTGTTGATGTAATGATGAAGATCTCTTGCCGCCTATTGAAATTCAAGTAAAACATTAGAGATAATTCCTTCCTAGATACCTCTACAATGGCATAATCATTGCCTTTTTAAAATATTTTTGTTTATATAAGCTAGTGCTAATCGAGCGCCATTCCAACATAACTCTCACATCGAGAAATGTTTTGTTTTAATTAATGGAAGATTATATCTTTTTGCTATAATAATACTATTAATATTTTTGCATCATTACTTTATTTCGAATATCCTCATTGCGGCTCTTGAGGTCGGATAAGAACTTTTGGGTAGGATTCGTCATTGCTAAATAAATCTGGAAAAAAATAAAAATAAAAATCTTCTTGCCAATAAAACAAATTGCCTCTTACGTTGATTATATTATTTTAGATACAAAAAACCGCATTATTTCTATCCATAATCACTGACAAACTGTAAATTGGTAATTTTAGCATTTGTACCGGAAGTGCTTTCCTTGTAAGATGTTAGCAGCCGCTTACTGTGAGAAATATGATTCCTAATTCCGCTACAAACATTCTTGCTGAATGTGTGGGCCGGAGCCCGAAACCCGAATTAAAACAGTCTGGTTGTGCACAAGGGAGATTTCATAGAATTCGATTGCAACTTTTTGCAACAAATAGCAGATTTAATCGACAAAATTCTTCAAACTTATTCTAAGAATAAATAAAAGATATTTATAAGGGAATTTGTTTTATTTAAAGTAGATAATCCGTCTTAAAATAATTTATTTTATTTTGGGAAGTTAGATGTCACAAGTATAGATTTTTTCACTTGTTGCTGACGTTCTATCGTTCAATTCGTAGGTAAATTGTACATTTTTAGCGTTATAAGCACATTTAATTTATTTTGTGACAGTATATTAAAATTCTATTCTTTACTTTTCATATATTTTAATGAAATGTAAATTTTGCATATGAAAAACATGAATACTGCAAAATAATGTCACTATATTGAAAAATCAATAAAAATTATCACTGTTTTCATCTCTCTAAAATTAATATCTGACGCAATTAGATAGATATATATAGACATTTATTTAAACTCTCCATAGAATTAGTGTTTTAAGTTTTAAACAACCTAATTTAGGAGACATGTTCTATATAATAGAAATAGAATTTGAATTTCAAAGCTACGACATTATTATAAGAGATTCATTTAAAAAGTGAATTCTATCGATTTAAGTAAAATTGAAAGTTGCCGCCCCACAAATCGCCTGATTATAAGTGAATATTTTGGACCGGTTTTCATAGCGCCAACAGTCAAGATGGCGATCTATGATAACATGAAATTGTAAGTATGAAATTTATAATCTGCTAATAATTGTCAAATTCTAATATGTATTTTAACAGGCATACAACAAACGATAAATTCTTTATTGAACCGATTGACTCTTCCTTGTCAAACGAATTGCTTGTAATTGATCGCGTTACACAGGAGATAAGTGTTGACAGTGAGCGTTAATACACTATTTTCTTAAAATAGGAGCAAATTTAAACAATATTTCTGATATATTTCTTTGTAGAAAACCAGGGACAAATACCGAATGTTGCTGAGACTCGAGTTATCTTCGGCATCTTTGGAATAATTAAGTTACTGGCAGGAAATTACTTAATTGTTATCACTGATCGGACGCTGGTAGGCGAAATCAATGGAAAGAAAATATGGAAAGTCGCGTCCACACAGCTGATATCCTATAAACGAACTACTTTACATATGACGGAAGACCAAATTCACCACAACCGAATGTATATCTCGTTAGCAGAACATGCACTGGGAATTGAGTCATACTATTTCTCATATGATTATGATTTAACACATACTTTACAAAGACTAGATAATACATCTCCGGACTTTGTATCTATGTGCTTGGCCGAAAGAGCCGATGCTCGTTTCGTATGGAATCAACACCTTCTAAAAGATTTTCATAGAGATGATTTAAGCAAATTTTCATTACCTCTTATGCTGGGTTTTGTAGTAATTAAGCAAGTTGTTATTAAAAATCATTGTTTCAGCTATGCGTTAATATCAAGACGAAGTTGCCACAGAGCTGGTACTAGGTTAGTAGTTAATAATTAATCACCTATGTAAATGTACACGTAATTCACACTAGTATTTCTAAAATATTGTTTAAGTAAAATGTACTGATAATGTAGTTCAAAACACCCTAGATTCAACAAATTACACACCTTTATATAGCAGAAAAACAATGATATAGAGAAAGGAATAATAAATTTATAATATGAAATACGTATATTTTATACATCATTTATATATCGATCGAACGTATAGGAGCAAGTACTGGAAAAAAACTGTATAAAGTACAGTATAGTTTGATTTAAATGGATTATACAATTTGCATTGTAGACCTTAAAAACATGTACAATAAAAGTTATGTATAGCTGCTCTATATAAAATATATATAGTGTATGTAATATATGTATTATACTTATATATATACTGTATAAATTTATATATATATACTCAGATACACATATGTATATGTGCGTGGATTCTGTATAAACACTAGATATTCTTTCTATTTATGTTTCATTGATCTAACAAATTTTTTGAATATTTCTTTTCTCTTTATTTACACTTTTATCTTCCTTAAACAGATATTACATGAGAGGCTTAGATGTTGATGGTAATTCTGCTAACTACGTTGAAACTGAACAATTAATTGAATGTGAGGGATATAGGGCTTCTTTTGTTCAAACTCGTGGATCTATACCTTTAGTTTGGTCTCAAAGACCTAACTTGAAATATAAACCAACACCACAAATTAGTCAGAGTCAGAATCATTCCAATGCCTTCCAAAAACACTTTGCAACACAATTATTCAGCTATGGTAAACAAGTATTGATTAATTTGATTGATCACAAAGGAGCCGAAAAGGAATTGGAGAATTCGTTCAGACAATTGACAAACAGCTCTAAGGTTCACATAATTTTCTACTAGAGCTAACTTTTAAAATAAGCAACGTCATCCTTTTTTGTGCTTATAATAATATAAATATCCTTTCCATTTACAGAATCCAGACATCCGCTACGAGGCCTTTGACTTTCATCAGGAATGTAGTAAGATGAGGTGGCACCGTTTATCTATTTTGCTCGATAGGTTAGAAGAAGAGAGAAAAATGTTTAAATTCTTTGCTCACGATAAAGACGGCCGTACTGTTATCGTTCAGGATGGAGTTTTTAGGACTAACTGCATAGATTGTTTAGATAGGACAAACGTTGTTCAAAGTTTACTGGCGAGAAGGACCCTGCAGGACCAACTAGTAAAATTCAACATTCTACAAGAAGGCGAACGTGTAGAGGATCAATTGGCGTTTGAGACTGTTTTCAAAAACGTTTGGGCTGATAACGCGGATGCCTGCGCCAAGCAGTACGCCGGAACGGGAGCTCTGAAAACTGATTTCACTCGGACTGGAAAGAGAACAAAAATGGGCTTAATGAAGGATGGTGTCAACTCAGCAATTAGATATGTTAAGAACAATTTTTACGATGGTTTCAGGCAGGATGCAGTGGATTTGATTTTAGGAAATCATCAGGTGGACGAAGGAGAATGTGCAACAACCATTTGCCCGTTGCAGGAAAAGAGAGATATTAAATTTTATATTTTACCTGCAATATTTTGCGTAGCTTTTTCTATGTTACTTGTTAGCTTTTTGGTTGGAAGTGACCACTCGGGAGAGCATGCGCTATATTTAGCTTTTTGGATTATGGCAACTGCTGTTACGGGTGGTTTAATCTATTATTATGGAACCGAATTTGTTGATAAGCCAAAACTGGTGCAAACTAAGAATAAGCTTGATTAAAGATCCTTATTGTTTTGTTTGTTTCAACTTTTAGGAGGCCTAGGTTAAAAATAATGAAATATTGAATATCGTTGTTTCATATAATTGTCATGAATAATAATTCATCTAATAACACATAGGTGTGTTGTAATTCAAATTAAAGCAATGAATACACTTTATAATAGAAACTTTATTCTAAATAAAAAAAATATTAAGTACAAAATATTCTTATTATAGAATGTTTTAAATCTTGTATAAATCATTTAATAATTGCTTGTAAATAATAGAATACTATATATATTTATATATAAGTGATTTGAAATGAAAGAAATATAAGTATATAAGTTGGGTTGATGATGGATCTGAGTTAGAGAATTAGCCAAGAAGTTTAATAACTGCTATAAAGATTATAAATTAGTTAACCCAATTGAAAATTATTAAGTAATGCTTTAGCAAAATGGAAAATATGTAGTTCTTTATTTTATACAAAGTCCCCACGCTATTTAAGGCATTATTATCGTTTATACCATTTTTTCATATGCCTTGTTTCTGCGGAAGTGAATTTGCAAAGTAAGCACAACTTATAACTAATTCTTTACAAAGTAATCAGCACATGTGAATCCATTTCCTTTCCAATAGACTTTTTTTAAAGAAACAATACTAGTTCCTTTATATATACATACATACTAATATGTACATACAGCAGATACATATATACATATACATATTTATATATATATGAATTCATAAGTATATATGAGAAATATAATAGTATATAATAAAGGCTCTAGCATTAAGCATATTCAGAGCTTTAAATATGGTTTGTTTACAGCCATAGCAACGAAAACTAGCTATAAAGAAGTAAGACGCAAGTAAATTAACAGTCGTTTGATATCAAATATGGAGAAGAGGAGAAGTATTTTCTTTTTGATCCTAATCTGGTAAACAATAAAGCATAAATTATTATCAATATATTAACAATATAGTAAGATTATGTAACTTTTTTTATGTATATTTTACTTTTAAAATGTACTAGATTTTTTTTTTATATAGCTTTTAAACATACGATTTATCTTTTTCTTTCCTTCTATTTTACATAGATTATAATAAACTGAATAATAATATTTTAGATATAAAATATATAGTAATAACCCGTCAAATTTAACCGTATAGTTTTATCTCATCTCGCTCCGTCGATTCGGGTCTTATCCTCCCGGGATCTCGTCTAACGGATGAAGATGTTAAGAGGACCTGGTTACCTAGATTTTCGGCCTGCTTCAATAGAGAATGCCTAAGAAGCAATCCGGCTGCTCGTTGCCTTCGACCTGAATGTAGAACTTTAAGACAAACCTAGAAGAGCGAAAGGAGATCCAACAATGAAATTAAATGAAGAAAGAAACAATAATATAAGAAAAAGAACTTAACCTTTGTGTTTCTCTGTGTGACTTATATAAATTCATGAATATATACAGTATATATATTCATGAAGATTTTCATATATATTTAATAAAGAACCTTCTTTACCTAAACTGATGACTTATATAGTATCATTATTATTTAGTACATACAAATATATAAACCTAGATAAAGCAGGTTACATTATCCTCCTGTCGTATTTACACCTAAAAACTCCTTCTGTTCTAGCTAAAGATTAAACAATAACCCAACACAGAATCTTCATTAAAAGAACATAAATAACTTCTTTCATTTCGTAAAGTAACTAGTTATTTTAATAAAAGAATTCATTTTAAAAAAATTAAACCATAAATAAATCAAAAATATAGAATTTTACGTGGCAAACAAAAAGTAAAAAGCGCTGGCGACAAATATGCAAATGAGCGACGCTTCACAACTGTCATAACTTTGCTTTCACATACAAGAACTGGTAGGAGAATGAAGTTCGCTATATTGTGCATCGTCTTACTGAGTGGTAAGTATGTTAAAACTTTGATATATCCAATTTACATATTCTCCCTTCACGAATTCTTATTTTAGCAAATAACAATTGAGTTTCCAGTTATATAAATAGGCTTTTAACTCATTTTTTACACTCTTTTTTCGCCTTATATTATTAATTTGAAAAAAAATTGTCCTTAATTAAAGGATATTTTTAGAATTGTCCTGATAAGACTTTTTGTTAATATCGGATTGATCTTCTAGTCTTAAGTACATTAGGGAGAATTGATCTGCTTTAGATGATAGAAAAACCAGGAAGGAAATGAATGAACAGAAACACTTTTGTCAGTTTCTTTATTCCAAAGTATTTTTACGCTTTTTTATCGGCTAATTTAGAGAAGGTTCAGTAAGAAGAGAGGGTGTTATTTTTCAAACAACCTCCTCTCCTTCATCAATTATCACAACTACGAAATCCCAATTTAACACTATCACGGGTTCTATCACAAAGTCTTTAATAAAAAAAAACCTTCTAAACTTTCAAGCGTTTTAGTAGAATAGATTAAATATATATGAAGAAAATGGGTGAACGAATCGGGGACTGCAGGGAATAAAAGTGGAAAATTCTTCGTCTTTCTCTCTAACCTATAAAGTAGTTGTTGTAAATATAAGAAAAGGTAAAGACTATAAGGAAAAATAAGTTTAGTTAGGAAATAAAAGGAAAAAAGATGAAAAGTGATAGAAAGGAAAGAAAAGGACAAAGTGAAAAAGAGTAAACTTATTAAATAGAATACAAAGCTTATTATATTAAGCTAATCAATCAATTAGTGAATTTTCTCTCTTTCTTGCTTATTTTATTTTACGATTGATAATATTTGATAAAGAAAGAAATTAAGGTTAATAGTAAGTAGCCTATTTATTAATTACTATAGCTTTTGTTAATTCGAAATGTATAATTTGCAACAGACTAATGTTTTGTCCTTGTTTTCAATTTTCCTTTTTTCGTAACTACATAAGGAGCAGCATTGATTGCCGGAAGGCACTCGGAAAACTTGGATGAGTTTGTATTCTTTTTATAATGATTAAATTTGGTATCATACGGCTCCCGTTTGATTTATTAACAGCTCGGAGTTTAGGTTAACGGAGAAACGTTGGTTGGATAATACTTTGGGAAAGCGTTGGTTGGATAACACTTTGGGTAAAAAACGTAGCTCTGATAACAGTAGAGGCGATTATGGAACACTTCGATCCCGTATTGCCATGGATAGAGAGAGGAGAAGACCGTTTTGGCTTTGAAGTCAAACTTTAATCACTAATTCACCTAATTACTATTAAAAATATATATATATATATATAAACATATATATATATACATATGTACAATGCAATAAACAAATAAGAACACCTCTATACTTTAAAACGGTTACCTCTTTTAAAATAATAATAAAAAACGATGTGATTAATTAGCTCACATGTCATTGCATAAGTTATTATCGAAAATATATACTCCCTGATTTAATTGATAGTGAACTGCAATTTTTTCAAGATCCATTACAGTATAAAAGCGCTAAAAATTGATAAAGAAGGTAAAAAATGTCTCTCCACTTAGTAATTTTGGAGAGGATGTGTAGTTGAAAATTGAAAGTGGTTCAGTTAAGGAGACAAATTGTCCGCGCTACGCTCTTACCATACATTTTTGATAGGATATTTCCAATTTAGTACCTACTAGAGTATATACTTAACTAAAAAATGATAGTGACTATTAAAATGATATCTATTAATTAGAGCCAACTGTAGTAATAAAATATATCATTAATATTTATGAAAAACCATCTTATAAGACGAATTCTTAATTGTTCATTTCTTTATGCAAATCAATATTTATATTTCATAATTGACCTAATGATTGACACTTTCACGAAGAAAGAAACCATTTTGCTCTTCATGTAATTGCCATTTAACTTTTTCCTGCTGTGAACGTAGCATTCTGTTTACTTTCGATTATCTTCTTTACAACAAAAATTGATAAATAATAAATTAATTGTTGAAGATCTATTTATATATGTAAAGGAAATATATATCTAAATAGTATACACATATATGCCCATGTATATATATAGTATATATATATATATATGTATAATCTATATCATACATATTGCGTACTGTTGCACTGAACATTATCTTTATATTTGATTAATCAAAAGGATAAAAGTTATTTTCTTCTCTGTAATATATTATCCGATAGATGGCATCTATCCCTGGAAATTTTTATACACAGAATGGAATTGATTACCAGTCTCAAGTTGACAAATGTCAGCCTAATAACACTTGTTGTCAATGACGACAATGTAAATATTCGAAGCCACCGTATATATCAAGACAATTTAAATTGTTTGAATTTAAAAAATTCAACAAAAGCATTACCTGAATAAGATTCAAGAAAATAGGTGGAATCAAGTAAGATAGGTAGAAGATAACTGGGAATGGGGGAAAAAGAGATTAGAGCATTGTTATCCGGAAATTTTGATCCCGGCACCCTTTCTGAACCACCAACAGACGTTATAAGAGTTTATTTAAGTTCTAAAGGAGAGGGTAAGTTGACATTTTAATTATAATCTCTTTTAATACGATCTACAATTTTCATTACTTGAATGAGGATCATCCTTTTCATTCAATATTTCATTCAATAGATTCAATTGTTGAACGGAATTATTTGGTTGAAAATGTTTACCCTAAATTAAGAGAATATACAAGACAGAAATATGGGCTAGAATTTAGTGTTGTATTTTAAATGTTCTTTGGATCTTTTTAATGCATGTTTCTTAACAGATTATAGACTTAAAATGGGGATTATCGATAAACGATTGCGATTATTCCACTTTAAATTCTTTTGAATTAGGAGAATGTCAATTGAACAGTTTAGGACCATATTTTGTGGTAAAGTCATCAAAGATTTTCTTTCTTTAACAATTGACTGTCAAAAAAAACTAATCCAACAATATTGCCATTTATAGGTTGTCGTAGGCCAGAAATATGGTGATAAACTACCACCGAGAAGAATACCTGCAGACCTTATGAGGCTAATTAGTTCTGCATTAAAATCCGTCAAAGGCAGGAGTACTAGAAATGCTGGTCTATTAAAATCGTGGTATAGAATCGATTCGAATTCTATACCACCTTGTTGTGTCCTTAGTATTCCATCCGAACATCAAAATGATTCTGCTGAAAAGTCTAAAGAGATATGCAAACTCATATCAACAGGTCTTGACCTGCTCCTAAAGAATGAACAAATTGACATAAAAACAAAGAATGAGTTATCAGTGTCCGAGTTTGAACGGGAGATTTATGATGGAATTTTACATTCTGAAAAGCCTAAACAGCAATGTTTAATATTCAAAAGGACAATTACAGATATGAAGAATAATCTTGACGCCGACAGAGCATCGATTTTTGCCGATATTATACAAGATGAAAGAACTGGTGATATATTTTTCGATCACGAAGAGAGAAGACGTCTAGAAGAGCTAGAATGCAAATTAGAATCTTGGCTGCCGCTCGAAAATATCCATAAATTTCAAGTTTTATGGAAATTCAATAACGGTATTTGCCCAGATCTGCATAAAGACTATTTAAAAGAATTTTCCGATAAGTTTACATCCGAGATGGAACGTTTAATTGACCAGAGTGCTCCCAATCGATCTATTAGGTTTATTCCATTCTTAATTGAAATGAACACCCAGTGGTCTTATTGTAAAAGACTTTGGTGTAGTTTCAACGAACGTCAGCAAGAATTGAACACTGTTAAAAAATATTTATTTAGTGATTCTAACACTCCGTTTTACGTTTATGGACCCAGCGGAGTTGGTAAAAACTCATTATTGAGGTATTCCATTAAGAGACAAACTAATTAATAATATTCATAAGTTCTGTGTCATATATATACAGTATATTACTATATATAATCTATATTAAGAAACACCTTTAATATCTTAATATTAATGGAATATTTCAATACTTTAATAGTAAAGTTGCCTTAGATATTCCCGATTGGATATTAGATGAAGAAAGTTTGACAATTATTAAATTTGTCGGCCTTACTACAAATTCCAAAGATATTGTTTCTACAATCCATAGCTTATGCATTCAGTTAGCTTTAGCCATTGAGCAACCAACTGAAGATATACCAAGAAATCCTTCCCAAGCTATCATTGATTATTTTCACGAACTTTTAACTAAAATTCCCAGGGGTCAAGCGTGCACGATTATTATTGGAAACGTCTCGAATGTTTCATGGATTCCTCAGTATTTAGCTTCAAATGTAAAAATTTTAATTGGATTAAGGGAAAATGCAATATTAGCAGACAATGTATCTGTTGATAATTTCTTAGAATTGAAAGAGCTTGGTAAAGAAAGCGGTTTGAAAATGTTAAATGCTTTACTTTCGGAGAAAAACAGAATCCTGCAGAATGATCAAAGAGAGATTATAAGTAAACTGTTAGAAAAATGCTCTTTACCTAGTTATATAAAATTGTTAAGCGAGGAAGCTGCTAGATGGACTTCCACTTGTTTAATAGGAATTGATAAACTTCCACCAGATGTACCTACATTTTATGCAGCTTTCTTCAGTCACTTAGAGGGTATGCATGGAGAAGCTTTAGTTTCAAAATCTTTATCGTATCTCACAGCAGTTTCTCATGGTTTAACTGATTGTGAAATGGATGATCTTCTTTCTTTAGATGATCAAGTTCTTTTAGAAGTTTGCCCACCAGTTTTATCAGGTTCTACTAGGATTCCACATGTGTTTTGGAGAAAACTAAAACTATCCCTAATGTCTCTTTTGCGAATCTATCAGTGCGAACGATTAAATGTATCGACATGGGCTCACGAGCTTAGTAGAGAAGCTGCGAAGGTCAGATACTTAAGAAATCCTGAAATAGCCGAATCTGTTCATTTAACCTTAGCTGAATACTTTGGAGGAAGATGGCATGATATTTCGAAACCTATTAAAAACGGAAATAGCATAAAAGCAGCCAATAGATTAGTACCTTCCCAACCACTACAATTTGAAAACGGCTCTTTCAACATCAGGAAATTAATGAATGTACCTCAACATCTCTTTGAAGCTGGACAAATTGACAAGCTAGAAGATAACGTTCTCTTCAACTTTGACTGGTTAAGAAGTAAACTCATGGCCTTGGGATTTGATGCACTCTTAGATGATTTTAGTCTAATATCTGGAAGAGATGTCCTACTTGTAGAACATGCTCTAAGAGATTCTGCTGACATTTTAGAAAATAATCCTTCTAATCTTGCGGTAGAACTAACTGGTAGATTACTTTGTCATTGTATAGAATACCCAAAAATTAAGTCTCTTATCTATCAATGCGATGTGAAAGGCATCGACGACTGCGGTATTATACCTGTAACTCCATTTCACAATGTACCAGGTTCGCCTCTCAAAACAGTCGTGACTTTACCGGAAGTACCTGATGTTTTGGAGGCTCTAAAAAAAGAATCATCTAACGATGAGAGATATATTCTGGCCAAATCGAATAAAAGCTCTACAGTATTTGTTCTAGATGCCAAAGAATGTAGGAGAGTAGCTACAGTTGAAACTTCCGTTGGTGAATTATTTTGTTCACCATGTGGAAAATATATTATTATCATAGACGAAGAGCACGATAGATCAATTAAGATACATGACGCTAGCAACGGGTCTTTCATTGGTCAGATAGTACCTGAACGACACATCCAATTTCCGTCAAGACCATCAACAGGTTTTAAATGCAAATTCTCTAAACCATCCCTGCAGAATGGTCATTGCTGTATAGCAGCAACTAAAGAATCAAGTCGTTTGCTCTTCTTCAGTTTGTTAACTTCGAAACTGTTGTCTGTAAAAGGTCTGAGTGGTAAGGCTACAGTTTGTCAACTATTTTCCTCTGCCGACCTATTATTAACAAATGATGGACCCGCTAATATTTGTATATTTAATACCGAAAATATGAAATTAATAAGTCAAGTTGTGCTTGGTTACGATACTGAAAAGGCTGGTTATCCGAAATTAGTTTGCCTTACAGAGGATTGTAAAAAAGCTTTTGTATGTTGCGATGGACAATCAACCACAATCTATATTCTTCTTTTGGACAATGAAGGAAACGCCGATATTCAGTTCAGTATTAATGTAAATCAACAACTATCTGGCGAGGATGTCGAAGATATGACGGTCTCGCCGAACAACAATTATTTCTTTATCAAATCTCATTCACATTTAGTTGTATTTGATAATGATACACAGAGGGAAATTCAACATATTGAGAGGCCGAGTTATATACCAACTGAATTTCAATTACCTGGGCACATGACAGCGGAAAGATTAGGTTTTGAGAATGCCTTGTTCACACCAGATTCCAATTATATCGTTTCGTCAATCTTCAGAACAATTTTCCTCTGGCCAGTTCGAGCAACGTCACCATCCATGAAACCAGCCGCAGTTTTGCAAACTCCTATAGGATTGGTCAACAGGATATTAGCACCTAATTCAAGCGGTAGCGAAGCAGCCCAATTAATAAGTCAACAAGCCAAATCAAATACTATACATGTGTGGAAATTAGCTAGTGCCTGTTCCCATGTCATTTTGACAGATCGACTTACTAAGCCTATAAAAGCAATAGAAGTAAACAAATGCGGCTCAGCTCTCGTGATAAGCGAAGATTGCGAAAGTGTAGGAATCCTAGAAATGGACACTGGCAGACTAATTGATCTTTTCACTCATCCTAGAATTGTTAAAGGAGCGGCTATTAGTTGTGATGGAAACTATGCTGTAATATCACTAACTGGTAGTGAGAGAGGAGATTCAAATTGGATCTGGGATATTAAACAGAGAAAAGTTCTTTTGGAGATTGGAGAAGCTTCTGCCAGCGTAAAGGCATTACAAAATAGTAATACTTTTGCCTGCCTTCACCAAAGAGCCAATACTTTCCGATCTGCTAGTTTATTCTGCCTTATTGAATTTGGCGACTTTGAAGAGGACACAGTTCAATTAAGATACGCTAACGAGATAATTGACGAAGATCATGTAGAGAACATTGCAGAATACGTACTAAAAGATATGCAACTATCATCTGAAGATAAGTTTGCCGTTTTATTATCCGCAAATAACTATGATGAACGTCAGGCAACTTATGTAGGAACATCACTAACTGTAATAGATTTAAAGGATAGTCTTGAGGTAAAGACGTTTGACGAAGATAGGCTCAGGGAACACGATGACAGCTTACAGAAAATTGTTGACTTTAACGTACACACCAACAATCCCTATCTGGTGACGCTTATCTACAGTATAGAAAAAAGGGAAAACAATCAATGTCTAGGCCTAATGGAATTAGATATTTGCAGTGAAATAGCTCTCAGAATAATCGTCGATTTATTCTCTCCAGTAGTACAACTTGAAAAAGTTCTATATGAAAATAATAATCAATACTGCATTGATGATCAATGCAATGTGATAAATTTGGATACAGGTCTGATTGAAAGAAAGATAGTAGATGAGAATCTTCCAAGATCTTTTGCTCATAACGGTCGACTTTTAATATTTTATAATCAAGATAAACTTTGGGTAAGAAGAACAGCTGATGGATCAATTATCGGAAAGATAACTACATCAGGTAACTAATTAGGAATTAGCTTTCTAATCACGCTATTTATTCTCTTTCTTCTTGTTTTCATTGTAGCTCCTATAACATGCATCAAAGTGTGTCAAGATGATAGAACGATTCTAGTTGGCTTAGAAGATGGTGCTGTATTAGAATATATAATAGTTGATCCCTTGAATGATGATCCAAACAAGATCTTGTCAGAACTACCTACAAGAATAAAGCATATTGGACCAAATTCGGTCAAGAGAATATGGGATCGAGTTGATACTGAAACTGGCTTGCCACCATTCGTAAGCAGCAGAGCATCATCGGCAAGTCGTTTTCGATTGTCTTCCAGAAAAGAGAAGGAATTACTAAGTAGTGTAGAAACAGTGAACTTTTACCCAAGAAACTCGGTAGGCGCTTCACGCGCTTGTATAATCCTCTAGAGTTTTATTCTTCCCCAATTTTTATGTTTTTAAGTTCCTCCCACTCTTGCTTCCTCTATATTTTTTCCTTTATATCTTTTAACCAATCGAAATAGCATAAAACTTACATTTTGATACAAAAACGAACTACAAACAAATAATTATTATATATTATTGATGCTTTAAAAAATCTAACTAAAATAAATAAAATACAGCCATTTTTAATTTGTAACACTAGAAGAACGTAAAGAAAAAGTTGATGTCGTTTTAATAGGGAACTATTTTAATAGCAATGTGGTCAATAACTAGAATACGATCCCAATAATTACCGATTCTGCTTTATTACATTATTCAAAAGTTTTCTTGATACTAGATTTGACGGTAAACAACAATATTCCACGAGCTCATACATTTAAGGTAAGACTGTTAGCATTAATAATTATTTATTTAATCTTTTCTCCCATTTTTCTAAAACTATCTTAGACGATAAGATGGGCTTTTGACAAAATTTGTAACTCATTTAATAGTTAGTATGATTGACACTGTTAGTAATTGTATTATTCAGCCATTATAATTGTCAAAGGAGTAGTCTTGAAAAATAGTCGCTCCCATGGCTTTCATGGAAATAGTCCGTATATTACTACGCATTCGCAATCGAAAGAAAAAGTACGCTTTATAAAACTTTACAGAAGAAAACAAATTTTCTATGGTTATTTATTAACCTGATACAAAAATTTGACCAGGAGGATTTCCTAAAGAAATATGCAAATTTAGCATGGAAGTTTGGTAAGTCTATAGTGTCGATTTTTAGCCCTTTTGCCTTCTTCGTTCTTTCGTTGACTCATTAAAAAATTCATGGCTTTTTATTTAAGTTTGTAGTTGCACTGACTCATTAATAGGATGTCTATTGCACATTATTATGTGGAAAATATCTAATTCAAGTAAAAAATTTATTGATGCATGCTAGATAAAGGAGATAATTGAAATCATTTTCCTTGACCCACTTTCAAAGAGAAAGTAGCGACGGCCATGTTTTATATTAGCAACGAACACGTGTAGACATTTATCCAATTTATTGCTTTTAACTATTGCACCGAGTGAATCTGACCACAATTTCTTATATGATTCAGCGATATTAATAATGTTCTTGCCACTATTTCAATTAGATAAAGGATGAAATTTTTTCACTATAAATACTTTCTATTATATTTACCCCTCCCAAGCGTATGCATCAACACATTATATTTTCGGATTATTTAGGCCTAATAGTACATTCCTTCTCTCAACGTCAACAGTTTAAATAGGTGATTATTAATAGAATTTTTATGAGTAGTACATTCTAATGTAACATATTGAACATGTCAAAAATATTAGGTTAAAGTCTGTCTGTGTCGGTCTTTGTATATTTTCAAAATCGAATCGTTTACAATACTGTACATAAAGCTGTCAAGAAAGGAAACGAGAAGACTACTTCATATAAAATAGCAATAAAAAAGGATGTAATAATTGTCATAAAAATAACTATAAGAAATTTAAGTTGTCTTTTTTTTTATATAAAAAAAACTTTCATCTTTTTTATTTTATTTCAATATCACTTAAATATTCATTAAAAAAAACAGACTTTTTCAAGTATTTTAACAAAAATTGCAAAATCATGAGGAAAAACAAAATATTTACTCTTCTTTTCACTTGTTTGCTGATTTGACTAAAGAGGAAAGAAGAAGTATTCAAGTTTTTTTTTTTTAATATAACCAAACATAACCTTTAGTATTGGTTTTACAATAATAAATTAGATCTTTTTATGTTGGTTGTAAAAATTTATCCATATTTGAGTACAAATTCTTTATTTGTAAAGAATGATAATGGAAAAGCTTACCTCAATAATATTTCATGATAATAAATTTTTATATTTAATCATTAACAGATCATTATGAACACATGCGACAAATCCTTAATACCTACTGTTGTTGAGGAATTTGGACTATCTAAAATGGAAAAACTTAGTATACCGACGCCAATTATGAATCCAAAAGGTTCATTGCCCTGCATTCAACAAAAAAAACAGTTCTGTAACCAAAAGACATTAGGAGGTGGATCGCTTTTGGAAGTTCGGCAGGATCAGTCAGAGTCCCTTGAACCATTGGACTTGTCAACCAAAGCTGAAAAGTTTTGCACACTGATGGCAAAGGATTATATAAAGAACATGGTTAAATATCCACCAAATTCCAAATCCGTCCTACCTCAGCAGGGCTTTGTAAGATCTAAAAAACGAGATATCGAACAATCTACCGAAACTGAAATTAATGCAGCATCAATATTGGCATCTTTTCAAAATCAAACTCCAAAATCACCTTTTGAATCAGATACCGAAAAAGAAGCAGCCGAGGCTCTGCTGTCACTTAGTGAGGGAGTATCAAATCGAAAAATTGTGAAATCTTCAAAGTATCCAAAAATGAAAAAATTAGGCCCCTGTCCCAACTTAAAACCTCCAATAAAGCCAAAGCAAGATTCTGATGAGTTACGTCGGGAAATGGAAGACGTTATGCAATGCGGTGGACCCAGACCGATGGACAGATTACCTCTTCGGCCTTGGTTAAAAAAGGTGCTGGATTTAAATTGCGCTTCAGGGGTTCAGTGGATGGATAAAGAAAATGGTAAATTTAGAGTTAAGTGGAAACATGCTGCCAGGCAGGGTTTTAGTGTCGACGGAGATGCAGAACTTTTTAAACTTTGGGCTATTCATACGGGGAAATATAATGAAAGTAAGGATAAACCTGACCATAAGAGATGGAAAGCAAACTTTCGATGTGCAATAAACTCTGTTAGTGATTTGGTCGAGATTAAAGACGCAATGCATCGACAAGACGGTGAAACTTATAAGGTTTTTCAGTTTTTACCAGAGAAAGCAAAAAAATCCCTGTCTTGCAAACCTCCAATTGAGCCAAAATTGAAAAAGATTAAGGTTGAATGCCCATCCCCAAGAAGACTATCAAACTCAAATTTACAGCCAGTTGCTACGTATTCTTGACTTGTATAGTGTATATTTGTTTTATTTTCTCTTCTCACAAGCTACGTGCATACAAATTAAGAAATCTTCTTACAAAACTCCTGTTCTCAGATCGTTTGAGGTTTGAACAACAAATTTGATGTCTTTAAATTAAAAGAATAATTAGCAAACACCTATTCATAAGCTAGCTAATATCAAAAGACGTATAAATTAAGAGCCTGAATTATATTTTGTTGTTTTTGTTTTCTTTTTTTTCGTATTAAGGTTGCATTTGATGCATTATATTTTTAACAAAAAAAAAAGAGAATATAGAGATATCGTCTTTTGTGATGTAATTGACCGAATCTGTTTCGTGTAGTTCAACAGGTGAAAAATTCCTGCTACAATATTTCAATAGAAAGTTTTTTTGTTAACTTGGATAATAAGTCCTAAAGTTTTTTATTACAAGATAAAAGAAAATTAAAATACCTTGTTACTGATTTTCATTCTTTTTGGCTTGCAAACTGCAGTATTTCATTTTCCAGAGTGACTTTGCGGTTTGAATTTTGCGCCATTCACCACATACCGGAAACAGAAACGAAAGAACTGTCTGGAATCTAAGATGTCTGCCGTGAAAGCATTGAATCCAAATGCTGAGGTCGTAAAAGCCTCTCAAGCTTTAGCCGTCAATTTAAGTGCCGCGAAAGGTATTCAGGATGTTCTTAGAACGAATCTCGGGCCGAAAGGAACAATTAAAATGTAAACTTATCGATAAGTTTTTGATGTATACCTATTTTTGACTGTATTATTAATTTCGCAGGCTTGTTTCCGGGGCCGGTGACATTAAATTAACTAAAGACGGCAATGTTTTGCTTCATGAAATGGTTAATATTTTATAATAAATTTTTGTCTGACTTGGTAGATCGTTCTAATCAATTAAGTATTTTTAGCAAATTCAACATCCGACCGCCGCCTTGATAGCACGTGTTGCTACAGCACAAGACGATATCACAGGGGACGGAACTACATCGAACGTCCTCATCGTTGGCGAATTACTAAAACAGGCTGAAATGTATATAGCCGAAGGTCTACATCCTAGAGTGGTTTCTGAAGGTTTTGACATCGCAAAAAAGAGAGCTCTAGAATTTTTAGACGAAATCGTTATGAAGAAAGACAATGTAGATCGCAAAGATTTAATTTCTGTTGCTAGAACATCTTTAAGAACAAAATTGAACGAGTCTCTTGCTGATTCTCTAACTGAAGTAAGTTACCAAAAAAACGAGAATAATCATATTCATATTATAACGCTGAGCTTTATTTACAGCATGTCGTAGATTCTGTTTTAGCAATTGAAAAGCCTAACACACCTATTGATCTTTTTATGGTCGAAATTATGTCGATGCAACATAAAACAGATATGGATACTACTTTGGTAAAAGGTATCGTAATGGATCATGGATCCCGTCATCCAGATATGCCTAAGCGTTTGGAAAATTGCTTTATTTTAACCTGTAATGTCTCCTTGGAATACGAAAAGTCAGAAGTAAACAGCGGATTCTTTTATAAATCGGCAGAAGAACGAGAAAAATTGGTATTAGCAGAAAGAGAGTTCATCGATGCTCGTGTAAAGAAAATAATAGAACTAAAAAGAAAAGTCTGCGACGGGAATGACAAAGGATTTGTCGTCATTAATCAAAAAGGTATGCCCATCCTATGCTAATAAGTTATGAGTCATCAAATTTATAAGAATGACTTGTAAAAAACATTTGTAGATGTCTGTAATATTTTGTAATATTTCAGGAATTGACCCACCATCTCTTGACTTGTTGGCGAAGGAAAATATAATGGCTTTAAGACGTGCTAAGCGCCGAAATATGGAAAGATTACAATTAGCTTGTGGAGGAATAGCTATGAATTCTGTTGATGATCTTGTCCCAGAAAATCTGGGATACGCCGATCTCGTTTACGAAGTAGTACTGGGAGAAGAGAAATTCACCTTTGTTGAAACATCCAAGAAACCTAAATCAGTTACCCTTCTAGTGAAGGGTCCGAACAAGCATACAATTGTTCAAATTAAGGATGCACTACGGGATGGTCTAAGAGCCGTAACAAATGCTATAGAGGATAAATGTGTTGTTCCCGGTGCTGGAGCTTTTGAAGTTGCCGCTAGCACAGATTTAGTAAAATTCAAGAATTCCGTAAAGGGCAGAGCTAGACTTGGCGTACAGGCCTTCGCTGATGCACTACTTGTTATACCAAAGACCCTAGCCCAAAACGCTGGATTGGATCTTCAAGACAGTATTCTAAAAATACAAGAGGGACAAGAGAAAGGCGGATGGAATGTTGGGTTAGATTTACTGACCGGAGAAACTTTGATACCTAGCGATGCAGGAATCTATGACAATTACCGAGTTAAGAGGCAGATATTGAATTCTTGGTAAGTTTTAAAATTATTGATTTGTTGCCTATCTCTAAGCGCATAGTGAAATAAGGGCTTGGCTAAACAAGCCCATTCGTATTAAAAATCTGAATGTACTAGTTAATAATGTTTATTACTAAATTTTAAATTCAAATCTTTTATTTACAGCACTGTTATAGCCAGCAATCTTTTATTGGTAGATGAAATTATGAGAGCCGGACTATCGTCTTTGAAAGAAGCCTAGGGACATTAAATTTTTTTTCTACCTATTTAGTTGCGTGGCATTGATAATACAAACAAAAAATTAAAGAATTTTTTTGAGTTAATTGCGCCCGGCTGCCGATGACTGTTCAATATTTAGAGTCTTCTTTACAGAATTTACAACATTCATTACTCTTGGCAAGGCTGCTTCCTCTAACGATTTAGCATATGGCATTGGGACATCTGCACCAGTAACCCTAACAACTGGAGCATCCAAATAATCAAAAGCTTCACTTTCGCTTATTTTTGCGCAAATTTCTGCTCCAACACCAAATTGGGGCCAACCTTGTTCCACCGTAACTAAGTGATTTGTCTTTTTCACGGATTTAATTATCATTTCGCTGTCCATTGGACGGATTGTGCGAAGATTAATAACTTCTGCCTCAATTCCAATTTCTTTGAGCTCCTCAGCGGCATCTAAGCAAAGACTAACAGCCTTCGAATGCGCAACAAGAGTAATATGATTACCTGAAATTAATCAACCATACTTTCTGAAGGACATGTTTAAATAATATTTACCCTCTCTTTCAATTTTTCCTTTTCCAATCGGAATTAGATAATCCTCTTTCAAACACTCATCTGGGGTATCGAAAGTTACGTTGTACATCAATTCATTTTCTAGGAAAATAACGGGATCATCGTCTCTGATAGCAGATTTTAGTAGTCCCTTGCAGTCTTCAGCACTGAAAAAAGATATACTTTTATCGTTTTTCTGCTTTAGTTGCAATTTAGTTTACTAACCTATAAGGTGAAATCACTTTCAATCCTGGGCAGTGTGCATACCATGCAGCGAAGCACTGAGAGTGTTGAGCAGCAACACCAGCAGCAGCCCCATTGGGTCCTCGAAACACTATCGGAACTTTAACACTACCCGCTGACATGTAATAGGTTTTAGCAGCTGAGTTGATAACCTAGATGAGGCAAACTATGATTTATGGTATATGTACAATTTATTGCAAACACCTACCTGATCTATAGCTTGCATCGAAAAGTTGAAAGTCATGAATTCACAGATAGGTCTTAGTCCATGCTGATTATAGATAAGTTAAGTTAGTAAAGAGTCAAAAAAAAGTTGATTGTATTTAACCATTGCGGCTCCTACGGCTATGCCTGCAAATCCCATTTCAGTAATAGGTGTATCAATAATTCTCTTTTCGGTGTACTTTTCAAGGAGACCTTGGCTAACCTGTCAACATTTTTTATTAAAATTCTTATGATTCAAATTTAACAGTAGTAATCGTTATTTAACCTAAGAAAGAATCATCGGCTGAGATAGATAACGTACAGATAACTAAAGATATTTCTAACGAAACGTCTTTCGAATAGTTTACCTTATAAGCTCCATCATAGTTTGCTACTTCTTCGCCCAATAAAATAACTTTTTCATCTCTTGCTAATTCTTCATTCAAAGCCCTAGTTAGCGCAGATCTTACTGTTATCTGTTAATAATGAAAAAAATAATTAACAAAACTTGTTTTTGCTTATCACAAACATAAAAATGACGATTAGGTTTTTTGAGAACATTAAATTTTTAAATGTAATAAAAGTCAACTCAATATTGAGCCCATGAAATCGATTTAGGCTGGGTAATGGCAAAAACTTTTATCCATTTTCACTTGTGATAAAAAGAAAATAACCTTTTGTGATCTTGCAGCTGAGACAGCAAAGCATCGTCTTGCCAGCGCAAGGGGTATATTCTGTAGTTGATAAAAATTTGACTTTATAAAATATAGCACAAACCAAATAGTCTTACGGCTTGCAAAAGAAATTTTCTTGAGATGTTTGCCATTGATAAGTCACGTCCTTCACCCTTACAGAGAAAACCACGGTTGCAGTGAATATAATTATGTTCGTAGAAGAAAATATTTATTTAATATTAAGAAAAGTGATTTTTTCAATTATACAGAATTAAGGGAAAATTATTTCGAAATCTCGTAATTTTTTAAACAGGAAATGCGCATCAATACATTACTTGTTCGAACTACTTTCGTCCTTTCACGTTTCTTCTTCATTGGAAAATCATCAAGTAAGAAAGTTTTTGAGTTTTTTTGAGAATTACCACACTTTAAACTAAGTTTGTAGGCGTTAAGAACTTGTTTTCACGCGTATTTAACATCTATTATATAATACTTAAATTGTGCCTGTGCCAAATGTGATATTTAAAGTATACATGCGGTAAAAATGGCGGAATGCCATGTGACAATTTTCGAAAAAATAAAATTTTAAATCAATATCTTTCGGGTTCTTCCAGTTAAAACAAAGAAATGGCTGATGAAGAATTTGAACAAGCCCACTCTGGAGCTTCGCAAACTTACCCAATGCAATGTTCTGCACTACGTAAAAACGGTCACGTCATGCTGAAGGGAAGACCATGCAAAATTGTTGAAATGTCGACTTCGAAAACCGGAAAACACGGTCATGCCAAAGTTCACTTGGTTGGATTAGATATTTTCACTAACAAGAAACACGAAGATATCTGCCCTTCGACCCACAACATGGAAGTGCCCAATGTTAGACGTGATACTTATTCGGTAAGTAGACCACGTGGTAGTCTACAATTTGAAAGCACGTACAGCTATCATTACAAACTTCCCTTTCTAGTTTGGCTAGAACCCAATTGTTATTCAAAATGGGATTGTCACTTGCATATCAATATTGATTTGTACTGAGAACGATTGTTAATACTTTTTTTTTATTTCAGCTAATTAATATAGGAGACGACAACTTTCTAACTTTGATGACCGATAGTGGGGATACTAGAGAGGATTTGAAAGTTCCTGATGACTTGTGCAGTGAGCTCCAGAAAGCTCATGATAATAATACCGACAAGGATATCATGATCACTGTTCTGATGGCTTGTGGAGAAGAAAAAATTATCAGTTTTAAGCAAGTTGATGGTAAATAAAATGAAGATAAGGAGTATGCGTTTATTTAATAAATGACGAGTCGAGAAATTATCTAACCTTGCAGAATCGCCATGCTATAAAGCGAATTTATATTATTATCGGCATATTTTGCTTAGCAGTTATGTTTTCTTTAGTTATATAAAAAGAATATCATAATTTATGAAGCATTTAATGTATTACTGCACGCTTTAAAAACTTCATGAGTTCTAACTCAACTCGCGTTTATTAAATATACTATGTCTTTCATTCAAAAACTGCCTTTAAGCAACACATCGATTTATCAGCAATATCAAGGCTAGTCCTTGCACTAGGCCATATGTGTGGCCAACGTTTTGAATTCCCTTTCCACGCCCTAAAAATTCCTTTGCAAACTTCACAGTCCACTCAATCTTTCATTCTCTAGCGACCGTACTGTAAGAAATCCTTACATTGAGGACAGTAAAATATCCTGTTTTGATTATGTATAAACTGTTATATCAATTAACTGTCTTAAAGATAAAATCGGTAAAAGAAGCCTTTTATATTACCTATTCCATCAATTATTAAATGAATTAAAGATCATATTTATAGACATCCTGTAAAAAGAAAACCAGTGATGATCTATAAAAATTCCAGCTGGCTTATTAGAACAGATTAGAGCGTTAAAAAATTATACATTAAAAGATAAGATATAATATCAAACTCATAAAATTTGCCACCAACAGTGTCCGAAAAACGCAAATAGCTCTGATTTTGTTTGAATCATTCTCAAGATAAACTATAACATATAATAAAGAATGTAAAATTTACAAGTATGTAAAGTTATGAACATAACCTATATTTTACTTTATACCAATAGCAATCTCTAACATGTGCTCCTATTCTAACAATATCAATCTGTCGATTTTTTTTCCTACTCTATAAATGCGTGTAGTACACTATGCTTTATTCATGTGTTACAACCTATCCAGCGCAGTTATCCAAAGAGTATGAATTATAGAAAATGATAAAAGACTGCTATAAAAATTGATCTCAAAAATTCTTTTACACAATTCTTTATAAATAATATTAGTATATGAATTAAACAATAGCTGTCACTTTTCAAACAACAACAAACACAGAATGGTCGTTTATGAGTTCACAGACGATTTTCCTAGAATATCGAGAAAAAAAGACCTTGAGAATTTAGGGAGAAAACAATTCTGACCGCCCCTCTTAAGAGAAAAGAGATATAATCGGAAATCCTAAAGGCCGTCACAAAAATCTACTTATAAACAACGTGTATGATCTGTTCAAATTATGAATTATTTAGAGAGAATCATTGATGGGTAAAAGTTTTTATATTTGCTAAGCTTGTTAAACTATATATAAAATATGTTTTTTTTAGAAAAAGAAACCATTCTACGATTATTTACTTTCTTGGCTTTATTGTTACCCAAATTTCTTTGTCTGGTATAGTAACAAGACCAAATTTGAAGCCAACTTTCTCATGTCCAGGAACTAAAGACCATTCGAAATCTCTTAGTAAAGTTGTAAGAGACACAGTCATTTCCAACATACTTAATTTATGTCCAGGACATTTTCGCTTTCCAGCAAAACCGAAGGGTTCAAATTGAAATGGTTCGACGTTTTCGTCAAATCGTTCTGGCATGAATTGATCCTTATCTTTCCAAATTTCTTCCGAATCATGGCTAACAGCGTTAGCAATCATTATTGGTGTATTGGGAGGTATTTTGTGTCCGCCCAAAGTGATTTCAACATTAGATATTCTGCCAGACCATGTTGCTAATTTAGACAGTCTGAGTGTTTCTTTAATAACGTTTTTAACATAAGTGAGCTGATTAAATTTCTCAAAATCTATTGGGTCATCTCCAAGAACATCAAATATCTCCCTCATTAAGGTTTCTTTAACTCTAGGATTTGTCATTAGAAAGTATAAAGCCCAAGTAATTGTTGTACCAGTAGTATGTAAACCGCCAACTAACATTGTCACAGCATCGGCAATTTGAACTTCTTTTTCTTCTACATTTTCAAGTAAAACATCGACAAATAACCCATCTCCTTTTCCAACTCTATTTTCCAGAGAATTTTTAACAGCGGCGTGAACTTCGTTCTTTCGTCTTTCGAATTGTTCAGTATCTTGCATAAAGTTTGGGGATAGAGATTTCTCCAAATAGTCCCATATGAATCGATAATTTTCCGTTAATCTTCTACCCTCTTCAGCTGATTTATCAAAACCAAATAGAAGACGATAACTCATTCTTGATGATAATACTATTGAGCTATTAAGCAAAGAAATATGTTCATCCTCTGGTACCTCCCTTAATGTTTCCGAATTTCTTCTGCATTCATCATTAATTATATCGAGGTATTTACGCAAGGCTGTTGGATTCTGTAGAACTTTCGAATATAATTTATGTCGTCTTCGTGCTTCTGCTCCATTAGTCAAATTGATAGAATGCTCTGTGATAAGTGGTTGAAATAGAGAAAATAATCTCTTCGGAAGATCGAACAAAGCTGAACATTCTTTAAATAATTCCGGTCCGTAAATACTGACAACCAGTTGCTCATAAAACCAAAATGACATAATTCTACCATATTTATTATGTTGTGCTTTTAAGAACTCGAACATGCTGCCATGTTTTGTAATATCTGGAATGTTTCCATACCTAATTTCAAAGGAAAAATAGACAAATAATAGAATGGCACTATAATTATAAATTCCAATTGATAATATACTTTTCATCTGAAGAATCCGGACCAGGAACTGTTGTAATTTTTCTCGATCCCTATAAGAGTGATAATAGTAATTATCAAAGATTTTAACTATGGTTTAGATTGAGTACTTACAGGATATAAATAAAAGGCAGCTGCAATTAGTGCCACAACAAAAGTGACCGCAAATATTGCAAAGTCCAGCATCCTTTCCTTTGGGATACTATAATCTGTTTGTGGAAGGTTATGCAGTTGTAAATTTTCCAAAAACGCTATAAAATTCCAGTTTAATTGCTCTCAGTAAGATTTTACCTTATGGTTTTAACATTTATTACTTAATTAGAAAAACTTTAAATTCTTCAATAAGCTGATTAAACTTGTTGATTTATTATCTTCTTCTAAGCCTGTTTGTATATTTCGCAAGGTTAATCGTAGATAATAAATTTAGGGTTAGTCTTATGACACGTATTTCAAGTTCAAGGTGAATATACAAATAGAAACTGGTAATTCACATATCTAAGCTTACTTTTAAATAAGTTTAATTTTGATTTCAAAACACATTAACTTAAAGATGATCCTACAAGATACTTCTATATTTCTGTCAAATTCGTTAAACTGCCAAAATTAACTATTAACAATAATCTCTATGTATAGGTTAGAATAACTGATTATACATAACAACTACATAGAATAGGACAACTATTATATTATTAAAACTTTAGTAAACATTAACTTGTTTTTGTTAATATTTCAACTACAGGCCTTCTGATAGTCAAAATTTGACTTTAATACTTTAAACTAAGGACATATATTTTTAATATAGGTCAATTTTGGGGATCAAAATTCTGACTTTAATGTTTTAAACTAAGAATATATATTATAAATACTTTCCTCTTCTTTACGTAGTTCAATAGTTCATCCAGTCACCAATCATATGGAATCCACCATTTTGAATTATAAGACAAGTTGCAACTGTTTTTTTAAAGTTTTATGAAACAACTAGGTTTATGATTTTAACAATTCAAATTAAGAATAACAAATACTTTAAATATTTTAGACAATAGTGATTAAGTATATCGATATGTAGAAAACCTAAAATCTTGTGTTGAAAGACTGGCAGCCATTTTCTTGTTTTGTAAAGTTTACTGTCAATAGTATAACTTTATGTTATGCAATTTCTCTAAAAGAGTAAATAATACTATTGTTCTCTCTGGGAAATTCTTTTTTAGATAAAATTTTATGTTTTATTATTGTTTTTACAAGCTTTTAGAACTGTTTGAAACGATATAGTATCGCACTTCAAAGGGATAATTTCAATGGAGTTTGTATGGTTTGTAATTTGAAACCATCAATAAAAACTGATATCACCATTAAAATAATGTTTTGCCTATTTTGTTTTAAGTTTTCGCGCGTTTATTTTAATGTCATACATTTCGAAATTATTAGCTTACGCAATCCTGACTGATATATCTTTAATATAAATTGAAGTAGTGGTAATTTTCCTCACGCCCCTGCTATCATCTATATCAATCATTTTAAATTTTATCATAGCTCAATTCTGTTATGGGGCCGCGTTGCATCATAAGTCGCAAGCTATTGCACAAACTGGTGAAAAGGTAGGCGAATCTTTGTGATTATTTTCATTCTATCACAAAACTATGGCAAAGTCTTTGGATTCCAGTTTATATTATCCAATTCAGGCAAATACTTTAAGAATTGGGCAATATGCTCTGCTACATGATAAACCATGTAAAATTGTCCAGATTGTTAGATCTCAGCCGGGAAAACACGGACCTGCTAAGCTCGTTTTCGTTGGTTTGGACGTGTTTACTGGTAAGAAGTATGAGGATTGCTGTCCAGCAAAGCATATGATGAAGGCGCCAGAAATGTCCAAAAATGAATATGAGGTAAAATATCATTAAAATTAAAATAGGTAATAATTAATAATTATTGTATACTTGGCAGGTTATTTCAGTTAGTGATGAAATAGTTGTTATTGAAAAGGATGGATCTTTCCCTGAAATGCAGCTACCTAAGAATGATATTGGAAAGAAAATGTCTAATATGTTCGAAAATGAAGATCAGCTGAAAATTACAGTTCTAAATGCAATGAATCAAGAAGCTATAGTTGCAGTAAAAAAGATAAAAAACTAACTTATTATTCTTCAACAATATTTATCATGTAATAGTAAACTTGATAACTCTTAAAAAAAAATGATTTCCAATACTTCTTGAATATGAAAAGATATAAATATAAATAATTGTATATATATATAAAGTGTATATATATAAAAATATATAAATATTGAAAAATTCAATGAATTTGAAAATATAAAATAGATTAGTAGTAAATAAGTAAAATGGAAAAAAATATAGGTTTTTAGTAACGTTTTGTATTTTGACTTTGGAAAATTCTCTCCTAATAAAGGTATAACTTCCCAAAAAACGAAGAAAAAAAAGCTACATACACAATTAACGATATTCTAAATCTATTCAGATCGATTTGGGCGTTCTTACGCCCTGGAAATCTATCAACATCTTTTGTATTAACTTTTCCTTCTTCTTATTGTTTCTGTCTGTAATTATATACGCGACAATTGCCTGATAATATTTGAAGGTAACATTGCCTCCATTTTCTCCACTATATACATAACTATCATGTATAACCAACCAACTATTGTTTTCGCCATGTAACCCATTGGTTCAGGGTACTGGTGCGTTAATAGAGCTAGGAGGGCTGTGAAGGAACACAATCCAGCAGTGAAGAGTATAAAGAAGGGAAGTTCTTTTTTCGGATATACCGATAGATCGTGGAAGTCTGAAAGGTTTTTATAAGTCGATTAATAACAAAGAATATTTCGAGAAAGGAAGAGGGGAAGGTATATAGAATGTGTGCTTACTGGGCAATAATTCCTTGTCCGCATTCTCCGTACAAGTTGGGTATGGATAGAAAAGGTGTCCCTTTTCTAGAGGATAAGGAATCATCCGAAAAGTACCTTCCCAAGTACAATGCAACAAATTTAAAGCGCCATCAATTCGCTTCCAATGATGCAAATGAAAGAAGGCATAAGCTATAGCCTCGGAATCTCCCCGTTTTAATATGTGTTCTGGGGGTAATATTAAGCCCTTCATTTCAAGCAAATACTTCGGCACATGTGGATTAAATTCAACTGCCCTGTGAATTGCTTCAACTGCACTCATCTCCTGGGCAGTTAGACCTCGCTTAGAAGCGGAATCTGGCGAGAATTTATCCGCCACTTGGCGGGCTTTGAGTAGTGCCGCTGTATAGCAAATTGCTGCCGACTTAGGTAAATTAATGTCATCGTATTTAGCCAACACAGCTTGTACGTCGGCATAAGCTTGCAATTCAAGCAAAGCTTCTATTAGATTCTCATGGAGATTGAATAAATTAAATAAAGGGAATTCTTTCATAAGTTCTCTTATCATTTTAACAGCTTCTTTTGTTTTGCCCAAACGGCGGGCACACATAGCTAATCGTCTCTTAACATAAATTAACACATTAGTATCTCGCCTATGTAAATTCTCAAATTGTAGACCTTGATTCTGCTGTTGGTGACTTTTCTTATAGCTAGTTTCTGCTGATTTAAACGCCTGCTTAAGCATTTTTTCGCACTCTAGTGTAGTTGAACAATCTTCCTCTGCTAATAATATCATAGCTGGAGCACAATCCGGACTTTTCTCTAAAGCTTCATTAGCAGCTTTTATCCTAGCCTCAGGATTTCTCTCTCTCCAAGCTCGCTGCATTACCTGAACGAAAGGGTAAACAAAGTGTAAAATTAATTGCAATTTTATTATTTATAACTTTTAGCAGGTACTTGAGGAGGATTACAAAAATTTTTCTATGAGTTTTTAAGAAAAGCAAACAAAAATTGATGTTTTTTTTGTCTTAAAGGTAGAAAAAAAGCATAAAAAGTATAAGTAGGCCAGCAATATTTTTGTTATTAGAACAAGAAAAAAAATTATCTATTGATCTAAAAACTAACTTTAGAGGTTTTATCATTAGAAAGTTAAAAGATTGCAAGATTCGAACCCAGGTACAGAATTTTCAGGAAAAGGTAATTTAATCCTACAATGATAGTTTTTGCTATAAAACTTGCATAAAATATATGTTGTATACTTTAGAATCTGATAGTATATTGCTGCGGTATTATATGTATGAAGTCTGCTATATAATGTTAACCTCATATTCTGGTTTGCCAGCATCATATTCACAGGTGAAGAACGTCTGGTGATCCTGAGCAGAGAGATTCATATCGTAATAAGTTAATGGCTCTTTATTTTTCGTCATTGTAAATCTCCTATATTCGGAACCACGAAATAAATTTAAAGGATTTCTCCACACTTTACATTCTGGAACAGATTGCTGAGGCTGCGCGCAATTACCGTTTGGTGTAATCACTGAACCGTTAGATGTAATGGTATCTTCTGGAATATCGGATCCACCGAGTAATGGAGAAATATGATTAAGGGAAATATGTTCTATGAAAGATGTGCCATATTTTTTGAAATACCACCATTCAAATATCTGCAAGGAAGATAATATTTAATTAAATTATATGAACTTGTTTATCTTTGCCTCAGAAAAATGAGAATCTATATCATATCTCGCTTTTATGAAAAATCTTCCATTAAAATGTATATATTTATACAAGGTTAGGCTAAATTTCACTAAGCTTAAATATTTTCCCACTAAAAATATAGTTTATATTGTTTACAAGAAAACTTTCCCTACTATCTAGGCTAAACTTTTAACTTTTCAAAGTATTCTATAATTTCCCAAAGAATTAAGATCATAATTTAAATAGTCATCTTTTAATCAGGTAAAAGATGCATAAAAATAAACAAATAGCATCACTTTTCTCTAATAGCTTGCTTTAATAGTGTGTACGACGGTGAAAATTATTTAAAAAATACTACCTAATAACTGATCAATTAGTTCTTTAAATAATTTTACTTACCAATATGAGACCAGAAATGAGGGAAGATGTCCCAGTAAGTGCAACATAGAATTTAGGCGTTAATGTATTTAAAAACATCGTAGCTGTAAATTAAAAAGTATTAATTCATTAATTAGAAGCCACAAATTAAGAGTAAAACGTTCGATCTGGTACTATCCGTCTGCTACCAGCATATATGAAAAACAAAACATACCATAACCAAGATTTTCATTCAATTTTAACGGCCCACGAAGGATGTAAACAATAAAAACAAGCAGAGCAAACCATACAGTCCATAAATAAGCCCAAGACCAAGCAACCCAAGACTTGATTTTCTCAAAAATACTGCCAGACGACTCAGCCATCTTAAGATGACAGCACTGAAACGAATATCCGTCCAGCCACCCCTCAGTAAACATTCGCTGCTGAGCTGCTATGGTTGTGTAACAAATTGTGGAACTTGCTTATTGGTACTTGCCATATGCTCTTAATAATCATTTTACATATTAAATGAACACGATTCCGCTATAACATTTAAAATATGTACCTTTACTGATTTAAAATAATGTTAAATCATTCGTAATTGTTCCCTATGAGCGATATTCTGAATATCTAAAAATCTTGCGCAACTTTACCCGAAAGTGCGTGTAACCAGATCAATAAATCTCAAATTATTTATCTAATAAGAAAAAATTATATATTATTTTAAAATACAACATTAAGTATTAATATAATTGGCTCAAATAGATTTCTTGCCGATATTGCAATCATTTTAAACAGTAAAAACTAAATTTAGCCGGCCATATGACCTTTGAAAGTAAAATATTTCATTCGAATATATATTTTTAGTTTCTTTTTTCAATTCTGGCTAAACTTTTAATTGCAAAGAAGTTTAATTTTCAAATGTACTATGTCAGGGTTAGGCTTACATGTAGAAGCTTAGTACTTGCGTCATTGGTGACAAATAATGAGGACAGCGATAAGTCTAAACTATATCAATTGATAAAAAATGACATAATATGATGTAGATTAAATATTTAAAAAAAATCATTTTCATTAGGTTAGTAATTCATAAAGTTATCAAATAATTAAATTTAATATGTATATCATTATAGAGTGATGGATAATAGAGGTGTTCAGTTTCAATACCTGACAGGAGCACCTCATTCCGTTCTTCATAAAGCGAATAGATGTATGCATGATAAAAACAAATCACAACCATCTACCTTTATGGACCACCTCCTTCGATTATATCCTCAGGCTCCTACGAAGATTTCCGGAGCAGGAGAACTGGTTCCCAAAAGTTATCAACTTTTGCAATATGACTTCAAGAAGGGATCTGATATCGAATTCAAAGACCCAAATGGATCGACTGAAGAAGAAAATTCACTAAAATCAGAAACAAGTGCTATCAATCGCTTATTAACTTTTAATTCGCCTAGTAAGCTTACTCAAGAATTAAGGAAGTTAATGAACTCGGAAAAGTATTCATTAGAATTTTTTACGCCTTCTGTACCTAATTTCATTAATAGTCATATGATCGAGCCAGTTTGTAATGATGGAAAACCTGTTCAATTAGGAAGTGGCTGCTTCGGAACAGTTTTTTTGGCTGCACTCAATAATAATATAAGGCGTTTAGTGCGTAATTGAGAAAAGAAAACATAATTATATTAATTTTAACTAATTTGATGTCAACTTTTCTTAACAACGCGCTTTTCAAGGTTGCTGTTAAGTTTATTAGGAAAAATGTAGCTTCGATAAACGATATAATAAAAGAAGCATCCTTCAATAGTCAGCTATCTAGAATTCATGGAACACCTTGTCCAGAATTCTTTGGCTTGGCAAAAATAGAATCTAATGAGAAGTTCCATAGTTTAGCTCTCGTATCAGAATTTATTGGAAATGAGAACAATTTGAAAAGTTTAACTCTCTATCAACTATTAAGATTGGGTAAGAGGGCTTTCCAAAAAGGATCAAGACTACCGTTTACTGACAGAGATCTAGTAGCGATTCTTTTACATATTATAAGCGCTTTAGCTGCAATTCATCATAGAAGCGTTTACGTAAATGATTTAAAAGCGGATAACATCTTACTTAGAAAGGAAGTGAATGGATGGTGTACTTATATCGTAGACTTGGGTCACGCCACGTACGGACATCAAAGAGCAAAATTTGATTTAGGTAATTTGACTGAAGAGGAATATCTATCAGAGTATCGTCAAGTTGCACCAGAAACTGTATACTATGGTCAATGCGGACCGTGTTCCGATGTTTATAGTTTCGGTAATATAATAAATAAAATATATAAAAGTATGAGAATTCAAATTGGAAAGATAGAAGAATTAATAGATTTATGTAGAAAACGAGATCCTAGAGCTCGACCATCAACTTTATGGATATCAAAAGAGCTTGAAATAATATTTAATTCAATTTAGTTGTTAACTAAAAACGAAGTAAAGATTTTCATTAATTTAATTATAATCTATTTAAACACTTTTTATAACAAACAAATCATTTAAGAAGTATGGAAAAATTATTTCTATTCTTGCCTTTAACTAATTCAATCTTTTTGAATGATTGAATTTTTTTACCATATTCGCATACTTTTTTTGCATAACAATACCATAGTTTGTCACTGGAATGAGTCTTTTCAATGTTGAAACCAATACTTTTAAGGACATCCGTAAAAGACTCTTCAGTTGTATAACGACTGTTATACAAACAAGGTTTTGGCAATATAATCTGTATTTATAAACGTAATAAATATTTAATATATATATATATATATAATAGAATATTTTAAGTACTTACGAACACCAGACCATCTTTTACACATAATCGGTTTGCCCTTAATAACATTTGCCCCCTCTTCCTAGCGTTTCCAGTAAAATTGAGCACTAAACTCAACACTATACAATCATAAATGCATTTTTCATCTTTCTAGAAATATTTTCAAAGAGATTTTGTTCGTTTAACGCATTATTTGTTAAAAATAAATCTATAGTTTTACTTTAAAGGTAAGGAAGTCTGCTTTTTGAACGAACGAATGTTGTGGATTTAAGTCGATGGCTGTTAAATTGATTGTATCTTTTTGTTTTTTATAATTAATATTTAAAGCTCCAACATCTAACAAATTAAGCTTTTTTTCCTGTAATTATGTAAATTTGATATTAACATTATGACATTAGGCAATTTCATTTTTAGAACATTCACCGTATTTAGAAGAGAAAGTTCATCAAGTATTCCAACTACCCATCGCGAACAATTGAAATTTCCGTGTAGATTTTCACCCCTGGAAGATTCTGCTTGGTATTTGTCAAATTCTATACTTTTCTTTAAAGTAAAATTTGAATTTAGATTATCGTGTTTCTTAACAATATCGTGAAATTTTGATATCGTGTTTCTATTCTTTTTAAATTCCCTTTTAAAAATGAAATTATCATTTAAAAAAAATTGACATCAGGTAAAGTAATATATTTAATTTACTTTCGAGTTATTGGAATTTTTGTTATAGACTTTTTACTCCGATTTTTCCTGTTTTTCGTCATTGATATTAGAGTAAAAGAGTTAAAGGCACGGACACTGTGAATTAAGACTATTTTCGATAGAAGCGGAAACGGAAGTATACAAGGACGTGGCTGTCAACACTCAGCAGAGTAATTTTAATAAATCTCTCTTTTGAATTAAAGCTCACTGGAGGAGCCACTTGAAGGTTTTTTCCAGTCATCAATAATTGGATAATTCACTACTTCTAGACATAAAAGTAATCTAGTTAGAAATTAAAGAATATGGACACTGCTGCAGCAGAGACTTCACAGCCGAGTCCATTACTCAGGCCTTTTAGGAGATTGAAAGAACTACATCAGTACTATTTAGATAAAATTACGCCTTACGCCACTGGACGGTGGGCATTCTGGATCGCGTTATCAATCACGTACATTATTCGAGTTGTCTTTTTAGAGGTAAATTTGTTAGATCTTATTTTATTATGGCGAATAATCTGTGATGACCTTTCAGGGATGGTACATAATAACTTATGGTTTAGGAATTTACTTATTGAACCTCTTTATCGCTTTCTTATCACCCAAAGTCGATCCTGCAACTCAGGATATTGAAGGTAAGTCTAAGTGATTACTATTTCTCTTACATTAAGATAACCTATCTAAACTGTACTTATTAACTGTAACAGATGATGGGCCTTCGCTTCCAACAAAATCTGGCGAAGAGTTTCGACCTTTCATGCGAAGACTGCCTGAATTTAAATTTTGGTACTCGGCAACAAAAGCAGTAGTAATCGCTATGATTTGTACTTGTTTTGATGCTCTGAACATACCAGTGTTTTGGCCAATTTTGGTTATGTACTTTTTCTTACTATTTTTCCTAACTATGAAACGACAAATTAAGCATATGCTTAAGTATAAGTATATTCCATTTACTCATGGAAAAGCTGTGTACAAGAGCAAATCGAACGCTCCTCCCGGTGCACCAAATTCATTCGCCCAGGCTACAAAGTGAACTTGTTTCCCTTCTTTGAACAGTTTTTTTTGTATATATAGTGGTATTTTTCGATTTCATCGAATACAAATTATGAAATGATTAATGTCAAAAAAAGTATCTCTTCTTATTCTCAAATGTTAACAAAGGGGGAAAAAGCGAGTGAATAAGGAAAGGGAAAATAAATCTAACAAGGAATTTGAATCAATGAATTTAGTGTTACTGATACAATTTAATTAATATTAAAAATATTAAAAAATATAGTTGCATAAATTATAAACAATGAGGTCAATGCTAACATATACTGTATATATAAAATAATAATACTGTACACATATGTGCAGTAGTTAAAATTCGTGTATTCGAAAGAAACGATTATATTCAAGCTTTAAATACTGATTCTTACTCTTTGTTTGATGTAAGCCATAAATGCTAATATCTTAATATGATAAATAATTGAAATATATTGTTATGAAATTTTTGTCAAGAAAAAAAATTTAAAATAAAGAAGAAGAAACTGGTTATGCAATTTTCATTTCTATATATATATTTGTTATTCTTTTCTTTTCTACGGTGAATAAAGATTTCAAGTATTAAAAAAATTGTAAGAAAAATAATAAATCTAAGTTAAATTTCAGAATGCCTTATTGCCATGTCAAATAAATATTCGTATGGATTACATCTGGTACAAATATCCTTTGCAGTCTCTCCTAGGCTATTTTTAATGCTTATGTCAATATGCGGTTGGGATAAGAGTAATTCTAAAACCTTGGAATTTTCTGAAAAATTTGCAGCTATGTGTAAAGGAGTCTGACTGGAAGAAGTTAAAGAGTTAATATTGGCACCGTGCTGAAGTAGGACTGTAACACTCTTGACTTCATTCCATCTGCAGGCACTATGCAAAGGCGTCCAGTGATCTGCTGTCTGTGATTCAATATTTGCTCCTTTGCTCAATAATAACTAAGAAGAAAAAGTATTATTTATTGATTGATCACTAATTAGTTATATTAATAGTCATATATACTTCAAGAACGTCGCTATGCCCCTCATAGGAAGCTCTATGTAGAGCTGTATAACCATCAGCATCTTGATAATTTAAAACAGAATCGTCGCTTGACAATAAACGTTCAACCAATTCCTTATTTCCACTCTCAGCTGCCTTTAAAAGCATAAGGCCTGAATTACCTGGAAAAAGTAATAGAATAGCATATGTTAATTTTAGCTTTTATTCACCTAAAAAATCTGATTATATTTTACTTTCAATTTCTTCTGCACTGGCCTCATTTATATCATTTTCATCCATTTCCCAGAAGCTGACAAACTGATCCGGATTATTTATCTTGCAAGCTTTTACCTATTAAATTTCCCATGAAAAAACATATATTAGAAGGAGATTCAAATTTGATTTATAGTTTGGCCTATTTTTGATAAGTCCTTTCAATTTGATTGTATTATATGGTTGATCCTTATGACATAGTTATTTATATAAATATTATGTTCACATATATAAATTATAACAGTTATATCGTTATAGATTATGAACATGGTGAATTATAATACTTGTTTTTATTGGCTATATTTAATTTCTGTAATTAATCTCTATGCAGAAAATATATAAAATTAATTGTGAAATGGTGAAATAATTACTTTTTCTAAAAACTCTTCATCAAAGATGGGACCATTCTCAATTTCTTCATCAATTTCTGCGTCCATTATCGGTGCAGAGGCCATATTCGTGTTAATCTTACCACATTATTCGCTTAAACACTGCAACGACATCGGTAAATTTTTGATTTTAATACACGCATCTAACAATAACTGGTGAAGTTCAGGACAAGTGTTGCTGGTAACTTCTGCATCGGGTTCCTATTTAGCGGAACACCTAACCCAACAAGTCATAGTGATTTCGCTTGGATTGTTTAATTCGAAGAAAAAAAACTCTTCAAATAACTAATCTTACAACTTTCACAAGGAAGATGAAGCATCGGATATGGTCAGTTTCTATACATTTTTTGTGTTGTTTATGATTATATTAATTTCCTTTAACCCTTAGTATGGTGTCTGATTTCTTTTATCCAAATATGGGTGGTGTGGAGAGTCATATTTATTCATTGTCTCAATGTCTCATGGCACTAGGGCATAAAGTCATAATCATCACCCATGCTTATGGCGATAGGACAGGTGTCAGGTACCTGTCAAACGGGCTTAAGGTATTTTTAGATCTAGACAGGATGCTTAACTAACTTTAAAACTTTTTTCAGACATATTATTTACCTATACATCCTATTTATAATCAATGTATCTTACCAACCGTAGTATTTACCTTACCCCTTATCAGAAATATATTAATAAGAGAAAATATTGACATTGTGCATGGCCATTCGGTAAGATTTTTCATAGTTTTATCTATTCTTACAAAGAAAACGTTCAATAGGCATTTTCAACACTTGCTCACGAAGCTATGCTACATGCTAAAGCAATGAAGTTGAAAACTGTCTTTACTGATCATTCTCTTTTTGGATTTGCCGATATCAGCTCAATTCTAACGAATAAAGTTCTCAAAGTATCTTTAGCCGAATGTAATCATGTAATTTGCGTCTCACATACCAGGTACCAAAATAATTAGAATAGCTATACTCTAAAATAAAGTACTGTAAGTTTTATTTCCGTATTCTATTTTTTCAGTAAAGAAAATACAGTATTAAGGGCAGCTATTAGTCCACATAAAGTGTCAGTTATACCTAATGCAGTTGATGCTACTTCCTTCGTTCCAGATACTTCAAATAGGAATTCCGATAAAAGTGGGTTGCTGCTTTATTATTGTCATTATTATTATTATTATTAACAATGAGTACCATATTTTTCAGTCACAATTGTTGTGGTTTCTAGACTAGTATACAGAAAAGGCACTGATCTATTGGCTGCCATCCTACCAGTCATTTGTAAAAAATATCCTCAGGTTGATTTTATTATAGGTAAAATTAACGTAAATGAATCCAATGTAAAATCTACAAGTGTTATTCTGTTACATCCTTCTCTTTATAGGTGGAGACGGCGCAAAGAGATTAATTCTCGAAGAAGTTAGAGAACAAGAAAAATTACAAGATAGAGTTCAAATGTTGGGTAATCTTCACCATGATCAAGTACATGGCGTCCTCAATCGCGGTCATATCTTCCTAAATACCTCATTAACAGAGGCTTTCTGCATTGCTATTGTAGAAGGGGCTTGTTGTGGGTAAGTTGCTTTTTTCAATTTAACAATAATAATTATAATATTAATACGAATTTTAATATATCTTTGTGAATATCTTATAAATTCGAGTCTAAATAGAAAGACAAATAGCAATCTGTTGCTCACAAGCAGTCATAAAAAGTCGTTATAAAACAGTACAAACAGTGCATATTCTCTATGTAGTTTAGCGTATGCAGTATATCTTACCTGAGGGCGTCTAGAGAGGTTCCTTAGAGTTTGTTTTTTATTTCTAATCTAAAATTCCTATTTCTTTGCTATTGATTTTTGTTAGAAATTTAAGTATTTTATCATATTTTCCCTTTATTTTTTCTAGTTTACAAGTTGTTACAACTAAAGTTGGTGGTATACCGGAAGTTCTACCAGAACATTTGGTTTATCTTGCCGAACCTAATCCTAAAAGTATGATTTTTCATCTTCAATCTTACTTTAAGTATTATCTGTTACTGTTCAAGTTTTGTAATATATTTACCTTCTTAAGTATTCTGTTCAAAATTTATTCTTATAAAAGTACTTCTAAACGAGTTATATAGCAAAATATCATTCTTTTATATATATGCATAATATTCCTAATAGAGGGCGTGTCTATATCATGTCTAATTAGTTTCATATCATAATCTTTATTTTCTAAAAACTAGGTTTAATTGAGGCGTTGGAGGCTGCTATAGAAAATCGTATAAGCGGAAATATCTTGGATCCTTGGGAACAGCATAGACAAGTTTCACTATTATATACTTGGGAGAATGTTGCGGAACGAACAGTTAAAATATATAATAGAATTATAAATGAAGAAAATGAAATATTATCAAATAGAATCAGAAGATATTCTCATTTAGGAAAAGTTGCATCACCATTTTTTATGGCCGTTATTCTTCTACATTTTTTCTTTTTGTTCTTGATTGAACGACTTAGGCCTAGAGAAAATATTGATGTCGTTCCAGATTTGAACGGATGTTGGAAAGATGATTAAATCATAATTTTTTGAATAATATTAACTATAAATAATAATTTATTCATAATGAATAAACGCTTGTTTCATTTTTACTTTATATTTTTACTGTTTCGCTCTTTTGTTCTTTTTGTTCTTTTTGTTTTTTTTTATATAAAAAATCAACATTTTTGCAAATTTTTAATTAATTTATGAATATAATAAATACGATATAAGAATTTTCGTCTTTAATTTTATTGATATTAAACTAGATTGTTTTGATTTTTAAAATTATCATTTTTTTTTCTTCTTTTTAATAGGCTTAATAAAAAAGAAGATACGGAATTGAGTACTTTCCCTCCCAACCCCTTTCCAGTTGAGCTGTTTTCTTTTTTTTTGCCCTTTTTAGGAGATGAGCAATTATTAAAGCTACTCTGTTTTTTTTTAGTATATAAAGAAGAAAAAAAAAACTTTTGTACTAATTTATGGACATATAAGTATTTATAATATATAGACAAAAGCAATTGGTAAGTTTTCACTTTATACGTTTGGTGAATATGTTCATATACATCTGATTTTTTTATTACTTTATTATTTACAAATAGAAATAGAAACAAAAAAGATTTAGAATTAGTAGTTTCAATTAAAAATGGCGGAATAATATAAAGAAAATTAATTAATTAATTAATTATCTTATGATATTCAATTGTTGTTGTTTTGTTTTTTTACTTAGAAATACTTTCTTTTATATTTCTATCGGTTTTTGCACAGGTTTTCTTATATGACGCATATTGGATGATTGTTCTTGTGGTTTAAATGGAGCATGAGCGCCATAAGGCCTAGGTATTGGTAAGTCATTTTCTTCATCAGGAATATAGGCATTAGGCCTTGGTTCAGCTGTAGTGCATGTTATTGTACCGGGAAGTGTATATTGTTCTTCTTCTTCAGTTCGCTATTAAAAGAAATCAATTTTTTTCATTAATCATAACTAATAAGGGTAATAAACTGTTTACCATTCTGGCTTCGAGCATATCTTTTGTTCTTCTATTTTCATCCCTAACATACTTGTTCCACTCCATTTCCATATCATCTGAGGGTGGTTCATTCTTTTCCATTCTAAGGTAGGCTTGCTCCAAACTAGACTCTTTCTCCTTTACTTCTTGCTGTAATCTTAGAGCGTGAGCTTGCTTCATTGATAACTCAGATACAAGACCCATCATTTTCCTTGTAACTTCCTTAATTTTTGCTTGGAGTTCGTTTACGTGCTTAGCCAGATTGAGGGTATCCATTTTACCAGAATCGGATTTTTTCTGAACTCTTTGCGCAAGCCTGGTCACTTGCTGGAGTATGAGATCTTTCTCCAAAATTTGCTCTTCTTTAGTAGCTAATCTACTTTCCAACTCCTCAAGTTTATCCTTCATCTTGTCTGGAGGTAGGTCTTTTCCTTCTAAGAATCTCACTCTTGTAGGGTCGTTAGCATTTTCTGTCCTTCCGTCCAAATCTACAAGCCTATCTTGACAGGCTTGCATTTGTATATTTAAAGTCACAAGTTCATCTTCTAATGCTTTTTTGTCCGGTATACTTTTCCTCATTAGCTCTAATTCCCTCCTTTCATTGACTAATTGCATCTTCAGGAATCTCGTCTCCTCGTCTCTAACCTTCATTTGAACATCACCATTTCTGATCATTTCATCTTGAATATTACACTTTTCTAAGAAGACGCAAACTTCTTCGTTTCTCTCGATCAATTGAATACCTTTTTCATTTCTTTGTTGAGTAGCAATTTCGTATCTCTTCCTCTGGTCGGCAACTTGCTCTTCTGTCTGATTGATCATTGTATTTAATTTATCAATTTCATTCTGTTGTTCGTCTCTTTCCGATCTCATTTTTTTGTCAATTCCTTGTTGTTTAGCCAGTTCATTCCTTACAGAATCCCTTTGTCCGATTTGTTCTTGATGTTTCATCCTCGACTTTTGCAACAGTCTTTCTTTCTGAGCAACAGACGTTCTTAGAATTTCAATTTCATTTTGCAAGATTTTTATTTTTTCTCTCATTTCAGCAGCCTTTTGAGTTGAAGTTTGGATAAGATGGACACATTTATTTCTTTCGGTTTTTATAACATCGTATAGCTTTGCAAAGTCTTTTAATTTTATATTCAATTCATTTAATTTCTTCTGATAATCTTGAATTTGTAAATCTTTTGTTTTAACATCTTGAACAGCTCTATTAAATCTCATTTCAGCTCTCATAAAATCTCTAGCTTTTTGCTCTCTCTCATCATTCTTTATAGCCGCTAATCTTGTTAATTCTACAACTTCTATCCTCAAATCTCCTTGTTGATATAATAGTCTCTCCTCCATGGCAATACTTTGCTCCACCTAGAGACAAACAAAAAATAGAACAATATATTTCCTGGTTAGTTTTATAGAAGAATTCTTTATGATAAAATATTGAAAATATTCTCACCTTAACTGTTTCAATAGTAGTAAGGGAATTCTGATTTGCTAAAGCTCTCTTCGTTTGTTCAACCTCTTTTTTTAGGTCGTCTTTCTTCTGTTGTAAAGATCCATCATCTTTTGGAGCATTGATTGCTGCGGATCTAACTTTTTCCAGAACTGTATTTGTGTTTACTAAATTGTCTGCAGCAATCTTTAGTTGTAGTTCCATTTTTTTGTAAGTTTTAGCATCTCTGTCACGTTCCCTTTGTCGTCTAGAAAACATTTCGTGTAGATTCTTCTTTTCCAATGATATATGCCTTAAACTCATATCTAGAGTTCCTTTATCACCTAGAAGCATTGTTTCTCTGTCTTTAATATAGCCTGCATCCTTCATAAGGACGTCGTATTTTTGCTCTGTTTCCTGTAATTTAGCTTGAACTTGTTCTAAATCTCGTTTTATTTGACTATTTTCTTCTTCAGCCGAGAAAAGTTGTTTACTGCGATTTTTTTCGACGGCCGACGTTTCCTCATACTTTTTGTCTATATTATTCAACTTTACTTCTAATTCTCTATGCTGTCTAGTCAATCTATCGACATCCTTCTTCAAGAAACCTGGTTTTGCATTTTCGGCAACGAGACTGCTCTTTATTTGTTCTACTTCGGTCAATCTCTTTCTCAACAGCTCTTGCTCTATTTTAAGATTCCTATTCTGTCTTTCAACATCTTCTTTCAAGCTTCTACTTTCACTTTGTCTTTGACTTGCTTCTTTTTTTAAATCTTCACAAGCTCTTTGGAGTTCTGCTACCTTTCTCTCCATTTCTGCAGAGTTTGGCAGTCTATCCTTTTCTCTCTCCAATATCTTCTGCTCTTCAGTTAAATTCTGTATTTGATATTCTAATTGATATTGAGCATCTTCTTTTATTTTCAATGTATTATTGTGTTGTAGTAGAATTTGCCTGAGTTTTGATACTTCCGTGTTACAGTTTTCAGGAAAATCATCGGCAGATTCTAAATCATTTTTCTGTTTCTCAGTTTCTTCTGTGTAGTCCTTTGCTAATCTTAGGAGGTTGAGTTCGTTTTCCCTACTCCTAATGTTTATTTTTTTATATAATTGTATAGATTATTGATATCTCTTTTTATTCCTCTGATATTTTACAATTACCTACCTTTTTAGTGTTTCGTGTAACTCTGTATATTTTGCTTTCAGCAACGCAACTTTTGTTCCCGTTAATTTACCTTCTTGAAAAAGCTAAAAAAATTGACTGTTTTAAACAACTTAAATCAGTTTTTGGGTTAATATCTTACATCATCTAGACATTGAAAGGCTGGACTCGACGATACTTCTGCTTGACCCTCTTCTTGAAGAATTACTTTTGGAGGAATAGCCGATAAAGGAGGTTGATACTCGTCTTCTTGCATTATATACGAATCATCATTTTGAATATTTTCTTCTTCATCTGCGGAATCAAATTCCGGTGAGCTTCTTCCGTCACTTAGACTCATTATTTGTTTACTGGCTGTCTATTTCAATAAAAGTTAGCTGGAAGCTCTGTTTGCGTCGGTGGCCATTGCGATTGCTATAGCAACGGCCGTCTTTCGTAAAAATCAAAATGAAAGTTTTGTAAGTAATAGAAAGTTGTTGTTCGACTAAAGAATTACAAGTTTAGTTAATCTTTGCACTTCTTGACCATTAACTTATTACACTTATTGTCAATTACAAGCCTTTAAGCAACATATTGTGAAAATTATTTAAATTGTAGATGGCTCTAGTGAGGTGGAATAAACGAATATCTGTCCGGAAATTAGAGAGACCGGGTCGAAAAACTGGTGTTAAAAACAAATCCAAAATGGTGAATATTTCGCACATTCGATGTTAATTTTCAGTATTGTAAATTGTTTCTCAATCATTTTAATCTATAAATGTTATTTGTACAACGAAAATGAAGCAAGTAATCGATTTTACGGAATCTTTGAAGGATTCACCTTCATTCAGGTTTGCATTTAAATTTAGTAACTTAATTATTATATTTTATTTTCTCTTACAGAAATTCTCTGGAGGAGGTTCACTCCGATCTAGAAGTTTTAGAAACTAAATTAACTCAGGTAAACCTATTCAATACTCTTTATTTAAACAATTTTAATCAATAGTATATTCTTTACTTAGATTGTTAAAAGCGTCGATGATATGTTTAACAAGGGACAAACTTATTTATCAGCAAATGTGTAAGTCGGAGTTATTTTATTGATCATTTTCAATAATTTAATTGTAAATCTATTGATTATGTATTATTCTAAAGACAGTGTTAAAAGTAGTTTTATTTATTATATTTTACTATGTAAACTTTTAAAATTTATGTTATTTTTTGTATAAAAGAAATATTTAATATAATAGAATAGTGTATTATTCTCCATTTTTCACAATAGAAAGCTCATTTTGGGCCTAGAAGATTTATCAAATTATTTTCGAAATGATTTTGAGATTAAGGTATGTTGTTTATTGTATTTATATAATATATTATATAGCATATTCGAACTTTTCACACATGCATATTGTATATAAAGTATATATATATATATATATATACATCTTCATATATTCTATATTATTATGAAGCGTAAATTGTGAATGTATATAGGATACTATCTTTAACGATGATATAGTAACGGCTGTAAGTATGCAAATCGGTCTTTAAATATATTAAAAGAATATTAATATGGCATGCATTAATGTTCGATTGATAGGTGGCGTTTTCCTTCCTTTTTTTTGCATATAAAGTAAACTTCATAAAAATTGGAACACCTCGAATTTTGAATATGCCAACGTATTAAAAATGTTTTTCACTAAGAAAAAAGATATTTTTTTAATTTTTTCTGCATAAAATGTTAGATGAAGCTTAAATTTATATATAATTTTCTTTCAAATACGATTTGGGTAAGATTTTATATCATTTTTTTTTGTTTATATTATGTACTGTTTTATTGATTTTTTTTTCTTATTTCGCTGCACTTCATAATAATTGGAACACCAACAAAAATGTTCCTATTATTCCTACTTTTGTATCTGACTATCCTCTTTTTCGATGCATTGCCTGATTCTATGCCCCATTCCATCATATAGACGTGGTAACAACCCTGGCTGCTCTTTTATAAGCTTATAAGAGCATTTTTTGATTTTTTTCCACAATTCGTCCTCTGATTCGAATTGTGGACCATCTCCCTCTACTTATTTATTTTCATTTTTTGTATAGCCCTCTTCATCCTGCCTATATCTCTCTCTGTAAGTTTCTTTGGACGACCTCTATTCTCCTCTTCTGGTGGTTGATACCTTAAAATATTGCTAACAGAAGAGGGTGCCATTCCTAAAGCTCTTGCTGTGGCTCGTAGTTTTTGTAATTCATTGTATTTCTTGAATACAAGCTCCCTTATGTCTTTACTCCACGTCATATTTAAATTAGTACAATAAAAATAAAGTAATATAAATGAAATTAACAATTATTTAATAAAGATAACTTAGAAAATCAAAGATGTTGAAAAAAATGTTTTTTGCGACGTCTATTTGAATGCCAAACCGGATGTCAAGTGACTGTTCCAATAATTATGAAGTGTGGCCAAATAAAGAAAAAGTTGATGAAAATGACCAAAAATATTTTGCTTATAATATTCATAAATATTATCATTTTGTCAATTTTTTTTCAATATTACGTAAATATAACCCTTTTTTTAAAGAAATTTTGACCAAAAAAAATAATTTACAGGGAAAAAACAATTTTAACCGTTAATTAAAAGTTGGCCTATCAAAATTTACGGTGTCCATTTTTTTATGAAGTCCACTTTATATTTACATATTTATAGGGGGAATGTGCATGATTATATCTGATTATTATTCTTTATGAAAAGCTAATATGCAGTAATTTTTATATGGTTGATGTAAATATGATATTAAACTAAATTTATAACTTATATAAATGTTCTTTATATAGATATATTGTCATATACCCTTTTACTACTTAAATATATTAATACCGTACCGTACTAGTTTTTTATTCAATTTTTATTAAATATTCTAGAATGTTCTTGGTAAAACTGTGGAATGTTTAAGGGATGTAATGCAATTCCATAATGTAAGTTCGTCTTGATACATTTATTATTTAGATTTTCTACTCTGTATATTTAATAATTTCTTTTTCTAATGAAGACGCTACTAGATCAGGCTCGACGTTCTATTAGGGAAAATCTTAACACCTTTATACATAAGTAATGCATTATATTTTCACTCCCTAACAAAGGCTCTTTCACATAATATATCTTGTTGATTTTTGATTATAGAGATATTAAACAATTGAAAGAGAGAAGAAGAGAATTTCAGAAAGTTAGCACAGATTTCGACTCGGCACTCTATCGAACTTCGATTGCTCCAAAGTATAAGATTTCCGACTGTAAGGAAGCCGATGAATGTTTGGCTCATGTTAAGACTACTTTTAGTCATGTGGCGTTTGATTACGTTTGCCAAGTGAGCTTTGCAAATTTTGTAGTTCTTTTACAAACCAGATGTGAAATTTATTATTGATTTCAGACTAATGATATAATGTGCAAGAGAAGATTTGAAATTCTGGACACGGTTGGCAATTGTTAATGAGAAATAGTAGATATTCTTCCTTTATCGCGCCACCTAGCGGCTATTTATGATTTTTGATGCAAAATGCATGATTAATTGTTTTTCCTATGACATATTCTAGCCTTGAAAAATTTTCTGTTATCTCTCAAATTTAACTACTCTTTAATCCGATAGACGGCGTAGTAGAAGTTGAATATCTATTTCATTACTATTCAATTTACGACTGTAAACGATAGAGTAAATGGGTGCTAAACTTTCTTTCAAATGATTTTTTATTAGATGAGATCCTTCTTAAACGCTCAGAATACATACTTTCACCAAGGATACGAATATTTTACGAAGGAGTGTGATTGTTTTATGAAAACTTTAACGGAAAAGGTGAGTTCTTCATGAGAAAATAAACAAAAAGTGAGAGTTAATATCTCTTTATTCACACTGAATCATATCTATAGATAAATATCATTAATGCAAACATGAAAAAGGAGGAGGAAAAGACTAAATCTATGCAAAAGGATTTGATAACAGAGGTTATTATATTTCTTTTTATATTTCAATTGTATACAATCTTACTAATCAGCTAAAATCTTTAATTTTATTACGGCTATTATTGTTATTCATTTATTAATACTTTTCATATAGTAAGAGTTTATTTTACTTATTATAACCAATTTATTGTACCGTAAATACTATATACTAGCAAATATAAGCTGTACATATTGAATATATCTATTATATTGACTTTTCTTTACACGATAAGCATTGTATAATTCAAAAGGAAATATCTATACACAATATAACGTATTTACTAACTTCCATAATTTAACATATTTTCAAGTCTTTTTTTCTCTCCCTCTCTCTACCTAACTGTTTATCTATCTTTCTATCTGTTTACTGGATAACTAAGATATATCAAAGAAAAAAAAATATAGTACAATCCACCCCCAAGTTTATCATTGGTAGACGATTGTTTGGAAAGGCTTTACAAGTCTTATTTGTGCGTGATATATAGTAGTTTGGTGTTGAAATATATTATATACTAGGTTTTATAAATTGTATAAAGGCAAAAAAGCTATATAAATACCTATATTTTTAAAAATATTTGCCAGTAATAAAGTACTACCACAATGATCCTTAATTCTTTTACCGGTAACGTTTTTTATCTTAAATGATGCTTGTCTCTTCGTTTTTTACGGGTATTTATTAAAGTCAATCTAGTACTTTTATTATCCACATAATCGTGCTTTACTACGCATGTTTAATAGCAACATACGAACGAAAAATTATAAAAAAAAGTAGAATTGCATTAGAGATTTACTCGGCTAATGGTTCTCATAAAGGCTATTTTATTCGTAGTTAAACATTCTACAATAATAAAGAAGAGATACTAGGATGTACTCTCTTACTTTTGATAGTCTATTCCCAAATAATGAAAAATATCTTAAGATCAGGATTTAAGAGGAAAAGTGTGTCTTATCTTATTTGCTCTTCTTTTACGTTGAAGAATTTTTGCTAGCTTGTTAAACTCTTTTACGTTCATTTTTTTAACAATATAACATTTTATATCATTAGGATCGGATACTTTCTCAATTTCCGGTACAACTAAGAAAATCTGAAAATGATAGCATTCTCCAAGAAGAACAGATTGAAGGTTACTTGTGGCGGAGGACCACAACAAAAATCAAACCTTGGGTTCGGTAAGCTATTAATAAAAAGATTTATATCGTTTTCTTTTTAATTAACACACTTTATTTGTTCATTCATCACGTCTCTTTTTTTAACAAATTAATCTAAAAAGAAAAGGTTTTGAAGATGGCGATAGGTAGAATTTCTCTTAGTTTCTTTTTTAATAAGACTACTTGCTAAATATAGGACTAATGTTTTGGGAAAGTTTATTAGAATAACAACCTATAAGTTACACTATAATACAAAAACACTATTAAACTTTTTATTAATTTTTAGATTAAATTATAATTGATAAATAGTAAAAAAAGTGTTAAAGTTTTTATTAGTGTCAACTGAAGGTGAAAAATTTTCGGTTAATGCAAAACTCTGCCTTTTTTTTCTTTAAAGAAGCATGTCTTAAGCCTAAAAATCTTTTCCTTTCTATTAAAAGAATAACAAGTTAAAGGTTAATAAAAAATTAATTATTCATTACCAAAAACAGGAGATGGTTTGTTGCTTCAGAAAATTCTGTTAAATACTGTAAAAGAGAAAATCTGGACGATTGGACAACTCTCGAACCAGACTTAAGAGTATGTAAAGTTCGATTAATCTCGGACAACGAAAAGAGATTTTGCTTTGAACTAATGTCTCCAAGAAAGTAAGCATCTTTATTATCTTATTAATTACGTAAACTAAACGAAATATATATTTGTCTCATCTAAAACAGAGTGCATCTACTCCAAGCCGATTCAGAGCTTGATTGTACTAGATGGATATGCGTATTACAAAAATTCATATCTCAAGCGTTAACATGCCAAATTAATAGAGAGAGTGTATGAATAACTTCTTAATTTATATAGGGATATAATATACATTTGTTTACTTTTTTTTATATATATTTTTAGCAATTAACTTCACAAAATTCACCCAAATCTTCACCTCAAAGAAACTTAGAAGAATTTCTTTCAACAACTAACACTGGAAAGCATGAAAGTAACTCTAAAGTACTGCAACTTTTACCGGGCAACGATAAATGCTGCGATTGCGGAGCTCATCAACCTCAATGGGCTTCCATTAATCTAGGTATTACTCTCTGCATTAAATGCTCTGGGGTTCATCGAAGTCTCGGAGTTTATACGTCAAAGATACGAGCAGTTCATTTAGATGTTTGGGATAAAACTTTGCTTAGAGTCATGGCTAAACTTGGTAATAGTATAGTTAATCAAATTTACGAAGCGGAAGTTGATGAAAATGTAATTAAGGCAGTTCCAGAGTCTAATTCGTAAGTAATCATTTACAATGAATTGTTGCTTATTTGTAGCATTTTTTATTATTTGAAATAAAAAGGATTGAAAGAGAAACATGGATAAAATCAAAATATGTCTCAAAAAGTTACGTAAAGAAGCTACAGAATTCCGACGAAGTTCTTCGATCTGGTAAACGACGCTGGATAGTTAAAAAACGTAAAGCCTCTCGTTTAGATGACATTTCTACATCTTCTGAGAGCAGTTTGTTAGTAATTGGTGCTGATTTAGCTCCAACACCACCTGACAATGATGCATTTGGCGATGACAACTCTAGTGAAACTGAATTGGACGATCAATCTGTAGAGATAGAAGATATTGATGCATTTAATCCGAATGTATTGCTATATAGAGCAGCCGAAGCAAGACAACCAAAAGTCATTTTAGAGGCTTTAGCCATGGGAGCTGAAATTAATTTTAAGTACGAAGAGAGAGAAGGAAAAACCTCTTTAATGGCTGCTGTTGAAGTGGTTCGTACAACTGAGTTATTTTTATCGAAACAGAAGTAACTTGTTAAAAAACTTACAGGGGTCGCAAGTGGCAACAGAACTCTTACTATTAAATAACGCAAATATTGATCTCAAAGATTCTAGAGGTCGAACGGCTTTACACCATGCTGTTTTGAACAATAGAAAAGGGTATTTATATGATTATCTCTGTAGTTATAGAAAATCATATTTATTATGCTACTTCTTCACAATAGAAATGCTAGTCAGTTAATTAAAAGGAAAGCAAATTTTCGCTCAGTTGATGAGGACGGCAAAGACCCATTGCAAATTGCCCTTCAGAACGAAAGCGCCGATATTGTAGCATTGTAAGTTTTACAAGCTGAGTCTAATTTTCAATTCTATTGAATTCATTAAAACAATTTCTACTAAATAAAGGTTACGAATGGCACAAATGAGAGAAGAAATGTCAGACGATGACGACAGTAGCATGCTTACTCAAGCAATAAATGAGTTTACTGAAAACGATGCTGATGCTCCCTAGGAAAATTGAAATAGGCAAATTTATTTTTATGCTTGCTTTCATTAGTACCTTGCTGCGAATACTTCGAAACTCATTATAAGCAAAAGAAAATTGGGTATTGTTTTTTTTTTCCTTCTTATTTTCTCCTGTTTTTTAAATTATACATTGATATTTTTTTTTATAAAAACAATTAAAACGTATTTACAAACAGTTTCTAGAGGCTAATTTTTTAAAAAATTATATTGAACGTTTAACCATTTTGTTTTAATATCCCAGCTGAAAATTAGTCTATGTTGTGAACTCTTCCAAAAGTTTTATTCCCCAAAAATAAAATGACCGAACTCTGATGATAAAATTAAATAATAAAAATGAAGAGTTTTGTTAAAGATGATAAAATAAATTGATTAATGGATATTTTCAATTTCTTTCATAATTATTAATTATTAATATCAGTGTCAAATGCAGAATTTTTTTGCTCATTGTCTTCGCAGTTATTTTTAAAAAAGGTTTGTTTTTAACATAATTTTAACAAATTCATCTTTATCGACAGTTCCGTCACCGTTCAAATCAGCTTCCTGAATCATCTCTTTCAGATCTTGTTTCCCTAAATTAATATTATTCTCTTGGCAAGCAGTTATTAAATCTTCAATATCAAGACGACCTTTCTTTTCTAATATAAATTAAAGAAGTAAAATATTCACAATTTTAGATTAGCTTGGTAGTGAGATATTTTCAAATTACCTTTATCTAATATTTTAAATCCATTGCAAATCTCTTGATAGACGTCTCGGCTTTCACCTTGCTTTTCAATAACTAAATCTAAGAATTCATTGAAACTTATTGCCCATATTCCCTTGGCACTGGATTCGTGAACTAATTGCTGGGCTTTTTCTCTTGATATCTTGAATCCTAATACTTTTAAAGCTCTTCTTAATTCGTATGGTCCTATATATCCATCTTCGTTCGAATCAAAAGTATCAAAAACTATTCCCAAATCATGTATCTCATCTGAAGTAAGACGGTCCAACGCTTTCGTTGCAACTTTGCGACCGTATAATTCTTTTTCATCGACTTTATGAGTTTTTAGTAATTCCATAAGCTATTGAAAGTAAATTGTAAATTTATCAATTTAAATTTATATATAATATCGCTCACCTTTTCTCCAAATTTTGGAGGTCTTTCTATTCGATCAGGAGCCATCGGTTCTTTAGGCTTACTATCGGATGAGTTGCTCTTTGCGGATTTATCCTTTTTAACTTTCTTTACCTTTTTCTTTGGCATTTTGCGTTATAATAATACTTACAGCGTCTTGTTGCTAGGAATAAGAGTACGGGACTGCCTAACAACAAAGTGGCGTCGTAATGTTCAATGAATATAAGTGTAACTCCAATTTCTAATCAATGATAAGATGACCTACAATAATATTTATCGGTATAAACTATTTGGATATATTATTAAGCATTTTTGAAATATTTGACTCACAAAAATATTTTTTGACTGTATTTTTTAATGTCGTAAATATAATATTGACAATTCTTCAATAAATATTAAATAAATTCTGATTTTTCTTATAAATCACTGCAGAACAGTCAAAATGCATTTATTAATAATTTTTCCTTTTCACATCATAACAGCTTGTTTCTCTTTCATCCAATCATAAACTTTTTGAGTTTTTCCTCGAGGTCTACTTAACGACTCGACTGCTTTCTCAACTTTCGAGGAGTTTATATGGGCATATCTAGCAGCGTCTATTATTAATGAATCCCTAACATCAGGACGGTTTTCATCGAGAGGAACATCGTGTGTGAGTGGTGGATTAAACCTGAAATATGCATCTGAAGGCAATAAATCTTGGAGAGTTGTATGAACAGCGTAGGTATCAGTAGCACTTTCGACAAATTTGCCCAGCTTTGTTTTCAAGGATATAGATTGAGATTTCGATGTATTTGTTATTGCAGCTTTGTAACGTCCTGTTCCTAAAGATATGACACACTGAAGAGACTCTTTCGGCCAAAGTAGTTTAGCCTCGTGAATTGCTATAGCAGTTGGATTGTTCGTCATTAATCCACCATCTTGATGAACATCGTTTCCTAGTTTTAGCTCCCTATAATAACCAGGTGCTGCGGAACTAGCTCTCAGAGCCGTCCAAATTGGACTATCGATTGTCCCTGGATAAGCAGATTTTACACCTCTACCATAGTTATAATTCCTAAAGAGGTAGTTCACAACTGGTGTCTGAGAAACAACTGCAGATAAGGCAGAAAATTTTGGAGAGTCCTCCAGAGCAGCCTCAAGAAAGGTTTTAGTTCCCATATTAGTTTTAAGTATTTCCTCCCAAGCGTCAGTATCGTAGTATGAAAGGGACATAACAAGATTAGACGCTCCCAACAAACGACTTCTATCAAACATTTGACTGGAAAATTGCTTGTACAACCTTACACATTCATCAACTCCAACTTTATAAACGCATAACATAGCAACAAGTAAAGCTCCTGTTGAAACACCGCAGACATAGTCGAAAAGTTCGTAGATTTTTTTCCCCGATTGTTGTTCTATTTGACGTAATAGTTCTATTGCCACTAAACCTAATTTATTGTATAGTTATTAAAACCTGAATAATAAAATGTTAAATGTAAAATTACCTCTAACACCGCCACCATCGACACTTAATATTCTTATTCCATTTCCACCTACTGGCTTTACGTGGCCTAGTAACACCAAAACTTTTTCACTAGCTTTCTTAATAGCGTCGTCTGATATATTTGACTGTTTTATGAATAATAAAGATTTATCTAATCCTTTCTTTAGTGCGTATTCCTTTGTATTAGGAAATTTCAAAATTAGCTCGGAGAGACTTTCTAAATGTTTGAGAATTAAGCCACTTCGATTATTTGCTTTTTGTATTTCTGCCACGTAATACCTCACTTTCTCGTCAGCATCATCTTCCACGAAGGTCCATGCTACCTTCTTTTTAACTTCGTTAGTATTATTTTCTTTAGTATCTGGTGTCTTTTTGACAGATTCAGTCTCAATTTCAGATGTTAATGCTTCTGTCCAATGTAGTTCTTCTCTTGGAACATTACTTTTCATCTTCATTTCCACCCTTGCTTTTGTTTCTTCATTCTTATATCTAACAATATCTAAACGTTGACTCTCGGAGGGTTTTGATAGAGATAAAATTGTCGAGCCAGGAATATATCTTAAATATTCAATAGCTGTTTGAGGTAGGGGTACCCTCGCTGCTTTTTTTACTTTAGAAATAGATCCACCGGATGGTTTCAATCTTGTCCAAAATGTTGGAAGGCGAGTTGTGGACATATTTTCGTTTTGGGAATTTAGTCTAAACTAAGTAAATTCACAAAATTTAATTAATAAAAAATAAATACTCGCACGTAGACAAAAACGCGCAATTCATACCATTAAACGTTTCATAGTCACTTATACTCATCCGTAACAACGATGAAATATAAATATCTAATGTTTAAGTATTTAGATCTATTTCAGAAAAATCCTATTTAATAACAATAACAATGTTCGATTTAAACAAAATTATGGTAACAACTCGTCCTTCAATCCGTGTATCAGCTGACACTTGTGGGTTCACATATGAAAGACAAAACAGAATAACATAATATTTTAACTTACGCTATCTAGTGTTTGATGATTTAGTTTCAAGTGTCGTGTCGTTGATCTAACTGAAATATTTCTTAATACACGTCACATCAGATTATGGCTCTAAACAAGGAAGATTGGAAAAAAACATTGAATCACGGTCATCGTACGATACTGTTTATGCAGGTCAACGCTCATTGGCTAATTATGACGGGTGTGTTTTAGGGTACCAGTTCCTTTAATTTTTTACGCGAAAAGAATTTGGAACAGGAACCCAAATTTTTATATACCGAAATGCTTTACCGAGAGACTTCCTTTTCCGTTTGTAAATATGGTGAGTGGACATGATCTCTAAAAAATCTTAAATTATCTACTTATTTGAACTGTTTCTAAACATGAATTCTCCGCAATTCATACAATTTAACATAAAACTATAGGATCGTTGCCTTTTGGACCTATTTAATAGAATATTTTCCTCTTTTCAGCCGCCTAAAGGTAAGCTAGGCAAGGGACCCAAAGGAGTAAAAGGCAAGGCAAAAAAAGGCAAGAAAATTGCCGCCGCGCCACTAGTAGCCAAGAAGAAGGTTGAGGTTAAAAAAACCGTAAATCCTCTGTTTGAGAAACGCCCGAGAAATTTTGGAATTGGTATGTGTGAACGCCACAAATTTCTTACGTACGCAATCTTAATCGTCTTGTATTTTTTCACAGGCCAAGATATCCAACCGAAGAGGGATTTATCCAGATTCGTTAGATGGCCAAAATACATCCGACTACAACGTCAACGGGCTATTTTGTTTCAACGTCTGAAGGTCCCTCCACCAATAAACCAGTTCAAATTTACTTTGAGTAAAGAAAAAAGTAAGAATTTCTTTTTTTCTTGAGTTTAGAATTAATGCTTGCGTGCATAGATAAAGCATTTAGTCCATAAATGCATGCCGAAGCGTAGCGAATTGATATATATATATATATATATATATCTTTTTTATATCAAATAGCTACTCAACTTTTGAAGCTTATGGACAAATACAAGCCTGAGACTAAGCAAGCTAAGAGTCGCAGACTCAAGAAAAGAGCTGATGAAAGAGCTGAAGGTAAACCCGATGCTCCTACCAAAAGACAACCAGTTGTTCGCTCCGGTATCAACACCGTTACCTCCCTGGTTGAACAAAAGAAAGCTCAACTTGTCGTAATCGCCCACGATGTTGATCCAATCGAAATTGTTCTTTTCTTACCATTTTTGTGCCGAAAAATGGATGTCCCCTATTGCATTGTCAAGGGAAAAGCTCGTTTGGGACGTGTTGTTCGTAGAAAGACCGCTTCCTGTCTGGCCTTGAGTAATGTCAATCCAGAAGATAGATCCAATTTGAATAAACTGGTCGAATCAGTAAAAACCGACTTTAACAACCGATTTGATGAGGTTAGTCGAACAATGTTTAATTATAGTATATGGTTGATGATCAACATTAAACTTTGAAATTAAGTTATATTGAACATCAACGTATTATTTGATATGTTAAAAATTAAGATTATCACAATGATGCCTATTTAAATTCTGAAAAGTCATGTTGAACAGAACATTCGAGCTTTTTAACACTGAGATTTTTATAATATAACATAGGTCCAGGAATATAAATGACAAAAAATAATATACACTTTCTTTCTTACAGCTAAGAAAAACTTGGGGTGGTGGTATTATGGGAGCAAAATCCCAAGCACGCATGGCCAAGATTGAAAAAGCTAAAGCCAGAGAACTGCAATCTAAAATGGCTTAAATTGAATTTGTTTGAAAATAAAAAGTTGATGAATGAGATGACTAGTAAAATTTTATTGAATATTTATGAAGTAATATAGATATGCACTCATATCTAGGCATATACTGTATATAGTTATATACATATAAGTGTTCAAACATTTAAAATTTTAGATATATAAAGTACAAATCTTCGCAATACGTTAAGAAAGGGGCATTTAAAAAATAGACTAGCATAGCCAATAATACCTCGTGCACACGTGTTCATTTCAAGCCAGTTACTTGTTAAAGATAGAGTTTATAATTTAATATTTTATCACGATTTCTCAGATGTCTCCGTGGCGCAATCGGTTAGCGCGTTCGGCTGTTAACCGAAAGGTTGGTGGTTCGAGCCCACCCGGGGACGTTCATTTTTTTTCAATTATATCTTAATAGATTGTGAACATTGTTAAAAGACGTTTAAGGATCAAAAATTCTCAGTTTCAAAGCTTTTAGCCAAATTTATGAGATTGATGAAACAACAAATGTATGAATGAAGGAATGTATCAGAGGTCTCCGTGGCGCAATTGGTTAGCGCGTTCGGCTGTTAACCGAAAGGTTGGTGGTTCGAGCCCACCCGGGGACGTTTCTTTTTTTTTATAATATGCATAATTTTGATGAAGAAACAGTATTAATTTTAACATAATATCTTACAATATGGATGGAGTTTCAGAAGTGAAAACTTGTTCTCCATGAGTCTCCGTGGCGCAATCGGTTAGCGCGTTCGGCTGTTAACCGAAAGGTTGGTGGTTCGAGCCCACCCGGGGACGTTTCTTTTTTTATAATATACATAATTTTGATGAGGAAACAGTATTAGTTTTGTCATAATATCTTATAATTCGGATGGAGTTTCAGAAGTGAAACCTTGTTCTCCATGAGTCTCCGTGGCGCAATCGGTTAGCGCGTTCGGCTGTTAACCGAAAGGTTGGTGGTTCGAGCCCACCCGGGGACGTTTCTTTTTTTTTATAATATGCATAATTTTGATGAAGAAACAGTATTAATTTTAACATAATATCTTACAATATGGATGGAGTTTCAGAAGTGAAAACTTGTTCTCCATGAGTCTCCGTGGCGCAATTGGTTAGCGCGTTCGGCTGTTAACCGAAAGGTTGGTGGTTCGAGCCCACCCGGGGACGTTTCTTTTTTTTATAATATGCATAATTTTGATGAGGAAACAGTATTAGTTTTGTCATAATATCTTATAATTCGGATGGAGTTTCATAAGTGAAACCTTGTTCTCCAAGAGTCTCCGTGGCGCAATCGGTTAGCGCGTTCGGCTGTTAACCGAAAGGTTGGTGGTTCGAGCCCACCCGGGGACGTTTCTTTTTTTTATAATATGCATAATTTTGATGAGGAAACAGTATTAGTTTTGTCATAATATCTTATAATTCGGATGGAGTTTCATAAGTGAAACCTTGTTCTCCAAGAGTCTCCGTGGCGCAATCGGTTAGCGCGTTCGGCTGTTAACCGAAAGGTTGGTGGTTCGAGCCCACCCGGGGACGTTCACTTTTTTTTAAACAATATAAAAAAGCGTAGTCGATGAGCCCAACGACTAGTCTTGGCTACGTACCAAGTTTATTCCTTATGACTTTACGTTACGTTGATATTATTTTAAATGTCTTCATTCGGTTGCTAAGTGCATCAACTCTCCAAGTCAATTGGAAACCACAACTCAATCGACCAAAATGGTCGACACGTCAACACTTGATGAGAAATCGGAGAAGCAAAGGAAAGGATTCGAAGGAAGATTCTCAGAATCGAACGCTTAAAATAGAGCAGAGATCAACGCTATGAAAACGGAGATGGCGGCACAAATGGAGCGCATCATTCAAATGAGCGGATCCATTCAATCAGATTCGACTAAAAAGTCATGTAAGCCATTCATTCATATTTGAACACAAGAACCAGAACAGCTCATAATGAACGGAGGACAAGATAGTGGAACTTTGAACGTCCAAAAAACTTCTCATGTTTTTTAACTTTCCCAATTACAAGGGACATCCGCAATTTGAGAAACTTAGGAGATATTCCAACAGCCTATTGTCCAACCTAAATAAATTCTGATCTTAAGGGAAGACAAAGATTGGTACAATGGCTTAATCGCTGTTCGAATTGTCTACGAGGTTGTTATATGAGTGAAAATTGTCCATTAAAATTCAATTGTAAGAGATGCAACCAAGTTCATCACACTTCCTTATACCATAAAGAGACAACAACACCGAAATCGGTATCTGCTATTAATTGTATCCAATCAAAAGAGATGCAAGAGAGAATGCCTGTATATTCGGCAACAGTACAAATCCCGTCATCTGGTAATTCGAGCAATCACTCAATTACTGCTCTCACTGATACTGGAGCGGCAGTCTCTTTAATTAGCAGGCAGTACCTCGAAACCATATCATACACCACAGTAGCTGAAAATTTCCATCAGATCAACATTTCGTACGTAAACAATGATTTTCAGGTGATGACATCAGAGAAGGTCAGACTCATATTTCCTCAACTGGGAAGAAAATATGATATCGATTTTTACATGTATGTGATTCACTATCTACAATACCAAGTCAGCCTGCTATATAGATCAATTCACGGTACACTGAGCCACCTCTTCCCAGTGGTCGAATTGATCTGCTTATTGGTCATAGTTTAGGACAACACACACGCCCACCTTGGTCCTATCTAGTCATATACAATCAAAAATTACACTTTCGTTAAATTGCTCTTTGATGGTTTTGAACCATTTCCCTTATAATACAACTACCAATTCTAAACAATAAACTTTAACATAAGGCTCATTACGAAAGACTTTATTCCAAACATAATATCGTATAATTCGGATGGAGTTTCAGAAGTGAAACCTTGTTCTCCAAGAGTCTCCGTGGCGCAATTGGTTAGCGCGTTCGGCTGTTAACCGAAAGGTTGGTGGTTCGAGCCCACCCGGGGACGTTCACTTTTTTCAAACAATATACAGTATATAAGCGTTACTTTTTTTTTGTCTTCAATCAGGTCAACTAAGTTAAGTTATGGTAAAACGAAAGCTGTTTTTATTTTTGTTTTAAGCTTCCGCTACCTCGAAAACTTTATACAATCAATAACTATCTCGTTAAGAATCTCATTTTTTATAAATAATATGCATAACTTTGATCACAAATACACATTTAATATTTGGTATAATAAAATACAAACAAATGAAGCTCAGCTACTTTTAAAAATCACTATCAGTCTGTTGCTACAAAAAACGGACGGAAAAAGACAAATTTGACGTTCTCACATTAATCTACATATGAAAAAACTGGTTGTATCGAAGTCTCCGTGGCGCAATCGGTTAGCGCGTTCGGCTGTTAACCGAAAGGTTGGTGGTTCGAGCCCACCCGGGGACGATCACTTTTTTTTTAAACAATTATGTATTATTAATATTAGGGTCACCCGAAAAATTCTCGCCGTTTTTATCTAACAGTTAAAAAAAATGTCTCCTTCTTCGACATGGTTTTCTAGGAATTCTGTAGACCTCTCCACCCTCATGTCTTTCTGTTCCCAAATAAGTTGGTAGGGAATCCATCTTGAGACAATCTTTTTCAATCCAAGACTTGCAATCAAACCTTCAACAACTGAATGGCTTATATTCAATGTTTGAGACATCTGAGCCTGGCTCTTATTATCTCTGATTAGAGCGATAACTCTGTCCTCTGTGTTTCATTGTTACTGGCAGTTTTTGGGCGTCCTGGCTTGTCTTCATCAAGTATATTAGTTCTTCCTCCTTTAAATTCTCTAACCCACTTTCTTACTGAACCTTCGATAAGTGTTGTATTACCAAAAAAAAGCTTTCAATTGTATATGAATATTGATAGCGATAACTTGTGATACAAGAAATTGAATAATTACTTTATTCTGTCATCCATACTGTGCCACAAAAGTCTCAATAACTTTTCAATCAGGGCTTGTTTGAGAAAGTTTTTAGTGACAGTACAATTCACTTTCAATTAATGATAAAAATATTGGCCTATAGTGTGCCGTTTTTACTTACAGCAATGAGGCGAGTCTGTTGACGACTTCGGCCTATCTAACGAAAAGTTTGAAAATATTGATTTGCGACTAATGTTCAGAGAAGTGAGACACAGCAAAATGGAGACATCTAGCCTTAACAATCACAGATGAATTATTAGATGACAGCGCATTCGTCTTTTATATTTCTCGGTTAATGGAATGTCATTTGAGCCTACCCGGGGATGCAATATGTTCTTGTATACCTTTTAACCGCTTAAAAATAGTAAATCGCTTTATTAGATTTATTTTTTTAAGTATCTTTTTTTGTATTTTTTTGGTTTGCAAAATAGAAAAAGATTTCGGAGTAGAGTTTAACAGAAAGGTGAGAAACAGCAAAATGGAGGAAAGTTACTTATTCTCCTCTAAATTGTGTAGAGCGTTGATTTCGCTAAGACAACTGGACTTCAATAGATATTCTCCATTTTATATCAATGAAATCATTGCTGGGATTTGTTGTAATATTGAGGAACGTCTAAAGGTGTAAGAATCAGCATGAGGATATACTCGACGACAACACTGAACATGCTCACCTTGCCATTTTTTTCAATCGAACTCTTTAAGTGAAGTATACCATACTTAACAGTGATAAATTCTTCGTATTTGCTATTATTAATATCTAAATATTCGATGAAATTATAGCTCATAGCTGTATATAAACGAAATGCGAGATCAAAAGCTTTCGCCGTCGCGTCATCATGATACATTTACACTAGAGACATCTATCTTTCTATATATAGGAATAATGTGGGCGGAATTTCCAAAGTGAAACCTAGTTTTCTGTGAGTCTCCGTGGCGCAATTGGTTAGCGCGTTCGGCTGTTAACCGAAAGGTTGGTGGTTCGAGCCCACCCGGGGACGTTTATTTTTGTTCATGAACACCTTTTAACAGCTAGTGAAAACGTTGTTAAACGTTTTTCTGTCAAAAACTGACAGTATATAAAATTTTGGTCAAATTCAAGAGAATGATGAAACAACAAATGTATGAATGAAGGAATATATCAGAGGTCTCCGTGGCGCAATCGGTTAGCGCGTTCGGCTGTTAACCGAAAGGTTGGTGGTTCGAGCCCACCCGGGGACGTAATCTTTTTTTTATCTTCAATCAGGTCAACGAAGTTCAGTTACAGTAAAACGAAAGTTATTTTATTTTCGTTTTAAGTTTCCGTTACTTCGAAAACTCTTTACAATCGTAATCTCATTAAAATGGAGAGGAAAAAAGAGTTAGATATTCGTTAAATGTTTGAAGTTTATATTCAGGATGGTAAGGTTTTTTATAAGTAACTTTTTTATTGTAATTATCAGTTTTAGCTTGGACATTGTGAATCTTTAATAGAGTTTTCCTTCTTAGCTGAAACAACACAGGACTAAGCTAGTGGCTTACTAGCTTTAACCTCCTTTTAGTGGTTATAAAATTGTCTTAAGACGCAACCCTTTTTACAGACTTTTGTCTGCATGTTGTGATTTTTGGTAGCCTTTTTCAACACGCCAGTTTTCCATCAAGATTTCCATTGATCTATACTCTTATGTCCTACTGACCAATGTTATGATTGAAAGCAATTTTTTTCTTATCTGGCTGATCTTTTTGAGACAAGAAATCGTGCGTTCATTTGACTGAATTGTGTTCTTCAAGATAACGTTATGTTTACTAGTTAATAAATGTGGGTGATATAGATGGAGCTATGGGACAATTACGCAAGAGGTCTCCGTGGCGCAATCGGTTAGCGCGTTCGGCTGTTAACCGAAAGGTTGGTGGTTCGAGCCCACCCGGGGACGTAATCTTTTTTTTGCCTTCACTATCTGACTACTGACTAATCTGTTAGCCAATTATAAACCGTCGTAGAATTATTTTTTATGATTTGTTTGTTTATATGCGTTGAGTATTAAAGTATGCTTTTGTACAGATTATAAAAAGTCATCGTTTAAAACTATGAATTTTACTGCTCAAAGCGTGAGTCTCCGTGGCGCAATCGGTTAGCGCGTTCGGCTGTTAACCGAAAGGTTGGTGGTTCGAGCCCACCCGGGGACGTTTCTTTTTTTTAAATTTTTTGAGATATTACGTATTTACAACCGTATTGTAATATGAAATGAGAAGGAGGAAGAGAGACAAAGAGATTTAAATCAAAAGCATAAAAGAAAAGAGAAAGTAGAAAAGAGTAGTTATGTTTTTTCATCTAGATGAATGAAAAGACAAAGAATAGAAGAAAAAAACGGTTTCTTTATAAATATATATGAAAACTACAGTTGAAATAAAGGCCTATTTTGTAATCTTATGCGCTGTAGAAGTTGAGATGTATCATTATAAAAGATAGGTTTGGCGAAAGTATTGTACCAGTTTGTTAAAGATGGTTGATGTGTTAACAGTCTAGCAAAAGTAGAAAAGAGATAAGAATAAGGACATACTTTCAAGAGAATTATTATAAATAGAGAAAAGACAAAATGGACGAAAAGGAAAATGGTTTTTGCGTTGAAAAATTGGAAAGATTATGCCTCAATTATATAGTCCGATTTCCATCAATTCTTCAAAAGCAAAAAATGGCCGACAACGACTTTTTTCTAACAACATATACAGCTACTCCAATCCTAACACTCTTAGGAGAAATAGGAAGATTAACTGATGAGAATGTGAGATTTTTTAATAGAGAAAATACTTGTTTGAATGCCATTAAATTGGCCTGTACGGAAATTCAAGAAGTAGAATCTTATAAATTTTTAAAAGGTCATTGTCTCGAAGCAATTCAATTTTTAGGTTTAAAGAACTATTCACAAATAATATTTGATAATTATATCGATATAACAAAATTGAAATATTTCTCTTTACAATGGTGTCATATTTACTTTGAAGATTGCAGCTACTTTTCTAAATATGATTTTTCAAATTTAAAAGTATTGGACGTAAGCTTTACAGATTTTACTAATTCCCATTTTATAAATTTAATACAAAGTGCTATTAATTTGGAAAATATCAACTTAACGTCTACTTTCGTTACAAATATTGAAAAATTAGAATATCTAAAATGTTTAAAAGTATACATCCATCGAAGATTTCAACAAGAGACTAATTTTCATCCATTATTGGCTGTCAAGTCTTTGATAAAATTAGATATAGGTTTTGATTCTGAAGATTATAATGATAAAGATATTGAAATAAATACCTTACTCTTCGGTTCTTCATGGCCTAATCTACAATATTTAGATATCTCAGGAAGGTGGTATTGCTCATCAGAAGTGTTAAAGTAGTTATTATTTATAATTATATAGAACATTCGTAATGAATAAAGAATATCATCATTATTTTCATTCAAAAGGATATTTCTGCGAAAACATCCAAGATTACACTTCTTGGATTTGATGAGAGTAATTTGCACAAAGATGACTTTCGCTGTTGGAATAAAAGTATAAACAGTATATCTATCTATATATATATATATACAGTATATATACATTCTTTTAATAATTACACCATTAATTAGGTTGTCACTGATTGGAATTTAAATCAAATAATTGATGCGTTAAATTATTATAGAAATGATTATATGAAAAGTATGACATTAATGGAGACATTTTCCGAGCATTATCATCATGTAGAATATGATTATATTCAACAGAGATTAGATGAATATTCTAATTATATCAAGGTATATAACTTAATTAATAAGAACATTAAAAAAAATACAGCTAATCTATATTAATATACTTAGACTTATTTATTAAATAGAGTTTAACTTTACTACTTGATTGGTGGAATAAGAATATTGTTCTATTACAATTACACGAAGACGAACCTGGATATTTACATATCCTACTCTTCGATCAAATTAAAATATTTAATTTTTGCCCTGAAAAATTACCTTTAAATCTACTTTCATTCGCCCTTAATTCAACATTTGATTATTTAGACAATGAGCAAAAAAGTTGGCGAATGGCACCATACTTTGTTAGTTTTCTTACAACTAATAACTGTTTTATCGTCCATCATGTCGTAAGTAGAAATTATTTCTATCATTTTCTTCCATCACCTTCTTTTATTAAAATATCAAATTTCCAGTGTTTTGATAAATTTAAAGCTTTTACGTCTATTCTAAGTTTTATATCAAAAGCTGATGATATAAGAGAAAAATACTCTGCTGAAGGATACGATACGGACGATTTTATGAAACAAACTATTAAACTTTGTATATATTTCATTGAGATTGTAAGATTTATTTGAAAAGCTTACTGTAATTATTAACTTTCCTTCTACTTTTTTATAGATCATCACTGGTAAACCTAATCAGATTTATATGAATAAAATCTCTATATCTACGTTAAGGATGTTAAAAACACTGGAGGCTAAAATAGATGCCAAATTATTTGATAATCTCTTTTCACACTTATTACCAGTTCTTTGTTCATTAGTTAGTAAATACAATGAAATTTGTGGATTTTTATTTGTTGGCAATGGTGTTGATATTTTATCTAGTTACCTTATGGTTTGTATGTCAATATACAGTATATAAAGTAAAGATTATCAAGTAAAGTCATTTAAATTTTCTTCTTTTTCTTTTTTCAACTATATTCAACAGCTTCAACATTTTTCTCTTACTGAAGAGATGAAGATAAATGAAAGATTCGTAATAGTTTTGATTGTGAGAGTTTTTCATTTTCTTTTGTTAAAGGAAAGTAGTAATTTACTCATATTTTGGATATGTTTTCTTAGTATTTCTTGGCAAAAAATTCAAGAGTAAGAGAAGAGTTTATAAGAAAACGGATAACTTCGTTGCTATCAATACGTACAAACAGACATTACGGTGAAGACGTTCAAATGAGTGCCATTTGCGGACTATCAGCCATTTATACGAATGGTTATAGTTGATTCTTTACTTTGTTATATATAAAATTATATTGAAAGTAATACAGAGTGTCGTCTTACAATAGATTTCTTCGTCTGCGACTTTCCGGCTGGATGGAAAAGATGTAAAGGAGAATGCAAAGAATGTCTTAATGATTTGCAGCGATTTGATATTGGTGTACTGACTGTAAGCCATCTATTATTAAAGGTTAATTCTTAGAGATTTTCATTAACTAATAAGCTAAAAATTTCATTTGAACAGAAGTTCGGTAAATACGGTGCGTTTATTTCTGCATTAAAACTGATAATATGGGTTGATTCGTCAAATAATCAAGAGAACATTACAAAAGAAGATGAAATAATTATAATAAATATGATAAAGAATTTAACGAATTTGGAAACAGAGGTATATTCTTCTCATCTTCCTTTATTTAAATAATTAACAACAGTCTTTTTTTTTAATAATTTCCATAAAGTTTTCTTTAAAAGAAATGGACCATTTAGCATGTTATATATCATTTATAATGTCAATACTATTAAAGAAGATTCAATTGAGAGAGTATAATCTAGTTACATATAGCCTTATTCAAATAGTTAATAATCTATCAAAGACTTTTGTTATTTCGGCAAAGTATTTACTATCGTTAATTCTTGAAGGAGATGGAATAGCATTTTTTCTGAAAGGCTTAAACGTAATTAAAAGACAAATATATATTAATTTCAATTATATTCTATAAATATATTTCGAATTAGGATTTTAATTTCAAAAATAACATTCTTGATGATAAGCCAATTTTACAGTATTTTCTGCTTATATTAGTAAGTACTTTCTTTTGTTTTATCAATATAATTCTGATTTTCACCTCTCTCTCTCTCCATTAATTTAACAAGGAAAAATTATCTAATAATGAAAGTACAGCTTATTTTTTCAAGAAGGTAACAGTTATTAAATCATTAGTAAAATGGATGTCTGAACCCCTGCACATCGCTGTACCAATAATGATTATAATATCTAATAACATTATTCAAGGTATGAATATGGTAATTTATATTTTAATTATACATTAAAGATATTCATATCTAGGATTAAAAGATTGTAAAACATTCCATAAAAGTAAATGCGATACTAACTGCACTTGTAATTGCTGTTATTGGGTTCACAACCAAACACATTATGGTTCTCTATTGGTTTGTTTAGCTATTTGATATTTATGTATTTCTGTTACATTATCTTAAAATCTACTCTTATATTTACAATTAAGATTCAAAAAATGAAAAGTTGGTATATTACACCGCCCACTTTATTGGCCAATGAATTTATATCCAGGGATTGGATATCATATTTACTATGCGAAGATGTTCTCGGTATTCAAATATTCGGTGTGAGAATGTTATATCTTCAAAGTCGTATTCACAGTTTGTTTATTTAATGTAAAACAATTTCTTTTTTTCTAATTATAGAATCTATTTGTTTCCTTTATAGAAAATGAATTTAAAAAGATCATTTACGAAAAGAATTTAATTAATCTACTTAGAGTTTTCGAACCTAAAGAATTTGCCTACGTTAGATTTATTGTTGAAGAATTAAAACGTTATACGGATTGTTGAAATGTAAATAGACATTAAATTTATCTTTTCTAGAATGTGTTAGCTATTTATTATAAATTTTAAACAACTCATCTTACATCTCTAATTAGCTCAAGGTTTTTGTTTGTCAAAGTATCATATTCATTATTGATGTTTGCGTGTTTCATGAGGAATTAAACATAATTTTTTTACTATATGCATTGTAAATTCAACAACTTGTTTCTCTATATAATTTCAAGTATTGTCAAAAAATAAACCTTTCTAATTTGCTTGTCGAATCTATTCGACTACAACGAATTACCTTTAAAGTCTATGGAGCGTGTAACTTGGACAATGTTAATAATAAGGTGATTTTGATGATTGTTTTTTTTATCGTTGCTTAGAGTTTATAATAATATATATATATATATACTTGGTAAGGTAACCTTGGAGTAGTAAACATTATTGTGTAATAGGAATACAATATAAACCTATAACAACCAACTTAAATCTGTCAAAAGACCAATGAATAACACATGTACATGTAGAATAATAATTTACTTGGATAGCAAAACATTATTAGAGGTAAACAGCAATTTTTTTAAGGTTAAAGTTTATTGAACTTGATATTAATAGCTGGATAATTACTATAAGCTGTTTGTGGACGGGCTTCTGGAAAAGCTGAAATCTCTTCATCTCTCGTTTTTGTTGTTATTATCTTATTCGAAAGAAGCTTATTTAGTACAGATAAAAAAATATTATACTCTCTACATACTATACTTTCTTCTTATTTCCTTTAAATAGACAAAGAAGAGAGTGGTCAAAGGTCAAATTGTTTTTATTGATTGAAGGACGAGAAAATATAATAACAATATTGAAATAGTCAATTAATTATTACAAGGAAAATAAAAAGATAAAATATAGAAAGTAATAAAAGCAATGGTTTGTTATCTTATCAAAATTGCTACAATTGAATTAGGCTGACATAATGTAATATTTTATGTTAAAGTCATTCAATATTGGAATGTAGAAACTCATTGTAGAGTGATTTCTTATATATGGCTAAAAAAGTTGAGTGGCTGTACGGAAAACTTACCATTGAGCCTATAGTGCTAATCATTAATTATACAGAAATTCATATTTGATATTCTACGCATTTTATAAAAACCGGTAGACTTTGAAAGTTGGAAAGCCATATAGTTAATAATTGGTAAAAGTCTTAAGGTAAGGAAGCATTGAAAAGTTAGAGACAATGGTGAAGAAAGTAGAGGTTGAGAGGTTGGAGGATAAATGTTTAAATTATTTGGGTAAGAATACATATATCCTACACGCCTATAAGATGATGACTCCTAATTTCTACCTCCGATGGAATTTGGCCGATTCTATATTTGAGACAATAGATATGATAGAGAATGGTATCAATGAAAAGCATCTAAAATTATTCAAAAGTAAACGAAGTTGCCTTACAAGGGTTGAGATGAATGCAAGATTTATTAGTAAGAAATCATTGAGAAATCTATTAAAGAATCATCATCTAGAATTAGTGAATATTAGTGGAGTTGATGAATTTCCAATAAGTGAATGGTTACAATATATCGAAACTGAATATTTAAGATTTTTATCAATAAGAAATTGTCGCCTATTCAACAATAGAAAGAGAGAATTAAGCTGTATTAAAAATTTCACCAATTTAAGAACATTGAGATTAGTATCAATCCCTTTTCATAATCAGGATTTAAAGGATATAATAAATTATATACAATTAATTAAATGTTTGGAATTAACTGGAACGAGCGTCACCGATATACAACCAGTATGCCAATTGCCAAAATTGAAAATATTTATACAAACCTATTATCCGGCCAGTTTCAACTTGGAACAAATTATAACGTTAAAACCTTTAAAGAGTCTAACTATTGCAAATGATCCAACGGTAGAGGTCAACAGTTATTCAATCTTTGATATTCTTCTACAAAGAATATTTTGGCCTGAATTAGAATATCTAGACATTTCTGGCAAATGGAAATGTAACGCCTTTATTATGGAGTGAGTTTCCTTTAATTTTTCTAATTATAATTAACTTTAATTAGGCTATTATCAATATTATACTATTTGTTTCATTTTATTTTAAGACCTTTCCTCAAAAGACATACAAAATTGTTATGCCTTGGATTAGTTGGCGTTCAATTTACAAGACCTTTTGAATATCCTTCAAAAATTGAGGTCTATACATTAATTAATTAACTAATTAGTTAAAAAAGTATAAATATTTTAGATATTTGGTACTGCTAATCTATTATTTCTATTAAATGGTTTATCGGCTTGCGAAAGGGACGAAAGACGAATATTTTATCTATTAGATTTCTTTAGGAAATCTTATACATTTGTTCTTGAAGGAAATTATCCAATCTTATTTATTAATTTCTTTAAAGTAAATAATAAAAAAAGTACACAATTGTCAAAAATTATTTATCTATACTCTTTTCTCTCTTATCTTTGTTTAGTCTTTCAAGAATCTTATTTATAATTGTTGGGATTTTCGATGGCATAAGGATTCTCTAAATAGATTAATTACACTTTGTATTAAATACTCTAAAAAAATACTTATTGATAAATTTCAATCTATTCCTAATCATGAAATCTCCAGTTTAGTTTCCGCTTGCATTAAAACTCTTGAACGGTTGAATTGTTGTTATACTACTTTTGAATTTGTTAAATTACTATACAATAGTGAATTTCGTATATTGAAGAATGCTGTAAGTAACAAATATTCAAATTGAATATTAATTAATTAATTAATTAATTGTCTTTCTCATTCATAAGCAAATTAATAATTTTGCAACTTTAAAAATATTATTCAATTTCTTGCAAAATGTTTATGATAATACGTTTTCTTCTTGGAAAAACTCTTACCTTCGGGAGGCTCACAGAAAATGTAATGACGTCATAACTTATATTTTTAAACATGTAATGTGAAAATATACATAAATAAATATACAATTTCTATATTAATTGATTTATAAGATTATACGTTTCAGATATCTGAACAAGAAATAAATGATATTTTAGAAAAAAATCAAATTCCAGTATTGAAAAAATTTGATAAAGAAAATCCAAATTTTTTCTTATCGAATATAAAATTAATAACGGCATGGAAACTAGGTCATAAAAGGGTAATTCATGTTATAGGATTACATAATCAATGTCTTGAAGCTTATAAGGATGCTATTAAAGTAAGAATAAGTAAACTTTTATTTTAATATTTAACTTTATTTTTTTTTTAAAAAAACAAAAATTACAGTTTTTCTATCAAGAAACAAATTCATCTGGGCCAGCAGATAGAAAAATATGCTATCTATTAGTATAGATTTATCAAATATTAGTTAAAGGAATATATAAAATTACTTGACATTTTCAGATACTTATTAATAAATATTTCGATGATGAAAATTGGTTAAAATTTTTTAACGAGGAATTTTCAAGTTTCGTTTCAATTAAACTAAAAAATTCGGAGAAAGAAGCAACTGCTAGTTTATCTATTGAAATTATTTGGAATGTTCTATTTAGAGGTACACCCTTTTAGATGTATATATTGATGTTATTATATAAAAAAGGGTTGTTTGTGTCTCTCTAATGATAATCTTTATTCTTTTCTAATTTTTTAATAGGTATATTAAAGAAAGATATTAAAAAGAAAAAATCAAGATCTCATTGGCCTCAAATTATTATAAATATGGTTAAAAAGAGAGAATACTTACTGTTGTAAACTATATAATAAATAAAACTCTTTCTCTATTCCATAGTTAATTGGATTTGAAAAATGGCGTAATAAACAATTAAAAGCTCCAACTGTTGGTGAATCAATTTGGTGTAGTATGAAATCTTATTGCCTACACGACGATGATGGTAGATTATTTACAAATATTGAATGGATAATTGATAATTGTATTCAAACTTTACAAGAAGAGTTTGGTAATATAAATAATTTGTTTATCTTTACAATTAAATGTATGCATACTGTATATATAAATATATAAAGATGTATATATATGTCAATAAAGGTAAAGACGTACTGGATGAATTAAGAGAAGCAAAATTTTCGTATGGATTAGAATGGTAAAAATGGTAAACTAAATCTATTTATACAAATATACGTTGGAAAATCTAGATAAATACACTTTTCTTTTTTGAACAGTTATATATCGTTCATTTATGTATTATAATATATATATATATACTGTATATTGTATTCTATACATCCGAATACATCCTGTTTATTTAATACAATTTTATCCATACAAAAACGCCATCTTGCGATTAATAGAAGATGTTGAAAATAAGAGGTATCATTATTAAAATTTAGAAGAAAACTCGTAAAGTAATACATGCTTATAGGAGGAGTAATCTAGCTATATATACATATATATATATATATTTACGCCTAGATAAAAAATCATACATATCAATTTTTTTGCAACCATTTATTATTTAACAATATTTGACAGTTTCTATAATAAATATAATTCTCAAGGACATAAAACTATTGCCTTAGAATTTTCAACATAAAAAGAAACTTTTTAAATGGAATACTTTGTTCATTTAGCCAAAAGGAAAATTGTCATTTTATTCATATTTTTTATTATTTCAAGTATAATTTATACAAGAAATAGAAGAAATTTACAATTTATTATAATTAATACCGCTTTAAATTTACATAAAATCTGTTTTTTTTTTATTTATTCTTTTCTTTTTGTTTTTCATTCGAAAAATAAAAAGAAATCAATGAATTTTTAAGTGTGCTATTTAAGTTTGCGTTCGGAAAATGCTTCGGGTAATTGATGATCTCTTATTTTATGGCCAGAAGTAAGGCACCTTTGGACGTAATTTTTCTGTCGATAAATTGCAAACATTTATGAAAAGGGCGTCACATTAAAGTGAATAGGCTATTTGTTTACTTAGTCTCTTTTTCTCGCACTTTTCTTCGCGCTTCTCTCTCTCTCTCTCTTTCTTTCTGTCCTTTATCCCTCCCTGCCCATTTTTCTATCTGTTTATCTATATATATATATATATATATCCTTTTTTCTCGTAGAAAAAGAAATTGTAAAAAACTTTGAATAGATTGATACATTTTTTAAGCCTTCTGTTTAGAAAGAACCAACAGTTTGTAATATAGATGAATTAACAAAAAAAGCACACTAGAATGGAAAAAAGGGGGGGCTTTAAGCTTTTTTTCCTAACGATTAGTTACGCAACAAAGAACTAGGCCTAGAGTCAATTTGTAGAGAATTTTTTTTTTAGTCAATTCTATTCCAATGCATGTATTCATTCGCCCAAAAAAAAAATATTAATTATAAATTGATGATGTTCTTAGATAAAAAGAAAGCAAATTAATGGTAGAAATTTTATTTACTAACAAAACCAAGGTTGATGGGCAATTCTATAATGTATATATCTCTTTTGACACAAAAAGAAGAGAAGAAAAAGTAAAATCAATTGTAATAGAGTAGAGTAAAATAAAAGGGAAAAAAGAAAGAAAGAAAGAATGAAAGAAGAAGAAGAAGAAGAAGACGAAGTAGAAGATGATGATGATGATGATGATGAAGGAGGAGGAAACAAAAAACAAACACTACGAAAAACAAATATCTATACGGAATTAATAAGAGTTATTGTAGCAATATAATACAGATGAGCCGACAAAAGAGCACTGCAAACTCTAAACCAATCTTCTCTATTTTTTCTTAAAGAATATGTCTATAAAATATAAGATATATACTGCAGTTTTTTTTTCTTTTTTCTATTTCTGTTTGTCTTTAATAAATTATTACTTATTACATAAAAAATAAGTCTTTTCTTGCGGGAAAGATGCGATTACATGTCTAAAACAATATGGGATCTAATTATCTATTAGATTTTAATTTTTTGTTATAAATAAACAAAGATTCATCTGTGACATAAACATAGCTATTTGACATCAATATACGTACAAAACCGATAATATATATATATATATATATATATATATTGCTTTGGTTGTATACAAATAGAAAGATTTATACAATTGATATAACTGAAATATGGATAAAAAAGGAGATTTCCACGAAATTTATGGTTAGGCAACTGCGATCAGGAAAAAAAACCAATTTGTACCGCTTCAAGTCTTCGTCTTGTACTGTATGACAAAAACTAAATGGAAAAAGGCTCCCTATTGTAATAGGGTATGAAGAAGATTATGCCAAGCTCATTAGATCCAGATTTAACTCACCCAATGGCTTAATTAAGCTAGGCTTAATTGGAGGCTGAAAAGATCGATAATTGACTGGAGAATCTTTTAAAAACCACTACAGCTTTATCCCTCTTCCCCCGTCTTTCTTTCTCTCTCTCTCTCCCTCCTTTTTTCGCCCCATCTTTTTCGATATAAAGTTGGACTTGTTGCTGAGCTGAAAGCGACTCGCAGAATTGAATTATGCGTCAAATTAAACACCAATCTTTTTAGGCAAAAAAAACCACTTTAGATTTTTTCATTCTTTCGTAATACTTGGTGGAAGATTATATAAATATTTTTCTGTCGTTTAAAGAATTTAATATACTTAAAGTTCGAAATCTGCTAACATATTCACTTGGATATGTGTTTTTTTTTTGTTTCTTTGAAAAAAATCTTAAGAGGGCGCTTCAACGCTAAACATTCTGGATTATCAGTATTTTCCTCGGAAGATAAAAATGCTCCAATGAGAATCGAATATAAATAGAAGTGATTGTCGATTCTTCTTAATAACGAACGCGTAAGAGAGAAACTTAATATATGCTTATAAAAAAAAAATAGACGCCCCTAGACGCCCCGGCGTTCGATGCGCTCGGTGAAACGCGAAAAAGAGGAAGCGGTGCAGCACGCCTTTTAACCGCTTCCAGAAAATTAATTAACTACTAGCTTTAATTAAGTTCAATTGTTCTAAAAAGAATCCACTTCAACTGATGATTGGCCTCAACTTAGGATGCTCCCTCCTAATTCAATAAAATCCTTTTTTTCCTTACTAACTACTTTACTAGTCAATTAACTTCACTTCCTCTAAGCTTCAACTAATCAACCAATCTCCTTTATCATCAAATATAAGTTTTATATGGATTTAAAGAGACTAATTTAGGTAAATTAGGCCTATATAAACGATAACATAAAACCTAAATGACTAAGAATTTAACTTTAAAGTTTAATTAAATATGTTTTTCTGATTAGACATAAGAAATAAAATAAAATAAACCAAAAAGTTAAAAGTGAAACTAATTTCCAAGCTGTCTTCGTACCAAAGTCTCATGTGACGTCATAAAATCCCCTTGAGCGGTTTTTCGGAAGATAAAGCGCAAAAATACTTTGTTCGTCGTTAAAAATCTTTAGAGAAAGAACGTCGGCATATACTAGATATATAAAGAAGGAGACAGAGAGAAAGAAAGAAAGAAAGAAAGAGAGAGAGAGAAGAAGAAGAAGAAGAAGAAGAAAAGAGGATTTTCATAAGTAGATAGTCCTACTAGTTTTGCTTTTCAACACTTTAAAGAAGAGGTTTGTCGACTTTTATTTAGATAGTATTTATAATCTTTCTATGCACGTCATTAATTTTGCCTCTCTTCTGCTTTTAATTTATGCGTACTTTTGGTTGAGATAATAGAGTGAGAGAGAACGAAACAAGATATGTCTGAAAAATATAGAATTAATTCAAAGTAAAAATTATGAAGTTGAAAAATAAAAGATAGAGATAGAGAGATAGAGAGAGTAGGTGGGGAGGGGGAGGGAGGGGGAGGGAGGAGAGAGATAAATTTCAAAGTAAAATTTGTTAATAGATGGCGTTAAATTCTATAATTTTGATTCCTTAATATTTTTTTATAATACTTCCGCTTTTATGGGTTTACATACCAGTTTTTTTTGCTAAAGAGAAGCATCAGTTATCAAGCGTTTAAATATTTACAAGAGCATAATTTCTATATTGATTTTGTTTACTTATACTCGCATTAAATCGGGTACAATTCGTATAAAATTCACGAACAGGAAGCTAATCGATTCTGAGTATTATATTAATTCTATTTTTCCGAATGAAAAGTAACGCTCTTAATTGAATCTCTTTATATAGTATGTATATGTGTGTATGAAATAGACGCTTTGTATCTTATTACGTAGAATAGGTCACTCAATAGAGGTCTTTGAAGAGATGCTTTACCCAGCGAAGCATTACATTCAATACTCTTTCACCAGACGGTTTACTTACAATATCAAATATTATAGACCTACATGTGTGTAAAAATACAATTCATCACTATATAGATTAATAATAACAAAGTCAATTTAGGTTGACTTGCCCATTCTCTTACTTTTCAATCCATTCCAATCAGTATTTAAATATTTCATTATTCATTTATTCAGCATGTAAAGTATGTACACAGAATATATATGGAAAACTGTATATATGAATATAATAAAATATGTGTGCAGAGTGTATAATATATTTTGCGTAGGAGTATTGGAACGCTTTCTAGCTACATGGTTAGACCTGTAAATATTCAATAAACAAATAAATAAATATTAGCTTTGGTATTATTCTCGTTATACAAGTAATAAACCTTCTCAACATCATTGATATATTCAATAAAGGGTTAAAAAATTCGTCTTTTTTTTCGCCTTTGCCTTCTCTTTCCACTTCTCCTTCTCCTTCTCCTTCTTCTTCTTCTTCTTCTTCTTCTAATACTTCTTACATCATTTCGAAAACAAGAAGCGTTTCACTGTAAAATGAACCTAATTAATGTTTCCATCAATTTAGACATATTTATTAGTGTTTGACAATATATACATTATAGATATAAATTGTAATAATAGTAGTAATTTTTAGTTAAAACCTATATTTTGGGTTAAGTTTTGTCAGAAGACGAAAAGAATAAACAATAGGTTATAAAAGAATAAAGAAAAGTAGCAGAGAGGAGGAAGAGAGGAGGTGGAGTTAGTGTAGAAATAACCGATAAAAAATATATGGACAGTATATATATCTTTATATATTCGTTCTACTTCCAAGAAAAATGTTTCAGTCACACTTTTCAATTAAGTCAAAAAATAAATTTTTACATACGCCACTGGTAAAATAAAAAAATAATAGATTTTAGTCACGTGATAAAGTTTATCCTTGAACACTTTTTCTTTTTAAAAACACCATTTTTTCCCCCTGAAAATATACTTTATATAAATAGTAAAGATAGAAAATTTTTACTAAAATATAATATATGAACTAATTAAATATTA